GGCTGTTGGAGAAGGATCTTCATCCCGCTTCGCTTTCTTCAAAAATTAACGTGTAGTTTAGGGGGCGTCTCGCGTGTACAGTTTTGTGGCAGATGACACGTTGTAGGTCCCCTACCACCTGCGGATTTAATAAGTCTCGCAGATGCGAAGCAATCTCGGTTATCGACAATCCATAGTTTCCCGTCTTGTTATTGTGTGGCATGAACGTCGTGTGAAGATCATTTTCACCAATGAGAGCTGCCCCTACATTTAAACTTACTAGGTGACAATCACACCTTTTACTCCTCTTCTTCCGGTGGATAGGTGATGAGATCTACTAACCTAGCTCATGATTTTCTTACAATGCTACGAGGCCGACCTTTCCTAGTTACACTTATATTAGGTGCCTTCAGGGTATTATTTCTGAAGTTCTTACCAATGAATGGAAACACTGTTACCGAAGCAGCCGGGACATATTTCATCGGCGACGTACACTGCCGTCCGAGGTATCTCCTCTTCTACTAACACTTGAGATGCATAAGCGGGAGTCCTACCACGGATGATTTCCCCGCTCTCGAAGGGATCGTCAATCAGGTACTTCCTCTCCAAAAGCCATCAGGCTTAACATCATTTCATCCTAGTCTCTAGGTTAAATGTCGACCTTGAGTCAATTCCCGAGTTTATACCTTCATTACGGAGTGGCATAAGTGCCTAAATTAGCTCAATCCTTCAAACTTAAGCCTCAAGCTTTCTCCAACCCACATTTATGAGATGATAAACGAGCAAATCGTTAGACGACTATAACTTCGCCGAGGAAAGTGTCAGTGTTCTCTAGCGAAGGTCGTAGGACTCTGGCACATTCTTGCAGACAGTTCACGCCCCATTACAATATTACGAACGAATAGTTCATATCCTATTGGAAAATGTACACGATAGTGTGCGGCAAAGTGGGTTTACTGCGTAACTTCGCCATATTGTCCCTTTCCTGGTGTTAGCGGAGGGTTATCGTACGACCGCAGATTCTAGGTGCTCTGGATAGGGCGTAGTTGTCTATCGGATGGGAACGCCCAGTCCCTAGTACCGACTCTCGGCTTCATAGAATTAGGTACATTGATTCGGAAATTTGGTGGTTCCAAGATGCTCGACAGAATTAGCCTCACTTCTGCGATGAAACTCCGTGGCCAAGTAACCTGATAAAAAAGAAGCCTACAACTGTCTGTCTCTACTGGGATTTTTGATGAGATACTCTTTGAGATTCAACACCGATACCCTGAAAGGGGCAATATCTCAACTGCTATAAGGCATACATTCAACCACACCGGACCATGCTAGATGGCGTAGTTCCAATGTCTACTTGATATTTAACGTGCGGTTCATCTCCCCACGACTATACGTAAATGGGAACTGCGACGAAGAGGAAAACTGAAAAGGTTTGGTGTACACCAATGGCACAAAATATATCTATCAGTGATCCGTAGTACGGCTCAAGATCGGAAGCCTAAAGCAAACAATATTAAGCTCATAATCACGATTGTGTGTTGGCACATATAAGGTTGCGCTCTATTAACTTGCAGTTGCTACCAAAAGGCTGGGTTTGTTCAACGTAAGCGCTACAGCTCACCTTCCTAGTGCAAGCTGGCAAGGCCAGATCAGGCGGCGATTGCGGTACGGGGCCTAATGTCGTACCTTGGGATACCTGAGATATTGATTTCACACTATATTCTAATATGTTGCTACTTTAGCCGCTTGAACATGGAAGTCTTCTTTAGGCTCCAAGTTCAACGAGGAATACGTTCTCTCAACCATAGAGTAGAAAGTATCAATAGTTCCCGTGTCGTCTCTTCGGTAAAAGCCACCCAGAACATTCTGTCTATAGAAGCTGGCTACCTTGGAGGGACCAAGCGAAACCGCATATTCCACCCTTGGTGGTGCAGATGAAGCTGAGGTAGGCCACTATCTACAGTGATGCTTCAAGATTCATCGGCTGCAGCTCATCTGATATATGTTGCTTTTCTACATTATGTGGTTTGATGTCAGATAGAATAGGTAAGTATATGCATATATTGCTAGCCATCACCCTTTTTCACCACTCCTAAGCCATGATTGGGCAGAGCTTAAACAGGAATCCTATGTATATTACCTGCTTCATCTCATCAGCAGTGAGCTTGATATTGGCTCTTGTCAAGCTTATTCATGGCATCTTGCATCTTGCTCGCCTTTAGTCCTCCTACCTGTGTATATCGTTCCTTGGAGTGTCCGAATTCGAACCAACGATTTATACCTAGTAGCCACGAAGGAGACTTCTAAGAAGCTATATAGTGTCTAGTAGGAATAAACTAATCAACTGCTAGTTGCTATACATAAGCTGCAGGTAAGATAGGTAATGTCTAAAAAGGCCTATCGGTAGTATCCTCATGTGCTTACGGGGCTGTGACTGGGGAGAATGTGCCCTATGGGTTCCACATATACATCTAAGCTATATATATGTCTGGATGTAAGATATATATAGTCTCGAGGATTCCATGGTACCCTACGAACGCAGCCTTATAAAGCGAGACTCTCAATATCTGAACTATCGCGTTCTTTTCCAGATAAGTACATCCTGACACGTGAGTCTTATAAGAGACCTGGTGTACATACGTACCTAAGGTAGGTAGATAACGATATGGTATCAACCCGAGTTGTCTGCCACGCCTGTCTTACTATAGCAACAGCATTATCTCGGTAACCGGGTCGGAGATATCAGGTGAAGTTTAACAGGTACACGGCGTATTGCTGGGTTAAAGAGTGAGATGAAGTAGCAACTTCAAACCTAATTGGTTACCTCAGTCTCCGTTACTCTGGGACTAACCGCGCGGCTGGGGAAGGGTGGAAGTCGATGATCTACACGATCCCTGACCCATGCCATGTTCCGCGGCCAGGGGTCCGAGGTATAATACAATACGTACCTACCAGGTAACCTACTGTGTTATGTTATATCATATGTAGGTTGGTTGGATGCAGGACACTGGGAGAAAGCCCTGACTACCTAACCTAACTTAGGTATCTAACCTACCTATTCCTTCCAGGTCGCATCTTCGTATCACCATCACCATCATCGAACGGTCGGGAAATAACCGAATCTGAAGGCCTGGGTCAGGCATGCGCGTGCCGTGTACCTATTTCCAGGGCTTTACCTCAGCTATTTATCTCGCAACCCACGTGTAGTTTACGAAGGGCCAGGCTTTCATCTATGTAACTACCCCCTTTTCCCACGTTTCGATCTCGGATCCAGTTTTTTGTCCGATGTAAGTCGCATTCGGAGATAGAGATGAAATAAATGCATGCATGCACACACCACCTACTCAATTCTCCTTGGGAGTCGCAAAGATATTTATGCCATTAGTGAGGATTATATATTAGATACCTACGTACTAAATAGCCTCATCTGCAGACTTGGCCTTTCATGCTATCATCTCCTGCAGTAGCGAGACGGATAGCGGGATGTCCTGCTACGGGAGGAGATGGATATGTGTTTGTCGGGATAGACTCGAGTAAAGGCAAACTAGGAGTAGGGTGAAAGCCCAGAGTGGCCGGGAAGGCAAGATCTCACGAGCTTTCGAGTGGGCAAGTAACAATAAGACGTAGTGCTTCAAGACGAGAAACAGTATGATTACTCTTGCTGCTGCGATTCAATATTCTCCCTCCGTGTTTAATACGCTCCGTCTCTTTATAGACAGCTTCAAATACACTATCTTCAATCTCTAGGCTCAGGAAAGTCTTAAGTGTAATATACCTAGGTAAATATTTAGACTGACTTTAATACGGAGTTAGTTAGGGGACCATACCGATTTTTCTCCACTGTTCAGCATTTAAATATCCCAACCTTCCCACAAAGCGCTACCATGAAAGGGTCACCACGCGATACTATATACCGGCCCATGGGAGTAGCTCGTTTTTTCTTTTCTTTTCTTTTTCTTTATTTTTCAAGAAAAAAAAAACCCTAAAAAAGAAGCATAAGAAATGTCGTGCTACATCCCAGTACTAGTGAGTATTCTCGTAGTGACTCCTAAAGAATGAGGTCAGGCGTACGCGTTAACCGCCTATCGAAAGACATGTGAATCCTTGATCAAAGCTGAAAGCTTGTAACATCAACAGCGGTACTCGGGCTCGTCAACTCGGGCTACTACGACACTACGAAGTCAGTACCTACTAACCTAACACATACTTGAATAGCCATTCTGCTTCACTCGCCTTGTTCGTTTTGCATCTCACCTATTCACTCTTGGAGATATTTATCTATAAATTGAGCTAACACGTAGATAGCTTAGAAATTGCATAGAGCTAGCTAACATTAATAACTTCCAAGCATGTAATATCCCCCCTTATCATCATCTACCTAGATAAATACTACCTTAGATACGCACCCAAGGAACCTAGCTAATCACTTTCGTCAACATTATCTTAGAGCCGGAAGTAACATGATAAACACTGAATTGCAAGAATATACGGGACAAAACCTCAGTCTTATCTTAGCCGTGGCCTGGTATCTGCATAAAAAATCTCAGCGACGCCATCGTAGACCCGCCGACGATCAGCCAGTCCCTTGCAGGCTCGAAGACCTCAAACTAACTAAAACCCTCGACGATTAAAAATAAAGGAGAGAGAATCCTCCGCACGCGTAACATAAGATGGCTATTCCATTTCCATTTCTCGAACGCCTCTTGGACATTAAAAATCAGGAGAAACCTCCCGAGGGGGGGAAAGACTAAAAAAAAACTGAAGCATGTAGGTATGTACCAGAGGCCCTCCTTCTCCTTAAACTCCTATGGATTATTTCGTTCCCCTGCCCTAGGTATAAGTGCCTCATCGCGCGCGTTCTCAAACTGATGATGAATGACAAATGTCAAATAATGCGATCCAGCCCGAGCTGGGTGCTGTAAGTCTGCAAGTACAGTTTAGGAAGAATTGAAGGAAAAAATGGAAAGGGGGGGTAATAGAACTAAAAGCACAAATATGATACAGTATTAAAAGACCCCTTATTAACGTCTTCGGTAGGGCGCCTTACGTTTCCTCGCCTTCGCATTACTCTTCTTTGTGGGGCTGGGGGCGCTAACAGCAGCGGGTTCCGCTGTCTCGGTGGTGTTGGCTGGCGACGCCGTGATAACATCTCTGTCGATTTCGACCCCAAGCCCTTTGAGCTCATCCTCGTCGATTTCGGTAAGCTCCTCACTAAGGCTACGGGCGGCGTCCCTGCCTTGCCACTGTTCTTGGATTGCAGATGCGCCTTCAGGCTCGAAGTCCTGCAGGTACCACACAACGCCGCCGTCGGTAAGCGGATCAGTAGGTTGGCGCCCCAAACTACCGTTAGACTGGGGTGGAGTTGGAGGTGCAGGCTGCAGTGAAGGCCCTGTACCTACGTAGCCGTTGGTTGCTGGCGGTGTATCTATCACTTGCAGGCTATCGTTCGGCATGGCTTCCTGCTTCGCCTCGACCATTAACACCTCGTTACTAGTCGATTGAACACCTTCCATTTCATCGTTCGCATCGAAGCTAGATGTATTAACTTCAATATTACCGTTGCCACCAACGACCTCACCCTGGACGTCAGCTTCAGCCATAGGAACGTCGCCAGAAGGTCCTCCAGCGGCAGAGTCGTTTTCTTGACCGCCGACAGTAATCTCTGGAGCTGACGAATCAACCATGATAACATCTTGACTTCGTTCAGACTCCACATTGCCTTGTCCAATGGCCTGCTGCCGCAGTTCGAGGCTCACCTCTATCATAGCTTCTAGCTCTTGCCTCATACTGTCGAATGGCCTATGGGCTGCCTCTGACTCGAGACGCAGGGCTGTTTCTAGCTGTGGTTGTACCGACTTAAGGATTCTCTTACCAAGCTTTTTCCTATCCCTGTAATCAGAGAAGTCAGATTTAGACATTGCTGGGGTGGCAGGTCCAGCCTTATGCTGCGACTCAGGCTCGAACTTCGGCTCCGTGTTCACACCAATATTAATGACCTCGCAGAGATCGTGAGTAAATGACAGCGTTGTGGTATAGAATCTATCATCGATCCTATTGGACAACTTGATAAGCCCATCGTGAAACAGGTTTTTGTCAAGCCTAATAAAAATTAAAATATCAGTATACTAGAGAATACCATGGCGATTCACTCAAACAGCGCAACTTACGTGATGGCTTTCTCTACAATTGGTGGAAGCATCTTGTGGATGGGAAAGTAACAGGTGTCAACAAATTCCTGTTCCATTTCGGCAGCGTCGAGCTTGCTCTGTTCCCTTTGGACGACCACCTCCGACAGGGCCTTGAGCTGCTCCAGATCTTTAATAAGGGTGTCAGAAAACTCTATTCTCCTGTTCAACCGAGTTATCCCGGAAGGACCCATAGCTGCAAAGTTCCGCCGAGTAAGCTCCATGGAAGAGAAAGTTTCCATCTGTAATTGCAAACGCTTCAGAAGCGCAGCGCCACGGCGGGCTTCGCGCTTTAATGTCCAGTAGCGGCATGCGTCGCTTACAAACTCCTTACGCTTGAGGAAATTGAAGCGCTGCAGCGATGCTTCGACGATTTCAAATACGGCCTGTGGTATCACAGGAGCACCAGACGGAAGCTTCCATATCGGCTTTCCTGCCTGCCCCTTCTTATCTCCAAGAACAGCGGACAGCTTCGCCCCAGTCATTTGCGACTCGTCGGGCGGATGTTCGGTGATTGCATTCCGGTGTGATGCTGCAATAGACATGGCTTTAGCCTGGCTATTGGCCCAGATTCGGTCACTCATCGTCTTCCTGTAGTATTTTTTGGCTCTCTTAGTTGCGCGAACTACATCATTCTCTTTAGCGTACTCGGAAGGGCAGTGCTTATCGCAAAGCGCCTTCAGATTCGTACTGCCATCAAGGACATCTAAAGCCCCCGAACTATTCTTCATCTTTAAGAATAATCGGGCGCGGCGGGCACAGGTCACATGGAAGGCCTGGTAACATGCTTTGTTCCCACATTGTATGCAGGCACCCATTTGCTGGTTGCAAATGTAACAGGTCAGCTTCCAGCGGCTCTTCGGGACCTTATCCACATCCATGACGGGTTCCATGAAGGTATGGTTGCCCAAGGTCACTTCTGGAATCCACATAGCGCAGAGCAGATGCGCCCACTTAGAGGAATTTGTCTGCTTGAAGGCACCATCAGAGTTGGGGCAGAAGATACAGGTCTGAATGCTGTTAGTACTGGGGCTCGGAGTAGAGCGGGACTAAGGGAAAACTGACCGGGATCCCACGGCCAATAAGCTGGCATTTGCGACATAACCATTGGCCCTCCGGAATAAATGGAACACCATAACACTCCTGGTGGACCGCAAGATCGCAACCGTCACAAAAAACAATTGCATTCGTGTTCTCGCAATCACCGTCGTCGCAAATCGCGCACTTACTATCCTGTTCTTCTCCGGCCTGCGGCTCGCCATTTACGGCCGCAGCGGAGCTAGAACGGGGCCTGTGGGTTTGCGGCGGCTTAGGATTGGGCTTCGGTATTCTTTTCTCTAGAGCGTGCCACTCCTTTTCAATTTTGGTGATGGTGATTTCGAAGACTTCACGGGTAACCGGGTTCCAGCCCTGTGATTTTCTATGCGCGTTGTACGACTCCAGCCACATATCGTCCTGTTCATCCATGTCGTATTCAACGCGACCAAGCACATTAGTTGACTGAAGCGCCGATTCCCCCTCTCCCTTAACAACAGCAGCCTGTTCAGCTTCGTCCTCAATGTTAGCATCGCTTGCTTTAATTAATTTTCTATCGGGGCGAATGAAGTTATCGCTCTCTTGGTATCCGACATTCATCATGGCCTTGTCGACATATCGAGCTTGACCAAATTTCTTGCTTTCAAACAGCAATATGCGGTCGGTTTTACGATAGGAAGGTTGCTTCAGGTCAAGCTTCTCCTTGGTATTCTGACCGTGAATCGGCAGAGGCGTCGGCGTGTTCGGTGCCGCTTGCTGATCCCCACGAGTAGCATAAAGTGAGTCTCCGCGAGGTAATCGACCGCCACGCCTTCTGGAGGGTGTTGCTAAAAGTGTAGCAGCAGGGGTAGGATTATTTGTCGTGGTATTCTGCGTGTTCAGGAGAGATGTAGATGCTCCATTAGGTTCTTTTGATGGGCTGCCTACATCGTGATGATCGGCGCCAGAAACCTTCGCTGGCGTTTCCGGGAATGGCTTCGCAGTTCCGTCGACATCTTCGGCGTGGAATAGCATAAAGGTGGCATCTATATCGAGATTCGGGTGAAATTCCTCCCAGCCGCGTTCTTCTCTGGGTTTGTAGCCTTCACTTTGCACAACAGCGGCGGCAACAGCAGCGGCGGAACTGATTTGCATTTCATCGTCTACTTCGACTCGAGTTGCGGTGCGGGTGCGGGTGCTACGTTCACGTCTGGGGTAGATAGCGGGGGACGCCGCACCGTTTTGCGTACTGTGCCGTGCCCTCGAGCGACTAGTAGTCGCAACGGGTGTATCGACCTGGTCGTTGCCATTATGGTCCGTAAATCTACTGACGCTACCAGAACCACTAGCAGCATATCGTCGACGCTTTGAAGGGGGTTCAGTAGCAGCTACAATGCTGCCGTCCCTAACGCGTCGCACTGTGTTGACAGAGCCCTTAGGACGACCGCGCGGGCGCGAGAGAGTAGACTGCCGTGGCGTTCTCGGGCTAGGTGCCATCGTTTCTAAGTGATCTATGTCGTTTCGTTTCTTGGTATGAATTTAGTGATGATAATAGTACCCTAATCAGCGCGTCGCAAAGAGGAGGCGAGGGGGGCTATGGTGCGGTCGAAGTCGGCAAACAGGCATTTGAGAAGGATCATTCGGATATGTACGGTATTTCACTGTGGTCGTTGAAGGGATCGTGAGGGTATTATTTGGACGAAAAAGGTTAAAAAGAGAGGTCGAGGTTAAAGAGATGTCGTCGAGAAATAGCGAAAAGTAAGTCAGGACGCGCTGTTGAAGTCGGCTGGAGGTGTTGGGTCTAGCCCCTAAGGGGAAAAGTTTAACGCGCCACAGTTACGTAAGCGATAAGCAGCCCCTCTTCACCCCCTGGTACCCCCCGGACGATTTCTTATTCTGCCTGTCTGCAACTCCCCGAATCTATGGGTCAGCCACTTATGCTTTGTAGATCTTCTCCACTGATATCATCATTATTTCGAACGAACCTTGGTGTCATGTGTAGATATTTTGGTCCTAGCTTCAAATTGTGTTTGACAAAGCGAATATCACGAGAGCCTAATTTATTAGTCCAATGCGTCAACAAAGATGTGATTCATGTACTTGAATATGCCTTTTTTCCCTTTTCATAATCCGCTCAATTCGTATAATAAATGTTTAGCAAAAGGGGGTGTTTAGGTGAGTACCTACCTAAAGGCTAAGGTAGCCGCGATGTCAACAAACTACTAGTTTGAGCATTGCGATTGCGGTATCGTCGCTTTCCTAAAGACGGGAACCATCTATAATAAAATCTGCGCACCAATCAGACTTAAACACACATCTAAAAAGGGGTGGGGTCTTTACATATTGGACCAAAAACTCGAGAGAGGTAGCTTCCATTTCTAGATTCAGCCCTACCGGGAAGTCGGACTCGCCAACTTGCAGTTGCCAGTCATGACCATGTGCTAATTTCGTAGCGCCCTTGTCTCGAAACTGGTTCCTGTCGATCTAGGCCTTCTTCCACTCTTCTCCCACTCTCCTCCCACAAAACCCATCAAACCCGATCATCATTTAGGTTAGGTACATACCTAAATGCCGTCATACCGGGTCTGCACGCTACCTACTTCCCGCGATCCTTGTGGTAGCTTGGCTTTAATCATCTCGGCAGTGATGATTCTCTTAGAGAGTTACCTACTATTAAATTCTTCAATTAGCCTATGGAAATGATGCTGGCTCACCCTTATGCTCCCTCAAGCTCCGATCGACACATTGACGTGTGTTGGATGGGTTGGCCTATATGTCGGCCTCGAAGGTATCGGTAGTGCTAGGCTTACGACCCACGCTGCATACTACTTGAGGTCCTATTGCGTAAGGCCGCGATACGCCTTGTCTTCCTTTAGGTATCGATTGTAATTCACCGATACGCTACTCGCATAGCTGCTTACCGCTCATGCAGACTGTCGAATACTTACGCCATGCAGTTGGAGGGAATATTTATTTTGCGCCAATAAATAAATGAGAAAAGGTAAGAACTAAATAGCAAGTAACGATATCTCTTACAGCCATCAAGTATATTGGAAATAAGGGGCTTCTTTCTGCGTTGGCGAGGGCAAACCTTGGCTGCGTCAAAGCGACTCAGGATCCGCAGTAAGTAAGCGCCCCTTTCCACAGGTTATAATTCTATACCGTTGCTCGCAAATACAACATACCTTTTATCCCATTTTAATATATACCATCGTGGTCTTCGGAGTGAAATATTACTTTCTGATGATTCCATGGTGAGGCGGGACTTGTACGGGCGAATTTGTCACCATGATCTTCTCAACGGGATCCTGCGATAATCCCGAGGGTGGAGTCGAAAAAAAAATCAAAAGCTCCCCAACGATTGCCGATCCTTGCACCGAATCAAGTTCTAATCAAGTTCTACATGGAATGTTTATCCTTCTCCCATTCAATAACTACTATAAGGTATGTTAGGTACCTATCATGTCAGGTACTATGCATATTCCTACTGGGCCTGGGAATATGCATGACAATGCCCATTTTCGCGGTTTCACCTTAAGGGACATGAACCTGGCCTAGAAAATTGTTGATAACCATTGCATTATAGCTAGACCTTAAAGAAACATGCTAGGTTGGCTTTCAAAGCGTGAGCATTAGCCTGACGTGATATCATACAAATCCTTCTAGCTTTCACTTGACAAAGGTCATTACATTTTCACAGTGGATAAAGCTATCCAAAGTGCCCTATAAACTTTTACACCGATACCCCCTTTCGTTGACTCTCTACAATACAAGTGATCAAGCGCGGCCCCCACCTCCTTAATAGCCGACGCCTTGATCAATACCAATGCTTAAGGGAGATTACGAACTTGGCCACGAGGAAGCCTTTCTGCTTATCATATCGGCAGATGCCCGATCAACACTTCGCGAACCGCACAGGCTTGGGATAGTAGTACTCCCTCAATACCCGCCGTCCCCACATTCTGAGTACAATCTACGCCTCACGCCTCACGCCTCACGCTAAAGAAGAAGGTATCTAGGTTATGGGATCCTCACGATTGAAGGTCTAACTGAGGCTATTTGGATCGCATCCCAGTTCACGATCCAGCAATCGTTGCACGTTATTAGCGATCATCAGCTTCTCAGCACCGCCCATGACCCAGACTCACGTAGCCTTTCAGCTTATATTACATTATGTACGCGTTGCCGCTTTTTTCAAAGAAGAACAAAGTACTAAGTACCTAGGTAGCTATGCGTTCAGAGAAATAAATAATTGGGTAGGTAGGTTAGGTAGGCACTTACTCTAGGAGTTTCCGGTTCTGTTCTGTCACAGTGTGGTACAGTATAAGTTCTACGATAGTCTAATCACATCTACATTTTTCCGATATGATGTGGAGGTACCTTACCTAAGTACTCCATGCTGTTTGATACGGGAATTCCTTGAAGGAGCTACCTATTCGGAATCATATTCTCGTCTCGTAGGTCGTGGGCTCAAGTGTAGAAGAGGAAGGTCTAAAATTCATCCAAGATCTCATAATCAAGAAGCCGCCGGGCTTCTCAGAGCATAAGAAAGCCGCATTGAGGCCTTGTTAATTATAATTGCAGGGGCTGGAATAAGTACTTCTTCATATACTTAACTCTTCATCCTTTAGGGAGAAATATATTTAGGTAGTTCCCTTGTACACTAGAAGATGGTACCAACTAAGCTAATCCTAACAGTACAAACCTCCGACCATCAAGACTTTAATTCTTCATAATGATGGGATATTGCCACATTGCTGTTGTCATTTGTCTCCTTTTATCGTTCCTCCTATGCTTCTTTGGAGTTGTGACCATCCATAGCCACCTCCTGAGACCCTCTACACTGCAAAAGTTAAGCCTCTCGCTATTGCATGAAACAATTCGTGATATAGATCTACGAAGCCAGCCAATTTTATGATGATTGCCACATGATTTTGTTATTGGTAGTGAATAGATGCGATAAGTGGTCACCTACGACTTCGGCGGATGTCTAGTTCGCTTCCTAGGCTGCTTGCAGCTATCAGCCCCCGCGAGTCTAGAAATGCAAGGTATGTTTTTCGTATAAAAGACTCACCCTGCTTCTCGGAATCTATGGAATTATCGTGGATATAAAAAATTGCTACTGATCACCCTAGGCACGCAGGTATGTATAATGCTCTCGAAGTGACAGACAGGAAGATACCCGCCCTTCCACACTCCACACCCAAAGCAAAGCAGTGGTACGAGAACCTGTTAGTTATTTTCTTTAAGAATTAATACTACATAATTGGGAGACCCTTTAAAGACGAATATGATACGATAAGTACGAAACATTTGAATCTCAACTACCTACCTACCTACCGAGTCAAGTTTCGCCTCCCTAACCTAGGACGCATGTGTCTACTGTCTCTTGACCTGCTGTATACAAAGCATCCGACTATCTTAGGGTACGCTAAAGAATAAGAATCTCTCAACAGCACCTCTTGCTTCTATCTGGTATGCGAATCCCTTATTCATAGGTACCCGTATATGTAAAGAGGCGCTACTCTTACACCTACCGCCTGAGAATCTACGCTTGCCAGGATGTCGGTATATTGGCCTATCCACTTGCATGATTTATCTCACCCTTTCCTACATCATCATTATCATGAAAACTAAAAGAAAGCCCCTGCTCTCAACACAGCGAAAACAGAAAATGGGATAAGGCAATATAATAATCGAAATCATATACTTGTGGAACAAACTGCATTCTATGCCACTAGCGAGACTACCATCTACGATACTTCATAGACCCTTATCCTCCCAGCCAACTTACCTACGTCAACAGTTTGCTCATCATCTAATAATATAAGAAAGGCAACCTTACAGTTCGAATAAGAGGTAGCATATGACTCGAGTATCCAGATTGGTATATCAATACACTGTTGCGATAGGGGTATTAGCTGGATCTCCTTACCGTCGGCTGAAGGGATAATCTAATTCAGTCAAACGAGTGTACATATCAACTTGAAACACCAGGCCGGAATCGCTTCTAAACGTTAAACGTATAAAGACACGACCATTGCATACTTCCTATATAGAACTATCGTAGTTTTTTTTTTCTTTTGGTAAGCCTCATCACTCATGCCGTAAAACCCCAATCTCAAGGCACCACGCGTTTCATATACGATGCGTGGTCCATCAACTGACGATGTATTGGCGCTTGGATGAAGAGGTACACGACAGTCACGGGACAAGGGACACGCCAATATTTCTTTAAAGAACGCAACTGGAAATGTATTTTCCATTAACCACCCCCTCCGCCAGGGAAGCTTTCCATCTTTCTAGCAATGACCGCCGTTGCAGCCCTGAACCGCCCCCCTCCCCCCCTAATTTTCAAATGCAGACGCAGTTCTCATGCTCACAAAATTCCAGGGGAAGAAAAGAGCCAGGAAGCGTAAAACCATCAAAAAAAACGGACCACCTATGATTTGGTCTTGGTACGACCGCAAACGCCTATCGCAAACTGGGATATAAACGGGGAACCAACCGATAACACAACCGCATGCTCTCTGACCCGTTCCAACCTGGGGTTTTGGTCTAAAAATCTCGATATGAGAAACTCCCTCCGCAAGTGAGCTTTCGACCCTCTTCCTGTGTACCAACTAGACTCGTCAGACGTGGCTCACCATATCCCCCCCTATCGATTCGTACCAAAAACAGACAACACCTGGTCTGCAGTGATAGTGCAGACCTAAAAATGCAAAACACTATGATCTCTTTCCATTGAACGCCGGAACGCTATGCCCCATAAAACATTAGACGTAACTAGAATAACACAATGCAATCGGGTGATGGTATATCGAAAACCATGACAACGTGATGGGGTATGTGGTTATGTTATAAAGAGTGCCAATTCAAGGCGGAGGGAAGAGTGAAACGTAAGTATGAGGATGAAGAATCCGTTCAGACTAGACTACCGCCAGTCGTGATTGCTTGCGCGCTAGAGGTACGAGCAGAGCCAGGTCGTATTGTTGACGCGGAGCTAAATTCATCAGCTGCGAATGCTGGTCGGGACGGTTCCCAGCTTTCCTCGTTAAGGACGCTCAGATAACCGTTGCCAACCTTGTCTCTCAACGCCTCAATCTTTTGCCGGTAGATTTCGCCACTGGCATTCCAATCTTGAGCATCCTTCCATAATTCTGAAGTATCTTTATTCAGGAATGATACTGGTCGTTCGAAGACGGTGGTAGTATTAATGCGTGGTACCTCTGGCAGGTTCTTAGTGACAGGTGGTCTTGTTTCCGTGTCAACCTTTACTTGTAGGTCTTGTGTCTCAGGAGGATGGGAGACACGGTAATTACTTTCAGAATCCATTGTTGTGCCGAGCGAATCATGAAGGGTCGGAATGGGTTCGTCAACGCTTGTTCGCTGCTGCGTGGTATCACCAACACGATCGTTCGTAGCGAGATCCACAATCCTACGTTTTGGGGTACGCCGGCGTCTGGTAGAGCTCGTGTTGACTTCACTAGCTACAGCTTTGGGGCTAGGACGGGGGGGTCGTTCCTTTCGCAAGACATTGGGCTCTTTCGGTGCTTCGTGGATAATAGCTGGCTTGCTCACGTCCACAGTAGGTATTTCCGGGACAGGGGGCTTCACTACAGGGACGGCAGCAGGTACAGCAGCGCGTTCCACGAGATACCTCCTCTCCGAAAGACTTGGGCCTGAACCGTCGATGACTATATCCTCTGTAAATCCTGGAGTGTTGCGGAAAAGGTTGAAAATTGTGACCCGGTAGTCGCGATGGGTGCGTACGAAAGGATTGCCCTCAACGTAGATTTCGCGAATGTCGGGCATTCCAGTTAAACGAGCCAATTCCGCAGGGTCAGTCAAGCGATTGTCTCTAAGGTCTAATCTTTCCAAAGGGTATAATTTCTCGATCCCTGCAATCGACTGAAGGCGATTTGAACGAAGGTTCAAGGCACTGATAGCTGGCAGGGGATTGCGGAGCAAAGAATGCAAAGAATCTATCATGCAGTGCGAGAGGTTTAGAGCACGTAGACCGGAAAGAGTTGCTAGGCTATCGGGGATCTGCGTAAATAGATTTGTTGACAAGTCCAAGGAGTTCAGCGTATTCGCCAATGGAGCAAGACTGCTTGCCGGAATTGCTGTGAGGGAGTTGTCTGCCAAACTTAGATGCTTCAAGAGTCGCCACTTGGAGGCGGGGAGGATACCCATGGCCAATAAGTTAGAAGCACTATTTCTCGGATTATGCCATGAATCGGATAGGCTTGAATGTGAGCTGCCAGACCCGGACCGCCTGACTTTTTGAGAGCCCCTTGGATTTGTCGTGTGATGACGAGAAGTGGCAGGCCGATTAGGAGAATGACTTCTTGGCCGTGCCGACTTATTGGATTTTGGCTCATCAGTTTCAATTCTTGGGACTGAAGGACGGCGAGAGTCGTGAGGTGATATACTGTCAGCTGAGTCTGTGCTTGCCGATCCCACATGGATATCTGCTACTGAATATCGACGCTCTGGGATTTCTGGTGCCATGGTGGACCTATGAGAATCTGAATATGAAATTGTAGGACTGCGCCTCGGGCTCGAAACATGGGCATATGCACCAGTAGGGGATGATTGCGCTTTTGAGGACCGACGTCGCCTCTTATCCATATCATCCAATACAATGTCAATGAGTATGTCAGCTGGATCCTCAATGTTGGCACGCCTGAGAGTGAGAGATCGGATCTGGTCTGCCATGCGGTCCCAGCCGAAGAATTGTCGATAATCTACGCCATTAACTTCCAGTGATTGCAGATTCTTGAATACGTAGAGCGGGACTGCCGAGTCGAAGGGGAACTCCTCGTATCCTTTGATCAACTTCGTTTGCCAGTCGGGTGCCAGTCGAAGACATGGTATCTTGGTAAATGCCGAGTAGAGATATTTCATATCTGCTTGTAAGGCAGCTTTCTGCCTTTCCATTCGAGCAGCCGATATACTTGACCCAATCCCAATACTATTCCATATGGATGACATCCCGGTCATGACGCTTCGAATGCTCGATACTGAGCGGATTGATACCACATCGGAACCGCGGCTCTTGGTACGTTGGGAGGAGCTCAAGAAGGATACGTAGTTGGCAGAGGCCGAGGTGTCATGCAAATTTTCCAGACGCACTTTCATGGGTCCAACATTTATTCCTAGCTCTTCGTAGCGAGATAGTAAGTAGAACAGGTGATGGGGTGTAAGGCTCAGTCTTGTCGATTTGACATTATTAGATGTTAAACTCAACGAGCCGAATGACAATGCCGTTGCAAGGGGGCTCGATGGTGAGGCGGATGTTGAGGGACGTTCGGGCAAAGCCGGCGACTTCGGGGTCTGAATAGAGGAGACACTTTGACTGGTGCCATGCCGGGCAGGTTGCCTTCGAAATTGCAGGGCGTTGGCTAGACCCTTCTCGTGTGTGCGCACATAAGCGGCCAAGCGCTTCTAAAAGTTAGTTCCGGTCTGATATATAAACGTAATAAGCTATCATACCTTGATATACAGCTCCCCGTCTTCTGAATCCATATTTGCTTATCGTCTTAAAGGCATGGGGAATGGTTAACGAAAAAGGGTGCGGTATTGTTTGGCCTCCTGTATATCTCGGAAAACTGCTCGAGCTCCCCGGATAATTATAGGCACCCCAGTTCCACTAATTGGGAGAGACTTTGTCTGGTGCCTGCTTGATCCCAGGGTATTCCTGAACTGTAGAAAGCGGAGTGTTAGTGTTGGTAACTGAATCTTGATTTAAACCACCGACGTTGAAACACATTATCTACATTGCTTGCAAAACAAGTGACTAGCCGGCCATGAAACAGGTGATGTAAAGGGACTAGTAGTGCCCATGACTCGAGGAAAGTCGAAATCGTCGACTCGTTGTCTTGGATCTAAACACCCACGTGGAGAAGAGGAGATAACAACCAAGTCGTTTCCATAATGCAAAGAGGCGAAGAGTCGCGCATTTGTTCACGAATCATAACACAACACAGGAAAATAGATATCAGAGATCAAGAAAAAAACTAGATGACTCGGACCAGAAAGAGAGGTGCGTCACAACCCAGGCAAGCACACAAAGAAGTAAAGTCTTGACGGGTTGATTCTAGGATTTGGGGAGAAATCTGGATCTGAGGAATAGACGTGAGAGTGTTTATGGGTGACGATAGACATACCTCTTGGCTGTATAAGAAAAGTTGCCCCTGGAGACAATATGAGGTTCGTTTCAGGAATGTGTGCCACGAGCAACTATTATTATAAAATAGGGAGGAGGATCTAAGCCCAGAGAGAGAGCAAGTCGGTTTAGATAAAAGAGGAAAAAGGTAAAAAAAAGAGAGTAGGATTATGCAAATGTCGAATGCAAATGTTGAAAGCAACGACGTGATATCTCCTACCCTCAACTTTTTTCAGCACTGCACCCTAAGACGAAAAGGGTGTCGAACGGTGTCGAAGGTAGTGCTAAGAGGACGGGGAGGAGGTTGCGCGGCGGTTGGGGAGGTGGAAAGAGATATAACAAAATAATAAAATTGGTCAATGGACTGGCCGACTTCCTGGGTTACAGCATTCACTAGCACCTGGGCTGCTGGGCAGCACCCTGGACAAGTACTAGCAGTTCACTAGAGCCCACAAAACCCACAAAACCCACATGCAAAATGCCAAGCCCACATAAAATTGGTGTGGTGGGTAGCGACTGCTGGGGTGTTCTGGGTCTAGTGTCAGTTGTGGATAAATCGGTGTCCACCTGGACAAGCGAATTGGGGCAAAATTACGTGCCTCGTACCGGTACGCGACTTGCACCACTTTGCACCCACCGTGGGATTTTTAGGGATCTTTAGTGCTTGTTTCCTAAAATCTGGTAGTGGCCTAACACTGACTTACAGCGGCCTTTTTGAGGGCCTTGAGCAACATTACACCGGTCTGCTGGGCCTAACACCCCGCCATCGTCCCCTCAGAGCTGCCTACAAGCTTTTAGAACCAAAGTTCCGTAACTTGTCCTGGTGGGCAAGGCTCAGGCAAATTTGGCGCTGGAGCGTCAGATGGGCATGGGCTCGTTAGAAGGACCCATACCCATTTGACCATTCGATAGGTCACACTTGATCTGATCAGCCATTAACTGCAACCAATAACGAGGTTTTCGTCTTGCCTGTTTGACAGCTGCATCACTTTTACGGGCACAATTCTGCATCAGGTTTATAAAAGATGATATGTGAAGTTTCCGTACATACGGACATACCAGCTTATACCAACCAGCCTGCACCATAACAAAACAAAGCTTAGAGGGAATTATCCCTTTGGTTTTTATTTTGTTCTTATTCCTTTTCTCCTAATTATCCAAGTTTAGCTCGGGAACATAATAAAGTGCCAATGTATCTTCATCTCCCCTTAGGTGTCGCAGTCTAACCACCTAGGGAATGTCCGTTTACAAAGCTGTCCTAGCTGGGATATCGATCAGCGCGGCGAGACAAATCATGCATGGTCTATTTTGCTCCTACATAACATAGTACCTAACATCAATCAATCATTTCTCAAGGAGCTCTAACTTTGGGAAGAGACTCGCATTTGATCCGAGCAAATGGTATTGGGTCGGACAATTTATGTCAAATAATTTAAAACCACGATATCACGGTCGAAACGAGATTGGGAGAAACTTGCAGAAGAATTTGTCTAAACTTTTTTTTCGGTGCCCAGGAATTTTTTTTTTCTACTTGCCTGGCTTGCCTAGCAACCAAAGGCCAAAGCGTAGCAACGAACCAACCAGGATGTGCCCCCCATGCAAAGAACATGCTCGAGACTCTAGTCCAGGATGCGGATGCTAATTACTATGGACTGGGTAGGTATGATCACGACCCATGTCAATATCAACGGGGGACTTTTAATATGGATTTATAACCCCCCTCAACGGCATCAACTTACAACCCGTAACTTACAACTTGAAATACACATCACATTTTCCCCTCGAAAAAAAAAAACACCTGATGATGCATCCACAATGCAGGAATATAACATTCGAGCTCATGTAGCTACCCGAGCCTACCATTAAGCTTGAAGGTTAAACGTCTAATGCAAGATTTGATCGTAAGTCTGTGCTTTTTTATCGGACAGTTTCTGCTGTCGACATTCCAGATATCTCTTCATGTTTCAACTTGGCTCCTATGCGCGGAACACACTGCATATAATGGCTAAAAAAAGGGTCTCACATATACTCCCTTATTACGTCGCACAGCCGCTCACCCCCTTTCTTTCTTTTTTTTTTCTTATATCTTACCATGTACTTTGAATTTTACATAATTTCCATATAACGCCACGCATATGCGTTGAACCTATTATATCAAGGATATAATTTTTCCTTATTTCTCAGCTATTGTTTACCTGCATTGTGTTTACAAGTTTCTCTAATGGGTCACCTTCTCGTACGCCGGATATTACACTATGCTATATTATCAGGGCTATCCTTCGTAGGTACCTAAGTTGATAGTCAGTTTTAAAAGCGCCGCGCTGCCAGCCCCCCCCCCCAAGCGCCATAGCGCCATCTCCCAGGATCATTTTATTAGGTAGGCGAGCTTAGACAAGTTTAATAGCTTACCTAATGCACCAAATACACTAAAATCCCAATTGAATTTTGCCCACTTTGAGGTCTATCAGGGTCCTTTCATGGGTCCCCCCGGTCTATTCCTTCATCTCGCATCCTTTCCTATCTCTGATCGTCATAATTTGTCCCACCCTTGTCCCTCTCTTCACGCTATTATTCATGGTACTGTACAAAGGGCGCTGAGGCCATCGTCTGTGCACTTTTACCCCGAATAAACTTATCAGGTAACCTACTAACCTACCTTATCCTATCTCACCTACCCATCTCGTATGATCCAAAGCCCACTAACTTCAATCCCATGATCTATCAAAACGAACGGGTCTGAATAGCCTCAGTCCGGTCATTTATATAGCCATTTTACGGTACAAGCTATTATGACAATTCAAACGCCGGATCTTTTTCATTTCATGATCTTGCTAAGTACCTAGGTAGGGTTGAGACGACTTGTTCGCAGTTTGGTTCTGATCAACTCATCTCTTAGCTAGTAATGTGCTGATCTTAGCTGTTGCTCCATATATTGTATCCATTCAGTTGCTCGCCCGCTTACTCACTTATTCATCTTCTAGTTAGTCCTAATCTTTCGGAAGGTTTCGTTTCCTTTGGCAGATTAAGGCGACCTCTTTCGCCTACAGATTTCCATTACGGTACGCCCTACCACTGATTGGTTGTTAACTAAGCCTTACATTTTTCTACGCCCAATACTAGTGGATGTTGGCTTTTATGGTATCCATCATACGTTAAATACGGCAAGGCTAGGTAGGTATCTAGGTCCCAAGGACCCCTCCTGGCAACTTCTAGTTCTACCCGAACGTGGAGAGGAATTATGTCATAGACAGCACACAATAATAACTGCGACGATATAGATCCGAGTCGGTCAGTTAACATCGTGAGCTGCTTATAGGTTTATCCGGTAGGTATAATGTCACATTGCTTTCGAAACGACCCCACGACGTGGTTATGACCCGCCAGCTCAATCTTTCTTTTGCTGTCTATGCTATGTGCGAATATGATCACCACAAACGTGTGGCTATTTTCTTGCATATGTTTCAGATAACACCAGGGCTCAATTATGGCGTGCTACGTACACACTGTTTCTAGCATAGCTGGTTGAAGGCTAGCACTGATGTAGGGATATGGCTAGGGTGAAGTTGACGAGAGGGGTAAACCTGGAGGAGAAACGAGATCGCCTATACGAAAGATGGATACTAGAACGTCTATCAAACTATTCCCTCGTGGCAATGATGTCCAACCTGACCCAACACCTGAACCCCCAAAGTATACCACAGCATGTTTGCTAATGACCTGACGTGCCGCTCCGCCGTTAGCAGTGTGACATAGGTAGATTGACTAAGTCATTATGGAACATGTCATGAAAGTCTACTGATGGAACTTATGGGACTTACGCTCGGCATCGAATATGATGTGCATCTATATTCCCCATTAAGACCTTAAAGACTCTAAACTATATAGAACCCTGTGATCGGCACTACTTTACTATACTATCCATGTTGGTATGCGCTACCAGACTCGACATGATGTACTGTACTTCCACGCCTCCCACATGTTTCGGTGCCTATCCGTCTAACATACTATGATAAGTACCCTTCAAGTTCGGCAATATTCAGTCAAAAAAGTTAACGACGATCGTACAATAACTAGCACTTGTCACACCGCTTCGCAACATCGCTTGCCCATAATTTTTTCTCCTCTCGAGATTGACTACAAAGTTTATCTCCTCTTCTTAGTATCCTTCTTAGTAGTCTCACACCGCCCTGAACCGTGGTGTCGGCGCCGTATCTAGCGTGTTGAGATGATATAATTGCTGACTATTTCCATACTCTTAAAACAACGCTACTATAAAACTTGCAAGTGAATAATAGTTTCGGCATGACTGACTAGCTCACGCTTTCAAACCTGCAGCCTCACATTTCTACGACTTTCGTCATCACGAGAATCAGTCACGTTTTGTTCCTATAAACTCCGCTAGTTTGACAGGAATAGTAAAGCTTCAAAAAAAAGGCCAGGTTGTCTCTATCCTGTCTGCTTTCACTGGATTGGGTGCGCTGCAGGAACGCTGGGACGTCGAATTTGAAATGGACGAAAAGAAAGTGCGAGAAAGCGGTGGCCGACCCCGATCTCTCTACCTATCACAGACAAGATACGGCGACCTTAAAGATCAATGTGGCTTGCAAGATGGTGCCGGCCAAGACTAGACGACGATGATTTACTATTGGCCAGCACGGTTCCCTAGCAAGACCTCTCCGTTCCGGAACGCCCAAGATGGTAACAATTCTTAACCCAGACTGTCGTGTTACCCATCCTTATTATAACTGCGCCTGCAAGTTTCGAAGATTATCCTCCGCATATAAAGATGATTTTTTTTCTCTCTGACTATTGATAGTGATATGTAGCAGAAAGGGGGGAGGATGAGTCTAGACAGCTTCAGAAGCAACCTCATTAGGTTTGTGCCGACATAATGCGGCCTAATTGCATGGCATCAAGCGTGTGGCCGTAGCATCTTCATTAGCTGCAAGCGAGCTATCACAACGAAGCATGACGTCTTAAGAGCCGACAGTAGCATTGAAAGCAACGAGGTAGTCACAGGTTCCATGTTCTAGAAATGAGCATTCGGGATAGCTGTCTGTAATAGGTTAGGTAGGGACAATTAATGCAGGGCCGTATGGTAATGGGGAGACATATTCGATCGATGATGTCTATCATCATGCATTGAGAAATGGATTCGAGTTTCTTTACGGTTTAAGATTTTGGGAATTGGGGAATTGGAGAATTGCGAATTTCTTATCTATTATCTATTATCTAGGCGCTATCGGCGGTTGTGCAACAATTGTTTTCTGTTAAACAAGCACGGACCAGGTAACATGGGATCAAGTCTGGCACTTAAAGACATTTAAGGCATTTAAGGTATCGAGGCCCGCTAGTGACCTGCACCCTTACGTCGTCAAACCATTAAACCACGCTAAGAAAGCACTGGCCAAGCACCAAAATAGAAATCTAAGAAAACTTAGAGATCACCGGAAAGAGTGTCGATCTTTTCTCAAATACCCCTCCCCTTCCATACGCAAAATACCTTTTCCAATTCCAAGGCTTCCCCTCCCCCACCTTGCGCCCACTCTGCCACCTCTTACCTATGAAGCACAAATACATAGTAGTACGAGAAAGAGGGAATAAGGCAATGTAGTAAAGAAAAAAGAATCATCTGATCAGTAGCAAGAGACACCGATCCAATTCATCTAACCCCCAACCCATACCCGATACTAGATTGGGACTATGACGGCCAAACGGATGATCTGCCATTAGGAATTTGTCCGTGGATATGTCCAATATGTCCAATCAACTAACTCAACCGGGGGTTTTTTAACTGGTTAGCATTGGCTTGTCTTGCCTTGCCTCGCGGGCTGGCGCTTCGAACATTCCAAAAGATTGTCGTATCTCTTTGGCTTCGCACAACCATACGCCAATTCGACGCTCACCGCCTCGCCGTCCCTCGGTCGAGAACAAAACTTTTTTGCACAGCTCACAACCTTGCATAATCCATGTCCTGTACGTGCCATTTACTACATTCAGCCACCCCTTAGGCGCCCTCCTTCTGCAGCACGACGGGATCAATATGCCACAAAATCGACAAGACATATTGATGCACACCTGTGTGTCCTCCGTCTCTTTCGTCTCCATTCCCTCCTTTGCCGTGTCGCTGCAGATATATATCTTGCGGTGAGAGGAGATGTCGTTAATGCTTTAAATTACCTACACATTGATGGTTGGTAAGCTGCGCGTCGCATTGCAGAGAAGGGTCGCTTCGTAGAATATCACCATGCCTTCCCGTATCCCTGTCATAGCGATAGGCGATTATTCGCTCCAATCCCTTCATACATATCGGCTAATGAGGCAAGCCGCAAAAGTCACAGCAAGTGAGGGGCGACAAGGGGGGGGGGGGTTCGAACTCGGATCTCAAAGTCGATCGCGTGGGGAATCGTTTGACCACTCATCAACCGACACTGCATGCACGGCTGACCGCGGTCATGGGTTTGTACGCGCAGCCTCGACTAAAACTTCATCTTCAAAACCAACCGTGATACAGAAGATATGTGGTGTTATGGAAACATACAACTCCGTGGTCTGTTATCCGTTATACAACATGATGATTGCCACCAAGTACGACAATTTTCAACGGTTTTGGTAGACGCTAAAGATTCGAGGCAATTTCTTCGCGGTTGATTGTCTCTCTTATCATGTCTTTTTTTTTCTTTTTCTCTAGTTCGCGCCATTCCCTTGGGTCCTGAGATAAGCCTTCATGTGGTATGTATGGTCCAGCTAGACCCAAGTTAAGATATCAAGTAAGTTAAAGTACGCAACATCGAGTCTTACATTAGGTTAGACACCTAAGGTACCGGAGCCGATTAAGTGTCTTGTCAAGTTAAGTGGCTTTCCTATTACTCCGAAGACAATGCTTGAAACATTTAGATCTGACACAAGTTAATTGCTGCGGACCGAAGCGTGGCGTGTCAACGGCCCTTGTCGGACTGTTGGGCAATTCGCACGAAGCCGCTGTCAGCAAGCGGCCGCGCAAGGTTCCTGTACTACGACCCCTTAAACTCTTCGCATGAGCATCTTTTTTCGCTGTAAGTTGCCGCCCGCTAAGGAACAAGACCATTATGATAGGACCGGCCAACGGCGAAGTATGACTTGTCAATTCACCAAGACAACTCGACGAATTTCATATGGGAATCTCGGCTCTTGGTGACGCTCGTATAGCTGTCTGCAGGGATAAGCGCACGATTCTTGCGCCTGATCTCGGTGCAATTATGGTTGAACAAGTATCATGGAAGCCATCGGCGATCGCCTTGTCGAAGAACGCTTTGGGATCCAAGTGGTACAAATTTGACTAGACTAATCCGTATTGAAGAAATCGTCGACATTTTAGGTATTACAAGCGTTTATGCCCTAGGTATATACAGAAACGTCCAAATGGCAAATGTCGTGGACATGGTGTCCCACTTCAAGTACCAGCAGTTCTCAAGCGACAAGAGCCCCCTGGTACCTATACTCTGTGTCAATGGTGTATACACGTGCTGTTCAAGGTTGCTTTCAGCTCGACATCAGGATCCCAATTGTCGGGTAGCTGGTGTTTACTGGAGTTGGAGTAGCCGCCCAAGTGGAGTTTCGACTTTTCCGTGATAGCGGTTGCGCATGAGGCCACGCAGATATGTGCGTGCTTTGTACGACTGGCGAAACACGACCGTTATCTGATAACGACGGACCCTGTTTGCCGTTACTGCCGGGCGACGAGTCAGCTGGGCGATCATTCCCCCCTTGTACTACGGCGGGCGGGCTGGGCACATATGCCAAGCTGCCGTGAAGCGGTTCCAGGACGGGATGCGTCCGCCACACCCCGAACTAGCTAACGGAAACGGCCGTGCGTGCAACAGTTCGGTTACCCGTCGGGCCAGAATGGTGATCTAGTACGGATCCAGCTCCGGCCGAGGCTGTGCTATGCTTGGCCAGAGGTAGTAAATCTGCTGTTGCGGCCTACTCTTTAACCTACTCTCCGTTCGGTCTCCCTAAGCCGTTGATACCCTCGAAGCAGACTGCTCGCAATCACGATTTTTAGATGATATTACATGATCGATAAATTATTTATATAGAAACCAAGCTTGGCCTAATATTATTCCATCTATCAGCAAAGTTTCAACCCGGGAAGCTTACTCAGGTCCATCTCGGCGTGTTTTTTCCGCTCGCGGGGATTTTGTTACTATCTAATCTGATCAGTTGCTATCGAAATATCAGTTTGGATAGTGCTGATGCTGTAAATCATCGCCAGATCTCTTCCATTGGGGGACTCAAAGGGTGCTGATAGTCCTGTTTTCCCTTTTCTCCAGTACCTGCATACGGTGGGCTCATTGCCTGTGTAGGTGAAGCTTCAGGGGCATGTGTTCTAGCTATAAAGTACCTCGGTAGGTATCTAGCTGGTGATCCTATCGATTGTGTAAATGAATAAGGACTTCATGTCAAACTTATTAAATATCGAAGCAGATTCTGGTGACGGGACTGGTACGTAATAATAAACTCTTCTCGTTGAGCGTTCATTAATGAACCTTAGAATATTCCTGTAACGCACCTGAACCGTATCTAATTCTCCCATACTAGTGGAATCTTTAAACTACCTACCTACCTAAGGTACTTTAGATAGTTTTCAGTTGTTATTCTGGCTCATACTCGGCCATACACTCACTCTCCAAGTATCGTACCGAGAACTTCCAGCCTCCGAACACGCAGCTTGCCCAGCGGGGCAACCAGGCAAAAACCGTTGGCAAAGACGGCTTATATCCTCGTGTGGCGTGCTCTAACGCATAAGCCAACAGTTTTTTTTCTTTTCTTTTCTTTTTCTGTTTCTTTTTTCTCCCCTTCTGGACAAACGCCCAGCTCTACGAGTTTGAAACAATGTCTCGGGAGTGGCGTGTCTCCCTCGTAGCGTTAGGGCCGACCCCCTCGGGTCTTGAGACACTGTCTATCGAGGAAATTTCTCCGGGTTTGACATGCCTTTCTGAGACAAAAGAGGCTCGCTCGCTTTCACGTAGCGATTGCCTACGTGGAAGCAGGATCGGTGGGTTTGAGGGGGATCGTAAATAATTTATTTATTTTTGTACGTTGGTGAGCCGTCTTGTGGCTGTATATACAGATCTGTGTCAGGCTTCTTTTGTCTCGGTAGACGAAGTCAGCTTGCTTGATCGACCTCCTTTGATATCTATGTACACAGTGGTGAAGATGTACGCAGCTGGGTTACCTGAAGAGGTATATGTTTACTAAAACCTCGATGCCGACATCGTATTCATTAGGTAGTCCCTTTCTACCTAACCGAGATGAGGCTCCCATCATTTACAACACGCTCCGGCTGGTACTAGCACGCACAGCCGCGCCATCCTAATTGTACAATGTTGCATCTTACAACTATACGACGCGCTACATCTTGCTACTCCCGTGGAAGGATACCTTAGGTACCTAAGGTAGGTACCTAGGTAAAGTAGTGTTAAGATTTACTTCTCAATCTTCACGATCCTATCCAGAGCCCGTCCCTCCTCCAGCACGTAGGCCGACGTGATGTCGAGCTTATACTTAGTTCCATTGACGTATATCGGCGCGAACCCTTCGCCCGTCAGGCCGCGGCGGAAGTTCCTGAAGAGCAGCCCGAAGGCCTGCTTGGCGTGCCGGAACGGCGCCGTCATCAGGTGGTTCATCTCGTACTCGCGCTCCTGCTTGCGCCGCGCCTCCTCCTGCTTCTTCAGCTGCATCTTCTCGTATTCGGACAGCGGCGCCTTGCGGTTGTACAGCGGCGCCTTCATGACCACGTCGCTCGGGTCGACCTGTATGCGCCGCAGCGGCACCCCCGGGAAGGGCACCGAGCGCCGCGCTTCGATCTGGAGCCGCACCGGTAGGTTTGCCCGCGCTGCTGCTTTCGCTGCGGCGGAGTCGGACGTCTTGACCGACTTGGCCGGTAGCACCTTGATAGAGCGTATCATGCCCGCGGGCATCAGGGCGAATCTGGTCCCGGCGGCGGCTAGGAGTATGCCCATGGTGCCGAACCCGACGCTAACGATCCAATGGAGCCCTTCCGGCTGGTTATAGACGTTTAGGATGATGTTGATAGCAGCGCATCCCACGAAGAACGCGCCGGCGGTGTAACTCGAGAACAGAAAGACTCTATGGGGCGCTGCTTCGTACAAGGTCGTTGGCGACGGCTTGTCTGCGAGTTTCTGCGCAAAGCTTAGGAGCGGAGTTTGTACGGTCTTTGCCGGAGACGGGGGAGAGGGCTTTATAGGTGTTGTGGGATTTGGCTTCGCGAATGCAGATCTAATGCCTGTCGTCGTGAATGATCGACCGCATGGTTGAGCGGAACTTGGCCGAAGCCATTGCGGGACCTTAGCGGTTCGGAGAGATGATGGCCTTAGGGAGCTGTGGAGCGTAAATATAGGGCGGGCACACCCCCGGGAAGCGGATATAGGTATCGGCATCTGGTGTATTATAAATTGACTAATTCAATTGACATAATTGCCGAAGGTAACTGGTAAGTAAAGAGCGACAATATACCTGTAGTGGTTGTATATAGTAAGTTTCTACTTCAAGGTGGGATAGTGGGATGGTGGGATGGTATAGATTTGATAGAGCTTCAGCGGAGCTAAATTTGATAATTATTTCTTATCGATAATCCGTACCTGTCCTACTATATCCCAAACCCCTGTTCTTAAGGCTTAATCGCACGTACTATGTACCTATGTCGTATGTACTATGTATTGTACATCTTATTAGTGGATCCTTTCTGATAAACCTCAACCTCGGGAGCCCTACAGGGATCCGTCCAAGTTCCGCTGAGGGATAGGAAACGGTAAAACTTTATAGCGTTGCCTTTTTCAATTCCGATAATTATTCGGTTGAGGCCGGAGAATCCCCAACAAGCTCAACCCGTAACATTTGTTCGTCAAGCTCCGAATCGGGATTCCGTTTTAACGAAAAGAGAAGGGGAAAAAAGCTCAATTGAGCTTCACTTTTTCTTTCCTTTTTTTTTTTCTTTTTCTTTCTTTCTTTCTAAGAAGCTAATAATGGCATCTTTCGCAACAGCCACCCGCCTAACAACACGGCTTATAAGCCGACGGGTTGCCAAAGATGCCGCAAGTCGAGGTATTTTAATCTTTTTATTTAGAACTATCTTGCATGTATAAATTAACAAATTTCGCATAGGTTTTCGTACCTCCGCTGCGTCGCTTGCGGCGCAGAACTTCACCATGCCGGCTCTATCCCCCACTATGACGGAAGGCAATATCGCCAACTGGAAGATCAAGGAGGGCGAATCATTTTCTGCCGGTGACGTCCTGCTCGAGATCGAAACGGACAAGGCGACCATGGATGTCGAAGCGCAAGAGGACGGGATACTCGTAAAAATTACTCAGGGAGATGGAAGCAAGAGCGTACAGGTCGGCACTCGAATTGGTGTCCTGGCAGAGGCAGGCGACGACATCAACTCACTGGAGATTCCCGCCGACGAACAACCTGCGCAGAAGGAAGCCAAGAAGGAGGAACCCGAGCGCAAGCAGGAGTCGCAGAGTGCCGCACCAGAGAAGAAGACTAGCGAACCGAAGAAGACTGGAGAGAAAGCACCGCCCCAGAAATACCCTCTATACCCATCAGTCGAGCATTTGATAAAGGTGCACAAGCTGGATGAATCCGCCGTAGGCGAAATAACGCCCACTGGTCCCGCTGGACGCTTGCTCAAGGGTGACGTCCTCGCATATATCGGTAGCGCACCTTCTGCTAGACCTGGAGAGATTAAGGCGCGGTTTGATCATAACTCGCACCTTGACCTCTCTAACGTTAAGATTGCTGCTCCCAAGGAAGCCCCTAAGAAGGGGGAGAAGGCTGCAGCACCGGAGATCCCTATCCCCGAAGATTTAGTAGTATCATTACCCATATCGCTCGCGACGGTGATAAAAGTCCAGAAGAAGATTGAGGATACTCTCGACACCTTCATCCCGCTGTCAATATTCGTAGCGAGGGCCACGGAAGTAGCTAATGACGAACTACCCTTACCATCGAACTATAAGCCATCAGCTGACGAGCTGTTTAATCAAGTCCTGGGACTGGACAAGGTTAGTCAGAAAGGTTCTCGCGGCCATTACCTGCCTCAAATTTCTGCTTTTCCTTCGCCGTCCGTCACTGGCGTCGCACATAAGCCCAAGAAGCAAGTTGACATTATCGATTTCCTCGCTGGCTCGGTGAAACCGTCCACGCCGAAGCGGCGAGAGACCGGTCCGCACGGCGGGATCTCGACTGGTTCTAATATTTTCAGTCTCACCGTGCCAAAGACCGAGGAGAAGAGAGCTAAGGTCTTCCTGCAAAGAGTCAAGACGGTGCTAGAAGGAGAGCCAGGCAGACTCGTTTTATGAATTTACCTAAAAGAAAGAAGAAAAAAGAAAGAAAGAAATGTTGGAGCAAGAGATACTACTGTAACTATAGGACCTGTAATGTTGTCACGCAAGCACTGATAGAACTATATTATTAGCATTTGATTGTTTATTGTGCCTTTGGCATCCTATGCCTGGTGGGTATTCCGGGGGTTTTGACTTGTGGATATGAGCTAAACGAAGTTTGTTCTGTATGAATTCCCCTTATTATTTCTCGTTATGGCCATACATAAATGTCTTGTACGGTAATCGTAAGTGAACCCCTATTCCGACAAGGAACAAGTACCATGGACTCAGGAGCGTCTCAGAATCCACTAAATTATATCAACTACACTACATACAAAATGATTATACCTCCGGGGGGGTTAAATCTTATTCTCGAACTGGTCTAATTCTAGGTACTCAGTTCCCACGTGTCGGTATACCTCAAATTCGTGTCGTCTCGTATAGAGCCAATCTTTTGCATATTGAAGACGAGGACTTGCTCGCCGTAAATCTGTACATACTGCCAGGGACGCTGCATGCTATTGCCGTTGGAGCAGTTAGTAATAATCCCGCACGTCGCGGTACGGCTGGATCCTGTCCGCATACACAGGACACCGGCAACCCGAGAGTTAAGCAGAGGACTGGAAGCACATAGGATGGCCTCGGATGTCGTACTTAGGTATCTAGACATGGTTCCTTGTATCAGCCAGATCATGGCCTGCGAGCTACCGTAGGTAAGCCTTTTGGTGGTGGTGGGACGGTAGCTTCCCCCTCCCCCCAAAGCCGTGCCCTTTGGCGCAGACAGGACTGGCGGGCTTCGATGTCGCACGGACAGGGCAGTGAGGAGCTCTAGATAGGAAGAAGATGGGTTTGTTGTGTTGAGACCTTCATCTTGTCATTCTGCGCTAGTATCCGTGAGGCCAGGGTGCGTTACCGTTCGAACCGGCATGCTGCGACGAAGCGGCCGTTGGGATTCGAAGCATCGCGATTTTCGTCCTAGGCACTGCTCGGAAGCTAGAATTAAGGATCTATATTCCTGCGGAATGTATAACATTTATAAGCGATCGACCGGTAGGTCTTCAGACAGTCATTAGTCCACGAGATAACGAAGCAGGTAAATCGAGCTTTATAGCATACGAAGAACAGAGCATATACACTACATATACCTGGCGATTTCAACTTGTAAACTGTATAATGTGCTCATATCACCCTTGTTACTTAAATGTCGTACTTCGTGGAGTGGGTTCTTTCAGATACGCATACATGGAAGAACGATAGTTAATAGAATAGAGCTCAGTATCGCTAAGCTGTCACATTTGCGCAAAGTGAAAGTTAAGAGTTTTTAGCAAGTAGTATAACAGCAAGCATGCAGAGGGATGTCACCTCTATATAGACGTTGTTTACAGTAACTACCTAGGTACCTAAGGTAACCCCTTATTGCTCTCCTGACAACCATTAACCACCCTTGTATATATTACTAAGACCTGCATACACAGAATATAGATGGGAAGATTAAGAAATATAGTTCTTGTATCTTAAGCTAATCTTTCCGCAACCTCCATTCGACGGCTTCTTAGTTGGCTTACCTGGAGGGAGAAAGGGGTGAGGGACACGGAAACTTATGTTAGGACGTAGTAGGCCTAAAAAGCTATCTAGTATAGGACTATGGTTACGATTTATTTATGCTCCCAAGTTTGCCTTCACATGAGCCATCTATAGTAAGTTGTGCCTCAGTCAGTCTATGCTATCTAGTAAACTGCTCGTTGGGTTAGGGAGATTTGAGAAGTCAAACCTTCTGAGAGTAATATCCTTAGACCCTGAAAGGCCATGGCAGGTCTCAGGGACGCCACCAAATCTTACCTTAAGTACAAATGAGAAATTCGGAGACCAAACTGTGGGAAATCGTTGATCTGGCGCAGATGTACGCATTACTACGAGTTAACCAACGACCTTGTAGCTAACCCAGATGCTAGGTAACAAGCTGACCGTTACATGATTCAACAGGCGTTAGGGCTAACGACAATCCTATTAAGGCCTATGGATCGTGACGATGTATCCATACTACGATGTGAGCTATTATCTAAACCTTAGTAAACGTCCTTCTCACCGAGATAAGGCCGGAGCTGAGGTTTGAATCTCCCAACGGCACATCCTGTGCTGCGTTGCCCACAAGAACCAGAGACTGCTAAAATCCTCCTAAGTTCAATGCTTTTCATTATCAGGTAGCTAGGACTGTCAAGGTTCAAAAAAAAATAAGATGAGCTGCGGGAAATCTCAACACCTACTGTGGTGCTGTGGGGGAGTTGGAGTTTATGCACGGCCGTTTCAGCAACAAACGTCATTGGGGTCGGAAAACATCTAGACTCATGCATTAGTTACTTACCTTAGGTACCTGTTACCTGTCTTACGCCCTCGGAAAAAATGCCGTGGGAAATAACTCAAATCTGATATTACGGCACACAAGAAGGGGGGGAGATGGTTGCTCGAACGCTGTCATATGTTTATCAACGCCATACGCGCACTGCGGAGGCACGGCTGAGATATTTATTCTGACCATAGGTATTTAATATAACTTAACTCCTTATACCTGCCTTTGAATAATACATACATACATACATATGTAGGACTCGAATGTTAGAGCTGACCGCCGGTCCAGAGCAATATTTACCTACGTCCCAAAGGATCGGCGGTGGCAAGTATGTTGCATATCTCGGGCTAAGGACGTGTAGGTAGATAGATAGATAGATACCTAACACACTATTTACTTGACTTCCCAGAATAGTGTTGTCATCGACTTTTTCATGTATAATAATACATTACGCCAGTCAGCGTCTCCTTTCGGTATGCTATGCAAGGCTATAGACTGACAGACGTACAGCCGGTGGCATGATCTAGATAATACCTGCAACGCTCACTGCTTACCCGGCTGCATCTTCCTTGGCCGGCCCAGCTAGCTGTCCGCCCTGAAATATCCGTCCGCTCGTGAATCTGTGTACTGTAGGTAGTACGACGCCTTTAGGAATTAGCGGTCAACGGGTCTGGCCTTGTTTACTCGTGATGTTTTTTTTTTCTGTTGTGACTCCCCTCCTGCCGCGCCATTGCGTTCTTTTCAACCTCGAAATCGAAGAGGTGTACCTAATAGCGAAGAGGCTAGGTATCGTTCTCACTCTGTATGTCTTCTTGCATTACCTATACGAGTGGAAATGCGCCCACCGGCTTACCTGTGGGTATGCCGGTAGGTATCTGAATAGTGAATAGTGAGCCTAAAGTTGCAGGACATCTGCAGGGCTGGATCGATTACGGATATTGATATCAGCTTCTGCAGGTCTGTATCCTATACCTTAGGTAGTAAGCTGTCTCCGACAAGGCTTTCGTGTAGGTAAGTATTATCCACATGGCTCGTACAGTGAAACCCTTCTAGCCCCCAAGATAAGATTATGACAGTAGTAGCATGACACGGAGAAGGGAAAAGAAAAGAAAAAAATGAGACGAAACGACGGGTTGTCGATTAAAGTTTCCCAATAATCTGGAGAAAGTAGCGGTGCAGTTGATTAGACTCTCGGGCACTCCCGTGTCCAGCGTCGCACCCTTCACTCCTCGAATCTTACTAACCTAGCTCCCTGGTACCCAAGGCAAGCAAGCAAGCTTTTTGGGTGTTCATTCTCTTCATTTACTTTCTCGTACGGCGACCAATGCGCATCGCCGACGGTACTCCAATTTATCTGCTGTACTCGGATGGCTAAAAAAGAAAAAGAAAAAAGGGGGGATATGTAAGGTATTCTTCTAGGCCCGGGGGCTCAGCCGCACATATTGCAACGGCAGGGCTTACCTCATTTGCGTTTGTTTTTTTCTTCTGCCTTCCTCGTAAGATATGCACAACCAAGGCTCATAGGGCTGTTATCGTCGAGCCTTGCAATATGCCTCATGCACGCCTTATTCTGGGTAGCTGTCAGCACCTAAAAAGGATTCGGGAACAACGCGGCCGTCAGAAGACCTTTTGTGCGTGTGTGCGCGTGTGTGTGTGTACTGGTGTGCAACTCCGAACTCCCCCTTCTACGCCTTGCAGACGCGCGTGTCGTCTAGACCACCACGCACCTTGCGCCTAAGACGGCAATGCATAGCCCTAGCATTAGGTATACTACTAATACCTAACGTGAAACACATGGTATCGAAAGTAATGGCAATGTGAATAGGTGAATAGATGAGGGATGATTAGTATTACGTCACCTACATAGTTCCATATGTCCCCTTTCGTCTTTCTATTCTACGTAATATGCTATTCTATGTGGTATGCTATTCTACGTAGTATGGTAAAGTATACCCGGCAGTCTCGAAAAGGGGGGTGAGCCTATACCTCTTATTCGATATATTCCGTATCCTGTATGCGGGTCGGCATGTTGGTCGCTCTCTGCCGTGACCCTACATCCATCCGCGTGCATTGCATTAGGCTATGAATACGCCAGGTAAATATTAGGTAGGTAGTAGGTACCTAATGTACCCTATATGCATCGTGAAAAGCAACGTGAGTTAGGTAGGATGTGTGTATGGGCATGATACCTAACGGTATCGTATGTAGCAGCGCTTGGCAGGTCCCGACGATCCCCCACATTTTGCCCCAACCAAGCCCGATATTATGCTATGTAAACAAGTAAAACTAAAATCATAAACAAGGCCGAAAAGGTAAGAGGAACATAACAAATAAATAAAAAATAAATAAAATAAAAAAAAGGGGAAAGATATAGCCTAACTAGATACAGTACCTACCTAATCCGGGCATGATGCTGACGATAACAATGATGACGATGAGGATGATGACGAGATCTTCGCGATAAACATCTTTCAGGCATTCCATCGGCCCTGCTCCCTATTACGGAACCGGAACCCGTATGTGGTTTCGCAACTCCGGATATACCTATACCGTTTCGTAGTCTCCGTCTATACCGTATACTGAAACCACCTCCACCTCCACTCTCTTAGGTATTATATGCGGTTGCGGCCGCACCCTAAGTTAGCCGTGGTCATACGCCGTGGCATACCTACCTACCTCTTAACCCTACCGTAAGAGAGGAGAGAGAGAAAAAAAATAAAAAATTACAGAATACCTGACCTAACCTAACTTAACCTAAGCTTAGACAGTAACTTGTGGCTTGTTGACTTGCTTTCAGTTTTGGTCGCTGACGCGCATGCGAACTAACTAGAACATCACCTCCTAGGGCTTACTCCTTGGTGGGTGTGTATTAGGTATGTATCTGTATGTGTATCCGGATTAACAGCGAAGGGCCGTTTGCACCGGAAAGGCAAGTCCAAAACATCCCAACGACCGAGTTTGAACGGCGCAGTGCATGTGATAGAGTGTTACGTTTCTCTGGCTCATGCATGCCCCACGCGTAGGGGCCTAACAATTATCAATCAGTACTAGTTGTTGTCGATCTATTTGGGAACGGAACGTGGTGAGTTGTGACACAGGTGGCTCAATGAACTTGATAATGTTCAATTAACTACCTAAGTAGATATACTATTGTGACTTCAAACTAAACAATGCAGGGGGGAGCTTTTTTTGACCGTGTATGCCGACGGTGTTTGATAATGGCCTCCAGGGCCACTGCCGACACGACTTTCTTTAATCCAGCGTCTCATGCCACCTAGTTGATACTTGCGCAGCAACGTATCTCCCTGTGCGGCTCACCGTTACTCAATCGGCGGAGCTTTCGTTCGCGCCGGGAGATCCGGATGTAGTGAGACGATGCTACAATTTGCCGCGCATCATTCCTAGTCCTCCATCCCTCCAAGAAACAGCCCACCTCCCTTCACCAACTGCCCCAGCCGCCTACATGCCAGAGCATGTCTACCAGAAGTTGGTAGGGCCGCTGCGTCGTGTACCTAACTCGGCGCGGCGCTTAGTCGAGTCTCTAGGAGAGGCGTCATTCCGAAGGATGAGCTAATGGGATCTAGTGACGTGCGGGCAAAGACGGCGATAAAGGGCTCCGCATTTCCTTGCTCAGCAAGGATTTCCAAATTATGCCCAGCTTCTTTTTTGTGATCGTGAGATCTTTCCCCTCCCACCTTGCTTTCAGGTCCCGGCCATTGCATTCCGGTTTGCTTACCGATCTTGCCACGGCGCAACCCAGAATATGCAAAGGGCCTTGGCATGGTGACAACCAGTGTCTGCCTTGGGTAGCAGTATCTCGGATAATCTGCTTTGATTCGGATTCGATGCGACGCGTGTAGAACCGACCGTGTAAAATGCAACTACGGGACTCAGTCCTTTGCATCTTCCATTCAAATAATCCAATGTCGCTTTGATGGGATTTCTCGATTCGAAGAGAAGGCTCAACGTCTAGTTGAATAAAGCCCTTGTCGTCGGGGAAGTCGTCATTAAGCTCGTGGAAATATTCGTCATTAGGTCGTTCATAAATCGTAACGCATGAAGCCGGATCCCGGGAAAAGAATGAATAATATCTCCTGAAGCGAGGGTGCGAATTATACGGCCGAATTTTATCGCCCATAATTCCGCGCTTGGGTCGGTCGGGGTATCTTTGTCTAAGAAAGCCACTTTATGCCGTAAAATGAGAGGAAAATCAAAAACGTGATAATCGAAAAAACTTGTCCTGTCCAGGTCTTTGCCGGGCGATGATCGGGTGCATTGCTGCGTATACCTCTTATTTTAACGTAGAAAAGGAAAATCCAGCCTCCCATATCTCGAGGCCCTGCCCTACTTGTAAATGCGATCAGATACCCACCGAGTCCCAGCCATGTGGTAAAAAAGTAAATAAATAAAGGAGAAATACAGCATTGTGACCGAGCTGGCGGTTGTGATGATGTAAAGGTATACCCTATAAAAACAGACGCTCGCTTGCCAAATAAAAAAGAAAGAGAACAAGAAAATAAGAAACCCCGAGATTATTATATATGCCAGAACAGTCGAAAAAACTCGCTCCTGATCGATGCAAAACGCCGGAATGCCCTGGGACGCGATGAGATCTATGCCGCAGATATCTTTTTCGAATTGGAGGAAACGAGAACCGAAATCACCATCTGAAGCCAGAGGCTCCTAAGAGGTTGTTGTCACTGGCATGCGATCCCCCGCGGGAGGCGGTGATTGTCATATGGTCGTCGTATACTCGTGATATCGATCCCAACCGAAACTATTATATCCAGCGCCTACACCGCACTGCGACGCCAACATGCTAGGGAGTGGCAGCGCCGGGATTGGAGCTGTCACCATCGGCGAGCTATAGAACATTCCGGCCGTGGAGTACGGTTGGCTGTACGGTATGCCCGGTGAAGTCACTTGAATTTCATTCAGTGTCATATTAGCCCATATCGGCGCGGTCGATTCCACTGAGGTAGCGTTAGGGCTAGAGGGTAGAATTCTCCATGGCTCAACCGGAGCGGGCACGGAAGGCGAATGCATAGACTGCGACCAAATATTCGCGCCCAGCGGCGAACTAGGTAGTAACGGTGGTTGACGGATGACGTCGACGATCTTCGGCGGCGGCGGGAGTAGCGGCTTGTTTAGCAATCCCATAATGTTATTCTTTACTTCCTCACTCTTTCCACATAATAACTCCCCAGCGCCCTCCTCTTCCAAACCCTCAAGGGCAGAAACATGAGTTCTATAAACGAACTTGTTAATAGCCTGAACGAAGTCCTCGTGTAATTTCTTGGCGTGCTGCTCCTTCTCGGGCCAATCATAGGTGTCGGCCTTGGCGTTGACGCAGTAGATATCCTTGTGATATTCGATAAGAGATTCTATCGAGTCGGGCGTCAACTTATAAGCGACTTCATTCCGTAATACCATATCAACATGAACGATGTAAGCCTCGATATGTATTAGTTGATAGTTAAATATGGCCTCTACTAGCGGATTAGAATCCTGGCGTAGCTCGGACTCGGGAGCCTTAGGCAACATCAAGGATGTCAAAGTCCAGATGGCGTTTGGCGACGAGAGTGTCTCGGTTAGGCATCTTTGGTGTTGTGGTATGCTGTTGAGCGGCCTCTTGACTCTGTTGATGCGCTTTAGAGTTTGGGTTAGCCAGGGCTCGACTTTGGAGCCGAGGACGACGTTGACGGAAGAAGCTCGCGGCGCAAAAGCGGCAGCCGAAGCCGGTAACAGTTGTGGGGGCATTGTGTAGTACTGTAGACTCCGGAGGAGGGACAGAATAGATGCGACAAGGAATAACCCTAAGGTAGTGGAGAGGGCTCACGGAAGAGAGGGGGGGAGAAAAGGGGAGGGGGGTCAGTAAGATGGGAAAGACGAATAATAATAATAATAAAAAGACGGCACAGAAATACTAGGCGTTCCCAGGACTGGGGATTAGCGCATACGCATACGCCTACGACCGCAAATAAGAAGAAGAGAACGGTGGACGAGTAGCTCGTGAAGAAGGAAGAGGAGGGTGAGAAACTCGTGTTGCGGGTGTAGGGGGTGTGTTATAGTAAAATCCTTTTTTTGGTCTCTTGTTCTTCAGACTTTTCTTTTATTTCCCCTCTCTCACCCTCGGCGCGCCGCGTACAATATAGTATATTCGGTCTTCGGTCCCCCTGCTCACCCTCACCAATCCCTCGGAGCATTCCTAGCTGGTAATGGGATGGTATGCACTACGGTCCCTTTTGCATGGCTCATAGATGTGTCCACTGTCTTGCATTAGGAACCACCACCAACGCCAGGTAAAGTCAGGTAGGGTCAAGTAGGGTCAAGTAGGTCAGGCAGGTCAGGCAGGTCAGGTTAGGTAGCGCCAGGTAGCATCCGCAGAACGAGGCAACGCAGGGCATGCATCATCAAGAATAATCCACCGATACCACGGCCGATGCACCCTAGTCATGCGCGGCAAAAGAGGAGCCATCGTAGCACTGCACTTTGCGAGTGGGCTGTGTATATGCGACTTGCATATGCTTGAAGAGTTAACAGAGCAAATGGGAGAACTAGCATCGAACAACCCGAGCTGAAAATGCTGCAGTGTGGCCAGTGCAGCGCCACTAAACCTCTAACCCTCTAACCCAGTGCTCTAACCCTCCAAACCTTAGCCTCTGCGCAAAAACTCGATTTCCCACTAGGCCACAATCTGATGGTATTGTACCGGTACAAGAGCCCACCAATATATCCACAGGTACTGCCCGCTTTACCCGGTACTTTGGGTACGTACACACACACATACAACCTCAATCTCAATTAGGAAACATCAACTGTTTCTTGTTTCTCCTATTCTTGCCCTTTGAATCTTTGGTTTAGATCTACATATCTTGGGATATAATTCCATTCGTTTTATGAAGCAGGTAGGTACATAGGTACTGTAACTATTCCGATTTATGAATACCTAACTAGATTTTTTGGTATCGGGTTGTTTCTCTCGTCCCGCTTCATATCACTTCTAATAATGTCACGTAGTAGGTAGAAAACGCTCCGTAAAAAAAGAGCTATAGGTAGTCCAAAAGGTCGTATACCCTATCCAGGCTGGTACATCTGTTTCATCCGAAAAAAGACGTACCGATATCGTCACTACCTAACCTAACATTTCTTATTCATCGGCCCATCTATAATGGAACTAGTTCCATATTGGCTTTTAGAAATATTAACCCCCCCCCCCCTTTCCTCGGTGATTCTTTCGAGATGTGATATTCATACATTAACGTCGCATTTAGATAATAAATAAGCACACTGTCGAATCTATAAATGTGATATCTCAGTTAGTCCTAGAAACTACCTAAGTTAGAATCAAGTTGCAAATATTAAAGTGCCATATCGCATCTCTCTTGCATATCGCAGGGTTCGCCATAATACCAATTACGAGATCACCCTTTCCATGCATGAACTTCTTGAGCAAGCTGCAGCTCTATCTAGTACCGAAGGAGCCTCGTTGTTGTAGTCATGCATGCTGCTAAGCGCAGATGACCCAGAAGCCCATATGGTAACCAATGCAGCAGCCAGTCAGATGAAATAAAAGAACGTGCCTCACAGACGGCCGATATGAAAGGACCAATTCGCTATAAGGAGATCGTCTAGAGCTTTTGGAACGTCTCTGGAAATTGCCGTATCAATGCAACATGCCGCTTTCTGTCCATTGGAGGAGAGTTGAAACTGGCTGGGGAATAATTGGTAAACATCGCTTGATATTGATCGACTGATGGCATCCCTTTGATAATAGGCGCATCCTTTGAGTCAACCAGTAAAAACCTCACAGAATCCTGGAGCTGCAATGCGATGCTGCTATATTCTGGGGCAGCTCCTGATGACTTGCATATGAGCGAGGAGATAACATGAAGCATCGTCGCCTCAGCAAGTAATCTGAAACCTAGTAGATAAGCCATAAGAACGCCTCAATATGGAAAAAGACTAGTACTAGAACCGAAGTCCTTCTTCCCTTTCGAGCCATGTGCAGAAACGACACTCGCCTCGGGCTTCTTACCGGTCGGTCCTAGAAGACGAGATGGATCCGCCGAGTACTGTATCTGGGGTACAGCATCCATAAGCCGAATAACTGCAAGGGCGAACGAGCCATCTTGTACTCTCATAGAGGCGCTTACAGCGTCAAGGAGCTAGTCGATGGAGCATACATCAATAAGAGGCACCACAAGATGGGGTCCAGATTGCGCGTGTATATTGCCTGATGGAGATGAAGAGCAAAAAGCGAGCAAAGTCTGACGAGAGCTAGAGCAATATCGATATTGAATGAGAGCCAGTCGATGGCATCTGTCCAGGTTATAATCCATGTTAGTGGCAGAAGGTGAGTTGAGATGTGTCGATGTAAATTAGCTGTTTTGAGATGTGATTGGTAGACTCATGCGAACCGGAAAAGCACTGAAGTGGAGAAAGAAGATTCATGGTCGAATTTCCATTGGCTATAAAATGGACAGAATCAGGGAAGCATCAAGATGGTATTTCTGGGGACATTTGAGTCTAGACGTGAGCGAAACGGAAAATAAGGATAAGAATAAGCGAATGATAATTTGAGAAAATAGAAAAAAAAGAAACGAAGTCCAATTCGTGTTTCATGAAAGGAGCCTCAGGGGTTTGATAAAAAGGGGATCCTCTCCAGTCTCCTATCTACAGTATTTGCTTCCTCATCCGGAATATCACCAATGCCCTTTTACGGCATCGTTTAGGACTAACAAACTTAGTTCCCGCTCCGGAATATCGGCTTCGGTTACACTGGGAGTCCAGACCAAACCTTTGAAATATTGTATATTAAGGGCCTCGGGATCCTTCGGTTGTATCGTGACCCAGTTGATAACCCCGTCGACATTGACAGAGGAGCCCGCCGACTCCTCAATTTCACTAGGCCGATCTTGAGCGATTTAAAGCTTCGTCACGTCGACGTAGGCGTTTAAAACACAGCCGCCTGTTGGACAGCGCGGCTCCTGCGTGTATAACTCATTTCGGGCGTGGACATCATAGCTTTAGGCCATGTTACATGATCGAGTAATGCCGAACCTAAGCTTTTCCAGCAGAGAATCGGTCATGTGGCCCAAACTCGCGACGTTCTCCTCCGCCTCTCCGAGAGTAGACAGGATCAACACGGATCCCCGAAGACAATTAGAGATATCTGCTCACCTGTCTCGGTCAGTCAATATCTGATACAGATAATTCAATTGGCCGAAAAAAAAAGATGATAGTCGAATGAAAATAATGATTGGTAAACATAGCAAAAGGGATATAATTTTAGTGTAGATTAGGTACAAATGTAGATACATTAGGTACATACATACAATTCTTGGTTGCGGAAGTCACTTGACCATCGATGTCCCAGTGTGGCTCGTGCATATCGTGTTGCGGCCCGTGCGTCTCGATCTAGGTATTTTTAATCGCAAGTACGAAGTACTGGTACGTATTCAAGTTTCTTGCGCATCGGCAGGCTAGCAACGGCCTCTCCGTGATCCACAATTCCGTGCCTTGCCGCCTCACACCTACACTCGCTTTTTTAGCAGTGACAAGCCACGTCGCTTCTAAACATGAATCCCGTGTGCAACATTGAAGTTCCTTGTTTGTCTATCTATCTACCTAAGAAATCTAAGATACAGAGATCGCTTCATGACGTCCCGTTGTAACGGATCTTCTCGGGAGCACAGGGGATCCGACTTCCATGTCTCCACCAACTCTCCACCAACATGCGCTTCTTCACGGACCAAACAAAAGCCTATTAGAACCGCAAGGTAGAGAGATACAAATGGGAGGCAACCCAATGGCGACGTTTTCATGACCGGCTGCGTCTATTCTATACCATCTATCGTAATAAGCTTCGAGGGAATATTTTCGTTTGCATCGCGTCTGCTTACATGCAGCTCAATCATCAGTGGTTTCTATGATATATCGGTGGGGACTGAGTGTAAGAGCAGCCGCCAGGCCGATCCAGTCAGCCGTCCCTTATGTCACGAACTTCACGGCGGCCAGTCTGTTAGGGCAGCATTAACCCCCTTACAAGGCGGGACGCGCAATGGCGACTTTTATCAGAGCAACGATGTCCAGTGAATTCCATTTAAATTAATATATTACCTACCTCCTACCTACCTAGGTACCGAATTATATTATCACATGTTTATTAACTCAAGTAATAACATGGAAGGTATCTTATAGGCAAACCCCAATAACAGGTACTAAATAACTCCTTTAAACGTGAGAAGATACTTCGTATAGAATCATGAATTCTGATCTCGCCAATACCGAAATCGTCACCGCAAAAGACCTAATTCAATAATAGAATTCTACTAAGATAGAAATGTCCACATGATGAATACATATGTATCCATCCATGCAACATTTGAAAACTAACTCGATCTCTATCCTCACTGTGGCGCAAGCTCGGCATTTTAAAAAGAGACCCTTGCTTTTCTATAAAGTACCTAGTAGAGGTACTATGTACTTCCGCGGTAGTTCGCATCAACGGGTTCCACACTTATAGATACAAGGCAACTGCCTAGGTAGTGTAAAGTTACCTCATGTTACCAACTTGTGGAAATTCCAACTATCTAATTGTAAGGGCATGCATGACAAGCATCACGTTACGAAGAAGTCTGCAGAGTTCCCAGGTGGATGGATAGGCACTATTTCTGATACACGATATCTAAGATGATCGTCGTAGGAATAGTTATTCCCAAATCCATGTGAAGCTGAAAAGATGCAGATACCTTAGGTTAGGTATGCAGGCAAGTAGATAACTAATACCTCAACTTGGTTTTTTTTTTTTATTTTTTTTTTTTATTTTTTATTTTTTATTTTTTTTTTTTTTTCTATGCGGGGACCTTGCCGATCACAGGTAGGCTCCCGGTTCCCTGTCGATTTTTCTTTTGGACGTGCAAAAGCACGTGTACGGTGTACCTACCTAAGATACTTAGGTACCTACCTACCTAACCTGATGGATTGTAGGTAAGACATCAATACATGACCCCGGGGAAATGTGGCTGTGCTCGTTACACAGCTCTCTAGTGCATGGACCTAGATCTCCACGTTGCGGCTTGCCAGCACATCACAACGTTCATTAGCGTCTGATAGGGGGTTACGGTAGCCGCATACATACCGTTTAATAGATACAGCCGTACTTATCCAGCTCAATTCAAGGAGCAGTATTACTACCGCTTACGGTTTAGACGTTCCAAAATTTTAGAACGTTAAGCCAGAAAGAGTTGTATCCACATGGCTCCTAGCGAATGAGCTGCGCGTGCGCCTCTCAAAATTCCTGCGCCGCTCGTTTTTTTTGCGCCGCTCTCGTTTTGAACAGCTCCCCCGTTTTAAGCGGCTCCTCCGTTTTAAGTGGTATGTATGCGGCTACCCAGGTAGTAATATTACTTATTAGCCACAACTTGCCCGCTGGCACACCGACTCGACAACTCAACCATCTCGCATTTCACGCTTATTCCCCACCGCATTTTTGCAGATTCGAACGGGGAAAAGAAGCATCTTCCTTGCGTGTGCATAAGCAACACAATGACCTCATAGGAAGATATGCGCCTGAAGGCGTGCGGAACGTCCGAATCCGGCTCAACAAACAAGCACTACTTACTTACTACCATGCAGACGAGACGGACTCATCATCAGAGGGGCCTCAGAGGGGGCCCATCTAGGAGAACACGAAAGACCCTAATGAACCCCCCACCTCGTGAATGCTATAGTATGTACAAGTCGACAGTTGCCCAATTCATGAACCTAGGCATTTTTACTCGCATCAAATTTGCCTCGTTGACGTATCTAGCCTTTTTCGCCCGGCCCAGTTTGTCGTGTTAGCGACCCACTGGCCCGGCCGGGTCTGCGGCGAAGACATATGAGGCCTCCGAAAGAACGACAGCCATCAACGAGCTCTATTCTATTCTCTCTTTTTTTTCTTTCTTCTCTGTCTCTAGAATGAGGACAACTGAAGGCGGTGGGAGAACAGGGCAGGGCGTGGGAAACAGGGCCACTTGGCGATTAGGCGCCGTCCTGCCAATAATCTCATGGAAACCTGACATAAAGGTCTCATGACTCACTGATGAACGAAGCCTGCACTTCGTTCCATAATTGATTGGGCATTTCAGGCTCGCGCGACACCATGGACGCCGCGTCATTTCGCCGTGTTCAGGGACCTAAGAGAGGGCCACTCTTACGTCAAGAGCGAAGTTATCATGTTGTAGGTATTCTACGCGCCGAAGGATCGTTGGTAGCTTTGGGCTTCGGCGGGGGGGGGTATTGGTAAGTCTTGCCGACATACCCAAAGACTGCCCAACATGTAGAGTCTCGGGCTTCGGACGAAAAACTTGTTTGGGGGGGAGGATGGGGAATAAACAACGAATTGAAATATTTCGATCCGTTGAGCGCATTTCCACTGCCCCTTGGCAGCAGTCTTCTGACTATCTGCTCGAGCATTCGTTGGGGAGAAGACTCAAAAGGATGCTATGTAGTCCCCTGGCGATAAGCGCTGCCGCTGAGGAGTATCCTGCTTCACCATCTTGAAGCCGGATGGTTCGACTTAATCAGTCCATATCCAAGCCGGATACTGCCGAAGAAAGCATAGTACTATCATACTTGGACTCCTCGAGCAAAGACTCTCCAAATCTGTTATCCGAGCTACGTTTTCGATTCAGCTGCTTGTGAGAAGGATTACCCCCGAGCCACTAAATAGGTGCAACGCATACAGTCAAGGGGCTTGTAGGTTGTAGGTACTACAACTATTTCGTATGAACGTAGCTCCTACAATCACGCGGTTGGCTAAACGTGTACACTTCCAACCAAATGGTTCTGAAGTACCATATATGGCTTTCATTGTAAAAGGACTCCGTAGCTGCATAAACACTCATTCGTATTCCATCTATAAATAGGGAGGACAGTAGATTCAAAGGTATAACGGTTTCCAGTTATGCCCAAGGTTATTTAAAATAGCATAAATGAGTTAGCATGGCATGATCTGTTAACCGCCCTGGACTCGTATGGAGACTTAACTTTTGCCCCTCTCAAGTAAGGGGGTGTACTACGAAGAATATCAGGGAACTTTCTGCGTTGGAAAGGTTAAATGATGACTCCATGTAAAGAGAGAACTACTATGCACTACAATACTAGGTAAACCACCAGTGTAGGTGGGTGTGTGTATTCAAACAATCCTAATAGACTCTAACGTTGTCTCTTCCCACAAACCACCTTCGCTGAGGTAGCAAAGCCCAACCCGCCGGTAGGTATTCGGCTCAGCTCGCGGCAGCAATAGAAGAGCATGTGCACAAATCATATCGCCGTAGCGTTCCGGCGTGACTTGGTTATACACCATGTCAGCCTTTGTCACGATCAGACACTTGAACCTTAAACCCTTCTCCAGACACGCCGTCGGGAAGTCCAAGAAGGCCTGTCCGAGCCTTTCCTCGGACTTCTCTCCTCCTTCCCCTCGAGGCGCCTCGTACAGCGCGATCTTGTTCAGGGCCACCGTGTGCTCGGTCCACGGCTGCCATTCGACGTCCAGCACCCTGCCCTCCACGTCCAGGTACCCCGATTTCACAGGCCCGAACACGAAGTCGCTCCCGTCAATAAGAGTCGTGGAACAGTCCAGGATTCGAAAGTGCCAAGGGCGGTCCGTCGTCCACCGCTTCGATTGATTCGGATACAGCGTGCCGTTGTCGTACTTCACGCTGGCCCAGCTCCAGGAAGGGGCGGCGAATCCGTCTTCGTCTTCGTGTTCTTGGGTGGCGGCGGCGGCAACGCGCGAGAGCTTATTTGTCGGGTGCGAGCGGAATATATAGTACCACTGGAGGTCGACTAGTAGGGCTTCCTTCCACAGACCTGCCACGTAAGTCATTCCGTTGTCCGCGGCTGCCATGGCGGCGACGGCTGAAATCGCGGAGAGCTTGTCGGTGGGAAATGTGAGCGACCGTTGCGCGTATTGGGAGCGTATCTCTATCCACGTCATCGACATCTCTCTTCTTTTGTAGGCTTCGTCTATCGCATATTTATTGGACAACGTCGATTCCCAGGGAGTAGAGATGATGGCGGAGGCGTCTCCGGAGTAGTTCTGGACGTATCCATCCGGACTGATTTGTAAGGGGGGGTCTCGGTGTTCATTCAGGCTGCTTGGATCAGCGATTAGCTTGTTGCATGTCCATTGGACTCCCTGGGACGAGAAGCGTAAGCGGCGCGAAGCGAGCGCCCATTCCTGTAACGTCCATCCGCGTGAATCGATGGGATCTTTCAAGGTCGGTTCTTCCTCTCTAAAGCCGAGGCTTAAATTTATAAAGGGGAATTCAGGCACACCCCTACCAATGGTAATTTGGAATGGTTGTACCTTGAAGACAGGGGGGTGTGGCGGTTTTAGGAAGCTTTCAGAAGCTCCTGTGGAGTTAGCCGCCGCGATAGTTATAGCACTATATTGGTATATTTTTGCCATCTGCGGTAGTTCATTGATCTTGTCTTCCCGCGAGTCCTGGATAATACATAGGGCATCAATCCATATGTAGCGAAATCCAAGTTGCCTCGTAACTTCCATAGCTTCTGCGACTGTTTGAGGGATACTTTGGATGTGAAGACCATCAAGCATGATGGGCAAAGTTTCTTGTGTCAGTACGTAGTTTTGCTTAGTACCCCATACGTAACTTAATGTTACATAGTCCTCCGCTTCTATAGAGCTAGTTTCGACAAGGTGTGGGTGTCGAGGATCCTCGACATCTATTAGACGCGTAGGTACAAATGCACTCGGCACAGTACATTGGTGGCTCCGTTGACAGTCTTGAAGCCATCCTCGCGCTATACGCGGCCACTTTTCGCCCGAGGCAGAAAGTCCTTTCCATTCCTTACTGAAGACTTCCAAGGCGTTATCAGATATCAACTCAAGCCAGAGTGTTCCACCATAAGGGGGGATAAATAGCCAAGGCTTAGCACAATTTTCGCTTGGTATAGCTCTAATCTCGATATTGATAAGATCAAACCCAGTCGAATACATGCTTTTCATAACCGACAGTGTAAGATTTATTTTTGCGTGACAGTTAAGAGATTGGACGGTCAGCTGCGGCTCGTCTTGAATTTGCGATTGTGTGGAATTCCCGTATTCAGCAGAGCTTTCAAACCCCATTAGATATTCATAAGCTGAACCTCTCTGATGGTCGCCCTGTGATATGCCCGACTCGGTAGATGTCGTTGTAGTTGTCTCCTTCTCCTGGTACCATGGTATATGAAGGAGGAATGCTCTTTCATCTTGAAAAGGGATCTCATTCTCCGCAGCGGTCAGGACTGAGTTGCCGAGGAGAGTGCACATGTTACAACCATTGAGGACGCTATGGTATATATCCATAGCCAAAACCTCGCATGATGACTGGATCTCGGCCTCGCCTTCCCCGCTCGACTTGAGGTTCTTATAAAGATCTTCGCTAAATATTCGCGTACAAAGTTCGCAAGGCTGTTTAAGTTTATCCTGTGGAGTACAAAACTGCTTAGGAGTCTCGACCTTCCCTCGAAGCCGAAGCATTGTAGATAGTTAGAGAATTCGGACCACCAGTATATTGTTCAAAGTCCCAAGTATAGCAAGGAAGTCGAAGAACCGCTCAGCTAGGAGAAACTATGTTCAAGTAGGAATATAACTATGAATAATAGATGCCTAATTTAATATGAAGATATGTGATACGTTTCCTTTTCAAATAAAATCCTTCAATGCCAAGTACCCATCCTTCGTTCAGCTGAGCCTTGGGTTCCGAGCCAGTAACATGCATTCTTCAGTCTTAGGTTACTTATACCCTGGTTTACTTTAATGTGGTTCTGCTTTGCGATATTCTATGTTGATATTGTGCTTACCTAATAGTAATTATGAATTCTTGCATTGCGATGTTCTTTACCTATTCTTATGAAACGCCATACCCAGCTTGCAGACTCCTAAACGACTAAGCGGAGCATTCAATATCCTTTGATCTTATCAGTACCGTTTCAACAGTCCCATTTGAATTTCATCCAAGGTCTGCCTCTGTTTCATGGATAACGCGCTTATGCTTATAATATTTCGTGTCCTCGACATTGAACTAACTCGACTGATTGATCCAATCGACCGTTTGGTATAGAGTAATAATCTTGGCAAGAATTACGAATGAATATAATAACTAACTAATTAATTATTGATTAATTAATTATTTAATATAGTTGCTGGTGGGCTTTTCTGTCTCTCAATGTGTATGCAACCTACTTTAGGTACTGATATAATAGGTAGTATATAGTATATGTTGCCGAGTCAACTTATCTTGTTTATTGCACATTGTAGGTGACTGAACTTGCAGTAGTAATTGATCAGCATAACGTACTAAATTTGAATCATTATACTTACTCGTCGAAGGAGGCCATAAGGCTGTTATCTTCTAACCAAGTAGCATCCAAACACATTTTTTGGCCTTAGGAAACGCCATGTCTCTGCTCGTTATCACAACGGTGGGTCAGATGGGTACGGGGTGTGGTAAATGTGACATGGTGACGGGAGTCAGGCGATCTGATTCCAAGCACGGGGGAAAGACATCGGATTAGATCAACTAAAGATTGCAACCCATTAAATCGTTATAAGAACCCTTCTCTTCGATATCCCACAAAATTCCTTATCAGTTAAGATAGATGTCGCGAACATTTTTTGAGACAATGCCTTATTTGTCTGTACTAAAGCTTCTTGAAAGTTGATAACCCCCCCGTTCATCCCTTGTCTATCCCTTGTCTATCATGCGGGGAATCCTTGAATGATACGATTAGTAGACCCAGTCAGTTTCGACGTACGGATGAGTTAAGGTAGAAATTTGTTTGAATCATGAACTTAGTAGGCTGGATAAATTTCCCAAGTACAACGCTTATTGTTATATTCACAAAAATAAGTGAACAAGAACCTGATGACTTATGTCACACGACTAACTATTATTAGCGAAGCTTGCTATGTCAATGTGCTCCCAACGGGCGCAGGTGGTTGGCAGACTCTTGGCTGCAGCTGTACGAAGGGACCATTGATCTCTGTTTCGGTTGCTAGTCACTACAGACCAATGATAGGCGCAGGTCAGCCTCGGAATGCATGCGCGCGAATAGTGAAGAGCCTAGAACGATATTAATGTACATAAGACATAGCGGAAAAGCGGCGAGGATCCAGCTGCTTGGGCTTGTGGAGCCACGTAAACCTATGTCTAAGTCCTTGGAGGAGCGAAGAAAGAACAAGAGAAAAAAAAAAAAAAAAAAAAAAAAAAAGAAGTCTTAGCTGGCTTAGGTCTAGGTACGGTAGGTACCTACCTGGTAGGTAATTAGAACAAACCGCGCGGACGAGTATCCCGATTCCCGAATGCTTTGTCTCGTATTCCGGATTTAGAGCCAACTCTAAAGTTGATACTATGTAAATACCTAGTAGACTATTCTGAAGGCTATACTGAGGACATTCAGGTCACATAGCCGAAGTAAGCGGTAGGTAGTTTTAATAATGAAATAAAGAAATGACTCTGCATTAAAATGTGACGCCGTCTGCTGAGGGTTCTTAATATTGTGCCACGAAGACGCGATCGTCTTTTCTTGCATAAACTGTAATACGTCTGGTCCAATGGGTAGAATAAATTATGGAAGAATTCGGAAAGGTCAGGGGTAAGCAGTAGGTAACTCAAAAGGCTCGCCTTGCTTTATGGGGATTTATACTCCACTGAGGGGCCGGAGGGGCAGAGGGGTTAACCAGCAAGAAGATTCGTGGCTTAGGTGGGGTTTACAAACTACATACATAACATACATGTATGAAGTAAATGGCTGAGAAAAAGGGAATCACCCCACCTTACCCACGTTGTATACATGTATGTTGTATACGATAAGAGCCCGACCCTGATTTATTATGGGGCCCCTCACATGGGCAGGTCAGTTAAGACTTTGCGAGGGGCTACGGCAACCCTCTTGTGCCATCGCTCCAACCCTCCCAACCCGTCCAAACCCTCCACCCCAGTATTAAAAAAAACTTATTCAACCATACGTCGACGATATGTTGTTATCTTCTTCCATCTACCTTTGGTGCCTACATAAAATCAATAACTAATCCTAGTAACCCTCTCTCCTCCGGGTCGGTTCTGGGTTTTATGCATGGCTTCGTAAGGCTTTTAAATGCAGAAGGTTTGCCTAGTCGAGCTGTGTTCGAATTTCCCCCCTTCCATTGTTGGTCCCGGCCTTTGAGGAACACGCTGGTACTGTCAGTCAGATCAGATCAGCTAAGCACTATTTCAGTCCCCTCGTCGCAAACCGCATTGGGTAGTCGACACGCCACCTCAGATAGCAAATTGGTACTGGATACCTGGATACTGGACGCCGGAGGGGCAAATTTAAACCCCTTTTTCCCAACTTGTAATCTGTGCAGCAGCAGTCTGATCATCGTGATCACCGTACTACTTTTACCTCCTTTTCTAGCTCCTCATCCTTTCACTTTCTCTTACCGCTGCTAAAGCACCACCACAGCAAGGCGGTACTACATTCGTTTATATCTTTGGAATTTGCGAATTTGGGAGAGTGAGTGTGGGATAGGTCATGTTAGCCTCAATCAGCACTTGACTCTTACGGTGATTGTCAAGACGACGATACAGAGAGACACCTGCTCGGGTTCCAGTTCGATGTGTTACCTTTTCTGGCCCTCTCAATTGATTTAGTGACGATTCGATATCTCCGCATTTCGCAACGATAATTCGATAGCCGATTGTGTTTTGTCCTTCGTTGTCTCATGAAGACATCTTATAGGGGACCTTGAGTTCTTGGTTGAACTTTCACACAATACAATTACCAACGCCTATCATGGCCGATATCACCCCACCTGATCCCATCGACGAGGAGTCGGAGTCTCCCAGCGTCGCACCATTCGAGGGCCGACCCAAGGAGAAGCGTCGCCAGAGACTCCTTCGGGGCGTCCAGCACGTGTCTTCCTCTTCTTCGTTGCAGCAAATCGGTCGTTCTCGGTCTTCTACCTCTCCGTATAGCACGCGAGGTAGCTTATCGTGCGTGAGTCTCGCAGCGACACCTGCTTTTGGACAACAATCTTCAGGTAGTATTACGCAGGGCTACTTTCCCAGTAGTCGATCGTCTACACCCGGTAGTGCGGCTGCTGAATATCCTGGGTCCGACGGCGTTGAAACTCGTATAGCTCGTAAAGTTGCCAATATTTCTACGACGCAATTGAACCCGACCACCGTCTCTCTACCGGCCGACGTTACCTCGAGGTCGAGATCTAGTACGGTCCGAAAACTACCTTTTGAATTCTGGGCAAGAATGCCCGACGAGATCCGACTGCATATTTTTTCCTACCTCCGGCCGAAAGAGCTTATTCGCGTTTCGCGTGTAAGCAAGGATTTCCAGAAGTTCTGTTTCGACGGTCAATTGTGGACCCATTTCGATGCTACAGAGTTCTACATGGAAATACCCGCCGAGGCTCTAGCTAAGATCATTGTTGCGGCTGGTCCTTTTGTGAAAGATCTCAATATCCGCGGGTGTCTCCAAATTGAGCACTACAAAAGGGCCGAGGTTATTGTGACGGCTTGCAAGAATCTTATGAATGCAACGTTGGAAGGATGCCGAAATTTTCAACGGACTACTTTGCACAATCTCATCAAATCTAACGAGGGGCTTGCCAACTTGAACCTTACCAGTATGACGGCGGTCACAAACAGCACATGCAAGATTATTTCCCAACATTGTCCACATCTTGAAACTCTCAACGTCTCATGGTGCAAGTATATGGATGCTCGCGGCATTAAAATGGTAGTACTCGGGTGTCCAAAACTGCGGGAATTAAGAGCCGGAGAAGTCAAAGGATTTAGCAGCATTAGCGTAGCAGATGCTATATTCAGGACAAACAATCTCGAGCGGCTAGTGTTGAGCGGTTGTGTGGATCTCAACGATGATGCATTCGCGACTATGATCCATGGCGTCGAACCCGAAATCGATATACTAACAGATCGACCCATAGTTCCGCCGAGAAAGCTTCGGCATCTGGACTTGAGTCGATGCTCACAATTGACCAGCCATGGTATTGCTGTGTTGGGTTATCTTGTGCCTGATTTACAAGGCCTGCAATTGAGCGGATGCAGCTCGTTGACCGACGCGGCACTACAGCCAATTATCGCCTCGACGCCTCGCCTTACTCACTTGGAATTAGAGGAGCTATCGGAACTTACCAACGATATCCTCTCAGAGCATCTCGCCAAAGCCCCGTGTGCTCCAAATCTAAAACATCTTTCTGTAAGCTATTGTGAGAATATCAGTGACATTGGCATGCTGCCCGTCATGAAAAATTGTGTCAGCTTGGAGAGCGTAGATATGGACAACACGAGGATCGGCGACCTTGTCCTCACAGAGGCCGCAGCCATGGTTAGGTCTCGGTCAGCCAGGACACCTCTACCCGATGCGCGTCCTCGTATTGGTCTCAGGTTAATCGTGTATGACTGCCAAATGGTAACCTGGACTGGCGTCCGTGAGATCCTGTCTTGGAATGCCGAAATCCGTCAGCCATCCGAGAGGTCGACTACCTACCCCACCGAGATCATAGGCCTTAAATGCTTCTACGGGTGGCAGCAGACGGTGGAGCAGCACACGCAGCGGGTGCTGAAGGGCGACTTCGCGGCCGCCGCGAGACTGGAGAGGAAGTGGGCAGATTACATGCAGGCTGTCGAGGAAGCAGGGGCTGGTGGTGCCGGCTCCCGCCGCCGCAGACGCCGTGCTCGCGCTGCTCAGATGCTGCACGCTGACGAGGAAGGTGGTCCTGCTGCCGGTCGCCGCCGCGCGCGAACCGTCGCGGCCAATTGCGTCGTCATGTAACCCATGTTGTTTTGAATTGCGTGTATCGGTTGCATCATAAATTTACTTATGCTCTCGGAGTTAAGAGGCTCTAACTAGGTCGGGCCTGGTTATCATTTAGGTATTTGCTTTTGGAGGGAGTTTATCTAGGAACACTTGATTTTTCTTTTCTTGGCTGGCTGGATAGGAGTTAGGTATCGATGGGCGTTTTTGTTTCCCTGGTTGCTATCATCATGGGGCATTTTAGCTATTTTTGTCTGTCCTGTTTGAGAGGAAGGAGGAAGAGGAATGTTATCGAGTTACTCACCTGTGTAGGAGGTATTTGTAGATGGATGGGTGGATCATTTAAGTCCCCTTTCCCCCCCCTTATTTGAGATACATTACCTTAGGAGGTGCCTATTCATTGGGCACATTTCATATGCCACTTGTCGCTCTTGTCGGGACATACTCTCTCTTCGAGTCTATTACTTATTTACTGGCGGCCCTGTACTCGTTGTATAGGTTAGGTAGGTATGTAGGTACGTTTATAACGAGGGCATTTGTATAATCTGGTATGCTGAGTGAGCATTAATGAATGCTATTAATGGGTCAGATGAATTTCTACATCCCCCCCTAATGTGTTCTACGAAGTCAAGATTATACATAGCCATTCAGGGGCAGGGTTTTAAACGGTAGCTGATTTACAACATGCCTACCTAAGCTAGGCGAATGTCTAAATCAGCCACGTCTCAACCTTATTCCTAAAGGCCATCATTGAATGTTGAACAACGACATGAACGACATAGGAAGTGAAAACACGCAAATTTGATTTCTACGTAAGGTAGCTATCCGAGCTCGTTACATTACATTAGGTACCTAACGGAACATAGGCAAACGTTAGCAAAGCAATCATCAGCTGGTTTGTGAGCCTAGCCAACAGTTGCTTGGTTTTTTTTTTTTTTTTTATTGGTTGTCATCTTTCGCACCCTTCCTCCCCTATTCTCCCCCCTTATTGTACTTTTCCACTCTCCTATTCTGAAACATGCGATGAAAAAAATCTCTTAGGCTCCCTGCCCATAGAACCGAAAAAAAGAAGAAAAGAAAAAAACAACGCGAAAAATTGACCATCTTCTCACTTTCCCTGAGAGGTCGATACCTCATGGGTAACATGGCTAGATGCCCCGCCGAGATCTGAAATTCCACGTATGAGTATCGAAATCGACAATTCAGTCTCTGACTAGACCGAGACTGTGGAATTTTCATAGATGTCCTGACCAATTAATATATATACCAATTGGCATAGAATCACGAAGTCAGATTTCGTGTATTCGGATTATACATTAGTATGTCTCCTTTTTAAGAAAAAAAAAGAAAAATCTTTTTTTGTCTATTCGGCTGATTCTTCTCTCCTGCTCTTGTTCTGTTGCTGTATGCGAAAAGAGTCCAAGCAAGGTACATAGCTTTCTCAGCTTCCGGGTAGTATGCCTGGCAAGGTGATATTAGGGTTGATATGCTTAGGATCCTAGGGGTCGACATTGATGTCGGAAGGTAATCCTGTCGAGCCATAGGTTAACATATCGATCATCTTGGTATAACTTTTCGTCGTGGTAAACGACCGTCATGTCGAAGTACCGGTCGAGGTAGGAAGCCATCCACTTGAATCGTTCATTCTGCTCAACCGCCCTTTTTGAGGGGCCACTTGGGATAACTGCTTCAATATCGATGAAATTCCATTTTCGAGGATTGTGGTCCGGTGTCATGTATCTGCAGTCTTTGCTCTCGTTCACAAACTCATATCCCTCTCGCGACTCGTAGTACGTTGAACAGCAGCTAAAAACTGCATCGAGCAATGCTGAGCATATGTTCCGACGACGATAGTCGGGATGCACGATGACTGTAAGTTTACCACAAGGCGCCGCATACGTCTTGTACGAGCCGAAGAGACCTCGGACAGCGACGTCTATTACGGCAAATGCAATCACCGGACCATTGTTCTCAGCAGCCTTATTGTACCACCCTTCAACAGCAACAAAGAAAGGCATCTTCTCAGTGGCGCACCCGTTGTAGATGTGAACCCATTTATCCAAAGCGACTTGTCGCTTGTCCACTGTCTTGTAGCTGGCATTCATCTCTTCATTATACAATGCTGCTACCTGCATCATGTCGGCATGTTGCGCCGGTCGAAGATGACACGGTATTCTAATCTCGCGCGGATTGGACTTTCTCTCATGATAGACTAAAGGAACTTCGAGCAGCTCTCTAGGCGCGTCCTCTTCAGTTTTATATTCCCTTTTCTCATCGAGATTTACGGACATCTCGCTCTCGGTATGAGGTTCGGCATTACAGAGAGTTTCCCCTGAGCTCTCCCCGACTAAGCCAAGTCAGCATCAAGCCATAGAATATCAATGCTGAAGAAATATGTACATACCTGCATGCGCCATCTCAGAAACATGCACCACAGGGGACATAAGACGACCATTCCCTGTGTCCACATCACATTGTTCGGGATTTGCAACTCCTTCAGGGTGGAGATCTACAATTATCTCAGGGGTTGGCTGAACCCAATTCTCGATGTATTTCTCAGGACGGCCTGGTACGTAGGAATGTATTGCCTGAGTACGAAGTTGAACCTGTTGAAGCTCTTGTGTAGCATTCTCTTCGGTATTTTCAGACACTTTTATGGGCTCGGGAGGCTGGAAGTCTTTCTCGACAACGTCTACTGGGTCAGTAACGACCGTCTCAGACACCTCCTTTACCGCATGAGGATCGATAGGTTTATTCAAGTCATCCGTCTTCTTCGGAATTGTGTTTGATTTGACTTCGACTTTATCGGTGCTGACACCCGCAGTGAGTTGTTCAACACTTTTGGCCTCCTTGATATCTTTCGGCGCCCAACGGCTTTGTGATAATCCTTTGCATATATTTGGGCTCGGTTCAATTCTAGCTACCAGTAGAGGTTCGACTTTACTAGAAGTTGGATTATTAGGGCGATAAGTTCCGTTCTCGACAGCGAGTCCATCCGAGGTGCTATTGTTAGCCCCCGACGATTCGGAGACTTCACGCGCATTTCCTTGCGGTTGTTTAACGCTGTAATCGATCGTCTCTGTTTGTGTTTTGTCAGGCGACTTTGCACCGGAAGTTTCACCAGAAGATGGGCCTGAAGATTGACCTTTTGTGACCAACTCGGGCTTATAATGGCCCGTCTCTGGATCGTAGACGTCGACCCACGTCTTTCGCTTGGAGGGAGCCATTTCTAAGCGAACATCCATCAGCATTAACTTTTCTCTCGTAATGATAGCCTACCTAAGTCATATAAGTGAAAAGGTATCCCAAGGAAGGAGGTTGCAAAGTTCACAGAAATCAATAGGATGTTACATCCGTAGTACACTGACTCACTTGCAATATGGGCCTTCCGCTAAATGCGTCTTTGAGGACTGTCAAGGGACGGTGTGGTCTTCAATATGATAACAACTAAGGGTATTCAGAGGGATTGATGTTTCCTCCTCGAGTTGAAACCGAATGAGGAAGGCCTGGAAGCAAGTCAGTAAGATATCTAGTCTGTACCTAGTAGGTAACGGTTCATGTTCCCTCGTGATCAATTAACCTGGTTACTGAAGAGAAACGGGGAGGAAGAAGTAGGTAGAGAGGGGACGAAAACGGGATCAGGATTAGACGCCACTTCTGTTCAAATTGTCGCCTATTCAAGGTATGGCTGGGTAGTGTGGATTCTCTTATTGGATGTGAAAAAAAAGAGATGACATCAAAATACCTAGTAGTAGGCAGGGGGAATGAGAAGAAAACCGCACTTACTGCTGTATCGCAATAGGAAACCCTAAGTAGGCCTCAAATAGTAGAGTTGATTGTTTACCTGGGTAGGAACCTGTAGTAGCAATGGAGATCAGTTATGTGTTTTCCTATTCGAATAAACTGCCAAAATCAACACGCGAATGAATCAGTAGGCACATACCTAGAAAGACGAGTAGGTATGACAGGCGATACAAGCTTGAGCGATTCGTCTCCTGCCGCCCTCAACTTGAGTCGTGTGACGGACGAGTCGTGGAGCTTGAACCAATAAAGTTATGGCTAGTAGGTAGAGAAACCAGGATACCTGTCGTATCGAACGAGAAGATATATCTATGAGCAGTGGATGTGGGATGACGAAAGGGGAAAGGGAGTGTTTGATAGTTAGTGTCTTGACCCTATTCGTACCCGAAGCCTTGGGCTTAGATAGATACTCTAGAATGGCCCGACAGAAATAGGGATTTAGTGATGAAGTAGGTGATGAAGTAGGCGATGATGAAAGAGTGTGGAAGAGATGGATACTAAGTGTGTAAGTAATAGAGCAAGTCAAGTAGGTAGGGTGCGATGCCTGCCGGAGAGCAGATAGGCAATGGATATTGCTTGTTACTTCCCACCAAGCCGTGCTTGCAATATGAAAGGGAAATTGTGTACATGTACGGAATAGAGAGAAGGAGCGAAGTGTGTTACCCTGGGAAAACTGATTGACTAGCCGGTAGTCCCGACTTCCCTAACAAGATGTGCAGACATGAGGGGGGGAAGGAAGGGCCCTGGGAGCAGTGAATCTAACTAGATCTAACCAGTTCTGTGCATTACCTGGGAAAATCCCATTTCATATTGGCTCCGCCCTAGTAATTACCATGGGTTTCATCTATTAGTACCGACCATGAGGCCTTTGAGGGCTATGTGGTAGGTATTAGATATGGAGTTTGTCCCAAGTAGCATATTATATGACATCACAGCACCCCTTGTGTGTCAACACCTACTTTGTTCTCGCGGAGGGGAAGTGCAGTATAGTGAAGGGAATGTGAGTACAATCTATACATCCTCACCTTCGAGTTAATAAGCATTAAAGAGTTAGCTAACCATGCTACCTATATAGTAACAGACGAACAGCTACCATTATCAAAGAGGTGTGCTTTTCAATGCGATACATGATCTAGACGAGACATTAATGACGAGACATGCCGACATAAGTTCAAGAAAGCCTTGGGATAAAGAGAAAGAAGGGAATAGAAGGGGCAAGTGGTGCTAGATGCAAAAGGGGGAAAAGGAAAAGCACACGAGTATAGCCGAGTGATGTTATGATATGTCCTAGGAACTTCCATCAGAGGTTAGCAGCATAAATTCCATTTAATTATGAACATAAATACACTACTATACATGGCTTCTACTTTCTCACGATTCATCATGATCAGGTGAGACAATGAAGGACCCTGGAAATAGGTTGACTCTTTCGCATTCACATCCGAATTCCACACCTTGTCTGCCTGATTCCCTTTGGGTTTGTCGATGTCACTGCCTAGACCCCTCTCATATAATGGCCGGTTCGAATAATAATAATGACAAATAGCAGTGCTGCAGGTCATCACCTGGGCTTAAACATATTAGTCGTCTAGTTTTTATGTAAATTAGTATCTTCCATTTTGCCACTCAGCAATATCTTCACCTAAGGGGGGAGAGGGTTTAACCTATATTTATTTTTCTATATAGGGGTACGGGGGTTTCGATTCACATACTGGACTCTGTTTCTAAATAGAACTTTCATAGCGGTAGGTTTTTCTTTGAGATCTGTTCCGAAGGATTTCAATATACTGGTTGGGTTTATCTATGTTAAATACAGATTGCCAACACCTCATCATTGTGAGTTCATAATCTCATAACATTAAAAAGGAAATTTGTTCTATTACGCCTTATTGAATACACCCCTACCAGCTTGCTCACCTAGATAGTCCGAAGTATATCTAGCTCCAAGGGTGCATTGGGTGGGTTATTGTAAGATGCCTGGTATTGTACAGGTGTGTTAAGGGATGCACGTCTCTGGAAAGCCAAGTCCTGAGGAGTAATACCGCCTTCATCAATTCTCTTATAGGATAGTTGGTTGAAAATTGGTAATTTGTGGCTTGAACGGGTTTTTCCACCTGGGCCATCACTATCAGGCAGCGACTTGGAATATCTCATCCATGATGTAAAGGGGCTAGCTAGAAGCTTCATTTCGTGGAAAACACTTGGGAAAGTAGGTGCGCAGAATACCAAGAGGAGAAATACCATTTCCGCGGCACCCCAAACTGCCATCCGAGATATAGCATAAGTAGCATCTTGAGTCTGGAAGTACTTGACCGTCGTTATCAGTCGGAAGACGCCAGAAATAAGAGCCCTAGGTAAAGGCTTCATGAGCTTTCAAGTCAATAAGCCTGAAGGGGTTACTTACAAAATGCCGATTGTAAAAACTAACGAAACATTAATTTTTTTCCGTGTTGTCATATTCAGTTTCCATATAACAGTATGAGGAAGAATTAGAATAAGTGTATGTGAAGCAATATTGATACTGGCAGATGAAACATCGACGGCTTTCCTGTCGAAACATGTTCCGGGGACTGTTTCGTCCCATATTTTCTTATGTGGAGTACAAGAGAGGTTTACAACAATGAATCCTGAGGTATAAAATATGATGTTTATAAATATCATAAAATAGCAAGTCCACTACAATCGCCACGTTAACTTTTGAACATGAATAAGAGTAGGAAGTGCAGTTATGGTGAAGACGCTGAGAACCTAGCTTCCACTCTGTCGTCTACCTAATTGGTGTACACTATTGGAAGGATGGTAGGGGGCCTGTGAGCACTTACGAAGAAGAAACCACGAGTTCCGGATGGAACAAATGTTCGTTTCCACTCTAGAAGTATGGCGACCTTCAGATTCATTATTACGATCGAATAAAATGCAAGACAAAGGCTAACAACCTAATTATTCCGTTTCAGTGTGAAATCTACCCCAGATGGGGATTGGGAAAGTCTCAACTATGAAAATAAGAAGTCAAACTCACCCAAAGAAACTCAGATAAGTCTCTCACACGAACGTCCCACTGGTGTACAAACAGCCCCGTGCCATGAATAAGGCGGAAACCTAGGCACTGAGTCGTAGTAAATAGAACCTAGATTCATGGGTTAGTCTCATCGAACTTGATATAAAAATGGTTGAAATTCAAGTACATATGCTGCGAACGCGAGAACTGAGTACTTTTGGTTAGTTGGGCGATGGAATATCTAGGTTAGGTTACAAGGGACTTACAGTCCTCCAAGAAGACTTTGCGTGTAATGAAGATTCTAGAATAACCCCTGAAAGAGATAGCAATTGTTCCTACTGTCAGAGCAAGAGTAATCGCAACAAAAGCGGCGGAATTTTTGTTCGGAGGGTTTTCTAGATTTGGTGTAACACCAGGGGGAGGAGAGAGGGCTGGTCCATTAAGGACTACTTCTTGCTCCTCGGGTGGAAGAAGGTGAAATTGATCCGGTAACATGACGAGGAAGGGCAGATTGCGGTAAATGGAGAATTCTTCTCCGGCCGGATTGTCTCTTTCGAGGGGCCTAAGAGAAAGTTCTTATGATATCAAGAAAAGCAAATGTACCCCTATAGGTGCCTAAGGTAATGAATGCACCGAGGCGGCGATACATCAGCTTATATCGGACTCGTCAATTGACAAACACTCCGTCTGCAGCTACTGCCTACGGAGTCATATCGAGGCTGTGTCTTAGCTAACTCGTGTAGGTACTACCGTACGGAAGCCAAGGGCGCGCCCGAATCAAATGAGACATTGTAACAGGCCTCAGTCCGGGAAATTTTGAAACATTATGACTCTAAAATAAGTAGATATGACAGCTAACGGCATAACATTAGCGAGTCTTACATCTATGGAACCCCGAGTAGGAATCCATATAGGAGGTATATATGACTCTTCCCATTTAGTCTGATTTATGAGGCGTTCTTGACCGAGCTCGTATACTATATCAATTTGTGTTCCTGCGCTTGTGATTTGTGTATCGTTTATTCAGCTCGGACGAAAGGCCTTTTAGGCTACTACGAGGAACTATGAAAAGCCTTCATATTGGCTTATTTTGAACGCGAGTCGCCGTATTATTATAATGATAAAATGATCATGTCTTCTTACAGAATGCTCGCTCTTCTCGGGATGGATAACTGATTCTCATATGAGGAGTGGCATGAATATTCTAGACATTTATATTCGGTTAATAGAGTAAAGGGAAAAAAGAAAAAAAAAAAGCCCCCAAGCCAAGTTATGTAGCCGACAATGGTGGCTGAGGTTCCACCACCACCACCAAGTTTCTCTTGACAAAATATTAGCCAGTCTTACCACCTATTTCCTTATTAGCATAGAATTCGTACCGCTTCCTGTCATTTTTCTGACGGCTTTCTCGAATTCACAATCCTGAAGCCTCTAAACTACTTACCTGACCTAGGTATCTTCTATTTACTAGCTAGCTCGTTCCAACAAATATGATCCTAGAACTAAAGCTCGATTTCTACCCCGCATCGAACCCCAGCCGTACAGGGGTCCTCGTACTCCCAGGCGGCGGGTATGATTTTATTTCCATGGAGAAGGAAGGGATAGCCCCAGCACGATGGCTCAACGATCGCCAGTTAGATGCGTGGGTACTCTCGTATACGACCGCCGGCCCGTCCAACCCGGCGCCCATATATCCGGCTCCGCAGCGCGAGGCCCTGGAAGCGGCGCGGCAGATCCGGGCGTCGGGGCGCGTCGACAGGCTAGGAATATGGGGATTCAGCGCCGGCGGACATCTCGCAGCAGTGACGGCGACGGATCCCGCTGCGGATCTGGATTTTGCCATCCTTGCTTATCCGGTTATCAGCATGGCGGCGGGGACCACCCACGAGCGCTCGCGGCGCAACCTTATCGGCGATGGGCGCGGGGCCGGGAGTGACGTCGAGAATGCCATGTGTGCCGAGAAGCGCATAGATGGAAACACGCCGCCTACGTTCCTGTTTCATACTGCAAATGACGACGTGGTGCCGGTGCAGAACACCTTGGGGTTTGCCGTGGCGATGGCAAAGTACGAAAGACCCTTTGAACTTCTTATCATTCCGGATGGTCCCCATGGGATAGGGTTGGCATTGGGTGATGAACGGTTGGGTTGGACCGGTGAACTGGACAAGTGGCTGAAGATTTCTGCCTTAAAAAATTAAACTATTCCGTGGAGAATCATTTATATAGTTTGTGCTCTGATGCTCACCAGGCCGGGACTTGTCTAATTAAGAATATAATTAGATGTCAACAAGACTCAAGATGCTTAACTGCGGCACTCTAGTCACGTAACTGTATGCAAATACCTAAGTGTTACTCTATGTATATACTTGGGTTATCTAAAATAACATAAGGGACAATTCATTCATGATATAACAGGTTTACGATAGATTTAGAGGATTCGAGACGACGCCAGAGTCGAAGACCAGAGGGCCGACTAGCATCAGTATGGAAAGTAGGGCAACAGGAACGGGGAGACTGGAGAATCGAGTCACATCCTACGGGGACGATTCGGCTTGGGTAATTCCATTTTGTATTGCAGGTACACTAAGTGATGATAACCCAATGATCTTTAAAACGGCCGGGCTTCCCAGAACTCGTGTAGGCTAGGAACAGCTATAGAGCCGAGACAGGTAACACAGCAGCAGCACAGACCTCCCTGCAGTTGATGTGTATTTGAGTAAGATAAAAAACAGTATTAACATGCCGAGGCTCCATTACAATGAAGTAAACGAGTGCACCTTAGCCGCCGGGGCCGCGTGAAAGGGTCGGGAAGTCCTAGGGTAAGTCGCAGAGTTCTAACTGCATAGCATATTCGAAACTGATTGGAATACCTAGAGTTGCTGGATCATGGTTGAGCTCACGGTACCACGGGAAAACTGGCTTCTTGATAGTTCATTTCTAAGGTCGCTGGACCCTTTGGGACAATGCAAAAGGGGAAAGAGAAGTCAAGATTCTCTATGCCAACACTGGTCCGTGTCGTACCACTTATATGCAACAGTTGGCATATCTAACCTGGATAGTATCGGGAAGGATTTTACATTTTGCTTCGCCGAATGGTCGACAGATAGTAAAGATCTACTAACCGTTCGGGAAGAATTTACTCTGCTGACGTGAAAGATCACCCCATGCCCATTTGACAGCAAATAGACTTATGATTTTGCATGAAAGTCGGCATAGGACGGGCCTCGACCTAATTGACATACGTTATCTTAACGTACCTAGCTACTGCCTTTTAGAAAGGTGTATTGGATATCAAGGCCCTAGGTCGCTAGAATACTTATAACAGGGAACCTATAGCTGTATCCAAGCTTATAATGGCATTCAAGATACTGGCATCGCTTTAGCTAATAGGCACCACGTGTAATATCTAAAAAGGCTTTGCTAAGCAAGGCTTCGGGAAGGAAGCTTTACTTTCGCAACACGGGCCGAGCTAATGATTTCGCCGTTCCTAATTGCCCTTGCTAAGCGCCGAATATCGATGCAGCATCTCATCCTAGTACGAACTCCTTTCTAGGCTTTTAACATGCGATAAATATAACATAGCCTCTATAAATAAGATAAGAGGCCTTTCACGAGGCCTTAATCAGAAAAAAGAGAATTATCCAAAGGTGAGTTTGGCAAGCTGTCATGCTTCAAGATTATGCTCAGATCAACTTCGGGATTCACCGGAGTTGACCAGTAGGAGCAAACTGTATCTAGCCAATCATATCAACAGCTGGTCTGATGAAATATACCGTATTTGGCTATATACAGCCAACATGTCTCTGATACGGCAGGCAATCTTACGCCCCCAAGGTTCCTCAGTCCTTTTGGGAGGGTTTCGAAAGAACCATAGAGCTCCGAAGTTAGCCGCTCTGAAGCATAGGACGATAAATGCAATTTAGTATAATATATGTATGGAGTGTAAGTCACCAATATCATTCGTTATAGGTAGTTCGTTGTCAATCTTATCCGGATTTCTCTGGATTTTGGGTATTGAGCTATACGTGGTCACTCTTTACCTGTCAGGAATATCTTGGTTTGGCTGGGAGGGCACATGCTTCCTGTGGTTCATACTGACTGCACCCAAGTCCACCCATGAGGCTATGCCATGTCGCACCACTAGAAGACATACATACCCCGCACCATCGATCCATCGCGTTCTATGTACGGCAGTTCGGGGAATTCAATCTCATGTACTTTGTAACGCTTGCCCAAGGCAATGTGGTTGAATGCAGGCTACAGAACGTGCATCCTTCAACGTGAAACGGCTGTTGGAAATCGTGAGGGAGCCAAGGGGCTCGGTATGTATAATAGTATGGCATCCCCCTGTGTAGTTAAGACACGAACCATAACGTGATAACATCATTATATTACTATATTATACTCAATATCACAGCATTTCGGTCGGTTGGCGATATTCTCAACTATGTACTATCAGGGCGGTACTCTCTTTACCGGCCCATACCCCTCATCAACTCCCCAGCTATGGGATCCGAAGGTTGTGCTCGGGCTTTACAACATTGAAAAGGAAGCTATAACTTGTCCTGGATTCGCTACAAGCAAAGGTCGAAGGTGTTGGAAAGTACCTGCTCGCCACAAAGTCAACCAAGCAAAAAGCATTCTCAGCGGACCGGCAAGTAAACCCTACTCCGAGGCAGTGGAATCACCGGAACTCGGCCAAGCAGCAACTATCTTGTTATGCATCTACCATATAGATCAATATTCCGATATAGTTCGCCAATGGCGAACTAGTCTCACCAGTTTGGCTAGTAGGGATGACCATAAACCCGCGCAGAATGGCATGAATGCAGGGGGCCGCAGTGGTATACCTCGATGCGAACCTTACGTGAATGGAGGGGTACGTGATACTCCCCAGCAGCAAAGATACTCGCCGAATCCAAAGGAGAAAGAAATGCAAGAAGAGGAACGGAAGCGAAGACAAGAAGAAGAGCGAAAACGAAGGCATGAGGAAGCGAGGAGAAGGGAAGAGGAACAACGACGGAGATCAGAAAAAAGAGCTCAAGAAAGGGCGTTCATCGAGCGAGTTCTCCTTGAGCTAGAGCGGGCACAGCAGCTTGAAGCATGGCGCCCCATACGGAACCTATATCGCCAACGGAACACCTATTCCCAAGGACTATCAACACCGCCGGTACAAGTGCAGTAAACAATGCCTAGCTGGTGAAATCAGGACGACGATCAGACGTTGATGAAGTTAGCGTGGAGCTATTATTCGCAAAGATGCTGTCAGGGCCGTTGGTGAAGTTGGAAGAGAAACGGTTCAAGTTCGTAAATATGGAATCCAGGAAATGGCAGACAGATAAGGTTACGGGACGCTTCGGTTCTGATGTAGTATACGAACTTGCAAGGGACGCCTTGAACATCATCGAGAACTTAGAAGATTATGGTTAAGTTGAGATAGGAGGGCCAAGGACAAGAGCGATGATTATGAGAACGATGCTGCGGATATATTTAGGTTCATCATCTGAAGAGGACGAAAGCGAAGGCTGAGGAGTTTCTTACAGACTCAACAAAAACTATCCAGAATCATAAGTATGTGTGCTGCTTGCTTGATCCTTGATTAGGAATTTTTGGCCTTCACTTCAAGCGAAGCTGGTGATGTTTGAACGATTATGCGGTTTATATGTGCATATACTATCTACTACATTGAATTAAACGTGTAGAGTTTGGAGTAACACACTGCCAGAGTAGGTACTATGCATCTATGCATCTATCTGGGATAAGAGTACCTAGGTAGGTACTTAAACAAATCCCCCCCGAATTCTAATCGCAAAGATAAACCAAACGATTACAAGGTGGTTACAAAGTACTTGCAAAATGAGTTCTCCCACAAATGTTACCGAACGGACACGACACGGGTAGTTAATTAACTTAGCCGGCTCCCAATCTGCCAATGTCAAACGTGAAGGAATCGGGTTCAGACCCGTCCCAACACAAGGACATGACAGTAAATTAGGTACCTACCTCTAGGTATGTAAGGTATTGGCGACGACTCAAGCTCTAGTTGTGTAGGCAGGATGCTCATTCGGTGTTATAAAAGAGCGATTGCTAAACATTACTACCCTACAACTCTTAGCCAGCCACGCGAACACCAATTGCGCAAGAACGTCAATGCAATGCTGTGTCACTGCAGAAATATCGCCCATCATTGCTCTGAAAACTGACTTAAGTGACACGATATTGTAGAGAAAAGCCAATTATCTACCTAGGTACGCAGTGCCACCATGTTTTCCGACCACCACACGAAGACTGCGACGAAGGCCAGCTCATACAACTACTACTACTACCTAACCTATGGTACACCGAGTATGACAGTTATTCGCGACCTGAAGCTTAGCATTGGCTCGTTGCCCGGCCTCGTCGTGTTACCGTCGCCGTCCCACGGTGGGGAGCGTATGGGAAAATCCAGGCTTAGCTACCGGTAACCTGCCGCTCTAGTAACCGGGCCTATACCCATATGCTAAACCGTAGATACCTTACTAGGTACCTAATGTAAGCCCATACTTCATTTAGTACCTAATGCAACTAGCTGGCTTTGGGTCCAGGGGAACGGCAAGGCAGCCGGGCTAGTTCTTAGTTCGACGGGTGTGGCCCCTTAGTATGCCAGTCTTACCGTCTTCCAATGCGGACTGTGGAGAAATAATCGACTGGCTGGTTCCAAAAAGCAAGTTTTTTTCTTTTTCTTTTTTTTTTTTTTTTTTTTTTGCTACGGGAATCACAAGAATCACAATTCTTCTTATCATCTTACTGGACGCCTACAGATACAGCACGCAGATCTTCTCATGCAGACACGAGATTACCTCTCTGGTTCTAACCGTTGCTGGTGCAACTAAGAATCCTCGGCAGACCCTACGATGACGGCGATAAAAATTTATCTCATCGTTCATACCATACCTAGTACAATACCTTTAGGTACCTAAGTAAGGTAGACGGACATGGGAGTCGGCAATCTCGATCTTTGAAGACTTGGGGTTACGGAAATGCTCCGGGCATCACCGCAAGCGTGATTATTCTCTAAAAAGGTCTTTCTACAAGGCACAAAGCGTCTATAGTTGCTTCCTGGCGTGCGTTATCGCTTAACACCTAACTCTGCATAGATGTGTGTTACTAGGGAAATAGTGCTTTGCGACTAGAGGTAGCTGCTTCAACATCGGAATAAGATAGAACTGTTCGAGATGGAATACACAGTCGCACCGGCTGGGCCATGCGGCTTGTAGCGGTGACATCCATCTCCACGCAACACATGTTACTCATGAGGGGTTGGTGGTGTTGTCGGGCCAGTGTGGTTCCAGGATCTCAGCCTCGAATACATCATCGTTACCAACAGACATGGGTAATCCCTGGAAGCTGGTTGAGCTGTAAACATCCTAGCAGGACGACCCTAGGACGACTAACCTTTCCCTTACATCTGCGATATCGTCTTGGCCTGCATAGAGGGAGGCTAGGCCTGCGCCCGTCGTCACCTGGTTTTCAGTCCTCATGTATTGAATGACTTTATCATCAGAAAGTGGAACAGACGACTCGATCGGCAAGCCGGTCGCTAACGATCGACCGTTCCCTTCCAAGACGAGTTGTTTTTAGTGACACTAGCGAGCGTGTTCAGCAGTAAGGCACCACGTCTATCCAATCCGCCGACATGGAAGTTTTTGGTTTACTTCTCCATCCGTCGCACAAGGCGCAAGATGCAAAGCCGGACAAGGCAAGCTTTCAAGCGAGGCTTTTGTTATATGCGAATTGCCAGGGCATTTAGGTGGTGACAAGATGTCATGATAATCCACTAGCGACGCAGTGCAGCTATCCTGCGTGTGTGGTAGGACGAAGGTATAAGAAACCTGCCATCCCGTCTTTTTATATCTTCCTTCTTCCCATCACCAACCTCCCCCAACCTGCTGCTTTCTCAAGGCCTCGCTATCGAGTAACTCCTTCGTTAAGGTTACTTAAGACCCTCGCTGAGCCACGCCACCCCTCCATTCGCCCTCGCGCTGTCGTAGTGTTTACATAACTCCAGCTTACTTTCGCTATACATCTCATCTCATCAGCCCCACCAGCGACCGTCGAATTCAAGATGAAGGCTGTTTACGCTGCGTTGGCTTTGGCCGCTTCGGTCATGGCAGGCAAGGACCATGAGTCTATTGTCACGGCCACAACCTACGAGACAACTACTGTCTGCCCGATCACTAACACAGTCACCTATGGTGGATCGTAAGTCGTCTTTTGATATCAGCATTCAGTATAACCCGCTCACCGCCTATTAGGACCTACGAAGAGACCACTTACACCACATCAACCGTAGTTGTCACCTCGTGCGCGGGAGGTAACTGCGGAGGTGAGGCTACGGTAACTGCTCCTGATACCACCGTCGGCACCACCACCGCGGTCGAGGTTACTTACACAACCACGTGTCCTGTCACGGAGACAGTCACCGCTCCTGGCAAGACTTACGTTACGACATACACCACGACCAGCGTAGCAGTCACCTACGTGGACACCACTCTCGTCGAGACCGTTACTGGGCCCCCTGCTACGAAGACCACGGAGGATGTTGCTTACACAACTCTGACTTCGCTATGCCCGGTTACTGAGACCAAGACTCTAGAGGGTTCTACAGTCGTCGTTACATGGACATCAACCTCGACCATTAAGACCGCTGTGCCTACTACTGCTATTGAATACACGTCGTATACCGTTACTAAGCACGTGTCTACTGAGATCTTCGAGACTGTCACCTGCCCGGAGACAGTCCACACTACCGTGTCGGAGGGTAAGACTATCTACGTTACCGAGACCGGTACCGAGACGCTCTACACCACTAAGGAGTACACCGTTACGCAGACTCTCCCTGTCACCGAGACCAAGGAGATTGATGTGACTGTCACTTCCGAGGCCACCGCGGGCGAGACCGTCACCACCATCCCGACCGTCTGGGTTACATACAGCGATACTACCATCGTCACCAAGTCCAAGTCTGCCACGACTGTTCCTTACCCTACTACCGTCTCCGTGCCCGTCTCCAGCAGCGCAGCCACCAGCGCGGTCGGTACCACTTACGTCCCTTCGGCCCCTCTTTCTTCCTCCACCAGCGTTCCCCAAGTTCCCTCGACCGCCCTCGCACCCCAGGCTACGCCCGTCGCTGCCATCTTGGCTTTCGCCGGTCTCGCAGCCCTATTGTAAGCTTTTGGGGTTCTGCTCTGAAACATGATGCAACAACCGAAGCCCAACAACTTAGTTCTTTCTTTTCTTCTATTATGATGAATATAGCATAAAGGGGTCCCTAGCATAAGCATGGAACGGTGGTGATTACACACACACACACACACACACACACACACACACACTCCCAGCTGCGGGTGGAACAGCATTCATTTACCGGAATAAAGGCACAACGGGGAGGGGAGAGGAAACTCAGGTGGCGGCGGCGGGAAAAAAAAGACGATTTTTCGATTTCTAACGGTCCATGATGATGGTTTAATGTTTACTGGTTACTGGTATCTTGAAGGGATCATGATAATTCTTTTTGCTTAGTTGACCGGTCGGTTGACTACCTATTTACATGTAGTACGTAGCCTTTTTTTACGATATCTTCGTGCATATAGATTTGATAAAGCCTTGTCACTATTAACTAGTTCCTATCTAAGTAGGCTCCTATCCTTTTTTTCGTTGCTCAGGACTGCACAGCTTGAACCTTGAGACTTGGATGACCTTAGGTAGGTAGGTAGTGTAAGTTGTGAGTACCTAATGTTAGGTCTAAGACACCTCACGTAGGTTCCCTAGCTGGAGCCCTCGTTGTTGATGATGATCATGTCCTTGCGTCCGTGTGTGGCATACAAGGTAGGTACCTAGTATATGCCTTGTTGCGTTGAGATCGGGGGAGGGAGTGATCAGCAAGCACCGGAGGTGGACCGACGATATCGACGATCAATCCTCTTCCGGGTATGTATTTCACCAACCCACCTTTACCATCCCCAATCCTTCTTATGCGCAGCCAACAAAGAAGGGGGGAAAATTACTTGGAAACGTAGTATTAAGCAATAATTAGCGCCCTGCCGTATGTCTCAAGCCCCGTTCAGCCCGCGGCCAGCTACGTACCTCTTACTATGTAGATATTTCGCTCAACTGAACTACCCCCGGACTATAATGCAACTATGCTGCTAGGTATTAACACACACTTGGTTACGTCATAGATTTGGTATTGTTGTTTTCATATGAGAAGATGCCAAGCACTAATAATAGCTCTCCCTTACTCGCGAGCGGCTCTTCTGTCTAGCTAGGTAGGTCGATAATTTAGTTAGGGAGGGGGAAAAATACGACGCTGCTTTGTAACGGTAGCATGATTGTCTCCATTAGCCATATGTTTTATTTAGACCACCTAGGTAGATTACTTAACATGTATAGACTGTTTGTATAAGACACACGAGAACAAGAAGAAGGGTTATCCTAGTCATGATTTTGTTTAGAGAGGAGTGTTAGGGCTGAGATATCGTTCCAGTGCGATGGGATGCGGGAAGCTTTATTCGAGTTTGTATCCACCTACACACCCATCTTTTTATGTCTTGTCTCGCGCAAAACATATCTTACACATAAAAGGTAGAAAAGAAAAAAAAGGGTTTATACCCGAGTTTCCCGGAGACGACCGGTGGCACTAAGCGATAGCGATTCTTTTAGTGTATAATTCATAATAGTTACCTCTAATTACCTCTATCCTCGTGGCTCGCGGGATCTCCTCGAATAGCGCGTATCCACCGAAGCTAACGAGATTTCTGCATCGGGTAGCAAAGCTGCCATGTAGGTACCTCAGCTAAGACAGCTAAAATAGCGTGTTCTATGTAATTATTCCTTTAGCAACAGCGGTTACGTCACGTTTACACGCGAATTGAATAGCAGGCCCCCTAGAGCTCAGTGATGGTTTGTTTCCTTTCTCCTGTATACGGAAATTATGCCCGAAGTGAAAATTGTATGTTATGCAAAGGCCATCTATCCAACCTTAGGTCTTACCATAGGTAGTACGTTGTGGTCACACAGAGGAACTACCTAGGTTCCTAAGGTATGCGAGTACCTAATCTGAGGTAAGAAAGTTGCGTCACATTGTATTAAAGAACTTACGAGGTCCACTATGTATAATCGCGGCTCAGATAGGACATAAGAATCAGGTACATAATAAAAAAGAGGATTTATGCCGTAGGACTCAGCTGTATTATGCAAAGTATTCCCGGAACATGAATAAACAACGGAAGCTTGGCTAGACAACAAACGGCGTACTAGGCTAACAAGCCCATCAGCCCTATCATAATAGCTACCTACCTACCTAAGGTATATGGCCTTGCAAGTCATCACAGCCACGGTATAGCATAGCACAAGAAGCCAATATGCATCCACTTTACAATGCAAAAGCTTGTGAACTTCGATGGCGTATTATTGTCCCAACATTAATCTCCTTGCGTGTCTGCCCGACATCTCCTTATGATATCTAGTGTGAAGAGCCAGCCAGCCGTATAGAACACGGGGTGTTGCCGACTACAAACAAGCATTTACGCCTCCCCTGCCAGAACATGCAATACCTAGGTACATACATACAATCAGTGTTGCCCCCCCCAACACCGTTTCCGCCCTTGATCCGATCCGTACATCCCTATATGATACACCAAGGGAGCAGGCGTGCACGTACCCCGGTATGTACATGCAATATGAAGCCATCTAGACTTCATCTTGTCGGGGCATAGCTATGTGGCTGATGCTATGCCGGATGCTAGATGAAAAGGTCTACATCTCCTCGAAAGTAACCACATCCTAGGTAGTTATTCGCCCCCAATCTTAGGTACCACCATCAAGGCTGACGCGATTCCTAATCGCTCAGCGCTTGCAGCGCCTGGTTGAGAGGCACGACCCGCAAGCTACGCCCCCTTTTAAGGCCAGTGCTCACATTCGTAATTGTAGGGCTCTCAGCATCGCGCCATTTGCGGAATACGCTCTTCATGTCTCGAGGAATGCCCTCCAACACTACCGTTGAAAACGGGACGAACGGCCTGTCCTCCATTCCAGCTGCGAGAATTCCGTACTCTTGCGCGAAGTCTAATGCGTTATGAAACGACGCGTACTGCGCTTGGGCTCGGGACCCTACGATGATGTAGAGCTCGAAGAACGCATCAAGGACATATATATTCGTCGGTCGTAGATCGGCCTGCGAGAATGGAGATATCTCAACGATCTGCGGGGTATCATACATTAATAAAAGCCCGCATACTAAACGAGGGGAAGTGTGCAACTTACTTGCTGCTTAGAGGCTGCGTTTGAGCAGAACAGCCTACAGCAGTATTTATCGTAGCTCGGTTTGAGACGCCAATGATCCGCAGACATAGCCTTAGACTTCACATTAAAAAGGTCCCAGAAACTTGCTGGCTCGTGGCCATCTTCGATTTCTTCCATCTCGCCTGATAATGCATAATCCATTCCTATGAGACGCGCGCAGCTCAGCTCGTCTACACCGCTACCCTTGCCCTTCCACAAATAACATTTTCCACCTGTCGATACAACATACGGGAATCCAGAGCATAAAGTTGTAGGTGCGAAGTCAACCTCATCGAAAACGATATGCCCTCGATACCGCCGCCCACAGAGTATGTGCGGTGCTAGCGAGTCAAACTTATTGCCTGAACCTCGTTGGACAATAACTATACCTCCCAAGGCCTGTAGAAATTCGGGAGTCTCCTTGCCTTGATAAAGTTTGACTAGCTTGCCGCCTAGAGCTCGTGCTTCCCGTGATACAAATAACGACGCATCGTCGACAGTAGAGCGGGGAACGTCATCTCCTGCCCAGAAATAAACCTCTGTAAACTTCCTGCCCGATTCATCCTTGAACGTGTGAGTACAAATATACATCTCTCCTTCGAACAAAGTTCGTTCGTTGTGGGCCGGCACAGGTAGTTTCTTGCCGTCTGCTGAAAATTGAAATAGCTGTGCACTTAATGTTTGGATCTTAGGTGGCGCTATACTTAGTCGATGCATTAGCAATTCAGCCGCATCTACATTATAACTTTTGCGTGTACGTTCAGAGCCGAAAAAGTCGCCAAGTAAAGTTGAAGCTTCAAACGACTGCTTAGAGGGTGACCGTATGGGCGATGACGTCGGAGGCGGCGTTCTTGAACTACGGTTAGGGGGGGACTGTGGGAGTTGTTTAGGTTCTTCTGGCAATGGACGCGGGGGCAATGCCTTTTCTAATCCGTTATGCGTTGGAATAGCGGGTAAGGGTCGTTCGATCGAAGCAGGAGTCTTTACAACTTCTGGAGAGGGAGAAGAGCCGAAAGTGTCGTTAGAGGAAAGCTTCTTCGGACCTAAAGAAAGCGGATCTGGCAGTGGCGTCCTTGACTTGTTCAGCGGCGGCGACTGAGGTTGCGATTTTGGTAGATCCTGAACAAGAGGTTTATCAGAACCTGGTTTTGGCTTTGCCATAGAAGGCGTCTCATCGTCCCCCTTCACATTTTTCACCACCTGAGGCTCACCCATTTTCCCAACAGCTTGTGTTGTTGCATCATCAAGAAATCGTGACATTCGTCTCGCATCGAGCTTCTTCGGAGACGACGGTTGCGAAGTGGATTCTTTAGAGTCATCCGATACCTTTGTGGGCGACCGTGGTCTCCTCTGATTCGCGAAGGCAGCTACCTGCTCGTGAATTTTGCTTGGACCCGGCGCCTTACCGGCTTCTGACGCTGCAGCGGCGATGAACGGATTTGAGAAAAGATTAGGAGATATCAACGGCGGGCTCGGCCTTGCTAGTTGATCTTTGCCCACGTCGTTTGCTTCAGGATTTGGCGGGGAATCGAGAGACTTCTCTGGCGATGCTGCGCGTCCAACTGTTACGCTGTTAGACGGAGTTTCCTCTGGTGCATGAGGGGCTGCGGCAGTTATTGAAGTTGGTGCATTTCTCTTGGGCCCTCTAGCGCGACCCTTGGTCATATGTGTCAACTTTGGCCCCGAGCCAGCCTTATTATCATTCACATCAGTTGCGTCATCGCGTGATTTAGAGGTTGCAGTGCTAGATGAAGATCCAGGAGCTACACCAGGTGGTCCCCTAGCAATTAAACCAGCAAGAGCAGGGTTGAATCGACCAGCCAAGCCACCACCCAAGGGTTTTCCTTGTAGCCGGTCAGGAACAGTTGTGTCCTTAACGATTGAGACGGCTTGAGCTGAACCTCGCCTCGGGATATTTGGAATGTCTGTCTTAGGAGTGGAACCCGCAGTTAGATCCGGATTCCCAGCACCACCAAACCTTTGTGGCTTGGGAGACGGTGTATCCTGGGTAGAATCACGTCTTGATACTATACCTGGCTTCGGGATATCCGCAATGGCTGCTTGGATTGCTGCTGCAGAATCTTGGCCCAGCGTATTTGATCTCAAAAGTGTGTTGCGCCTCGCTATACCCTCGGGAATTGGTGTTTCACTTGCTGTGCTGTTATTTCGAGTTACACCACGGCCCTCCGCTTGTACTGTCTGGAAATCCTTCTTCCTTGACAGAATAGCCTCCTTTAATTCGTCAACACGTTCTGTCTTCTGCGGGCCACCTGTAAGATTAAGAGATGCTTTCCCTTTCAGAATATTGTCTTTGAGTTCATCTGGTGGAACATAGCTCTGCGTTGTCGTTTTTCGAAGTTTACTAAAGACGTTTTTAAACTCGCTTTCTGGGTTATCATTAGTAGTAACCGGTGGTTGCCTAGGTTTTAGGTTCGCTCGGAAATCCACCTTAGGCGGCATGTCAGGCTTTGGTTTGACAGCCGGCAACGGCAGTTTACGATCCAAGTCTGGGCTCTTCAGATCTGGGCTCTTTAGATCTAAGCTCTTCAGGTCTGGACTCTTCAGATCTGGGCTCTTTAGATCTGGGATCTTCAGATCTGTGCTCTTTGGATCTAAGCTCTTCAGGTCTGGACTCTTCAGATCTGGGATCTTCACGTCTGGGCTCTTCACGCCTGGCGTTATAGGGCTCTGAGTATCTTTCGTGGGACTGCTGCTATCATCGGTGCGGGCGGCAGTACCACCTATATTAAGAACACCCAAGCCAGGCGGCGGTTTCGTGGTAATACCAGGTGCAGAAGACCTCATAAGTCCACCAATACTGACTTGATGCTTATGCGAAACAGTTGGCGACCTACTTCTCTCAGTAGTAGAATTAACAGCCTTTTCGGCCCTTGCTTTCTGGAGATCTGCCATCCAAGAAGGTTGGCTTTTTGACGGGGTGTGCCCCCGCTTGGGAGATTCGGGTTTGTTCAGAGCCGATTCGAGCCAGCTAGACTTCGTAGGGCTCCATCGCCTAGAATCCAAGGTCTTAGAGGGAGTTGTAGGTGTAGCTCGACCTAATTCCTGTTCCGGCGAATTCGGTAAGGGTTTAACTTCAACTTTGAGTGGATCGGCAGGCTTCTCGGTAATAGTCGCGTCTTCTTCCTGGTGCTCTCCGTCTTGACTAGCCGAAGGCTTCGGTGAGACTTCCACAGAAGGATCACGGATTAAACTGGTAGGTCTTGACCTAGTCCCACCGCCTGTCCTGTGCGAGACAATTGGATCTACCCGAGGCACACCTGTAGGTGATTGAATGCTCCACCTCTTGATGCTATCCGACCGTTTCATCATAGCGCTCTGTACAAATCCTCCCATTCCTTTCGTCGGTGAGCTTGATCTGTCCAGCTTAGAGGGCGAAGTTCGTCCTGAAAGAGACATGCCTGGCGACTGTTGACTATTCTCCATCTCCAGTTGAGCATCACTGTTAGGGGGGTCCAGTCTTTGAGACGCCGACAAGTGCAAAGGCGAACCTAGTTTGTTATGTTGATTAGGGGAAGTCGGCTGCGAATCCGTATCGTCTTTTGCAACTTCATTAGAAGGTGCACGGGACATTTCTGTTGAACTATCCTCAACTGGACTATTTTTCTCCGCAGAGGAAGTAGTACCCTCGTCTCCAGCTTGGCGTGGTCCTGGGGGGTCTTTAAAGGATAATACCGGAGCAATTTGGTCTTTAGATGCAGTTTCGGCCGCCGAAGGAGGTTCAGAGGGTGTATTCCGTGCCGCGTTCTCGGCAGCAACAACAGACAGGGGTCGACTTCGCGAACGTTCGGAGGCTTGCGAATTAGGCCGTCTTTGCCATGAAAGCCCCCTAGCTCGGGTAGGAGTGGTTTGAGGTAGTTGCTTGTCTTCCGGTTCGAGTGGAGATTCGTTCTCTTTGGAAGCCGAGTCGGAAAATGGTCTTGGGCTGATCATTTCCTCGGGGTTGTGAGTAGCATATGATTTAATAGCAGCAGGAAGGCCTAGGACAGGAGATTCGTCTAGGTTTAATCGGCCAGGTGAGGCAGGAATGTCGTGTTGGTGGGATGAAGGCGGTGGGGTATTTACAGGCGAGGATTTTTGAGGTGAAATAGACCTGGCACGCTCTAAGGAAAAATAAATAATTAGTTAATTAAACCTTGCGATAGGCACAACCATGTCGTAAATCCTGCTCTAGAATTTAAGAGGGGTGACATGGGAAGTAATTAATTAGACCAGGCATGGATATGGTAATTTTCATACCTGCGCGCCGAGCTTCTCGTTCTTTTCTTTCTCGTAATATTCTCTCTTCAAGCTCTCGTGAACGAGCTTCGTCTTCTTCAATTCGTCGATCACCCAGCTCCTTAATCTGGAGTAGGAATTTGGATACGTCTTCGGACATTTTTTTTACTCTTTTTTTTTAATAACCGGTAAGTCCCAAGGATTCTATGCCAATGAAGACAGTTTACGGCACAACACGTGAGGGGGGATAGGGTCAGAGGTAGATATACCGTCCTTCTCGGCGGCAGGTACGGAGTCGAGTAGAGAAGAGGTAAGTAGTAAGAGTGAAAAAAAAAAGGGGGGGAAAGAGAAAAGAAAAGAAAAGAATACAACAAGAAATCTTGTTTCTCGTTAGTATTGGTATTGGTAGTATTGGTAATATTGGTAGTATTGGTAGTTGTTTTGTGACGATGTGCCTAATTAGCAACTAAGCGTAATAAAAAAGTATCTAAACAACAGTCCAAATAGTATTCCGTATATAAGGACTTTCTGAGGACTCCTTTAAACATGAATCAAGTTACAAAAGTTTACACGTACAGGTAAACAAGGTCGATGATTAAAACAACATAGGTAACGGAAAGACAAGTCCAAAGTGGACTCTGGTTTCTCCGGCTGTCATCGTCTAAATCCCTGCAGGCCGCCGTTTCCTTGTCAGCTTGTGCGGCTTGTGCGATCAAATGATGTCCACCGAGTTTTAGTCCACGACCAATGACGAAGCCTAACCCGGCACCAAGCCCCAGCGGGGACTAAGGGACTAGGTACCTAAAAGCCGCCTGGCATCTGGCTGCCCGGTGCCCGACAAGTTGCTATGTACAACGCATCAAAATGATGAAACCCGCACCTGTGGATATTTGCTCCATTTAAGGGTTAGCGCCTTGTTGGTTGTTTGTACATAGCATAACTAGTACCTACCTAGGTCCTAACGTAGTAGTAAGTGCATGAAAGTCGGGTTGTAAACCACCAAATGTCAATTTTCAACTCCGAGTTCGTATGATACCTAACCTAACTTATACTCAAAAATGATCAATGACAAAAAGGCTTTTCAGTCTATCACATTTCATTTGTAAAATTTTATGTCGTGTGCCTCGATATAATACATTAGGTACCTAGACCTAATCTTTTCTGCTAATGCGTCTATCTCGTCTCTCTCTCCGTCATCAAACGAAATACCTATGGATATTATCCCCTATCCAGCTATGTCCCTTAATATAAGAACAATCTCGCTTTAGCATCCTCAACCACCCACGCCAATCCCTCCTTTAGATTTTGACCCGTCATGGCACTGCATCGTAGGATATGCCATCGATGCGTCCTAATTGCTTCGAGCTGGAGTCCTTCTAGTATTTCAGTCTCATCCATACAGCCTTGTACGTCGGTCTTATTGGCGAAAATGAGTAAACTGGCTCCTGAAAGACGCTGCGTACCATACTTCTGTCAGCCGTAATTCCACTCTTATAAAAGCAACCATGGAAAAGCAATGGGTATAAGCGTGCGAACCTCTTCTTGCAGTAGACCGTGGAGCTCTTCTCGGCAGTCATCTATTCTGAGACGGTCCGTCGCATCGACGACCCATATGAGGGCGTCCGTCTTCTCGAAGTAATTACGCCAATATGATCGCAGCGTCTTCTGTCCACCAACATCCCCTATTTCCATTTAATAACCAGTTCGTCAGCCCCCTATGCACTCTTATTATCCTGGATCATCGATTGATCAATGCTTAGCTCAACTCACATATGTTCAGCTTATATCTATCGTAGGGTTAATATCCTTCATCGTCAAAATAACAGTCAAAAACAGGATACGGAGGAAAAGACGTCTAAAGCTCACCCGTCATAGTCAATCGTCTTAATAATGAAGCCCAAGGTCGGGCTAACGGTATTGACATCCTCGTTCATTATCTTTTTGACGATCGTAGTTTTGCCCGCATTATCAAGGCCCCTATTCCACTTATTCTCAGCCCAACCAAATCCACTTGAAAAATAACGGGGTTTAGGAAATGTCAAACTTACAGCATAAGGATCCTCATCTCCTTATCCTTCAGCCGCGCTTTTCGAAGAATGGATAACATCTCTCTACCGGAACCGCTAAATCGGTATGTTAATAACGACGTGTGAATATAATAACAGTTTTCGCCCTTCGCCCAAAACAAGAAATCTTGAGGATGGTGTCGGCAAATGAGGTTGTATCCTAAGAGATGGTTGAATTCTGATTTAATCTATCATTTAATTCGTTGCCTATTCTCACGTGATGCTTTCAACTCAACGGAGCACAGCGCAGCACAACTTAAAGCATTTTATCATAATAGGTACCTACGACACCATCAACACAATCATATCTGAGCAGAACATTCATCAAGCAACTGTTCAGAAAGACTATCATCTATCGATACTAACGCCAAGAAATGCCATCCTAGGTTCCAGTCCTCGTCATACACCAATTCAATCTGTTACATCAGTCTTCTTAGCCTTCTTATCCTTCTTTGAACTTCTTCGCATGAGTCCTTTTATTCAAAGCTCGGAGCCGGGTGACGTCCTGGGCTTCCGCATACTTATAGACGTGCACTTTTCCAATTGACAATTCTAGCAAATGTCTCTCCCATGGACCTATGTTCTCCTCCACCAACGTCCGAACGTACGGGGCATCCTCCTCGGGACCTACATACTCCCAAACCCACCGTAGTTCCTGCGAAGAACTACCTCCTTGTGTAGTTGCGCTTTCGCTTTCGTCTGCATCATAAATAACTTTGCTAGTAGCAGCGCTACTATCATTAGCGTTGTTGTCGTTGGATTGCTCACCTCCATCGTTGCCATTTGCTTTCGGTCCCCAATTGGCATCTTGTGGCACCGGGTCGGGAAAGCTTTGAGCTACACGACGAGGACGCCACGACCGCAATAAGGCGGGACATTTCCAAATGTCTTTGTCGTTGAGCCCTAAACCCTCGCACGCGAGGCGGACGCGCACTGAGCTGTGGATGCGCTCGTTCGTATCCTTAAGATAGGCACGTGTCGGCCGTCCATGTTCGGGATTCATTTTCTTGTACATGCCAGGCGAACGAGTAACGCGTCCAGCGAGGTCATAAACTGGGCTCTTCACCGCTTGGATGCTATGCAGGGACCACGGGCGAACAGGTTTGTTCGGATTGAATATAGGTATTGCTGCCCAAGGTTGTGGCCCTTTCTCGCGTGTGGCTCCGCAGCATCCACAAGAAGCACTAGCAGCTTTCTCACGTTTCGTCTTTTCTGGCGTCAAACTGTGGTAATATCTCACATTACGATCGTAGAGTCTTTCGAGGGCGTCATCTACGAATTCACATCCAACGGAAGAGAGTTGATCCATCATCCCTATATTTTCGAATAAGCATTCATTCGACCTTCCATGCAGTGGAAACGGGGGAACTAACAAGCAAGGGTTATATTAGAAACGCCTTGATCGGCCCAACCACCTCCTACGTTTCCATGACTACCAGGAAACCAAACCTGTCGAAGATCTGAAGTATCTCGATACTCTGGTTGTCGCTCCCACAACGTCGGGCTGAACGGTCCGCGGGTTTCGTCTAGCGCGAGAGCATGAAAACCATGCTGAATCTTGTTGGACAGCCTAGTATTATAAAACCGGTACGTAAACCATTGTTAGTCGGTAAGCCATGTGTAGTAAGATTGAAGAAACTTATTCTTGACTGCGCGATTTGATACCGAGTCGAGCAAAGAGCTCTCTCAATTTCCCTTGGGGGATACCTAGCGAGCCGACTGTATCCCATACACCTATCGCGATTGTTAGCCTTCATTATCAAAGTTGGTCTTTTATGTTTACTAATATTCGTACCAATGGCTTTGACCTTAATCAAATCTCCTGTGCCTTTGTTTTGGCGTACCCGAGTGTAGCCATGCTATTACCAGTTAGCAGTCGCAAACCCAATGAGGAAGGAACCTTATCAAAGCGATACCTTAACGAGCATATCCCGATACTCGTCGGCGGCGTGAGCGCCTTTTGGTTTATTTGGGAAGGGTATCTGTGGAAATTGGTCTTTATAGTTTGGGTTCATCCAGTTCTGCATGTCCTTGAAGACTGGGTAGAAGAACTCCATGCCTTCACGGGTTAACAGACCGAGGTCCGATATCATGCCGCCGATAGATCTGGCAGTGAAAGCCCCGCGGCTGAAACCGATAAGAATGATTTCGTCCCCATCAACATAATTGGCGCAAATGTAGGCATAGGCTTCACGAATATTCTAGGCTCATGTTAGCCCCTGGTCGTTCAAGGGGAGAATCAAGGGGAGAATTCGGGCCAACCTCTGCTATGCCGATTCCAAACGCACCACCTAGAATCCTGTCGACGACGCCTGCTCTAGAGCCGACGCCGGACTGATAGTATACAATTTGGAATGTGCTATTAGAACAACCTCTTTTGAAAGCTCTGGAAATGCGCGTTACGTTCGAGGGGATCTGGAGAGTCGGAACAGGATTAGAGGCAGTTGGCTTGACGTAGCCGTTGTCCCTAGGACACGTCAGCGTTTATTCAACTAAGTTTGGTTTGCATGAGCTATACGCATTCTGCCAAGTTCCGTCGCAACAAACGATAATACGTTTCTTCATGGCCGAAGAGATTTGTGTGAATGCTCTTGGTGACAGCTTCGGTCTTATAAAATTGCTTTATATGAAGGATAGCGAAAGGAAAGAATAGTGATTCTACAGTTGTATAAACTGATCAATAGGACTGAAAAGTCGAGTCTTATAAAAGACTGACGGCTGTAAGGCTACCTGGTGTATTGAGTATCGTGTTACTAGAAAAGGTTACACCTTAAGGGGCTAAATTCAAAGGCAACAAGTAATACATAGGAGGTACATAAGCCTCCTGACGGTTTCCATTGCATCCATGTGATGAGCAAAGGGAGGTTGCACTTGATTAACAGAGCCATTGCCGTAAATAGAGCCAGCGTCAATATACCTCTTGCATGTATGGGAGAAACCAAGTCCTTCAAGTACATGATCACCTTGGGTAGGGATAAGGTAATTATTAGACGAGGTGTAGTTACCTTCTTAGATATTGATGTACAACATGACGTAGTTTAGAATAGTCGGCCTTGCCGCTGTAACGAGGAATTGAACAGGTATGTTGCATGTGTGTACCTAGAAGTCATACAAACTTAAACGTCTCTGCGTTAAAGGACATGGCATCGACGGCTGAATCTGGTACCAAGGTAGTCACCGGCCAAGATCGTCCTCTATCGAAACTTGTGCTAAGTATAGGTATCCCTCGTGCAGGCACATAAATAATAGATGATAATAATAATAATAAGTAGGTACCTAAGGTAGCATCCTGTGCTGGCGCAAGACTTCTCCCTTGACATTTACTGATATAGATGCATAAAATCGATATATTCATATATAATGCATGAAGATCACATAAATGTCAGCAAAACATTTCAATATTTCAATATTTCACATGCCTGGACAACTTTAACCTACAAAAGCATGGAAGACATATTTTGATAACTTCAAACCGCAAACCACCGCGGAATTCTAAACAGCCGTTTTTAAGTATAAAAAGTAACATCATTTTCTACAGAGGGCATATCTAATTCGAAACTTCACCCCGGTTTAAATAGATGCACCAAACAACGTTGCTTGTGTAAGTCAAGTCAAGCGACCATTGTCCAATATTCGGCTCGTCAGTCTAAGCAATATTAAAGATATTGCCTTACATTAGCTGAGCTCAGCCCGTCTCATCTCAGCTATCCGCCTCATCCCAAAGGCACAGTAGCAGTCACACATTTCATTGCCAGACTCATCACCCGACGTTCACCAGAAAAAAAAGGGCACAAAGCAACTCGGAGAACGTCGGTTCAAACTTCAGGACGCATGCAGCCTGTTCCAGATGTAGAACCAACGATCCGTTTTTACATGCATAGCCGATGTGGTTGCATTCATTAACCTGGCCAATCGTTCCCAGCCTCATGCCATGCGCTGCAAGTAATGGTCGGATCCTTCGAGCGTGTTTGCATATGCGACGCGTGCGTGGGGGATTTCCCGGGGCGAGCTCTTCCAACAGTTAGTACATGGTTATTGGTCACAAGGGCCCTGGCGTGGCTGAATCCTTCTTATCAGCTCACCTCGACTCACTTACCTTTTACCCCTCATCCAGCTAGGTATCCTTCCACATGGTACCGCGTCGAACTACTAACTAAACCGTTTAGCTACTGTACTCGATATCTATCACATATAATAAGAGGGTAGGTATGAGATTGTGAGTTGAAACACATCTCGTTCTCCTAGTCTTCGCGTTACACCGTGCTGGTCTTTTCAGATGTGACTATCCGATGAGCAAACACCATGGCGGACGAGCCCAAGGACTCGGGCGTCTCTTTCGCGCCTTTTTTCGACCGCTGCAAGCTGCCAGCAAGTGTTAAACATGACTGTGACACATTCGTAAGGAATCGATACTCGGAGCCAGCACGGCCTACTCCGTTCCAGGGATACTGCTCATACACGGTTTTTGTCGGAGACGAAATAGTTGTCCAGTTTAGACCATTAGCTCATAAGCTAGACATCAGTATCGCCAATGCTGCCTGCAAGACCTTCGGGCCCCTGGCTCCTGAAACCGAATTCCTCGGTGAGCTAGGAAGTACAGGTCTTTACGTCTTCTCCATGAGAAGGGTACCAGGGGTATCTTTAGCAGATCTTCGCGCCGAAACGAAGACTTCGCAGGCGAGATCGCAACGAGAGCAAATTGTGCGAGATTTCGCACACCTGCAAGCGACGAGCTGGGGCCATACGATAAGCCAAGGGGACGTACGGGAGAAAAGGATGGTGGGATCTTCGCTGCGCTGGCGGATGGAGCTGATGGCCAAGAATCTCCCCTCTCGCTTTCGCAGCATCGCAAGGTCTGTCCTCACCGACCTCTCGGAAATCGAAGCTCTACCGTGGACATTGAGCCATGGCGATTTCTTACCTTCAAATATAATGGTGGACCCAGAGTCTGGAAAATTGTTGGGGCTCCTAGACTGGGCCGAGGCCGAATACCTGCCTTTTGGAGTCGGTATGTATGGCTTGCAGGAACTGCTTGGGGAAGACAAGGACGGTCATTTCGTCTACTACCCCGAAGCCAAACACCTACGTAATTTTTTCTGGGCGGAACTTCTTTCTAAGGTTCCCGAATTATCGCGAAACGCTAGATGCGTTGCGCTTATACGAAAAGCGCAGATTTTAGGAATATTCTTGTGGCATGGTATTGCTTTTGACGACGGCAAATTAGACCGCACTGTTCAAGAGGGGAGGGATGACGCGGAAATTGAAAGACTGGATGCATTTCTGCTATCCCGTTCTGGGATACGTCCTCGAAAGCTGCGAGGTTTCCGTTCATTTACGGACTCACCTGTTTCGTTCATACGTGGACTTTTCTTCGGGAAAGCATGTTGTTAATAGTATCTCCTACGGGCTGATACGGGTAGACCTAGGTATATAGGTATGTGTAGTGAGTATTAAATAATGGTAGCTTCATACAAAACACTCTTAAAGGTGAAGTAATATGCAGTCTGTTGACATAACACCAATCACCCTATGAAGTGCAATGCATTCCCGAGATAAAAGCAACAGATAGGAACCTAGCAAAGGCTTGGTATATGCTTCATTAGGGAATTGGATGGGTAACCTTGGCCAATGATCCTCAAAGAATTTGGTAGTGTACCTAACTGGGTCCTAAAGGGGAACTCAACGTAGTATTGCATCGTTAATGTCACCTAAGGAACATCATGATAATGTGCAACCTGATTTATCCGGACCCAAGGAAAACTCAAGTTAAACGAACCAAAGTACACAGATTTACCACGGCCGTCCCTTAAGGTCCTAGTACCCCCTTTCACGAAGATCCATTCAGATGACCATTCGTCGTACCATTGACGCCATTCCCACCCCCACCCGCCACAAACGCCTTCTGCCACGGCAGCGGCTCCTTCGCCGGCTGCACGGGACCCAGCTCTCCTTTCCGGCGCTCCTGCCACGCCTCAATATCGCGATGATCCACGAAATTCCCATGGAAACCCAACCGCAGCCTCACCGGCAAGTGCAGCGTCGCCAGCGGGCCCTTGCCCAGGTCCAGCGCGTCCCAGATCACCACGTCGTTGCGCAGCTCGTCGAGGTTGTTCTTCAGCGCGACGAGGTACCCCTCCCCCTCCTCCCCCTGCTCCCCCTGCCCCCCATCCTTCGGGACGAAAACCGGCTCCTGGAACGTCGCCGTCGGCCCCGCGAAAAACACGTCTTCCGTACCGATTCCGGAGCCCGAGTCCGAGTCCGCGTCCTGCTTCCACGTGTAGTGCGCCATGCAATTGAACAGCCCACCCGCAGGCGGCCCGCACCGCGCGAAGTCGTACGGGCGCGCAGGGTCGACGCGCAGCTGCCAGAAGTGCGCGTACGGCTTGGTCACGAAGCGGTCGTCGATGCGCGAGAACTCGCCGTTGGTCGCCCACTCAGCGGCGGGCGTCACGCGCGTGCCCGTCGCCGCCGACGGGTCGAACACCCACCGGCACGTCGGGCTGCTGAGGCGCTGGCGCCCCGGCATGTCGGGCTTCGCGCCGTCCGGCGGGAACCAGAAGAACACGTTGCCGTCGGCTACCGTCAGGTCGAATACGATGTGCCCCGCGGCGTTCTCGTAGCACCCCGCGACGTGGCCGTGGAATCCTGGGAGGAAGGGGGGGTGTTAGTTAGATGGGGACTCGACGAAACAGGACCTCTCCTATGTGAGGTCTTCTAGTTATGGAAGGTAGGTAGGTAGGTAGGTAGGTAGGTAGGTAGTTTTTTTTTTGGCTTTGGCGTGCTCACCGTTATCAGCCCGGAACCACTTCACATCCTCCGGCTTACCGCCTCTCCTCGGCACGATGCCATAAACCTGGTCCTCGTTGGGATCCCACGCGAATTTATTCCCGCCGGCCTTGAGGCGCTCGAGGGACATCTTGAGCGGGGTGAGCGGGAGCACCATGTAGTTCTTGGAGACGCCGCAGTCGTGGATCATGCCGGCGAAGGGGGCCTTGAACCAGAGCTCCTCGGTCTTGCGGCCGTCGGCGTCGATGGTCCAGACGACGACGTCGGCCTCGCAGTCGGAGCCGTCGGCGCCGGCCTCGTACGCGAAGCACAGCATCTCCCCCGTGTCCGGGTCGAACTTGGGGTGCGCGGTAAACGTCGGCGCCGTGATCTGCCCCTCGAAGTCGTACCGCCCGATCGTCTCCAGCGTCACCGGGTCCATCGCGAACGGCGGGCCGTCCTCCTTGCTGGCTAGCAGCATCCCTCGCCAGAACGTCACGTTGGTGTTGCTCACGGTGCGGATCACGCCTTTAACGCTCTCATTGTCCGTGTACGGGTTCCGGTACCGCCCGAATAGGCTTTGCCGTGCCTCTTCCTCCTTTAGAAATTTATCCGTCCGCACGTATCGCTGCTTAAAGTCGGCATGTCCGTCCTTAATACGGATAGCTGTGACACTGCCTATGAATTGACGCAGCTCAGTAAGCTAGAACAAGAGAATTCTTTTTTTCTAAAAATAATGTGTTTTAAGGTCTATCTGACCCCTTTTTTTCTTCACGTACCATCGCCATTCTACCAATTCTCAAATCAGTAAGAGGTAGGTACTAATAAGGCCTGTCAAGAGACAACTTACGAAATGAATGTCGTCTTCAAAGATTGGCGGAAATCGATGGTCCTATGCTCCAATCAATCATTAGCAAGTAAATAAATATTCGAGTGTTTCCTACTCACCGGCTGCACGCGATAGAAAGTCCCGTTGATATCGCGAGGGATCTCCCCGGTGACTTCGAGATCGACTATATCTCCTTCGAAACGCGAGGGCTTGTTCATGGACGAGAATGCCGCCGTGTCCGGGAATTTCACCCGGCTTCCCGTTCTCTTTCCATTGGTGTACGGGTATAGCGATACCTCTGAGGCGATGGCTTCAAGATGCGCCATGATTCGAGACTGTCTAGTTAGTAATTAGGAGTATACTATTGGGTTGGAGAACCTCGCTCGGGGACGTTATGGTCCCCATGTGAAATACAACGTGAGCCATACTCCCTGGCTTATAGACGAAGCCGATTAGAGATACCGGCCGCGTCGAATAACCCGATCACCGCGTGGTATAGTTGGAGTTAAGTAGACTATTTAAGGTGTGGAGAAGCTGGCACGATCTTCACTTCGGTCGGCAGTTATACTACGACTTCAGAATAGGCATATGAGAATAACGTGCAAATAAGAACAGGTTCGCGTATGTAACTCTAAGCTCAAGTCTACCCATGGATCTCGGCGTTGGGAGAAGTGGGGTTCGATTATACGCAAAGTACCTTTACCCCAGATTCCAGACAGGCCCCCCTATTCCCCTTTAGGCTATATGTTGCAACCTTGCGCTATGCGTTCTGAACTAGATCAGGCAGAACCCTCACTGAGCCCTCGCTCGCCCACGTCTTCCCCGCTCCAGGCCGGCTCTGTCCCTCCGGCAGTGCCAAAGTGAGCGGTGCCTCAGACGTGCTCGCATCCTTACCGTAGTGCGGCGCGCGCAGGTCGTCGTCCTTGGTCTTCTGCCCCGTCACCGGGTGCGGGTAGTGGAAGGGTACAACGCGCGTGTCAGGCCAGAGCATCTTCTGCTCGATAATCTCGTCTGGACCTAAGGGGTCTTCAGGGTACGTCTTGGTAGGCCACGGGACGTAGTTCTCCTTGGTCAAAGACCAGCCCTTTTCATGCTCGGCGTGCCAGAACGGAAAGTATCGATACCGGAATAGCTTCCATACGCCGTTCTCTTTGATGTACTCGTTCTCGTAGAGGCCGCCCTCCCACCATTGAACATGCCCGCGTGGGTGAGTTTCCTTAACAGATTGGTGCGTTCCGGCCTGCATTAGAGCGCGCATTCGACACCAGGCATGAGTTCCGCTGGGATCGACGTCAACGATGTCTTGCATCATGATATGGTCTAGCAGAAATCCGCGGACTGGACCATTGCGTCCGTTGACAAACGTCTGCTGGAAACGGCCATTGTAAAGCCTCTTGACGCCTTCCTTTCCTCGGTATCGTGATCCAAGGAATTCCACATAAGTATCTGGATGATCCGCGTACATATCCACGACCTAAACTCGTATCAGTTAGTATGATAGAATCAAGCATGGCCATTCTTTACGTGCCTCGTTATATAGGCACTTGTCGAGATAGTAGCCATATTTGAAGTGGACTTTTCGCACTTCAGCTTCGTCTGAGATGCGTGAGACCTCCTTTCGTAGGAGGTTGACCTGCTCCTTCAACTCCGCTAATTCAGATCCCATGGTGTTTAGAGGTGTACTTCAATCGAAACTATAGTTAAAATGCACACTCTTAAGAGGAATTGTCTTTGCTCATGACTCGGCTCGATATTTAGCTAAGTTTATATGCGTTTCCAGATTGAGCTCACGAAGACCCCTGTCCCGAAGGGCCATCTCGGTAAGAGTTATGTCATGGGGATATATTGTAACTAGATCCTGAAGCTGGGCTCGGCAGATATTCGAAAGTAGCATCGTCTAATTCTCAGGTGCGGGGAGCTTGTTGACCCCGCGTAGATTTGGAGACTTATAAATGAAGCAATTAAATTCGAAGCCAATCCAAGACCATAACGTTAATAATCAGATCTAACAGTTGTCTTTCTACCAGATGTCTACTCTCTTTGATGGGTATCGGTTTCTTACAGTCGCTAACTTGCATCCCAGGTACATTTTATTAAAAGGGGTAAACACAGGAACCATGTGTGTAGTGATGCAAGACAACTCCGTTAGTATTATGACGAAGTAAGCTTTATAGAAGTGTTCAGAGGTAAGTGATGCTTATTAGTGCATCCCATATAATCCAACTTGGACGAGTTGATATCAAATTCTAGGCCGACTCCGTGTGTCTAATACCGTCTACGCATCCCAAACATGTAGGGAAAGCATTGGGATTATACATAGTAAGTTACTGACACTTCTTAGGCCCGTAAGATTCATATTGTCCCAGGAATGACGGCATATACCTTCCCCAAAGCTCATTCATATATTTTCTAAGGTGAACCTTCTCTTCCTCCGGTAAACTCTGTATGCCTAGAGAAAAGGAGAAAAGGAGAAGGGGCAACGGACATTATTGGAGAGTTCACCAAGTGGCTAACCAACACCTCAAAACACTCAACTGTAAATGCTTTTCTTGGGAACGATGCACTTTTGGACATTGAAGTTATAGACAAGCATATGTTTCGTTAGTTCGAATTTGACCGACTATCATCGTCTTAAAATTCCATTAATGAATACGGTCTATAGCTATATTGCTATTTGCTTGCTTTTCGTCATTCTATCCGTTCGGTATTAGCCAAGTTTACTCTATATCCTGAGCTCTAGACCTAGCATTAAAACACTCGGTTTAAAACGATATCACAGTTACGATGAAACTATCTCGTTTCCTGAGAAGCTATGTGGCTTCAGTTTTGTTAGCCTTCCAACCTACAGCTGGACTCTACGTAGATAAATGCGAGGGGATCATGGTCTCAGATGTATGGCCCAGGCATTTTGTTGAGATAAGCTGGAGGGCTAACGCGGGAATATAATAGGCGCTTCCTGTCCTGATAAATTCGACTGCCCTCTACGGACACCTGGAGAAATTGCAACATATCGCGGACGCAAACGGTGGAAACAGGATAACCGGCTCCGCCGGCCATAACCAGACTATCCAGGTATCCGATGCTGCCAATGCGCATCCCCGTATATATTCACTAATTTGGCGTCCAGTATATTCAAGATTACCTAACAGCCCTTGACTATTACGTCGAGGTCCAACCCTTTCACGATATCATGCAGGCGGATGGCAAAGCTACCTTGTGGGCGAACGGCGAAGCTTTCGACGCCGAGCCGATCGGATGGTCCCCTGAATGCACTTTTACCAATCGTCCTCTCGTAATTGTTGATAGTATCGGTTGCGAGGCTGTGAGTAGTAGGGCGATAACTCATTTCGATATCGGCGGCTAACGCTTATTAGGCTGACTATCCCCAAGAGACGATAGGCGCTGTTGTATTAGTTGGTTCAGGTGGTTGTTCGCTCTCTGACAAGTCAATAGCCGCGGGTAAAGCTGGAGCTATAGGCCTCTTAATGTACGAGTTCACGCAGCTCACTCCAAGTTTAGGCGGCCCGAATGATTATCACATCCCGTCAGCAAGAATAGCTTATAGGGATGCCCAGCGCATAATGGACCATCCACGCCCCGTGTCGGCAGATATTTTTGATATTTCTATGCAGTATAAAGCGGTCTACAGGTTTGTGTCACCGAACTGATGTATTAATCCTCCACACTAACTTCGAGAAGCTACAACCTGTTTGCAACCTGGGAATGTGGAGATGAGAACAAGGTGTTGATGGTTGGCACACATACTGATTCGGTCAGCGCAAGCGCAGGCATGAATGACAATGCCAGCGGTATAGCCAGTCTCCTGGAGATAGCCACGGAACTTTCGAGGTTCACAACGAAATCAACAGTCAAGTTTGCCTTTTGGACGGCTTCAGAGCCATCTTTGCTAGGCTCGAAATACTGGATGTCAACTGCCTACACTGAGGAGCGTCAGAAAATACGCCTTTACCTCGACGCCACCATGCTTGGCTCACCTAACGGTGCTTTAAAGGTTTATGACGCATATGCCTCAACGCCTGGACCACATGGCTCCAAAGAAGCCGAGAAGACTCTTACGGAAGGGTTTAAAGCTCAAGGCGTCAACTTCACAATAACCGAGATCAGCAACCGGAGTGACTACGCAACGTTTTTCGATGCTAAAATCCCTTTTGCTGGTCTTTTCAGTGGCGCGAACGGACTCAAGACTTGGAAAGAAGCGGCTATGTTCGGAGGCAATGCCAGTGTTCCATATGACACCAACTACCACGAATCGGGTGATAACATACAGAACATCAACATGACAATCCTGTCCCAAAACACAAAGGCATTAGCTCACGCGGTTGGAGTTTACGGAAGGAGCCTTAACAATTTCCCGGCGTCAGCGATCCGATGCTACGGTGCACCAATGAAGCACCTATACTTAACAGCAGCCTTGGTATGGGTTACGCAATACATGCTGTCGTAATCAGTGTAAGAGCTTGTTACACATTCTTCACCGCTTTTAAATACGTAATTCACGAAATTAATAGAGGATTGTAATGCTGGGAACAAGTACATATTATTAATTAGGCCAACTATACTCGTCGCGTAGTCGCGAAATCAACCTCAACTTTGACTCTTCTGCTGGACGGTACTCGTGAATCTCATATGTGATCGATAGTTGAGAATTTGAAGATTAGTGAGATTTCGAGTCCCCCCCCCCCTTTTTTCCTCTCGTCTCTGGGATCTACATCGAATTGCGTCTCTTCCAAGCCGAATCGGCGTCCGGATGGATCGGGGGAGGTTCGATATCCTTCCTAAGCTCCTTATTCCTCCTCCAATCGGTGCCGAACTTGCGATCGCGGTCGCCGACGGCCTTCTCGAAGTCGAACTGGCCGTCGGCGGTGAAGCTGGTCATGAGCTTGGGCTCGCCGAGCGGGAGGGCGTGGCCGCGGTCTGTCTGCCACAGGTGGTAGACCTTTCCGTACAGCCCTATGACGTGCTTCATCTCCTGCGTCTCGGCCACCTCCCAGGCCTGCCGCGCCCCGGGAATCGCGCTCGGCCCCGGCATCGTCAGCATCCCCGTCTTCACCTCGTACACGTGCGAGTGCCAGAGCTTACGCTCCTCGGGGGGGAGCGTCTCGTACAGCTTCGGCGTGATCATGTACTCGATGCCTATGAGCCGGGCGTTGGGCTCCGGGCTGTCGTATAGGATGCATTGCCGGACGTCTGTATAGTGTTAGATTACCTAAGATAGGCCCTTGGATATTTATGTGTGTGTTGGTAGTGTTGATAGTGTTGATAGTAGTGTTTAAGTAGGTTCCTAAGGTATAAGTAACTCGCATACCTTCGGTTAAGTGGGCGCAATAGTGGTTCGCTTCTACGTAGCGGCCTGGCTCCTCGGCGTACGTGTGGAAGGCGTTTAGGTGAGCGCATAGCTGCTTCGTGGGTAGGAACTCTTGCATCATGGATGCGCCTGTCTCGAGGATATTGTCCTCTGTTGGGACTGGGCCTCCAGGGACGTGTATATTCGTCGTCATGGTGTTAGGTATAGAATGTGTTGTGGGAGAAAAGATGAGTTGTAAATTGGTACTTCTATTGTTTAATCATCCTTATAATCATCCTCAGCTTGATAGAAGATAGGTAGTAATGCTGATGTCATGAACACATCGTCCCCGCCATATCACGTAGTAGACTTTGGGATGCAGGACTTGGTCACCTGTCCAATGCAGGAACCAGCTGTAAATGGTCGTAATTGACATCTTGGAGGCCACCTTAGATGCTACTTCACATTTCACATTTCTAATATATAATATAACATAGTAAAAAATAAGAATTGTTAAAGTTCACATGTTAATGAGACAAACTGGTAGAAGTCACGTGTTACCCCTTGCCGTAACCATCGTACATCGTAGGTACATAGTAGGTACCTAGTGGAGAAATGTAAATGTACAGTGTATTGTACATTGCTCTACACGGCGAAGCTACCTCCTAACCTAACCTAGCTCTTACCTTCCCCCACATGGGTCTGGCCATATAGCGTCATCCTCCACCATTAACAGCCCATTAATGGCAACCTAACAATTTACTATGTATTGTACACTAACCTTTACCTTAACCTTAGGGGATGTTTTGGTGCATAAGTTTTGCTTTGCTTATGGAAACTTGTGGGGGATAATCTTAAGCATAAGCTATGTGTTAGGAGGTACCTGATTAACTTATCCCCACCAGAATCTGGCTTATAACTAGTTCCACAATACTTTCTCATGCATCCAATAAACTTTGATAGATTTGCTTATGATTATTCAAAATTGGAAAGCACCTTTAGAGGTGCTTTTTGACTTGCTTATTCCTGTTTTACCATTATAATGCCCTGTAAATACAGCGCATTAAATACAACGTATCAAAAAAAGGAAGCGACAACGAGGTTGCAAATAGCTTCAGTACCTCTTAAGCATAAGCATAAGCATAAAGCAACAAACGTATAACAACTTATGAAATTTGAAGTAAACGTTGATTGGTTTAGATTATAGTGGATAAATTCCCATAATCAACGTAAATTTCAGCAGCTTACATACCAAGATAGCACGGGCCATAAGCAAAGCTAAACTTATGTTCCAAAACAGCCCCTTCGGAGGTACGGGTAGTACCTAGGTAGTAACCTATCAGTTAGGAAACTCGCCAACCACGAGACGGGTAGAGTTACACACCAAGGTCAAACCAAACCCAATTACGTATTTCCAATTTTGAAGGATAAAACCCCGTCCCTAACTTATAAATAAATCAACAATTCCAATTACCAATCAACACGAACGATGGCGGCATCCCGCCGCGGCCAGCCCGAGCTGCAGATCCTCCTTCCCGCGACCCAGAACCCAGCGATACCCGAACTACCCCCCATATCCGCCTTGTTCCTGATCGACTTCGACGTCAAAGCCGGCTATACCATCTCGTGGAAGGCCGCGAAGCCCGGCGTCGAGCTCGAGGGCGTCGTCGAGTACAAGTCCCTGCCCTCGGGCTTGCATACCGTCTCGGAGGACTTGATATACTTCGTGCACGATGGCTTCGCGGGACTGAGTGCCTTCGTCAATGCGCCCGTCGAGGACACCGAGGTGAGGAATGCGAGGATGCTGGCGGTCGGCGTGTTGGTGCCGTTGAGCTATGGCCGGCTGGGAAGAGCTTGGAGACATGCCGAAGGCTTGAAGACAATGGCGTCGACGTTTGCTACGAGCAATAAGGACATTGGCATATTGGAGGAGTACTGGCAAAAACACCAAGCCAAGGAGGAGTCGGTTGCGCCGGCCGAATCTGTCGGATCTCCATCTGTTGCTTTCCACCACCTGCCGAAGCAACCTCAGGGCCACGTTAGGAACCGTTCGGCCTCTGATGGAGCAGCTTTACTCCCGCCTGGCCATAGGCTTTCCGCATATCATCCGGCCTGGAGCTTAACGAAGCTCTTAGATACATTTGGGCCTCTAATATTTCCAATATACCGTGCCGCTTTGCTGCGCAAGCGCATTTTAATATCGTGCCATGCACCCATACAAGAAGCTTGCAATTTTGGTGAGTCTGGTATTGGTATTGGTATTGGCTATACCAACCCACTAATGGCGAACTTACTTAGTCTACGATATATCTATTTTGTCTAACATCCCACAACCGACATACGACCACCTATCCCCCGGCTCGCCTCCCCATCGCTTACGACCCCTCTTCTCCATCGGCGTCCACGACATCCCTTTCCTCGTCGAGGACTCCAAACCCAGACGCAATGATAACGAGGTCTCGGAGGGCGACCAAGAGGCGGGAACTGGCTGGATAGCCTGCACGACCGACAGCATCCTCTCTAAGAAAGACACGCTGTGGGACGTCCTCGTAACCCTCCCGCCTCCTCACTCCTCCAATGCTAAACGCCGCGTCTGGCCCAAAATCGAAGGGCCGGGCGGGATCCCTATCCGCGCCTCGCAGCGGGACCTGCGACGCTTCCGCTCCCTTAAAGCCGGACTAGCTCGACTTGCCTCACAGTCTAGCTCCAGCGCATCACCACCCACCACGCCGCTTCAAGAAGCAAGCACGAGCCCGAACGACCCGTTCCTCGACGAGGCCGAGGAGAAACAGGTCGTCGAACCCCTGAGCTGGACCGCCCTCGCCTACAGCGGGTTTATGTGGTGGGCCTCGGCCGGCGAGAAGGCCCGCACCGACATGGCCGAGGAGTCGGCCCTCGACGCCGAGCTCCTCGCCGACTTGACCGGCTACCGGTCCCCTTCCTCCTCCTCCGTGCGCATGGAAGCTCCTCTCCCTCCTCCCCTCCCTCCCCCCATCCTCCTCTCCGCCTCCGTCGTCTCGCTGCCGCCCGCCGACCCCAACGAGGCGCGCGTCGAACTCGCGCTCATAGCGTACTTCCACCGGCTCACGACGCAGATCCTCGGCACGCTGGCCGAAGTTGTCGAGGGCGACGAGGGCGAAGGCGAGCTGGAGGAAAACGACGATGTGGAGGACGACGCTGCCGCGCTGGTGGACGATAGGAGGGTTGACGATGAGAGTGGGGGATGCGGTGTGCGCGTTAGCAGCGAGGATATGGCGCGCATGGGCCTCGACGTGTGGAGTTCGGCGGACGCGGCGTTTGTGAAGGCCGCTACGGCGGCGTATTTTGGTCGGAGGGCGTATGTTGAAGGGAAGGGGGTTGAGGTTTGCGGGGTGAGGGTTTGTTAGTATGTTAGTGAGGGGGAGGGGGGGGAGGGGGCAAGTATGCTGTGTTGCGAGGAAGTCGTAGATATGAGCAGTGCTCTGTTGTATATTATCGTTATTAACTACCTAACCTAGGTAAGTACCTAGTCTCGCCGCGGGCTGACAAGAGAGTAGGTGGGCTCAAATATCCCGTCGTAAGGAAAGGGGGGAGGGGTGGCTACTTGGTAGCAGCATGTTATTTGTTGCGTTGCGTATATTAATTAATTATGCGTATGGTGCTCGTATTTTCTAAAAGGCGTCAGAGATGGAAGTGGATAGGAATATAATACAAAGAACCTACTGAAGCACGATGGGTTGGTTGCAGCTGATGTCGTGATGAACTTGAAATAGGAGGCTAGTGTTCGTAAGGCTTTAGGGGGTTTACCTCAGGTACAATTACAATTGCTATAGGGGGCTATTAAGAGTAAGCTGTATTTAAAGCATCTAACCTTAGGTAGCCAATTCCTAGCTTCAATATTGCGTGCAATAATCCCTCAGTAGCGGCCATTAACATGGAAATACATATACAAGCATGGCTTGGAAGTTGATTCATATGCACGCACATCTCGAGCAGGCACTTCCCTCCCCCTTAACTACCGCCTAACTACCCCTTAACCATATCATCCACACACAAAAAGAAAGAAAAAGAAACGCACATTAAACAGCAGCACCATCTCACTCACGACGCAAAAAAAGAACAGGGCATACAATCATCATATTTCAACATTCATACGCTGCAGCGCGCGGGCTGCTGTGTTCTAGTGTATATACGCCGCTATCGCGCAGGCGTTCTTCCTACAACGCCACGACGCCGATCCTATGCTGTTGCGGCGTGCGCGTTGATCTCTTTCGATATTTCTCTCGTTCTCTCGCTCTCTTTATTTTTTCTCCTCCCTCGCGTACAACAAAGAACTGACTAACAACAATATGATTAAATAAGAGGTAGGTATACAAGTGGCGCCTCCGTCTCGGACTTGGCTCGAGACGCAAGCTACCGGTGGTATCAGACAACTTAGATCCGATTAAGCGGGGAGGCGTTCCAGTACACGATCGATTCTATTCAGGACTTCGCTTCGACTGTTTGTGTCGCTGGTGTCGTCTTCTTCCCCCCCTCTTCCCCCTCTTCGTCGTCTTCTTCCCTGTCTTCTTCTTCTCCGCTTCCACTGTCTTCAATATCTTCTCTGTAGACAAAGACAGAGTATCCTACGACTCTGGTTCCGTGTCGGTGTTGGTCTCACTGGTGCTGTCTTCTTCCTCTTCAGTGCCGCTCTCCTCATCCGAGTCATCGTCATCTTTTCGCCTCTTCGGCTTTGTGGCAACGCTACCGCCCTTAAGCGCGCTCATCTGTCCAGCAAGAGAATCTATTTTTTTCACGTTAGAAGAGTGCATATGTAAACATTCAAATAGAAAACTCACCTTCTTCGGGCTCACTAATCTCATCCTCTCCGGCCATTGCAGCCGCCTTGCTAGCATCCTCGACGTTAAGGGTTACTTCCATCTTGGTATCGAACCCGATATAGCTATCGCACACGACGTGCATGACAAATGTGTAAGTGCCGGCTTGAGGAGGAGCGGCGAACTGGGCTTTCAGCGTCTGCATGTGGTATGTTGGCTTTCCGTCATCCGTGAATATGGGCATATCGAAAGTAGTGAAGGGGAAAGGCTGGACAGCCATCTTTCCCTGTTTGCTGTCCGCGAGGAAGATGTGCCATTTCGGTGTGTGATCACGGGGGTAGTGAGGGGCAAATGCGATGGGCGGCGATACAGGTGTGTTTTCTTCCTTTGATACTATTTTCCCATTCGCATCCTTCACAGCCTTTTTACGTCCCATAAGTGCGTCAAGATCATCCTCAGCAGCGTCGATATCCTCTAGATCAAGCTCGTCAATCGGTGGAATGTCTGTGCTTCCAGGGGGGATGAATCGACCCTTTACAACCAGTGTGACCAAAGATGAGGGAATGATAAACCGTTCACCAGCAACCTTGAAGAATGCCTTTGCGACTCTCAGATATGGGAGCTGCTGTGCGACACCGACCGCTGTGTTGTACTGCTCTTCGTTTAGAAGTCCTTCTCCAATTACAATGCTTCTCCGCTGGGAATCAGGCCTATCCATGAATTCTTGGACGCTGACATGTGTTTTCGAGTCGCCTTCAACAGCCTTCACTACAGCTGGTGTAAAGTGGGGAAGTTGAAAGAGAGGAGAGGCCTTCGGGGGGACGGCTTGGATAAGTCGTTGGCTAACATGGAATGAGGAGAGAATGGGAATGATGTTTCCGTATGCGAGAGAGATCATCCTGAAGGAAGCGCAGAGGCTCTGCGCAATCGGCGCAACCATATATTTCGCACTGTTCAAAGCCGGATCGTCGAGTTCTACACGGCCAAGGTACGCCCAGAGAAGGGCTAGAACCTTTCTCCTTACGCCGCTCTCAAGGTCCTCGAGCTTCTCCTTGTCTTTGACCGACAATCCGCCAGCAAAGGGTGTGATTTCTCCTCTTGCCAATATCCTCGATTCGATTGTCGCAAGACCGGATTCCGCCTTGTCTCCTTTGAGCGCATCTCGAAATTCCTTGCCGCCACTCAGAGCAGTCACAAGGTCCCCTTCGTCCATAGACTCGGTGTACTCGCGGAATAGGTTGTTGGCACTCTCAACTTGAACGCCCTCCTTAGTTATACGCTGGGTACCATACCACCAGGATCCAACGTAGTAGGGCAACAAGACTCCGAGAAGTAAAGCATACACTAGCACGACGTACTTTCCGTTCCCTTCCGAAATGATGAACTTAGGAAGGGCAATTCCAATGCTGTAGCTCTGCTTTCCATCGGGATGTCCATACTGGATGTAATTGTTGCGAACCTCCTCGTCCGTGAGTGCCTGGTATGCCTTGGTAAGCTCGACCCATTTGTCGTTCAACGTTTCGGCAGTTTCGTTCTTAGCCGGGTCCGGCTTGGCCTTGTCCGGGTGAAATTTGAGACCGAGCTTCCTGTAGTGAGACTTGATCTGTTTTTCGGACGCCGACTAGAACAAACTCTGTTAATATAGGTGCTAGAAATGCGCAATTTGTAGGAAACATACTTCGGAGACTCCTAGGATATCATAGGGATTCCATATCTTGGCTGTGGTGCGTTGGGTAGTGACGATTAGGTATAACATTCCGGCCATGAGGGACCATCCTATCAAGACGGCGATGGCGCGCTTGACTTTGCGCTGCTTCCGCTTCTGGGCTGCGCGCTGCGCTTGAATAAGATCGGCATGTTCTGGTTGGTATGATGTTTTTGTCCGGGGTGCAAGCGCAGCAGGGTCCTTGCTAGGTGCAAACAGACTATATGTGAGAGGTAGGGTGACGATAGAAGTCAGAGTGAAGACGAAGAAAGGGTAAAAGTGCCCTTGTTCGTCATAAGAATACTCCGAACTCATGGTGCAGATGAGCCCTAAAACAGGGACTTTAAAATAAATTTGTCGACGACTTCAAAATAGATTTCGCTATGTTTCTTCTAGTATCGTTGTTGTTTTAGGGATTGTCGAAAAAAAGAGAGAACAAGAGCAACTTGTGCTGGTGTTGAACTTGGATTGGTTAAATTTAGAAGCAACCTTGTTAAGCAAGCTGTCCAAAGGAATTGCATTAGGTATCTAGGTATAATTAGGTACATAATCCAGTCTTTGAATCGTGGCCTTCCAAATTTCGAGGGACTACGTACCCGTGGGTCCTGCATAACTTATCGATAAGCTATCAGCAATTGTGGCATACTCCCAGCTTTGCAAAACATTACGTACATGTACATACCTCATAGCAATTGATCTTACACTATTTTATACATGTCAAAATAAGCTACAACTAAATCAAGCTTGCTGTATTTACGAGTTATACATAAGATACTACTGTAGGTAGCTTAGAATATTAACCATCTACCTAGGTCTAGATACAGGTAGGTATGTATCAGCTAAAACTATTCAGGTCCCGACAAATGGTATCATAGTTCCAACTCTGTTCTTGTAATTTACGTATTCCTCCCCAAAGAACCGCACCAAGAGTGCCTCCTCGTGCTTCACCCTGCTAGAAAAGAACTTCCACAGGACAATTGTGTAGCCTATGAAACAGATCGGGTTCCCCAGTACCATCTGCGTCCCAATACTCCAGTAGAAGAACCCAAAGTACGCCGGATGGCGCAGAAACGAGTAGATACCCGTAGTAACTAGCATGTGAGAGTCCTTCTTACGGTGTTGTATGGTGTGATTGAAAGACTGTCCAGCCTGGCCCATCGCCGCGCTGCGGACGAACTGCCCCACAAACACCAGTATGAACCCCAGCAGCAAGATGATATACCGGCTGTAGGGCGGCGCCCAGTTCCGGTTCGGGAACAGCAACTTGGTGAAGAGGCACTCGAGCGTCGCCGCCGCGTGCGCGATCGCGTAGGCCGGCCAGTTCGCCGTCAGCAGGAACGAGCCGATATTCGCGACCGGCGTGTTGTACTTGGCCGTGGTCCAGAACTCGAGGAAGTGGAACATGGCTAGCGCGCCGATGAAGAACGGCACGCGCCACAGCGGCGAGGACGTGAAAAACAGGATCGAAATCATGGCGATCGCGGACGAGGCGAGCACCATGCCGAGGCAGAATGACCGGATCGCGATGCCCGCGAGCGCCTTGGGCCCGCCGGGGAAGTAAGCCCTCTCGGGCGACGTCTGGGCGCTCTGCGCGACGGGACTAAGGAGCGGGAGCAGATGGTCAGTATTGGCGCGCGTGTTAATCGAAGCAAGATTTGCGATGGAGCGGTGGCGCGTGTTGAAACCCGTCGCCCACGACACATCGTCCTCGTCATGCCCGTGTAGAGGGGCAAACCCGCCGAGGACGGGTGTTACAGGCGTGGGCGTGGGTGTTGGGGTAGGCGTCTCTGACGCGATCGGTGGCGGAGTAACAAGCGACATAATGGTACACCAAGAGCTAAGATGTTCGACTCAGAGCAGCTAAAGCGACCGGGGAACGTCGGGTTGAGAAACCAATGCATGTAGTATCACGGTGGTGATTGCTTGAATAGAAGCTCGAGGATTTCTAGAATAGAAAGCAAACTTACCTATCCGGCGGCGACTCCATTGTGCTCCAAAACAGCTCCTTTCTCCCTTTGATCGTCTCGAAGTCCTTTAGCTACCTAAGATATCAAGGACAAAGATGAGGTACCTGTAGGAACCAATCCATGATCTGTATGTTGTATGGACTTAAAACTAGTGATCAAGTAGCTGTGTGAAGTTGATAAGATACAAAAGATACGATACCAAATCGGAGATACCTACCAATCTACTATGTACATTTATGGGTCTGGAATAAGTCGGATTACGTAAGTAGCCACTTACATACATGCATGTAAGTACTACCATGTAGTACATCTACCTAACGAAGCATAGGTAAACCGTAACTATCATCTTTCAAACTTCTCCTATTTCTTTTAATCGAAGTCTAGACTTCTCATAGACCATAGGTACCTACCTGTATATAGTAAAACAATAACAATGAGAAACAGAAAAAGTAATACAAACGTCAAGTATAATAGGAAAATTCGTACATATCACTACAGAACAAATGCTAGGTCAATAATTGGTCTCATTCGTATCTTATTCGTAAAACAAGGGCGCCAAATCTGGCTCATTCCTCATTCATTTTCATAAAGCAAAGGGTATCATAACTTTTTCCTCTACCTGCCATAGGCCTTACGGCAAATCATTTAACGCCGGGTCAATAAAGCCCTCCAAATCATTCGGCTGGATGAGCTGCCTCATCTCGGCCTCGTCGTGAAACCATTCCTCGCCAAACCCCTGTTCCACTGTACCGTACGGCTCAATATCATCCATAATCATCAATTCCTGACATATCCGGTCTCCAAAGTTACCTCCCCTTTGCGCCATGCCGTCATATTCCATAGGCAGCATCGGGTCTTCTGCCGGCCCCGCAAGCTGTTGTATCGCATGCTCAATGATATGCTCACTTTGAAGGTGTACCTCTAGTTCACCGTTATGCACGAATTTAGCAGTACAGCCAGAAATCGTACATGGCAGCGTTCTTCGAGACTTCTCTCCTACACCCGTAAGCTCTTCTAAGATGTTAGACGGGTCGTGATGCTTGGGCTTGGAGCTTCCCTGAGCCTGTTCCGGTCGTTCGTATTTTAGATGTACATAACGAACATGGTTCTCAAGGTTAGCTTTGGTAACGAAGCTCTCCCCGCAGCCATTGGATTTTAACCAGTGAGCCAAGTCTTCTGTACCACTAAGATCAACCTCTCCACAGACAAACCGCATGCCCTCATGGAAACTTCGTATATGAACATTCAGGTTCGATTTCTTAGTGAACGTTTTAGTGCAGCCCGGCCACGTACAAGCAACAGTTTTTCGTTCCTCAACGCTCTTGGGATTAGAGTGCTCCGAGTCAATGTGCTGCTCGAGAGCTGATCTGCCATTGCATTGAATCCCACAAAACATGCAGCTGAGATGGTCTTGCTTCATGTGGGCTTGCAACAGGGCCATTGTCGTAAATCCAACTCTCTTGGGCTGACCATCTTCAGCATTATTCTGCCGAGCGCTACATTCATCACACCAGAAGCGGATCTCGCCATGTTCTCGCTCTTGGTGGCGTCTAAGAGCTCCAGCGCTATCGAATCCAGCACCGCAAACATCTCCCGATGTGCCATCTTTATAATCGCATGTGTAAGGAGCAACGCGAAGATGCTCAGCACGGATGTGGCGTTGTAGAGTTTGGTGCTTGCGAAAGGACTGGTTACATGGTGGGAAGTCTCGACATCTGAATCTTTCTTGGCCCTCATGAACAGCCTGATGTCGTCTCAGACGAGTGGCTGTCATGAAACTCTTACCACAATCAGGGTGGGTGCATACATGTTCGCGCTCGTCAGTGTGGGAACCCTTGATGTGCTGTCTTAAGTGTTTTTCTTCAATGTAGTCTTTGTCGCAACCCGGGAATGAACACTTGTAGGGTCGTTCCTTATTATGAGATCTTAAGTGAGCAGCAAGACGGGCCGGACGGTTGAAAGTCTTGTCGCAATCGGGGAATGTGCATCTGATCGTTTTGAGGTCCGAAGGAAACTTGCGCGCGGGGGAAAGAGGAGTTAACGGAGTATCGTTCGCCGGAAAAGTGGACGCCGTTCCGGTATAGTGGGATTCCACGTCAGAGCCGGCATCGTCAACATCGAGTTCGAAGTCGGGGTCTAATAGAGAACAATACAGGTTAGTTAATGTTTTCGTGAGAGTAACATTTTGACAAGGTAATTCACCATGAGCGGAACCGGGATCAACAACCCTGCTTCTTTTGGCTTGAGGCCCATTAGGCTCCTCGTTCTCATCAGTTGCAGTCCGCTTCATAGTGAAACAGGCCGCAATCGATCATGTTATAGAGACAAACTGCTAAGTCGTAGTTCCATGTGCTTAAAGCAAGACCCTTGAGGAGAGCATTTGAGGAAAATGTTGTGCCGATTTGCTTATCGAAACGATAACGACTTTATCGATTTTAAAAAAAAGTTTTTATGGGGAAGTTTTTTCTAGTGGCCAAGGCTAGGTAATAAGGTTGTATCAGGGTCCGCAAGCAGCTGAATTGTAAAAGCCAAAGTGGTCCAAGCGTTGGTTCTAGGCAATTCTAGTCAGACGGTAGATGTGCAGTCATAACAATCCTTGGTCTAGATTCTTTTCACCTATCAGCCTTTCAGCCTTTCTAAATTTTTCGCATCGCAGCAGTGCATCTCCCAAGTCGCGTCTCTGTCTACACTTTCGCCAGCCAACATTACGACTTCATTTATTTTTAGGTGCACAAGCCTTTCTTTTCGAGTCTATAGAGTAATTACCATTAGTCAAAATGTCTGACTATGGCGATGATGGAGATGTCGGTGGAGCGTAAGTTGTGCTATTTTCACGTCCAGTGTGACCAGTACTCTAACGCGTCGCAGGGACGAGCCTATGTTCGAGGATGATGAACCCCTAGACGATGAGCTCGACCCCGAGGTTCCCGATGGAGAGGAGGATGAATTCAACCGCAGAGGTGTAGATGAGGAAGAAAACGTTGTTGTCTCGGGCGATCCATCTGCTGCCGCAAACCGAACAAAGTCTACAACCAAATCGAACAAAGATAAAAAGATCCCTAACGAAGAACGAAGTACAACTCCATACCTGACAAAATACGAGAGAGCCCGTGTCTTAGGTACTAGGGCACTACAGATCAGGTAAGGCAGTGTTGACAAATATCAAAACTTGGCAGATACTGACTAGATATTGTATAGCATGAATGCACCCGTTCTTGTAGATCTAGAGGGAGAGTCAGATCCGCTTCAGATTGCTATCAAGGAACTACGCGAAAAGAAGATCCCTCTGATTGTCCGGCGCTATCTTCCCGATGGCTAGTATGTCTTAGATTTCCCATACTACATGTGTAATTAGCTGGTGCTAATTATTATACAGCTACGAGGATTGGTCCTGCGAAGAATTACTCCAGTAAACCAGATCTGGGTATCATCTTCCTCGGCCCTAAGCATTCTGGATGCTTATCCTAGCATCACATGACATCCAGTAATGCATCAGCAAACAGGGCCGACCCATAGGACTGCGCAGGAAGGAGTCGTTAGATGACGTAGAGAAGTTTGCACGAGCATGGAGTTAGTGGTTGCTTTCGGAATATATTAAGTTTTTCCTCAGGCATAAGACTTCCGGATATGCGGCGTCAAGGGACTGATGTATCTTCCGTTGGCTATGTGGTAGCCAATCGCCTTGCATAATGGTCGTGGGCGTGGTCATCAGCTTCTCCGTCAGCTACTTCTGAGTCTCACCCAGGCGGATTAAGAGACGGGCAAATATCCCATAGCCGCGTGCGCTGACAAGTAAATTGTTGCCCGACGCAGCTGAGATTTCCCACGGAGCTCATTGGTTACTGCCGTCAGCTGAAGATTGATTGGTACTGTTGTTATTATATTTCAACTAATAGCCAACAAAAAACGATTAATTAATGCATATGAATGCGTACCTAAGTACTCTAACCTACCTGATTCAGTACCTAAATTCAGAACACATAGTTGTGATTATACTCTTTTTTTTTGCACAATCTGCTAGGGACAGTATGCTTAAAATAGCGTAAAGCTTCGTATTGAATTGGATTCCGCATAAAATGTCGATGCGGTGTGACTACTCCATACCAGGTATCTTAATGTAAGGCTATCGAGGGGTTCACTACCTAGGTTATCTGACAACGGTTCTGCTAAGCTAACAGCTAACAGCTAACAGACCAATCAGCGGAACGGGCCTATGACGTCTGCTGACCGTTGGGAAAATTGAAAAGTGCATATCAGCTCAGCCCATGCAGCAGCAGCCGCATTCTCCCTTCTTTTCGATAGCCTGTACATAAGGTTCCTAAAATTAGGACCATGGACCGTTAACATTATACATGTAGTAGGCTGCAGACTTAACATGCTATCTCTTGTCTTGCGACGGTATATCGTAAACGAAGTTAGGGCGTTTGTCTCTGCCAAACGAGACCAAAGCCAAGAATAGTTATCATCTTGTCGAACTTGCAATTTATAAGTATTACACACATACCTATCATTATCCCTAGATAAACTATTCTTATACACATACATTACATTACATACCTATATATTCCTTCTTGCCCACTTTAGCATCCACTGTCCGGGATTGAATAGCAGACACGATAGGGAAACAGAAAACTCCACTCGATACCTCTTTTGTCCTCCAGCCGTCAGCCGTAAACCGTACATTCATACATATATTCATCGATCCGCATAAACACTCATCCACCTCGAACTTTCCTTTCTAAAAAAAAAAAAATAAATAAATAAAATAAATAAAAAAAAAGGATTTTTAAGAAAATATAAAAATCGTTGTAAGGCAAATCTTATCTATCCGCAATAATGCAGCTCTCCTCTATCATTACCAGCCTCGTCGCAGCTGCCTCTTGCATCTTGGCCCTTCCGGCGCCGCAATTGGCCAAGAGAGAAATCGGAGGCGTAAGTCCTCTATCCCTCACTTCCTTCCGCATCGCGTCGCGCAAAAGGCTAACTCGCCTATCTCCCAGGTCCTAATTTGCAATGGCGCAGATGCTACGGGCACATGCCATTATGATGTATACTCAATGCACGACTGCCACCAGCTGCCTGACGGCCTGATCAACAACGCCAAGACCTTCGCTCCCGATGGCGACGCGTTCTATTGCTGGCCCAAGGTGTAAGTTGCGAGATATATATGCCTCTTTCCCTTCATAACCATTGCACAACTTTAGCTAACTCTATGTTCTTCCATTGTATGTAGAGGCCGCTGTGACCAGATCTGCACATCTCCCACTGGTTGCACGTTCGGCGCCGTGTCCTTCTACAACCCCGTCAAATGGGATCTGTCGACCATTCACTGGGACACTTTGATCACATCCTTCGAATGTAGGCTCAACGAGACTACGAAGGCTTAAACCTGGGAAGAGAATTGACGACGTAAAAAAGAGAAAAAAAAAGTTTGGCAGACTGGCATGACGCTAATGAGGCAGACAGATGTCTGTTGTTAATATGTCCAAGCCAAAAGTCTCCAACACTAAATAATACGAAGTAACAACTCGACTTTTCCCGTTGATTAAAATGGGCTGCCCGCGACGGAGTCTAGTCGGCAATTCGGGGTCTTTTTGGGAATTAGTAGCTGCCAATGACGTCGCTCTAGCAGCTTATGATGTGGGGTAGATAAGAAGGGAAAATGCTCCAGCTCTATCTCCCCTCTTCTACGTCTCGATAATTCGAAAAAACTGCCGGGGAGGAGCTTGAGGGGCACCAAGTTCATAATTCATTACGTTGTACATATTAGAAAGCATAATCGCATCGTTAGAGACTCAATTGACTTCACGGGATCATAGATCTACTTCTCCTTATTAGTTTATTTCCCCCCGTCTTTGACTTATACATCTATCTAACCAATCTAACCCACAGGTAGTTAGAAGAATATAGTATTGTACAAGCAAGTCCGTTTTATATTCTACGGTACCTAGGTATCTACCTAATCAACAGCTTGATACAACCTAGGTACATACACAGTGGCCTTCAGACTCTTCGCGAAAATGGCCTTCGAGACCAAAGCCACCATCGCCAACTTCGGCGGCAAGCTGCTCAAGCTGCAGCACCAATCCTCCAGCACCGGCACCCCCATGGACGTGAACCTTTTCCTGCCCCCGGCCGCCCTCGCCTCTCCCGCATCCAAGGTCCCCGTCCTCATCTACCTGTCAGGCCTCACCTGCACGCCGCAGAACTGCACGGAGAAGGGCTTCTTCCAGGCGCACGCGGCGCGGAAGGGCATCGCGGTCGTCTGGCCGGACACCTCGCCGCGCAGCGCGGACCCGTTCCCCGGCGAGGCCGACAGCTGGGACTTCGGCGCCGGCGCCGGGTTCTACGTGGACGCGACGCGGGCGCCGTGGAGCGCGCGCTACCGCATGGAGACGTACATCACGTCGGAGCTGCCGGCGGCCCTGTTCGCCGCGTTCCCCGACGCCCTGGACCCGGCGCGCGTGAGCCTCACGGGCCACAGCATGGGCGGCCACGGCGCGCTGACCCTGTTCCTCAAGCACCCGGGTAAGTACCGGAGCGTGAGCGCGTTCGCGCCCATCGCGAACCCGTCCCGCTGCCCCTGGGGCGAGAAGGCGTTTACCGGGTACCTGGGCGCGGAGGACCGCGAGGAGTGGAAGAAGCACGACGCCACGGAGCTGGTGCGCGGGTGGGCGGGCAAAGACATCAAGGCGCTGGTCGATGTCGGGACCGGGGATAATTTCTATACGCAGGGGCAGCTGTTGCCGGAGAACTTCGAGAAGGCGGTTCAGGAGGCCGGGGTGAAGGGGTTGGAGTTGAGGTATCAGCCGGTGAGTTTTATTTTATGTTATTGATCGTTTATATTTGTATGAATGGCGGGGTGAGAATGGGAATGGGAATGGGAGTTGAACTAACTGACTGACTATTGTGTAGGAGTATGATCACTCGTATTTCTTCATGTCGACTTTTGCTGGGGACCACGTCGAACACGCTGCCAAGTACCTATTCGCGTGAGGATTAGCTCGGGAAAGGGGGGGTTAGTTACATAATCATCCCCCAACAGCTACAGAAGCCCGGTACCACACAGCATATTATGTATATGTACGCTTTTTCCTCAAGTGCTATGAAATTATTAGGCGCGAGTGTTACCTCGAAGCAGAGGCCCTAGTCACAGTGATAATAGAGACACCAACAGCTTAAGACTACTGGCTTAGGAGTAGTACTATTTACACGTCCTGGGAGCAACAGGTAGAACTCGTAAAAGATAATTTCGGAACACATATTACGTACCCTCAAAATATCAAATTGTTCAGAAAATTCGAAAGTGCTTCTTTATTCAGATTACGTGGTGGTATATATTGACACTGTAGCTGCGGATATCTTCAAGCAAGAAAAAAAAGACAATACTTCGCTTCTGGGGTGCGTCGTTAGGTCTGAACCATGTTACTCTTCTGCTTCTAGCTCTGCCTCTTCTCCGCGGGGCTTAAGCTTTCCTTCTCAAGCTTACTCTTCATCTCCGCATCCGCCTCCCGTCGTATCCGGTGAAACGCGAGCTTTTCAAACCGGCTCATCCCCTTCCACCAATGATGACCGGCCTCGTGCTCGCTAATGCGCTCGATAAGCTCCGAGGTTTGAATCCTAACATCCCGGTCCTTATGGAACAGCCCAAGGGCTATATAGAAGAGTCCCGCGTGGGACTCTGGTGCTACTGATAATAGTAGGCTGATCTCGTCATACGAGTGGACGTACTGGGCAAACGTCAAATAAATTTCTTTGCTCTGTGCCGGAGTTAGACGCTGAGACCGGAGTCGATCGTGCATGTGATGTAGGTCTAGTCCTTTCAGGGGCCGGATGGTGTATAACTTGGCGAGGTCCTAAAATCAACTAGTTAGTTGCGAAGTGTTCATGGTTTAGGGGGGGCCGTCTTACTTGGATGTAGCTATAGTAACTTCGGGTATTTCTCCAGCCCTCAATCCTACACACGTTACCAGCAAGCTCCTTCTGCTTAGCAGCCTCATCCGCCCATACATATCCATGACCGCCTGTAGGACCACCTGTAACAGTTTCAAACTCGTCGCCTCCAATATATAGAGCGCTGGCCCCATAAACCGTCTCCTCGAAGGCTGCTGCTATCCTGGTGAACCTGACGACCCAATCTCTCCACTTGGCCCGGATAACATGTTCTCCGCGTCTTGCCGATATGCTCTTGAGGATGTCATTCATAAACACTACATCTCCCGTAAAATCGATGGTTGCCGTACTGGATGTACCGCTAAGCATGCTCGCAAAGGCAGGATTTTGCTGTTGGAAATATATGAGCCCTTCTGTGATTGGAGCCGGTTCAATCTTTTCGCTAATCTTCATCCTTCCTGTCTGGAGATCGCATAGAAGATCCCACCATTCGGGATGCAGCTCAAATGTCGGGTTCGTAACTCCAGCAATGAAGCCAGGCACCTTCAAAAGATCGTCAACTTTGGTAAGATCTGTGTACGGGAAGGCATGTCTAGTAAATCCCCGTAGAACGCCGCCGGATGCTAGAGCACATGCCGCCAGGACAGCCTCTGCAACCTCGCCTGACGGCATATTATGCCCAACAAAAATTATCCTCTTCTGGGTTAGGAGTGCATTAGCAAGTACTATTATAGGGTGGGTTCCCGGGCCATTTGTGGTTAGATGACTATGTATAGCAAATTGCTGTGCCGACTTTGCGTGCGGCTCTGAGAAGGTCTGGATGAGCTTGATAAGCGAGAAATCTCCAACTGTTTCGGGCATAATCGCCGTTGGAACCTTGACAGGAATAGGAATGCCCTTGTACATGACTTTGCTCTCAAATTCGTGAGTGTCTCGTGGGACTGAGTACGCGGATTGGCCTTCGAGATGAGCTTTGGTCCCTGCTCGAGAAATACCTTGCAGCTTAGGCGGACTTTTACTTGCGTCAAAGGGCTCACCAACCCCTTCAGCTTTGTCCTGGGCAATTCGTCTCTGTATCATTCGCTCAAATTTTTCAACGAATAGGTCTTGATTATTGCTAGCTTGCAAGAGATATCTCTCAAGCAAGTTAAGCTTTGGCATTAGCGATAGGTCCATGCTATTGACGGCTTCGTAGAGCAACGCCAGCGTTTCCGGGACAGGTGATTTATAATATTCTTCCAGCGCGAGTAATAACAGAGGCTGCTATAGTTAGAAAAGTAGAACAAGTTGACATAGAGGTAAGTCTTGGCTAACCTTATATATATGTAAGAAGGGGTGTCGTGTACATATAGCCATTGCTTTGACTACGGCGCCTCTCTTCACACTTTTGTCGTGTCTGGTATAAACCAAGTTTAATACGTATATCAACGGCGGCCCCTCTCCTCCTTCGGGTTCCGAGTCAGTCGATTCGTCATCGTCCCAGTCATCATCGTCCTCATCTTCGTCCTGCTCGTCATTCGTATCGTCATTTCCATTTATGATCCCAGCAGCTTTATCCCTCTTTAATTTCCTCCTCTTCCGTCGTTCTTCCTTCTCCTTTTTCTCTTCGTCGTCGTCCTCTTGGGTTGTGTCCTTATGCAAGAAAAAAATAGTCCAATCTTGGGTACGCGAATGGACTTGGTCTGGTAACATGAGTTCTGCTAACATATTTTCGTCGCCGGTTATCGCGACAGGGTACTGGTGCTCCATGACAGGACCTCGGTCGATGTCAAAGGAGGCAACCAAAATATACTCGACATGGTTCTCGGAAGATTCCCGAGGGTATTGCGAACGTAATTTCCTAGGAGACTGGCCATTGGGGTTCGGCTTCCTTGGCGGTGAGAGGGAGGAATTTTGCGAAGATTCGGCAGTCTGACTCCCGAGAGAAGAGGTCTTAGATTTAGAACTGGGATCCGACGTGCGGTTGTTGTTTACTACCGGAGGCTGGGGTGATCGCGGAGGGCGCGAGTGATGAGACATCTGCGAGGGCGAGCGCGAAGACAGAAAAGACGACAGCGATGTGCGATGGTTATGGCTATGGCTATGATTCCCACTACCGCCGCCATTGGAAAGGGATTGGCTCGTATTTGTTCGCGTAAGATGGGGGAACGCCATTTGAGCCGATACAATTGTGACCGGTTATGCTCATTTGGTATGATCGTCGCGGTTGACGAGTCCGCCGCTCGGGTGGACTGTTCGAAAGTTGATACTGAAGGACTGGGCTTCAATGCGTCGCCCAAAAGTATATACAAAGTATATACAGCTTAACAGCTTCGTCTCGCGACTGTAATTAGGTCGAATTGAGTCTGGGCACAATTCATTGACCCGTTGCGGGGATTATTTTTTTCGATCAGCGTCGCTGTGCCATTCGCAACTCAGGGGTCGCCGTGGGTATATGGGTATATGGGTATTATGGGATTTCTCGATTTCTCGATATCTCGATTGGCCGGTTACATGGAACGAAATCAAAAAATCAGGCCAGGACGTGAACAATGCCAGCGATAAGAGAAACAGAAAATTGGAGTCAGAGAAAACAACGGCCGAGACATGATCTGCTACATTACCATCACTTCGGAATTGTTCGAACTTAAAAGGTAGTATTTCACCCTGAACAGGGGAAGGGGGGGAAGAAGAGGTGGGAAGAAAAAGGTACGAAAGTGAAAGAAAGACGTTTCGTATCAAACCAGACCCTTGACAATTGGGATTTAGTTAGGGACCCTTGTAGCCATGATTGCAGCCAATGATTAGCTGGGATAGACCCTAGAAACTTGGGGGATACTAGGGGAGGGGTTAGGGGGGCTAGTTTCTATCTCCTCTTTTAAGCTCTTTTTATCTCATTTTAGCGTGCTCTCTGGCGCTAAATGCAGTAAATGGTAGCAAAAAGATGCTCCATCAGTTTACTTTGTGCTGCCTGTGGCTTCCTATTCAGTGGCATTCACCCCCCAAAAGGCCCTTGACCCCACCACTTTTTATCACTTTTACTATGTATCACCTCAGACATCGATTTAGATCCATCATGGACCGATTAACTACAAAAGTACTTACGAATGAGGAGATAGACCTACATCCTGTACGACATCGATAGTCTGTTTTCGCGATGGACCAGCGCCTCATTTACCACAAGAAGGCGACCTAAGAATGGCCACAACCTTATCTAAATCTCTTCGAGCCAAGGATCATCCGCGCAGTTGAGGTTGTCTTCCGGATAACCTTTTTTTTTTTTGGAGGCGCTCCTCATACCCTATTCACGCTACGCTACGCTACTAAAAAGGTAAAAATAATAAATAAATAATAATAAAATATACATAGTAAGAGAATATTTTAAGAGCTTTACACCTTAGTAAGTACATCGAACGCCGCGATGTTACCCATCAGATTGCGCCCAGTTGCGTCAACGAGCTAGACTCAGCCCAAATGTGTAGCCATGCTATATTTATTGTTCAATAACGACGGTCGAAAGCCGCATATATCTGCATGTGTTCTGCATGAGCTTATGCTAGATGTCAATGAGATGCAGCCATCCGCACCTAGTGCCAAGCTTCCAAGTTTTGACAAAGGAATAGCCGGAGGATCTCCGTTACAGTCATCGAGCTCGAAATAATAAGAAAGGATCGGGCTACATGGGCTACTTCTGATATATTGGATCTATTAAGGGGCAGGTGAGGTAAGTGAAGTGAATTAATAATTCAGCAGAGGATGAGTTTAGTTTTTAGCATTGAACGAAGCTTGTTGAATGTTTACTTGTGTACGTACGTGTAAGTACTGTCGCGATTCACTCCTACCTTTGGGTAGTCTAAGTGATATACAAGGATTCCATTAAGTATAAACCACTTATACCTCATTCAATATATTGCTACTCTTCCCTTTGGATTATCGTTGGAGAAATGAGATGACTATTTCCAAGTAATATTGTGTCGAAAGGTAGGTAAGTAATGCGACATAAAGTCGAAAAGAAAAAATTAAAGTGGTATTAAGCAATGATTTATATTACAACAACCTGATTTCAATCAAGAGATCGAAGACATATTGCCCAAATCGAAAGGCTATAATTCTGCCGTATATCCTCAAGTGCGAACTTGCTATAGTGCATGAGCTTCTAAATTTGATGGTCGGGTCCCATGTTCTCTTTCTAAGACGGCATGTTCAAGAGAGCTTCCTGAAGCTTTAATTTATTTGTATAAATGGGACGTGTACTATAGCAAATTCGCGCTGGGGGACATAGTAGGTATTTAATAAGTTCTAGAGCGGGAAACTTGGCATTCCGGGTTTCTACTCGCTCCTTATTCCTATCATAATCTACTGATGGAGACATATAGGATGCTTTTATTTCACGATATTATACCGTTAACTACCGTACATGTGTAGGTTAGGTTAGGTTAGGTAGTTATTCCTTAGGGTCATATTCCGCGCAGACAGCGTACATCAGGCTACGAAATTGATATATGGTCGAGTTTGATGGCGAAGTTCCGAAAATACACTCTTATATGATTTACTAATAAGGCCAGAAGCTTGTATCTTCCATGTGGTTAAGAAACCAAAATTAAGTAGGTAGGTGCGTACGTAAAGTAAAGATGCTAAACGCCAATATTCCTCGTTGGCATAGTTGAGAACTTAGAATTGACATGTATGCTGTCATAACTGTAAATTGGCTATATCCGTGTTTCAATAACGACTCCTAGCACTTTGTATGCGATAGGATCACCTTTCTTTGATACGAGATACCATATATACTTAGCTATCTGTCCCTTCTACATTCTAACACTCTAACTAGTTTCCTCGACTCGAAGATGCTTGAATAATTAATTATATAGATATTTTCGAGTCTATCATTAATCGGGTTATTATTGACGTGGTAAGCGTCCAAGTATAACCACAACCTCTTATACAAATGATCTATGTCTTAACTTACCCTTAAAAACTTGTCGGTGAAGCCTTAGTATAGGATAACGGGTACGAGAAATTTGATGCCCAAGTTCTCCTTACTATGTAGAAGAATGGATATACGTTTCTTTGGCAATGGAGTTAGGTTCTAGATTTCTGGAGTTGAGCCTTTGTGCATGAACCTAGTGTACCTAAGTACATACTAAATCTGGTAGGTGGGTTATGCGGTTGCCCCGCAACGATCTGGCATACAGGCACAACGATACAACAGATGTTCGAGATGCGACGCGCACTTTAGCAAAACTCCAAAACTTAATACAATTGCATTCATGCGTTAAATCCTTTGCGACAGCTTGCCAAATCCAATTTCATAAAATCAAGAAAAATCTGTGGTTGAGACTGCTCGTTTACCTACCACTCTAAAAAAACGCATTCTACTTTGTTTACTTATACGCAATTGAAGCACGGCCCAGGGAAATCGGTGACAATGGTGAGTAATGGAACCCACTTGACAGCGGAGCTCCCTGCATCGATCGTCCTCTCCCCTTGGTTGATGATAGATTGGTTCAAATACTTACATCGTACGGGAAAATAGGCTACGCCAGCGGGTTACAAGCCATCGCCTCTCGGATACGGCTCTCCTCGAAGTTCCCCTTTTCGACGACCAGAATCTCCCGCCTCGCCGTCATCAATCAAATATACAACACCGACTCCCTCACCTGCAAAACCCAGCGGCCTACATACCCCTTCTAGATTCGCTGCTACGGTAGAATCTCCTACCAGCTCAGAAGGACTGACTCCTCGTGGATACGGTCAGACGAACGATATGCCTTTCACACAATCCCTCGCCTCTCCGCCACACATAGCGTCACGGGCTCCATCGCCACTGCACGCCGCAGCTCAGGGGAACGCACTTTCTCAATTACAACCGGCACAGCTCCGAGTACTCAGAGATGTATTCCAGATTCTGGATAGAGACAGCGATGGTGTTGTGAATAGGGAGGATGTCGTAGACATGCTCAATCAACTCGGTATGCCTGCACAGCTCGTATCCTAGGGCCATTGGATGTCAATCAATACTAACGCAGATGAATTAAAAAGGACTACCATCCAAGCAATCTGACATCTCGCAATTCTTCCCTCCAGGCGGCCCGCAAACGACGACCCTCGCGGTATTTCTCAACTCGATAGCCACAACACTGGTTGCGATGTCGCCGAGTGCAGAGCTGCTATCGGCGTTTTCGGCCTTCGACGACGACGACAGCGGCCAAGTCGACTTCTCCGAGCTGCGTGACGCTCTGCTGCACACCGCTCCGGAACCGGGCGAGAGAGCCCTGACGGCGACCGAGGTGGACAAGATCATGCTCGGGTTCAGCGGGAGAAGAGCGTTCAGCAAGAGCATGGCCGGCGGCGGGTTGAGCAAGCGCGGTGAGGTGTTCAAGTATCAAGAGTTCGTGAATTCCATCGTAGGCGGCAATGGGTCGTCAGAGCCGAGCTCCCATGATAACTCCGAAGAGTGAAAAAATTATTCTTCCAATGAAAAGAAAAAAGAAACAGAAAAAAAGAAAAAAGAAAACCTAATTCTTGTACTATGTGCTGGAGAGGTATGGGACGGATCGGGGGCTTCGCGAATAAAGCACTGGCTCGAGTGCTAGAGTAAGGAGTTCCAGGCGGATGAACACGACTATAATAGTTACTGTAATTACATTTGCGTTTTTTTCCTTTTTCTTTTATATGAAGTCCTTTCGTATTCGAGGACATACAAGGTACTGGGTTAGGGGGTAAGGACACACATTTATCGAGGCTAGACCTTGACAATTTTCAGCGTAGTTGAGCTACCTGAAAAACAAAGCTGTCACATTAGGTACCGTTACTGGAAGATGGCGGTTTATAAGATTAGATTTCTGTACACGAGTTTAACTAGGGAATATCAACAATGAAGAAGTCTAAAAACATAGTAATATACCAGCTACCGAGCCCCTAGTCATAAGGCTTTACTGAATTTGGACCGGGCACATGGCTGGCAATATCCGAATCTTGAACTAGGGAGGGCTTGATAGGTTACACTCTTGAACCAAATATCTGGGTGACACGACATCATTTGATCCTTAGTGTATATTTGGTATAGCATCTGGCCATGTGTTTTCACGAGGATCATACCTAAGCTTACCAACGGTTCATACCTCTTGCCTAGGTACGTACACATTTCGGCTGATACCTTGGGTTAGGTACCTATCGCTTACTGAAGCACAAACAACGTTATCAATATCGTCGATATCTGGAACCGCTGGACGAGCTAGGACCAGCCTCGCGATTAAAACACGTGCTCTGATTGGCATTTCCTACGTAATTAGAAAAGGTTAGAGTGCACTAAGAGAGGCGTTCACAACCGGATTCCACCGGGTTGTCCCACGAACACCAGGCCAGCACACGTGAATTATCTCAACCTTGTCCCTGCATAAATTGGGTTTAGCGATGCTGTTGAGTTACCCGGTTGAGCGACCCGCGACGTGACAAGCCGGACAAGCTACGTAGCGCGGTAAGCAGCTTGATATCCCGTTCTGTAGGTATCGATACGAAAAAAGTGTATAATAGGACCTGCTATTGCGTCAAGGGACCAGAGTTGAAACAAACCCACAGTGGGAAGAATAGGGACGGGCAGGGACGGGCTCAGGTTACAGTCACAATTTAGCGGGCTTGGCAACCCGAGTCCCAAAAGTTCTTTTTTTCTTGATGCCTACCAGCCTGCGACTATGACAAGCCATGGCGGTCATGACAGTATCTTCCCGCTGGTCCAAGCGCCCTAGTACTTAAAACCCTCATACCAAATTTGTACCTTCCCCCATAGAAGCTTCGAGAATCGGTTGAAAAGAAAGGGGTCCATTGGCTGGGGGAGAAGTGGGCTGGGTGTTTGGCTGCAGGGTCTACTGCCGCCCTCGGAACGATCCTTGCAACCCCTGTCTGTCTATTCATCTCGGCTTGCCAGGATTGACGTCTCCGCGCGCGCACAGTGGTACAGTATTAACAGCAGGTACTATGTAATAACGAGCCGCTGACGATGATATCAATTCCATGGAGTTTTGATGAGATAGTGAGACTCATATCAGCGGAGGTAGACGCCGGAGAAAAGAGGCCAAAGACCAGACCAGACCAGAACAGCTCAGCGCAGAAAAGACAGAATGTCAGTCTGTTGCCAGAGTGAGCGTTGCAATTGACAAGCACAACGCATTGTTCAGCCTCTCTAATTCTAAGTTTGTGGATGGGATTGGCTTGGTAGGATGCTACCTGAACAAGCGTTGCGGAGATATATAGCCATTCACAACACCCGACTTTATGTTGTAGACGCTGAATAAATTGTAAACATGCCAATGCCCCTCATTTTGGTTTATTGGCCAACCGAACTTCGGCCCTCTGAATAGTTTGATCAACATGAATGGATATTGGTTAAAATTATAAAAAAAAATAGTGGTTGTTGAATGGTTGATGTTGTTGAAACTTGAAAGATAATGGGCACTACGTATACTAGCCTCTAGGTAGTATGCTACATTAGGTACGTATGAGGTAGTACCTACCTAAACATGCAGTAGCGGGGTGGCTGGAGATTTCTGGAGTCCTGGTTAGAGTTCAATCGATGATATGTACATACATAATGCTAGGTACGTATGTACCTCACGTATGTAAATATGATGCCGATATACCTACAGTAAATACTACCTCTAGGTACCTGTGAGGTACAATACGTAAGGATGCCTGGGCTAAGCTGGACAAGCCTAACATTGAAGCCTAGCAGGCCTATTGAGAATGTACTAATAACCTCTGATCAACGCACTGACCCGCTGACTGACCAAGTATTCGGGACTTCTTTCTTTCTGGGTGCTTCTCCAAATTTCACAAATTTCAAATCCCCAGCCTGACGATTCTTATCCTTATTCAATAGACGCGAAGCAGATCACTAAAGTTCTAGGCTGTGCGAAGTACCGTGCTGTCCCTGACACCCTGCACATACACTGGGAGAGAAGGGGAAAAAAAATTAAGTCCTCAACAAGCTGATAAATCGTACCTATCTTTGGTTGTCATCTTTCACAATTCTTATCTTACATCTTAGTTTTGTCCGTCCTTCATAACCTTTTTTTTAAACCCTCTTTCGTCACCGCTGTGCCTTTCCCACAAGCGCGGCCATCCTAGTAGCCCCCTCGAAATTATTCAGGGACCTTCTAGTCGTTCACTTACATTTAAGGATAGCCATTGCTCTCCTCTTAACCAGCTCAGGTTTTTTTGCCCCAGTCCGACTGGAAAACGAGAGAAAATAAGTGAACCGAAGAAAAGGGACCCTTTTTCTCCTGCAGCCTGCGACTCGACCAGAGTTGGCTAGTATCTAAGGGGAAAGCTAAGTACGGGCGGTGTGTCTTACGAGTCGGAATCACGGGCGTAAGTGAATTTTTTTTTAGGGCATTATTTCATGCCTTAGTCCACTAGTTGGACAGGTCTAGGAAATGCACCACTGAGAGCGCTATGGTTCTTTGCATGTCAAACGTCAATTGGGTATACATGAATTTTTGGTGTTGCAAAATTACGGGTGATTTAAAACTTTATTTTTTTAACTTTATTTTTTTTTTAATTCCCATTATTTCTTGTCTTGGGAAGAATTAAACTAACCGATTTTTTTTCTTCGCACTAGGGCCTAACTAGGATCCAGCAGCATCACGTAGAGGGTTATCGAAACAACGAAAAGAGCGTTTGAGGCGGGAACCATAGGGATTAATTATTACCTTTACCTTAGGTAATAATAGAGGTGTGGGAACTCTTTTTTTTTTCGTCCTAATCAACGTATCGAGCTCGATTAAAGCCGAATACCTCCATTCCAAATGAAGGGCCTATTCAACTCGAAAAAATCCCCAAAGAAACAAACTGCAGGCGATAGCAGCGAATCTCACTACACCCCTAATTACCAAGATAAACCACAACCTCAAATCCCTCGTTCGGAGCAGACTTCACCCGTAAAGTCATCTACCAGCTCTACTAGATCGTCCCCCACCAAAAAGCCCTTGCGCCCCGCATCGCCTTCCCAGCGGGAGCAGCCTAAATCGCGAACTTCTCGCTCTTTTGCGAGACATTCGTCCGACCAGGGTTCTTTTTCAAGGCGGAGTAAAATCGACACTGATACTCATCCTCTGAACTTGCCTCCCGAGGAGCTCAAGCGCTTATCTGCTCAGTATAATATGAACAGTAGGAAATCCGTTGATAAGATGGACCTCGACAAAGATACCCCGGCCGTCCCTCCGACCTCGCTACCTCCTGTACAAACTCAATCTTTCACTATCCCCGTCAATCCCTCTCCCACCAATGGGGTAAAGAAAGATGCGAATGATGAGACCGAAGGCCCGGCTCCTCCGCCTCACAGGTCAAACCCCTCTAGCCCGGTCCCCACCGATGCGGAAGCGGCCGAGGTTCACAAGACCGACGGAAACAGGTTCTTCAAGCAGAAGGACTATTCACGGGCCATTGCTGAGTACACAAGTGGTATGCTGTTGCGAAGTCACATATTATGTTTTTGGGGAGACTAACATATACATTAGCTATCCAGCTTATGCCTAATGAACCTACCTACCTGAGCAACCGTGCTGCGGCTCTTATGTCTGACCGCCAATATGAGGCTGCTCTGGAAGACTGCATTCGTGCTGTAGACTTGGATCCTCACAACCCTAAATACTTACTACGTTTGGCCCGTATTTACACCAGCTTAGGACGTCCTGAGGAGGCAATGACTACCTTCGGACGTATCCACCCTCCTGCTTCTGCCAAGGATATGGCTGCCGCTAGGGAAATGCAGCATCACGTTCGAGCAGCCCAGGACGCCCTTGAACGCGGTACCAGCGGTTCCATGGTTTTGCATGCGTTGGATCAGGCCGAGAAGTTGCTCGGGCCCGGAGCGAGCAAGCCCAGAAAGTGGCAGCTAATGCGAGGCAATGCATACCTCAAGATGGGAGGTGCTAACTCATTAGGAGAGGCGCAGAATGTCGCAATGTCGATTCTAAGACAGAATAGCCAGGACCCGGAAGCATTAGTACTACGAGGACGTGCTCTTTACGCCCAAGGAGAAAACGATAAGGCCATTACCCATTTTCGAAAGGCGTTAAGTTGTGATCCCGACTTCAAGGAGGGTATCAAATGGCTTAGAACTGTGCAGAGACTAGACAGAATGAAGGAGGAGGGTAATGCGGAATATAAGGCCGGACGGTGGCAAGCCGCTTTCGACAAATACTCAGCTGCTCTGGAGATTGACCCTTCTAACCGAGGTATCAACTCGAAGCTCTACCAAAATCGGGCGCTCTGCCAAATCAAGCTGAAGCAATTTAACGAGGCGATCGCCGATTGCGACAAAGCCATCCAATTGGATCCGTCCTACATTAAGGCCCGGAAAACGAAAGCCAACGCATTAGGCCAGGCAGAGCGATGGGAGGATGCTGTTCGTGAGTGGAAATCTATCCAGGAGCTGGATCCTGAAGATCGGACCATCCACAAGGAAATCCGCAGGGCAGAGTTGGAGCTCAAGAAGAGCCAGCGTAAAGACTACTACAAGATTCTCGATGTTCCTAAAGATGCCGATGAGACCACTATCAAGAAGGCTTATCGCAAGCTCGCCATCAGACATCACCCGGACAAAAACCCTAATGATGACGAGGCCGCCGAACGTTTCAAGGATATTGGTGAAGCTTACGAAACCTTGAGCGACCCTCAGTACGTGTTATTCCCCTATTTTTAACTATTGCTCTCTTACTGATACCCTCGCAGAAAGCGTGCTCGCTATGACAGCGGAGACGATCTCATTGACCCTGCCGACATGTTTGGTGGTGGCATGGGTGGCGGTATGGCCGGTGGCATCGATCCAGAGATTCTCTTCAGCATGATGAACGGCGGTGCTTCCTTCGGTGGCGCTCAAGGCTTCGGTGGCGGTGGTTACGGTGGTCGCACGCGCTCTCAGGGTTTCCCCAGTGGTTTCCACTTCGGTTGACAATCCAGGCCGGGCGAGGATATCGATGGCGATTCCGATTATGATCGAGATGTTAACTCGGAGAGTGAGCGGGCATCTTGGGGCCAGTTTGAGCAGGGGTCTTCTCATGGCGTGGCCTTAGACCAGAAGATCACCCAATTCCGCTGGTCCCTAATGGCAGTAGCGTGCGCGTTTGTGTTTCTCCCCCTAGAGTTGGCCACGACGTTGTTTGCGTTGTATATCTGCGGTGCGCTGGCAAAGTCATCGGGCACGATACGCGGGATCCTGTAAAGAAGTAGGGACTTTAAGCATTAGACGCTTCATCATCACCGGCGTTAAGGGGGTATCATCATATTGAAAGCCATTTACGTGGTGTCCTTATCTCTCAGGTGCCAAGAAAGAAAGAGAGAAGATGAAGATGAAGGAGGGCGTCTTACTTTAGGACAACAGCATAGGAACGAGCAAGGGTCTGCTCGCAAAAAGAAAAACAGAACTAATGATAGACAACCCTCAATGATAGGCATGATTCGGAACGCTTTTGTTTTTGTTTTTTTCTTATTTCTTTTTCTAACATTTTCCTACGGGAATTGTATATGAATCACACAATGCCAACGCGCTATGATGTACGCATTCCGATGTTATGAATTTTGTTCCGCTTTATGGTGACGATTTGACAGCAATGCCACCTAGATATAAGATGTACCTAAGCATGGGTATACCTTTGTCCCATTGTGCTTATTGTATTAGGTTCCTAAGGAGGTAAGCAAGTAGGTATTATAGATCTAGCAATACTAGCTAGGTACCTGATAAAGAAAGCCCTTCGTTGGCTAAGCTACCTAGGTAGGTAACCAGGACTTTTAAGACTTTAGAATATTTCCTACCTATATAATTGTCCGTCTTTCGGGATATACCGTTGACATTACGCAAGACCTTCCAAGCCTTTGATTCACTTACCTCACTCGATGCAAGCCAGCACCCTATCTAATCTGTCCAATTTTATCTTATGAGAGTTTATAGCAACATCAATTATTCAATAGGGGTAGAGTCATTGCCAACTCTTAACCATGTCGTACTCCTCGATCGTATAATGACACTACTATGTACGTTCCTGGGCACTTGTTCAATACAATAATGACGAAATAACAACAATGATTTGTTAGGAGAAATTCCATTTATTTAGGCCAATCGTATCCCCCGTCATTTCAGGGATTAGGTCGTACCATCGCGCCAAAGCAATGTAAAGGTTACCTAATCTACCTAACCTAGGTACAATACCGAGGTACCTACCTTCACTAACCTAACCTGAAGTTAATACGTCTTGAAACTGACGTATAATTGCAGACGTAGCTTTAACAACAACCTCAACTCTGTTGGGTCTTTAGTAGAATAATTCTTAGTTTCTCAAAAACACAGCTATGAACAATGTAACTTGAATCATTGTAGTATAGTAGTATACTATTCCAATCAACCAAACAAACAGACACGATCTTTCCGAGCATCCCTTTCCGAGCGCGCAGCTGAGCAGAGCTGAGCAGAGCATTTCCCGGCCGAACCCCACTCGTCTGCCAACTAATTTCGCCAGCATCACCAGCTTCACCATACATAGTACATACCTAATCCAAGTCCAGGGAACCCGACTACCTATTTAGCATTATGGGGGCCTCTCGCGTCCTCCGGCGTTTCTTACCCTTCAGCCGTACGGTGACGCCGCTGCAAGCTGCCACCTATCTCCTCGGCATCGCGCTGTTCAGCATCTCGTTCCTCGTCTTCCTCAACTCCGCCGTGTCCTTCGTCATCACCGACCTGTTGGGCGTGAAGACGGGCGTCGGCGATATCGTCGGCACCCTCGGCTTCGTGGACGAGGTCGTCGCGCTCGTCGCCTGTCCAGCGTGGGGCCTCGTTAGTGATCGCTTGGGCGTGCGCTGGGTCGCCGTTCTCGGATACGGTATTATTGCTGTCAGTCTGTTCTGCTTCGTCCAGGCCCGCGATGTGTATCCCAGCTTGGTGATTGCGCGGATCGCCTTCGCGCTGGGCGCGACGGCTGCCGCGACTATGGTTACGGCTATCTTGCCCGTGCTTACGAACAACGAGGGGGCGGCGGTTGAGGACGGGGTTGATGGGGGAAACGATGATACTGTAAGTGTGGAAAGCGAGGACTCGAGTCGCAAATCGAGTCATCATCAGAGAGATAGCGTGGCTATGAGCTTGGAGAGTGACGCTACTATTACTCCGGAGATATTTACCCAGAACTTGTCACGTAACCGAAGGGGAAGCGGTGGTTCAGAATACTCTTCAGATACATACTGTACCACCGAGGAAAAAGGTGGTAGACCGTCGGCTCTCGCAGGATACGTCGGCCTGTTCACAGGCTGCGGAGCGTTAGTCGCTCTGGCTCTTTTCTTACCGCTACCGGCACGATTTTCCAGGAAAGAGGGCGTTACCCCCGCACAGGCCATCACGCAGAGCTTCTACGTCGTTGGCGCCGTTTCCCTGGTCGTAGCCGTCTTCGTGTTCTTCGGTCTTCGCGGTTTACACGGAGAGGAAGGGAAGGGCTGGCGGATGCTCCTCGGCTTACGCAAGCAGCAGCAGCAGGATGTCGATGAACCTAGCGGTTCCTCCAGATGCTTTGCGTCTTCGTTGTCCAGAGCAGCGCACAACGGGCCGCTTCCATACCACAAGCTTCTGATTTCGTCGCTCCGCCTCGGTGCGACGGACCCGCATATTGCGCTCGGATATCTGGGAGGCTTCGTAGCACGCGCAAGCACCGTTGCTATCTCGCTCTTCATACCGCTTTACGTAAACGCGTTCTTTATCGGCAACGGGTATTGCCGCGGTTCGCCTAACGACCCGTCGCCTGACTTGAAAAAGGAGTGCCGCGCCGCATACGTGTTAGCTTCGATCTTGACTGGCGTCGCGCAGCTGGCTGCTCTCCTATGTGCGCCTCTATTCGGTTACGCCAGTAGAAAGAGCAACGGCATTAATATTCCCCTTGTATTCGCATCCCTCCTCGGCGTCGTGGGATGGATCGCGTTCCCGCGGCTTCAAAGCCCCGAGTATGCGAACGTGAGCAACCGCGGCGGGAGCCCGGCTGTTTTCCTCGTGGTAATGCTGGTCGGCATCAGCCAGATCGGCGCCATCGTGTGCAGCCTCGGATCCCTAGGCCGCGGTGTCTTGGCTGCTGACGTTCCTATTATTTCCAACGACGACGAGGAGGGCAATGGGGTCCCGCACTCGAATGACGACGAGACAGATTCCCTGCTGGGACAGGACGCGGGCGGAAGCAGCGGCAGCGACGCCGGTCCTAGGAGAATGCAGAGAAGAGCGCTGGTGTCCCGCGTGCAGCTCAAAGGCTCCATCGCGGGCGTGTACTCGTGGTGCGGCGGCGTCGCGATTCTGCTCCTGACGAAACTCGGGGGCTACCTGTTTGACGTGGCGTCGCCCGGCGCTCCGTTTTACATGATGGCTGTTTTCAACGGTGTACTGTTCGTTGCGAGCACAGCTATCGGTGTCGCTGTGAGGAGAAGTGGTAGGTCGACGAGTTCCTGAAAAAAAAAAAAAAAAAAAAAAAAAAACAGAAAGAGAAAAGAAAAGAAAAGATAGGGTTGAAACGAAAGAGATAAAAGCGCAAAAGGGGATTATGACCCTTGTGTAATTCTTACTATGTAGAACTAGCGCGAGATGAACGCGGTCATTTGAATGCGAAAAGAGACGATGATGTTCTCGTATTGTAAACTGCCTCTATTTATTGCAGCTGACATGCTTAATGTACTAGGTACAGATCTGGGTTTAAACTGGAGGCAAATTATATATCTCCAATTCTGAATTGGTGCTTCTTTTGGCGTTATATATTTTACCCCTGAAGTTTATATCGTAAATGTATACCTAACCTAATATACACCTGTATTTCACGAACAATTTGTCGAGCATTGTCTCATGATATATCAGGAATATAGCCATACCTACCTAACCTAGGTAGGTACCTGTATATGTACCGAGGAAAAGATGCGGCTCACATAACTCCAGGGGATATTCTATCAAGCAATGATCTGACATCTGGAAGAGCAGTATCTACCTAGGTAGGTACCTAAAGCATATATCAAAAAGGTCAGTTGATATGTGATTAAATAGTAGTCCAACATTATCCCTCCCGCTCTCTACTTAGGTATGTATGTATGTACCAGTCTACATAGGTAAATCACAGGTTTAGTTATTTATTTATTCCCTCGCACGCCAACCAACCAACCAACCAGTTAACCAGTTAACCAGTTAACAGGTAACCAGCTAAACTAACTAGATAGGTACCTAGGTAGGTAGCTAACTCGTCACAGGCGGCTGGTTCAGAGCCATCCTCTTAGCGACGGATCCGTGCTTAGCTTGCCAGGCGTAGAAGTAGACCAGCGCGGCGAACGGCTGGCCGAGGATCGTGAAGGAGACCCAGAAGATGCAGTTGCCGATGAGGCGGCCGTTGGGGCCCTTCATCTGCGCGAACGGCTGCGTCAGCCAGATCAGCGGGATCTGGACGAGCATGCCCATGAACGCAACCCCTGTGGAGATAAGGTGAGCCATTGGTCCGTCTTACTTGAGAAAAAAAAAAAAAAGTCTTGAAGTGTAAAATGAAGAGTGAGGTGAGAGAGATGGGGGTACATACCTATTGGGTTCTTGGTAGGTATTCCCACCAGGAGTTCGTGCAGCACGGCGGAGACGAAGAATACGGCGACGCTGGCCAGATTCATGTTCCAGCCTCGGCCTATCAGCGGCGAGAATATGTGCCTCTTCATGAACTGATACACGGGCTTGTTCCACAGACGCCAGTAGTCCCCCAAGCCCGCCGAGTTCCACCAGTCGTCGTAGAACGAACGGTCGCCGAACCGCATGATCTCGGCCAAAGCGTTGAGCGACGACTGGAACAGGGCGAAGAAGCCGGCTAGCCATATGATGAGCGAGATCGTGGACAGCTTCAACAGCCGCTCGACAATCGATACGAAGTCTAGGTGGTCTATCTTGTCGAGCGAGTTCCATAGGACCGGGGCCGCGTACTGCGCGCTGCAGAACCATATGAAGACGCTTAGACAGCCCAGCTCGCCTAGCCGCTTGATGACGAAAAGCCACCTGATGTTCTCCGATCGAGGATATACCGGTTGGTAGACGAGAGTCGGAGCCCACCAGAAGTAGGTCAGATTGCTCATCGTGATATTCAGGGGGTACGGGCATTGCGCATATATCTCAGGGAGAGCAGCCAATTCGCCTTTAACCGGGTGGAGATACGCATGGCGGAGGTCCCTGTTCGTAAGCGCGTACGATACGACCTTCATGTAGACGATAATGACGTGAAGCTCCGTTACGGTACCAATCAAGGGGTGGTAAATATGGAAATAGACGACCCAACTATGGACGGCCAAAGCTAGAGTGGCGTTCAGAAGATGGGCAGTCCTAATAATCTTCCACTTCGCCTCGAAATTGGCTTGCTGATCTTTCGTCGGGGTCGCGGGCGCCCCTTTGATAGCGGATTGTGCTCGCGAGATCCGGGCCTGCTTAGCTGCGTACCATTCCAACGAATACGCGATAAAGAGGTGACAAGGAACCAGTATATAGAGGAGAAAGCCGAGAAGAGTATCTTTACGACGGAAATCGTGGCACGTTAAACATATCAGGTTTCCGTACTGCCGCTCTCATGTAAGTATGTGTTCGATCAGTGATGTCCGGCTATATGTGTGCTAACCTTTTGCATATTCTCGATGACCAATCGCAGATTTCCGACCACTGGGAAAGAGTCAGCATGACAAACACGTTCGGCATGACAAGAGAATTATAGAATATATATACCTAGCACGATAACCATCAAGTTTCTAAACCCTAAGAAACTGGGAGGGGCCGTCGCATCATGGCTCAGGGTGGATGGCCTCGACTCGGAGTGAACGGCGGTAACATGTTTATATTTTTTAAAAGAAACATGCTTCTTTTCTCCATTTGTTCGTTCATCGGGAACCTCGGCGGGGGCGGAAGGCTCTCTCGTAATCTCATCTCGTCGAGCAGATACTGTCCCCGTAGGGGCTTCGAGACTTGTAGTAGTGGCCGAGTCCATGATTGCCCTTTGTACCATCGTAGTGGACTACGTCTATATCAGAGGCACGCTTTCGTCGTTAGGGCACGTTACGGAAGAGTTCTCAGGAGAAATCTCAGAGGAATTGGGGGAGTTGCCGGGACACTAGCAGCTACACATTTATCAGCAAGAGTTTCACAGAAGTTCAATGCTCTCCTATAGCCTCGAACAGACAACGCCACTTCAACGCAAGCGCAATCCTTTGGTCGCTAATGAGTAAGAATGGCTAAGACATGGTGCCTAGCGAAATTCATATGGCGATGTGATTTCGGCTTGGTATACATAGGAGCAAAGGTGATGTAATACCTTGGATGCGAGGTGACCGCCCCTGTCACGCATATGTACAGTAAACCTAAGAATAAAATAAGTACTAACTAGAGGGAGGAATGCGGCATCTTCTAGTATGTTGGCGACTAGACTAGATTGATTGGAATGTAAATAACAAATGTTCATACGAAGAGACAGACGGGTGTAGGTCTGATTAAGCATGCCATGATTAATGATTAATAGTTGAAAGGCAAACCACAGAAGTCCCTGGTCGAACCTTGAGCCTATTTTAGTGTAGGTCCTCCAAGATAAAACCGTACCGAGCTGCAAGTTAGCCAATGGGTATCGCCATCATTGCATCAGAGACCCTGTCGATCGAGGTCTGTGGGGACAAGGGGAGCATCGCCCTTCTGTCGCATTGGACATTGAAAGAAGAAACGAACCACTTGAATAGTGGGGAAAGATGCAGATATTATCTATTAGTTATGTCCATTGTCAAGGAGTTGATGTTGTAGGTACCGAGCTTTTTTTTTTTTCTCTACCTATGTGTTGTCATATATTATCTGGTGTTGAGGCTTGTTGGTGGGACATTTTGGAAGATGGTAACAGAAGAGGTATTCTTTGTAATTGGATCGTAATTTTGTATATCCACGACAACTGAATAAATCACGTTACAAGAAAAGAACATATGAGCGAGGAACATCGTAGAAGAGCGAAAAAAGAAGAAAAGAGGAAAAAAAAAAAAAGGGTCGGTCTACAAGGATGTAACATTGACATGTGAAAGACCTAAGACTTTGGCCGCAAAGAAATTTATTTTTTGGTCAGTGGAACAACAGTAAGACAGGCAACGCCAAATTCGTAGCTTCCCAGCTTTCTGGGCTAGTATCGTACAAGTTCCGAAAACTGACATAAGAAATTAGGTACATTTAGGATAGGGGCATGTACCTGAATGCTCCACTAAAGACTGGACGGTTTGACTTTACTGTGGCTCAACTTAGCTTCAGCCTCAGCCTTCTTTTGCGGCGCAAGCTTCAATGATGTTCCCTTGTCCAAATTCAATCAATCCCTACGTGCAGACATCGTTTTTGTTCGCGTCCTAAGTTCCCTTTTATCTTAAGCTCGCCTACCTATTATCAATGACTTTAACCAACCACAACACATATCCTTAAATACCCATTTCGTTTATTCTAGGTACTCATAACATAATATTCAATTTCCTCACGCGAATGTAGCCATAGATTATATTATGGCATACGATCCGCGAGGCGACCATGGCGCGCCGGGTGGAGGTCATGAAGCCGGTAACTTTGTAAGGGCGAGAGGCAGACGTGAGTATTTTTGATGCATTGCTTTTTTCCCTAGTAGTCATTGCTGGATTTGAACGAGTATTCAATTTGGGCCCCCAACACGCCACGAGTCTACTTATATATATATATATATATATATAGGTACATATATGTTTATTGATTCAACATATTAACATCTTGCTGTAGGCCCTGTCACCGATTATGGCTCTACCATCGCCCATTGGATGCGCAATCGTCAGCCGCGATTTAAAGGCGCATTTAGAGGCGAGGTCGAACGGCCTAGTGCTAGCTACATTGTTGATGTAAGTGTTCACCGTAAATGGTACTGGTGAAATAAACTAAACCATACTTAGATGCTCCCTCCCCTGGCGAGGGTTACCTATCCTGCAGACTCTGTTCCTACAAAGCATCTTCATTCATCTCTGAATAAGATTAAGCATCCCGTCAATGTTGTACGGTGGACTCCAGAAGGACGTCGACTGTTAACAGCGTCAAGTAGTGGCGAGTTTACTCTGTGGAATGGCACTGGCTTTAACTTTGAGACTATTATGCAAGCTCACGATGTTGCTATCCGAGCTTTAGCTTACTCGCATAGCGATGACTGGCTGATATCCGCTGATCACGACGGTATTATTAAGTACTGGCAGCCTAACTTCAACAACGTCCAAGTGATCCAGGGCCATCATGACCCCATCCGGGATCTTGCTTTTAGCCCCAACGACTCTAAATTTGTTACGGCATCCGATGATTCCTCCCTCAAGATCTTCGATTTTGCTGGTGGTGTTGCCGAGTCGACACTGCAGGGCCACGGTTGGGACGCGAAAAGCTGCGACTGGCATCCCACAAAAGGATTGATCGTTTCGGGATCAAAGGACCACCTGGTCAAGCTCTGGGACCCTAGGACTCAACGTTGTCTAACTACGCTACATGGCCATAAAAATACTATTACTAAGACATCATTCGAACGTGTTATGGGATGGTGTCTCGCGACGTCAGCTCGAGATCAAACGGCGAGGATATTTGATATACGGATGATGCGAGACATCTGTCTTCTTAGGGGACACGAGAAGGATATATCAACGCTTGCCTGGCATCCGATTCACTCGAATCTGCTCAGTACCGGAGGTAATGAAGGTTCTTTGTTCCACTACATACTAGACGAGCCAAACACACCGGCAGGACAAGCCATCAGCACAGCTGTTTACGAAAGTCCGGATCCGTTGTCAGCACCTGCGCAATCCATATACCCAACGCACAAGATTCCTTACGCTCACGACTTCGCAATATGGTCCCTTGACTGGCACCCTCTTGGCCATATCTTAGCTTCTGGTTCAAATGACCGTATTACTCGGTTTTGGTCTCGCGCCCGGCCTGGCGAGGCTGACATCTTCCAAGATAGATATCACATCGGCGAGGCGGCAGCGGAAGCTCAAGGTACCTGGGATCGACGCGGTGGACGTCGTCAACGTCAAGAAGAAGAGGAACAGGAGCTAGAGGATGAGGCAGAAGGGTTAGTGGACCAGAAGATGCCGCTTAGACAACCAGTATCTGCTTTCCCAGGCCTTCCAGGTCTCTCTTTACCCGCTGGTGGTATACCTCCTCCACCTCCTCAAATCCCAGGAGTTGGTGCTATTCCTGCCCCAGCTACAGCACCGCCTCTACCGTTCCCTATCCCTGGTGCGGTTGGTGCTCCACCTCCGCCGCTCCCAGGCGGCTTAGATCCCAATAATCCAGCCGACTTTGCCAAGATAGCAGAGATGATGCAGAAAGCCGGCTTGCCTCCCCCGCCGCCTCCCAATATGCTTCCACCGGGGTTATTCCCACCTCCGAATTTCCCAATACCACCCGGATTTCCACCTCCCCCCCCTTCTGCACAGGGAGGCGTTGATATGCAGGCTAGCGATAGCAACAATGGCCGGAGAAGAGCACCCCTCCCTAGTCAGGAAGAAAGTCTACGAATGGAACAGAAGAAAGGGAATTACACTCGAGTGCGTTAGGATCCGTCGAATTCTATTCCGGCGCCTTATTCAGGCCCGTTTCTATGATTTATCCCGCTTTCAATTGCTCAGGTCGCTCGCTCTACTCTAGCGGGTTAGGATTTTACTAGTCGACGAAGGGCAATGGTCTAACTTGATAGACATGAGTTAGAACAAGTCCCTCTCTAACCAAGTAGACAAGGGCAAGGTACCTGCAATTTTAGCAGAAGGATGAAAGTTCAATCCATCCAATCTAACTAGTTTAGAAAACGTCAGAAGAGTTTGAGTGAAGCCAAGGTCAATAATACAGGCAATTCCTTGTTGGTTTGGGGACATACCAATCTAATGAATGTACAATTGACAAACGGTATTGCATATTTCGGGAGGGAGAGCGTGTACGATGAGCATGGACGATGCCCTTTGGCCAAAAGGGCGAATACCCCAGGCGTTGAAGGCGTTGTAAGGAGATATCAGCTAGGCTGTGAAAAGGCATAGCAATAAATTTCACGATTACACATGTTTCTATCCGTTAACAACTCGCTCGCGTATTTAACTGTGCTGGCAATGGCATTTTTGGTTATTAGATATGGCGGTGCTCTTATTCATGGACAACAAAACTCCATTTTAAAAAGTTCAAATAATATACTGACAGTTTGCGTTAAAGTATAATGGTATAGTTTAAAATCCAGCCCTACCTAGGTGCCAGGTAGGTAGTTACTTCAAGCTATACTATTTCCCTCCTATACTACGTGTTCTCTGACCCTACCCAACCTTCAATGCCCACACAAAGCCGACAGAAGCAAGCTCGCATACTTGACTTCCAAGATATCAGTGCGTGCGGAGAGTAATATGCTATTTAACAAGAACCAAGAGCCTTAAACGCCGAAACTCGCCCTGATCTTAAGAAAAGGGGGGGAGCAAAATGTAAATGCGTTGTCGCGTATGCCCTAATAAAAACTACATGTACATATTAACCTTTATCTAGCTCGTCTTAGTTCACCCCTCTCCCCTTCCCCCTCGTCAACTTCCAACAACTGCGGGGTTGCAGGTTAGTCTCTCCATGCGCTATGTATGTTGTATAATGCTATGTTGTATACGTACATCGATCATCGTAAGTCTCGTTTTTTTTGACGGAAAAAATACATAGGTTACTTAGATAGGTAGGTTGGGTAGGTACCTAGGTACAGATGGACGTTGTTGGCAGGCAAGAAGAGATCGTAAAGCCGTTGGTGATAATAAATAATTAGTTAGGAGGTAGGTACCGAATGACCCAAATCTACCCAGCCTAGTCGTGCTGCCCACCTCGCCTCACCTCACCTCACCTTGCCGCTTCACAACAGCCGAAGAGGGCGGAGATCCCTGGCCCTTCGAGAAGGCCTTCTGGCGGTTGGCGTAGTCCTTGATGACAAGGGCGCAGTTGGCTTCCGAGCAGAGGCGTCTGCGGCGCTGAGCGGGGAGCTTGGCCGCGAACTCGAGGCCGCTGGCGCGCTCGACGGCCTCGACGGGGACCTCGAAGTCGGTCAAGGGCTTATCGTTGGGGATGCGGGCGTTGGGAAGCACGAAAGCGCCGATGGCGACGTTGCCGCCGGCCTTGCCGTCCTCGGCGAAGACGACCTTGTAGAAGTGGGTGGGGACGGCGACGTTGGGCGGGTTGCCGATGACCTCGTAGCGCACGTACCACTTGTTGTCGGTCGGGTCGCGCTTGGGCAGGTAGAGGGGGCCCGTGACGACGCGGACGCTCGGGTAGCGGGTCGTCAGGCCGCGGCAGAAGTCCTCCAGGTGCGCCCAGTAGTCGCGGTTGAAGCCCTCGCCGACCTGCGGGCACATGTTGGTCAGGAAGAAGGTCTCGTCCATGGCGGACTGGCTCCACCGCGCGTCGGCCGCGGGCACCTGGTGGCCCCGGTCGTAGCCCGAGCGGAAGTAGTCCTTGAGCGTCGCGCGGAACTTCTCGGGGATCGCCTCGTCCTCCGCGAAGGTGCTGTGCTTGCGGTCGCCGTCGCGGATCGCGAGCGACGCCGGCGTGATGTGCTCGACGACCCAGTGCGGGTTGCGCAGCCGCCGGTCGAACGAGGATATCAGCGCCTGCCGCGTCGCGATGTCGGCTACCGGGCCCGGGAAGCCGTACTCGAAGAGGCCGGCCGGGTCGACGTTCCCGAGGCCCGGAGCTGCGGGGGCCGAGGTCGAGAGGCCTGCTTGTTGGGTCGGCGGGGGAGTGAATATCTGCTTGGCCGGGACTGGAATCGGTGCGGAAGCGGGTGCGTTAGAAAAGTTCGTCGTCGTTGTTGTCGTCGTCGTGGACATGGTTTGAGCTTCGGGTTTGCGGTCTGATCGCAACGAATACATGGTCGCTGTTATAGCGGCGCCGGCTCCCGCGCTTGCCGCTGCGATGACTGCTAACGTGGTTTTCGACATGGTGGGCAAAAGGAAAAAGACGAAAGCTCTCTCCAAGAGTTGGTTTTGGTACTTTCTTCAAGTTTTATATCGAAAGGCAGAAAAGAGAGGAATGCGTTGCGCAAAAAGAGAGAGCGAGCGGGCGGTGCACAAGTCAGGCGTGGTTTGTGAGCAATATGCGGCTCACGAGGGGTGTGTTGCAGACGCCCGCGTGGTGGTGAGGCGTGCAGCAGATGTCTCAGACCGTTGGGGGGGTGAAGAGAGCGAGGGATACAGAGGGTGTTTAAATTTTGTAAGATTTTACTTTCAGCCTCGAGGTTTATTAGCGTTAAGGATGTGGGGGTGAAGGGGTGGAGGGGGGAGACCCTACATAGGAAACCCTCTATCGATATAGTAAATGGGACGCTATGATTGGTTAAAAAGAGGCTTGTTTCCTGCAAGGTACCGAGGTATGCACGGACCAACGGTTTATTTTAGACAGGGACCCAGTCTGCTTGTCCCTCGTGCTGCTCGTGGCACCCGACGCACCTGTCAACCTTACATTAGGTTAGGTAGGTACCTACCTACCTCCTAAGGTAGTATGTGCCTCCCTCTTCAGCCCTAAAACCAGAGATGGGACCTATCTCTATCACATGGCGATGTACATCGATATTATATTAGGTATACATAGGTAGTACCTCTTCGATGCCCAGATTTGAATCATGACGTCACCTATCTCAAATATCACCCCTAATGTTCAATCCTCGTGTTGGCAAATCAAATGATACCCTCCGACGAACATAATGAAATTGACTAATGATTTACAGGCACGTTACGTTACATTAATCTTCGGAGTCAACCCGAAGAAATATGAAACAAACATGTAATAAACATGGAGAGGGTGATTGGATATACTAGTACATTAGTACATCTAACAACTCGTCGCCCAATAGAAGTGTTTCTTCAAGACGCAACGTTTATATACACGACCCTTCATAGAAGGTAGACAAACAACACCGCACAGACACCCTTCAGCCGACTCATATAATTCTATATTATTCGACTCGAAAACTAAACTTAAATCAGCCCCTATATTCATGATTCTCTATTAGTTCGTGGCTCTCCTCCCGTTGGCTTGTCTCGCCGCCTCGCTCGAGACGGACACTACTCGTGTTCTGCTTCGATTCCTGGATTTGCCTAAGGCCCTCCTCGATCAGGGTAGACGATCCCGAAAAGTCGTCCTCATGAGCTAGCGCGTACGAGGGGCCGTATTTCTTTAGCGCTTTTTCGAATTTCACGTACTCGATCGCTTGGTGGACCAGTTGAACAATGGTGACAGCAAGCAATATGGTCGCCGTCGTCTGTCCGAAATCCCACCTGTTCTCATCTTCTCCCTCGAGGTAGGGGTAGTTTTCCATCCGGAGCTTGATCATCATGTACAAGTGTACTGGGAACTGCAGCGCGCTGAGAACCAGCAACGGCTTCCTGAACTTCACCGACGCGAACAAGGATCCGAACATGACGAGCAAAAGCCATATCGCCGTAATCGCTACATATGCTTTGTCGGCTGTCGGGTGGCTGGCTCCCGGTGCCGAGAGACCTGTCGTTATATAGCAGTAGCCGGCCTCTTCCGCCGTGAGCGACCATTCGTCGAGTCGGACTTCGAGGAAGATGGTAAGTGCTAAGAACAAAATCGCAAAGAAATAGGAAACCCGGAAGCGGCCATTCCAGTAAGCCGGGAATATCCTATGGCGAGATCGTGATTCGAGCGACTTGGCTCTCATGACAGTCCAGCAGACGAGAGCCGCAGCGTTTGAAACACTATACGCGTGGGATATGGTAAGTAAATGAATTCATTGAAAGATGCCCTGAAGGACTAGCTATTGAGTTTCTTACCCGACGAAACTAACGGTGTCGTAAACCAAGTGTAGATGGTATAAGTCAATTTCTTTCCTAAGTGCGGTACTAATAAGTGCAATTCCTTTGAAACGACAGTAAGCAAAAGCCATCCTATTGTAGCTGGTAGAGAAAATGGGGAACTCAAAAGATGCAAGACATACCCGTGATCATCTGCACGTCGTTGCCGACCATCAATATTTCAGACACGAACCCCAGTCGCTTCTTCTCGTTCGCATGCTGCGGGGTGCCCTCCACGCCCTGGACTTCGAGCCGACCGAATTTCGTTAAGAAAAAGGCCCAGATGGACAATACTAGCGAGATCAAAGCTTGCACGGCGAAACCGATTAAGACCTATACGCGCCGAGAGGCGTTAGAATTGACATGATTTGAAATCCGAACCGAACATGGGTGATTCTCACTCCGTAGCCCGCAATATCGGGCATAGCCTCGCCGACTTTCTCACATTGTGTCGGCTCTTCATGTGCTCCTGCTAACTCGGACGCCATTCTATTTCTTATTTAGAATTTAGAGCAGCGAGATGGCTCATGTGAAGACTCTTGGCGTAGGTAACTCGTAGGGCTGAAAGATCGAGCTGCCAAGTTGCCAAGCGGACTCTCGATTGGTAATATTGAAGAGGCCAAGAAGAGTTAACAGAGGCCAAGCTTTTCTTGAGAGCCAGCTCCCTACATATTTGTATGTGCCGCCTCGGGGCTACAGACGTGTGCCAGAGAGCGATCCCTTAATGGATTGGGCCCTCAATCTCATGCACGGTACTTGGGTAGAGATCCTGAAGCTGAGCTGGCAGGGTCTCAAAGCTAATAACAGGCTGTGCCGCATTTAATCACGTAAGCTACTACGATGTCGACGAATGAAGGCTCTTCGCGAAGGTCCAATCTCCTTCAGCTTGTCGCACGCTTCGAATCCCAGTTGCATCGCTACTATTGGGGATAGCTGACGTATAACTGGGCTTTCAACCTGCTACGAATTCCATTGCGCCTCTGCAGTATGATATTTTTTTTCTTTTTACCAGCCATCTCTGCGATAGGAAATATATCGTGAGCATCACTGGTCTTCAAAGTTCAGCCTTACCGTCTTTTCATCCGTCGAAGATCATCTTAACCTAGTTAGGGAATCATGACCGAGGGAGAGTACTATTGTAAGTGGGCAATAAGCGGAAAATATCCGCTATCAAGGCTGTTGATGATGGTATATTTAAAGCAGCGTCTAGCCCCGTTTCTCGGGAGCTCGCGCCAACTACACATAGCCACATTTTCCCCCTCCTTCCTCAGCAAATGGAGATAAGGTAGACTTAAGTCCCCTTCTTACCGAATAGGTTAACTCCATGTGAGTGTAGAGAGGGGAAACAATAGGTAACCAGCCACCTCTGCGTTGAACAGCTGGTATTTTATTGAAGAAAGCGAAAGCGAAAGCGAAATCTCGAGATATCTGTGCTATCCAATTGGCGAATATACGATTCCACCAAAAACGAAGATCTTGATTACCTTGAGAGTGTAGCGTTTGCAGCTCCAAATCAATGACGCTGATATGTATATATTGGTAAATAGTGATATCAAACCGTGTGTTAATATCGAAGCTCAGTGGCAAGTGGAATGAGCCGACACCTATGCGATATTAGGGAAGAAAGAATACGGGAATAAGATAACCACGACGCGTATAAAACGATGGTATCGTGTATATGAGGAGGTGAGTAGCAACTCCAGGCCTGATGAAGCCTATAAGAGCATATTTCTCTGAGTAAATATGAGAATACACTGTTCGGATAGAGAAGAGAAAAGGGTGAGGAAAATTGGCGACGCAGCGTCCTATTTATATTATTTCTGTTTCCCTAGCCACATTAGGTAGAGGGCATGAGGATAGATCTGTCATTTGCACGCATACGAAGCTCTAGCATGTCCCCAAGTGCCAACTGACCACAGTATACATCGCTGGTTGGAATTTAATCGGATAGACTCTTTTTCCTGTTCCTAATGTAAAAAATATTCAGTCTTCTCGAAATCAGTCTGTCCTTGAGGACGACCCGGGACTTGACAAGATTTTCCATTTGATGCCTGAGTGAGGGGTATGTATATACTATAGGCCTGCTGGGTGGGCCAAACTACTTGAGCTATAAACAGACTAGATCATGGAAATCCTCAACACACGAGAGTGTTCTGTCTGAGAGAATAAGCTCACGATCAGAATAAGTAAGTCTAAAATAATCTTCTTCACATGCTTAGAAAAGGTCTCAGGATTGGAAACAACAAGTATCACAGTCAAGTACTGCCATAGAACCAAATACTCTTGTATGGAAAGACCGGAGAAGGCAGCGTGAAACCATCTAGCATGGCATAAAGAATGCGGCACATTGAACTCGCGGGTGGTTAGAAATTAGAAATATGTCTTAGAAATATGTCGGAGGCCGGGCTCTCGCGAACTACACCGCTTGGGACACGCACGCACCACACGCAGGTCCGTCAAGGTTCTCAGTGTCCTGCCGTGACCACAGTATCCATGTCTTGAGGCTTCAACTAGATTGATGAGCTACCCAATAAGCATTGTCAGGTTGCCTGTTATGAAGAACCATAGCTGAGTCACTTGGTAGTTAAAAAGGAAAGTGAAAGTTAGTGACCCCAACTAGGGAGTCCGGAATAGGTCGCCGTGTCGTAGTCATGCAACCACTAACATGACTGTCTGACTACACGTAGGATGGACTTGGAAGCGTTGTCGACATATCTAATGTTTATATGAACTGTAAAAATACCCAAGATTAAATAGTGAGCAAGGTATGGATAACCTTGTTGAGAGCCTCCCATTAAGGTAGGGTATCATTCAAGGTAGGCAGCTAGACGGTGTCCACCGCGGGAACCAGCATTAGTCTAGATAGACCGAACGACAGGGTCCTAGCATTGCATTGTACATTGTACAAATCCCTTCTCTGGGTGGGGGCTGTAAAACAGCCCGTCGATATAACTTCGGCTTTGTATGCTTTGAATTTAGTATACGTACGTGAGTGTGATGGTCTCGAGAGTACGAAGATGAGTTCTATTCTATTTGGCCTGGAACACCATAGTTATAGGCAACTATTCACTAGGTTGGAAATATTATCAGTTATAGGTGCTAGTAGGAAGGCTTTAAAGGGGACAAAATAGAATAAAATAAAATTTGGATATAGAGCCTCAATTTTCAGCTCTACTATGTAGAAGGGTTCGTTCTTTAAAGAAAATACATAGTGGGAACAAACCTTGAGGGACCAACCCCAATGGAACTGTAGGTATTAGTTATGTGGAACTGTACTTCCCGGACTTCGTAGTTCCCTTATTGACTGCTTAGCTAAGAACTGGCCATCAAGGTACCCTTCAGAGCACGCCTTGGCAAAGCTTGGCATAGCATCGTCAGCCTTTTGTCCAATCAGATGCGACATAAAAGCAGCCTCTGTCCCTACCCGCATTGCTACATGTGTAAGAGGTAGTAAGAGGTACCTAAGATCCGATCAAGTTTCAAACACCTCGAGTGCGCAAAGCTAAATGGAACTTTCCCTTTAAAACATCCATTTTTATAACCTTACTTATCACTTCTGTGTCATTTCCTTTTTCCTCTCTTCGCATACTTAATATCTATCTAACTTTCTATATAACTACAATAACCTCTCTCGGATTTTATTTCCCTCTTTTTGCTTTGTTGAAATTTAGAGGAAGTCCTACCATTCTTACCATTCTTATATCGGGAACTATCAAACTGCCGAAAACGTCTTGGCCCTGCACCCGGCCTCTACAGCATTTTCCATTTCGTCAGAATTTACCATTTTCAACCTTCATGTCACCTTAATATTTTCTTTAAAAGTTCGAGGGAGGAAGAACTACTACGAAGCAAAGAGGCCACGATATAGAGCAGATACCAACCTCAGTTTGGCCCATAATGGAGGCCACCGAGCTGGGCAATGACACGAGAGGCTGGATCATGTGCCTGGTGAGCGGCATTGGTGTGTACCTTACCGAAATGGGCAGTATGACTGTCGCTGATATACCAACTAACTCTGTTGTGCCTTTATAGCATGCCTGATAGGATCTTCCATCATCTACGTCGATGTTGTCGTGCGGATGTTGCCTGGTAAGAAGGACTTTCGAATACAGGACAGCAATGCATTCCTCGCTTGTTCGCTGAGCTTGAGCTTCGGCGTAATGGTAAGACTTATCACCATTTGGCTGTTATTCGAAATCAAGGTACTAATATTACATGCGCTAGTTGTTCATGTCGCTGTATAGTATGTTGCCCGAATCGAAGGACTACCTTAAGAAGGGAGGTTATTCAGAGCAGGCGGCAGGCTTCATCTTGATGGCCTGTTTCGTAAGCGGATTCGTGGGTATTCAAATACTATCGAGATTATTTCATCAACTTCTGCCTTCGCATGTCGTCGACTGCGATCATAGTCACGACGACCATGCTTTAGATAGCCATCATTCCCATGAAAATGGCTTCGGCCGTAGGCTATCTTCACATGCATCCCAGTCTCGAAGCATCAGCAGACGCCAACGTTCCACACACGCTCATATCGATACTCACAAGCCTCCCGTAAGCGAAAATGGACACGCCAGTGAGATTACACCACTTCTACAAACAGATACCGCGGACGAAGCTCGTCGCGCCCGACCACTAAGGAGGGCGGAAACCGAAAGCCCTACGGATGCGCACCCTCCCGCACCCTCACATGGCCCTCGTGACCGGGCGGCAACATCAGAAAGGCGGCCTTCGATGCTACAGAAGCGAGTCTTGTCCTTTGTGAAAGACACCAAATCAAACTGCGATGAGGCTGGTCCATGTTTTGGATACACAGATCCTTGCGGCCAAGAATGCTACAAGCACCTCAGTAGCCGATCCGCACCCCTATCTCGAGTATCTACTCTACTCCGTTCCGGTACCGTCGGGCATACCGAACCATGCATCGATGTGGTAGAAGAGGATAGCGAGCACGAGACTTCATCTCTAGTAAGCCCTACGTGTAGGATGAGTCGCGTGCATTCGCGCGATATTCATCACGAAGATGAAAATGAGCACCATTCCGAGATGTCAGAAGATCTTGAGGCCCAACATCACCACCACGTTGCCGAAAATGCTTTTCTATCCATCGGCCTTCAGACTTCCATTGCTATCGCCCTACACAAATTTCCGGAAGGCTTTATTACTTATGCGACGAATCACGCGAACCCTTCCCTTGGCTTTAATGTGTTCTTGGCACTCTTCGTACACAATATTTCGGAAGGATTCGCACTTGCATTGCCGCTCTACATGGCGTTACACAACAGATTTCGCGCCATGCTCTGGGCTTCCGTTCTAGGCGGTCTCAGTCAACCGTTAGGGGCAAGCATTGCGGTGCTGTGGTTTAAATTAGCCCAGCATACAAACATAACGCCCGACGCCGTGGGGTACGGCTGTTTGTTTGCTCTCACTGCCGGCATTATGGCTAGCGTGGCCCTGCAGCTGTTCGTCGAGAGTCTAAGCCTCAACCACAACCAGAATCTAAGCATTCTATTCGCGTTCTTAGGTATGACGCTGCTGGGAATCAGCAATGCCTTTACTGCGCACGCGCATTGATTATAATCATGCGTCCGCCTCTCTCTACCCCTGAACCAGGCTGAGAGGGAGAGGGGAAACAGAACATTTATGTTATTAGTTACCGTCAGTTTTCTGGTTTGAAGGGACTAAGGGTTCAAGATGGGAAATAGGCCAAGATACCGCTTAATTGATTGAATTGATTGATTGAAAGCATTTTGTGTGTGCGGCGCGGCATCCTCGGAGTTAATCAACACGGATACGAAGAAACGCGTCAAATGAAAGTCATAATTCCGAATAAGGAAGGGTTACCTAGATTAACTTGTGTACCTGTCGAGATCGCAACTTTATATATTTCATTCAAGGTTGTAGGAATAGGTACGGGGCAATGGGAAAGGGGGAGAAAAGAACTCGTCAGTGTAAGGTATTGTATATCACAAATAAGGTCAAGGCTGAGAGTGTGTGTTGCCTATATGCTTTTTTTTTATCTGTATAGATCGGCTTATATTATGTGCATGATACCTCCTTGCAAGAGTACGAAGACCTATGTTTCTGTAAGGTAGCTTTACTTTCGACGGACGCGACTCATTAGGTTGTGTAGGAGGTACCTAAGTTGAATGAATGAATGAATGAATGAATGTGTGCGTGTTTTTTCCTAATGAATGCAATTAGGGGCGATGAATTCAAAAACTGTTATTGCGTTTGTTTAGTCCTTCCAGATTGCTTGTCTGTAATTCTTGTCAGTAGGATTTTTTATCTGTCTAAGATATGCGAGATTTTTTTCACGTATATAACAGGTACCTAGCAAGACTCAAAGCTCAGTCGATATGCGCGTCTATTTTTCATGGCCTAGGGGTATTTCGTTCCATTAAACTCGACTATTTTAATCTGATATATATATAGAGAGAGAGATTGGTAAGTAGTAGGTATAAATCTTCATCACAGCTCCTCCTCCCACTCTCAACTTAACTCATCTCCTTACTACCGCCACTTTTTTGACTCCCCATGCCCTCCCCCCTTTCTTTTCACTTCAATTTACCCTCCCTCCACATCTAGGTTATTCCATTACAATCTACTCCTCTCCCTCTCCCTCTCCCTCTCCTGCCCCGACACCAACGCACCACTCATCATATACTCCTCTCCTCCACTACCATTACCATTCCTCCCCCCCTCGGGCCTCGGGAACCCACGCAAAACCATCTCCCTGCCCCCCGCGGTCCCCCACCACGCGACGCCCACGGCCGCGCGCTCCACGTCCATCTCCCCGCCCGCCAGCACGTCCCAGAAGCGGCGGCGCACGCCGTCGCGCAGCGCCGGGTCCTCGATCGCGTTCATGCTCTCGGCCGCGCGCGTGAGCCACTCCTCCAGCGCGTGCAGCGGGACGTAGGGCAGCGCGTCGACGAGCGCGAGGACCAGGGCCGATTGCTCCGAGACGGGGTCTTCGAATGACAAGGCCTGGACTTCGGTTTGCTGTTGCTGCTGCTGTTGTTGTTGTTCGCTTGACGGTGGTGGTAAGGGAGTTGTGGACGCGCCGCCTTCGACGGCGCGGAACCGTAAGGTTTCTAGGAGGGTTTCGGAGAGGTCCGGGTGCGAGGCGGAGAGGGGGTAGGGAGGGCTGGCGATCTGTATGACGGTGCGGAAGGCGAGGCGGAACTGGCGGGGGGAGATGCGGGAGGGGAAGGAGGATAAGAGGGTGTCGACGTAGAAGGGGATGAGAGAGGCGGCGAGGGTGCTATGTTGCGGGCACGAGAGGGACGAGAGGACGGCCGAATGGGCTGACTCGAAGAGCTCGAGAGTAAGCGAGGACGAAGGGGTGTTGGCTGGGCTGGCGAGCCAGGAGGTTGATGGGGCCAGGTAGGCCGTTGCGGGCGCGACGATTAGGTCCTCGCATGCGCCTGTTGGCAGGGAGAGGGGGAGGTGCTCCGCTGTGTTGAGGTAGAAGAGGGTTAGCGCTTGGATTACCGGGGACGGCACCACGTTGCTCGTCTGAGGCGATGGCGGCTGCGTATCCCGAAGGAAAGAGACGCAAGCGTCCGGATAGCGTGTGATAGTATCTAGCGACGTGAGGTAGGTGAATGTGTATACTTGGAACGAACTTGCTCCCTGTCGTGTGGATATGAAGGACAAGTTGCGTAATATGTGCAGCGTTCTCGAAGCCGTAGTAGCTGCCACTGCGTCGTTCCTCAGGAATGGATCTAATAAGGACCGTCCAACTACAGCTTGGATTGTTGCGGTCACAGTATATAGGATCTTCTTGAACAGCTGCCATAAATTTGGCCAGGGGCCTAGAAGCGTCTCCGGTGAGAGAGCAGCGGATTCAACGGATAAATCGACGGCAGAAAGTGGACAATGGGTCCATTTGTTTAACAATTCCGCCGTAAATCCAAGAAGTGCTTCATGGGCCTGGAGGACGACGTTGGGATCCACGGCTTGTTGGACACCGAACGATGCTAGCCGCGAAAGAGGGCCCATGTTTTGTGCCAGGGGTCGAGACTCGAGCTTCTGAAGTCTAGCAACGGATGGCGAATCAGGATCCCACTTTATGATCTGACCTGGTACAACATCGTTCGCGATCGACGAAATGAAATCACCATGTTGAAGGCCTTCGTCTCCAAGCATGGCCTCAATGGTAGCCGGTAAAAGTACATTTCCGTCCAATTGTTGCTTAGCCGATTCGTGTAGGAGAGGGAATGCAAAGGTCAGAGCTAGAACAACAGCGCCACGTCCTAACGGACCAGTCCGCGACGGATCTTCTTGGAGCGCTAGGTTGGCGGCCGTGACCACGGCTTGTTCGAGCGTCGACCGTAAACTCCCAGATAAGGATCTCCTATTCTCCCCTTCCATGCCCATCAGAACACCCGTCAACACAAGCACGTGCTGCCATCTAGCCGACCTATCGTCTGTCCCTTTCGCAATCGCGCGTGCCCAGTCTTCGCTAGAAACTCCGCTACCAACAGGCGGTCGACCGTGCGGGAGGGTCGCATTTTCCAATTCGTTCTTTCGCATGTGAATTGCGGCGGTGTTGTATATGCTGATAATACGCAGACAAGTGCGTAAGCCGTCAGGAGACTGCCATATCGCGCGAGCAGTAAGGAGGTGCGATGTGAGTAGGGAGAGATTGAGAGGGTTATTGAGGCTCGTGAGAAGCGATGTTGTGGTCGCGAAGATCTTGTCGGTTTCGGCTGGATTAGGAGGGTTTTGAAAGGCCCGTAAGACCGTGGCCAATAATCGATCGCCCGGCATTATTTTGCTTCTCGACTTTCTCTTTTCGTGTTGTAAATATCTTATATAATAAGATTATTCCTCCTCTTGTTTTACTTCATTGTTGGTTGAATTAAACTTGTCCAGGTCTAAAAAGTTTGGGAGGTTGAAGATTCCGAGGGATCTCGTTTAAGCCTGTCAGCTCTAGTGTAATGTAACTCTTACCGAGGCAACGACGTCAATTGAAATTCATTAGGTTAGGTTAGGTAAGCAGCTAAAGTACCTAGCGCTAGTTGGTGGCCCCCCTGCCCCGCAGCCACCATACGGGAGCTTCCCGCTGTGTAACGTCCCCACTGTCATCCTCATACTATGTAAGCTCTTAAAGCTCCACACCTTTCTACCCTATCATCTCTATCATCTCTACTTTTCATCATCATCACCTTTGTACAATACAACTTTTACTTGTACAATAGAGCACTCCCAATTGTATCGTCAATTCTATGGCAATACTTTCTAGAGTAATAGTCTAAAGGGGCCCGATGGCCACACCACCGTAAGTCCTATCGTCCGATCTTCAATTCTTACTATGTAGTAACTATCGTCGAACGTAGGTAGCTTAACTAACTAAATGCCTATTAAAAACATCCAGTGCCGAATGTCGCAACTACCCCCCTGACGGCTACCAAAATCCTAAATTCCCCTCTCTCTGCTGGCCTCCTCAGAACCCCTACTGCGCTTTATATTCGGTCGGGGACTCGTGGCGATTTACCCTGCTCTGGACCCTGATCCTCTATGCGGTTTTCCATTTCGGAGCCGTGGGCATCGCCCTGGCTATGCAGATCGGAAAACCGCGATTCGTATGGAAGTACATGCTAGCCGTTCCAGTCGTATATGCCTTGGTGGCGGGGGCTGAGGCCTTGTTTACGGGTAGTATTGTTGGCCTAGTGTAAGCGCTTTTTCCTGGTCTTGTCTTTGTGTCGTTGCGATTCGCTCACACCTACACCTGTCTTTTAGGCTCGGCGCTATCTACGTCTCTGGATGCTATCAGATGCCCACGTGGATACCGTTCATATGGGGATGGATAAACGTCCTAATCTTGATTGTCTCCTCCTTTACTATCCAGGGAGGTCTATGAACCCCAATACTGCAGTCTGAAACGATCCGTGTGTCTAGGGGAACTCGACTGAGAAAGACTTTTCAACTCAAAATTAATGCAGTCGTGCCGCGGTAGGAGTGATATGACGCATCCCAGTTGCAACGGCCGATGCGAGCAATGGTTGCGCGAAGTGCGATTCAAAGAGGACTCTGTTATTTCATACGCCACGCCAGCCAATGGCCGAGTATCGCGGGCTGACAGAGGATATCAGGAGCCACATAGCTGGTACTATAACGATAATAGAATTCCCGGGGCTTACCTTAGCCTTTTCGGATGCGAGACCTAGAAGAATGGGGTTAGTGATTCCAGGCCGAATTGGATCCTTACGAGGGCCACTCTAGGTCATATGCTAATGCTGCTTAAAGAGATGGTCCTATAAGAATATTAATATGACTATACAAATGTTAGTCCCAAACACGGATATGATATTTACCGTCACATTATTTCATGACTCAACAGTAAATTCGGAGAAGGGTACTTTATATTAAATTCGTCCAATTCTGCCCAAAAGGACAGATCGAAACGCGGAATTAAGCACACTAGCTACAGCTAAAGTCAACCTAGGCCCATTTACCCTTGCTTTGCTCGTGTACCCCCTTTTTAAGCCAAACCAGGCCAGCAAGTGCCATTATACCATGGATTGTTTCGGTCCCGGCGGCTAGGAGCAACGGCGTTCGCTTTTCAGTGTGGTAAACCCAAGTCGTCAGGAGGTGGCAGAATTTACCTGCCTACTTGTAGTACCTAGAAGCGTATAAAAGCACCCTTCCCCTTCCACGGTGGTGAACTCCGCTTCGTACAGAATATCCCAATCATAAGATTAGACTAGAGAAATTGAACAGCAAAAATGCTGAGCCAATTCTCCATCGGTCCCTTGGGATAAGCTGTACAGAAGCACGAGAAACCACCGTTTTCATCCCCTCCCCTCCCCAGTAGCAAACTCCGCTCTGTACAGGATATCCCGTTAAGGGGGTTAGACTAGAGGAATTGAACAGCAAAAATGCTGATTTAATTCCTTCATCGGTCGCTTGGGATAAACTTTACAGAAGCATGAGAAGCCACCGTTGCCCCGGAATAGAACACACTGCTTTGATATAGGCCAAGGGGGGAAGGCTCTTTTGAAAGAGCCCGGCATATTCCCACGCCTTATCAGTCCCAATAACATCGCAGCATGAGTATTCCCGAAAGCGTGAGAGAAACCCGCCACCATCCCCTCTCCCCTCCCTCTCCACCCTTTGCTTCCCCGTATTTTTCTTGCCCACTACACAAGAAAGCAAGGAAACAATATATGACCCCGACGCAAGAAAAAGTCTCCCAATCCCCTGTCGGTCCAAAAGCATCATCGGCGTGTATTTATTTCCCACTTGGAAATAGAAAAGAGAATAAATACCGAAGACGCCTAGCTCCGGCTAAGGGTAATCGGGAAACACCAGCCTACTCCAAACTCCGAAACCGCAATGACTAGTCGATAGCAATGTCCAAAGATAAAAGCTATTAAACCGCTAATGCATAGTCAAGAAAAAAAAAGAAATCGACCCGATCCTCACACCGGGGAGAAGGGTCGGAAAGAAAATCGAGAGGAAATGGCAGCTAGAACTGCCTGCTGCTCGACCCAATAGGAAAAAGAAAACCAACCCCAAAGGAAAAGAGAAAAGGGAAAAAAGAGTTCCCCTAGTAGGGATCCCCCCCAAACGTCAGGTTCGCAAAAGATCAAGGGTGGCAGTGAAGAATTTGCCCATTTTGCAGCCCCTGAGTGGGGGGGTGAAGAAGAAGATGATGGTGAAGGTGATGGAATATGAAAAACGAGAAGGGGAGAGAAGAAAGGAAAAAAGTGAATATCGCCTAGCTTAAGCCAACAAGGGAAAACAAGAGAACAGGGCAACTCTACATTGTGCCTACATATTACGTACCTAGGTAGGTGCTCAATATGTATAGCAGCAATGTAGAGTTATTTTACCCATCCCTTATCCCATATTCCCCCATCGCCAAAGCATCCTCGGCGTAGGGGTATATATACCTTAGGTAGATATATATATCCCCATGCGTCGATCCCGGTATAAAGGGAACGCTCTGCTCGCTGCCCAGCACTCTAGGCCATGGTAATTGGGGATGCCCCAATTACCAGTCTACGAATGCCAGCCGGGCAGTAAGGAGCGTCCTAATCCCAGGAAACACAATCCTCCCTTTTTGTAGGTAGGTAGGCAATTACTCTTGTTTTCGTTTCTCCCTTCTCGTCCTTTTTGATTTTCCTTTTTTCTTTTTCTTGTTGACACACGATGGTGAGACGGTGAAATGAAAAGACACCCTCATATCACGGTCTTTTTTTATGTTTTCTCCTTTTCTGCCATACCCGTTCGTGGCGTTCCCGCCCGACCCGCCCAAGCCACGAACTTATATATATCCAAGTAAAAAGGGAACAAAAGAAAAAAGAAAAAGGGGGAGGGGAAGAGGGGCTTTAATCGACATCGTCCGGACTATGTCTATCCATAGCTGCGACGCCCTTCCCCATCCCCTCCCCCCTCTCCAAAACCGCCAGCGCGCCCCGGCACCCCCGCGCGCTCGTCACCGCGACGTTGCGCACGCACACGTCCCACGCGCGCCGCGCGTCCTCCAGCATCCGCGGCTCGATCCACAGGCGGCCGGTGAGCGGGTCGAGCACGAGCTGGTGGTCGGCCGCGCCCGGCCTGAACACCTTCCGCATCGCCCCCGCGTAGTCGTACTTCTCCTGCGCCTCCAGCTCCGAGGCTAGCGCCCGCAGCCGCCGGAGCATCTGCTCGCTCGGACGGCGGCGTAGCTGCTGCTGCAGGAGCAGTTGATGCTGTGGTAGCGATGCGGACGAGCGCACCGCTACTGCTGCTGCCGCCGCTGCTGCCGCCGACGGCCCGCGCCGCGCCCAGTCGAGGTAGAAGTCGAGCGTTTTCGCGTCGCGCGGCTTAGTCCGGCGGGGGGCACGTTGACCCAGTCGTCCCAGTCGTCCTCGCGCCTGGAGCAGTCTGACGGAGCAGGCCATGACGGGTAGGGATTTGTATCTTTGGCAGCAGCGCAGTTTTCACGGTGCGAACAGCGACCCCACCGCGCCATGGTGATGGATGATGATGTTTTGTTGGTGGGAGGGCGAGTCGCAAAATTTGGGGATTTGTAATTGCTGGCTGGGACTTGGAATAATATCGTAGAAGCTTTTATATGACGGCGATGATGATGGCGATGATGATAGGACTACCTGGCTTGGTAATTGTGTGTGTGCGTGTGTGTGATGATGATTTTTTGAGACTAAATTTGCAGAAACTGACCGGCCTTATATATTCACTTCCCTCGAATGTGTGTTTGTAAACATTACTCACGTAAGGAAACATGGTGGTTGTCAGCACACAACATATCCAAAAGTAAATGTTCGATAAAGGATGTTGTTGCTAGTAGATATAAAACTTGTATCCATTACAATGTCCTTGTTGCTCAGGGGTTTAACATTTGAAAGGAATAGTTTAGAAACTAAGCCTTTGAAGGATGAAATTTAACAGTTAGGGAAGATGTGTACCGAAGGGTATAGTAAAAGAATGAGAGAAAACAGCCTACGTATTTACTCGGACACTTCATAAAATGGTAACCGTGTAAAGCGGTATACCTCAAGTAAGCACATCAACGTTGGTCATTTTTGCACGTATATGCTTGAAAATGAAAGAAACTTTTGTTAATTCGGAATAATGAGAAAACATGGGCTTCTCAGGATGTTCCTAGCCAGAAGTACACCGGCTTTATGAGCCCTATGGGCTAATACTGGATCCCCTGACAGACCATCGAAAACCTAACCTGCATAATAGACATAGTGTACCTTCTAGTTAGTGCCGGTTTCAGGGAGTTTGTTGCAAACTTAAGCGCCCAGGCTGGGGAATGCCTCCGAGTTGAGGGCGAACGAAGAGGTATTCTGAGGGCCACCGCGTCCACCACGGAAGTCGCCTCGAGATTCACCACCTCGGCCACGGCCGCCGCGACCGCGACCTTCACCCCTGGGAGCACCTCCGCGGTTACCTCCGCGTCCGCCACGTCCGCCTCGGGGACGCTCGGGCTCAACATATCGCTGGTCGATGTCGAGGAGCTGCTTGGACTTGCGCTCACGCTCGCGCTTGACCTTGCCACTAGCACCGGGAACGTAGTCATCATCGTCGTCCTTGACGAGGGCTTTAGCATTGGCCCACTTCTTGTCGGCCTTGCTGCCTTCATTGGGCTTGCGGATTTCCAAGGACTCGCCGAGGGCGAGCTTCTTCTCAGCTTGCTGAGCAAGGTACTCGGCGTAGGAGACGTGCTTATCTTCGGGCTCGGCAGGGGTAGCCGGCTCCTGAGCATCCTCAGCGGTTGCTTCCTTCAATTCGGACTGAGCAATCTCGTCTCCAGCCTGTTCATCCTTTTGCTCGGCTTCGCCTTCGGTAGCACCCCATGATTGGGCGGCTTGCTTCTCAGAACCGCCGCTAGGTACAGATATTAGTACTTGTGATAGAGCAAAACTTATACAAATAACCAACCTTGGAATTCCCTTAGGATGTCTGTCATCACGGTCGCGAGTGAATCGACCACCACGGCCTATTATCAGTCATTAGATTAGCATTGTATTCATTTCGAACAAGCATTGGGCATTTAGCTCTTACCTCCTCGTACACGAGCTTCGCGACCACCTCGGGAGCTGCTTCGGGGAGCCTCATCAGTGGGCTTGCGGTGGTTGTTAGCTGTACCGGCACTGCGGTCACGGAAGGCTAGATTTAAAGCAGACAGATTAGTGGGGGTGAAATTTTAAAACCAAAGCAGGGTGGCGATGATGACGATGATGCGATAAGACGAGACAGAGCTCTCCGCAAGCTGCTATCAGACGCAAATAAAATAATTAGAACAACTCACCTCCCTCGTTGCCTCCAGGACCAGCACGACGAGCTCCGGTGTTGGTAGCGGGTTTAGCGGGGGCTTGGGGCTCGACGTTGCGCTTGGTACTGCGCATGGTGGTCTTGTCGACCGTCTTCACAGGGCCGGACGGCGCTTCATCTCCTTCGATATCATTACCTGTTGGCGATGGTTAAGGTTAGTATTTGGTATATAGTGAACCAGGATCTCCGAGGTTGAAAATTTTCATGGCGGGGAAGCAATATCGAGGGGTATCGTACCGAGGGCGTCGAAGCGGTTCTATCGATTTTTTAAGAAAAAATTAGCATCGCAATTTAAATAGAGCTTTAACTTATACAAATAGTAAGGGAGTTATATAAATATGCGACGAGTGATAATATCTCGAAGCGATTTGGAGAGAAGAGAAAAGAACAGTAGGGAAAAAAAGGATAATGATGGTAAACTAGGTGGTGCCCAAGAATTACGACATACTTTCGAGGCGACCGACATGATGTCGCCAATTGATTCGCCTTTTAGCAAGGCGGAGCTCTGAAAACGACAGTCGGATCAATAGGAGAGAATGCAACGAGGGGGAAAGGATATGGCCTAGCAGGTCATATCCTTGAGCAAAATATCTCGTCAATATCCTCGGCGTTGATGAGGTTTGGATTAGGTAGGGTTTGGATTTGGAGTGTGTTGCGGCGCCTGGTAATTGTTGTGTGAGAGAGTTGGGGCCCTGTGTGTGGGTTTGCGGTTGTGGGCTTTACAAGCGTAAGGTGCGGGCTTGTAAGCTGTGGGCTTGTTTGCGAGGTAGACAAACTTTCCTTGGCTTCTTCTTTTTTTTTCGCACTTAGGTGACGTGACGCCTAGACTCGCTTAGGCGGAACGGCGAAATTAATTCTCTTGATTTTTTTTGTATGGTTTTGTACCTATTGACTTCGTTTTTGGTGCGCTGCTGAATAAGCAATAACCACCCTACTGAGGGAGGTAATAGGGCAGACCAGGTAGGTAAGTAGGGTTTAGATATCTGTTAGCGCGGGGACGTCTATCACCAATGCACTTTCCTTGGAAGTTCTAATTTCTTCTACCTACCTCTATGTAAGGGTACCTAATCCATCAAGCTATTTTACTAAGTTAGGTACTTATTTCTTTACACGTATCTGTATCTACGTAATTGTTGTGGTTATTCACATATTCACATGTTCTAATATTCTAATATCTAGACACCTCATTAAGCTATAAAAAGTCTCAGAGAAGGTAATCTACGTCAATGGAATCTTGTCAGCAACTGCGTATTCCTATGACAGAATAGCCAAGAGTTCCCCGGATCCCACAATTGCATCACTTGCATATCAAGATAGACACATCTGACGCTGGCAGGTTCCAATGTGTATAGAAACGACCGGACCATGTTTTGGCCCCCCGATGGATCCTTTTTATCATGATGATGTATATCAACTGCTTTAGGTACCTTATCTAGGTTAGCTAGTCATTAGATATCTAATCCATTTGTTTACCTAGGTATTGGTACGTAGACGCCATAAGCTATCGTTATCTTAACACCGAATGCATATAGCAGCTTCAGAGATGCTATCACCATCCAAGTTCTCGCATCTTCCCCTCTGGGATGAAGTCGGCATATTCGACGGCTTAGTGTAAGACCTCACTCGGTTGGGAGGGATAAAGGAGTAGGGTACAGCATACTCTAGATAGACCCTTGTCTTAGGTACTCGTGAAAGACTCAAAATAATATACCAAGTTGAATTTTGCAGAAGTCCCTTTTCCTGGAGGTGGTATGTCCTCATGTGTAAGATAGCTCTATATGCACATTCCAACCTCTATCAACAAACCGAGACTACGAAAAGGCTCAAAAAATAGTACCTACCATTTAGAAGAGGGACAGAAGAGCTAGTCAAGCAGACCTTGATACGCAGTAGACACGTAGCCATTTAGCAGACCCAAGGACGTACAGAATAGCTTTAGGTAGGTAGGTACCTAACTTACCTTACGTGATGTACAGTCGTGTACTGTAATTACCTATCCAAGGTATATAGGCATTCCTACCTAAGAGATAAAGATATATATGTAGCTTCACTCAGAAGACGTACATACCAAGACATTAGAGGTAAGCCGTTATGTATGTTATACTCATCCACCACCTATCAAGACACATCGACCAATAATTGCAATGTAGTTATCTTAAGAAGCAGCACGATATCTCCAGCCCCTCCAACGCTTTTCTCTCACTAACCTATGCCGCCACACTGCGTGCGGTCTTCGACTTTCTCTTCCATCTACCGCGGATAACCTATCGTAAATGCGGCGTTCTGCAAGATTGCACCATAGGCCCACACGGACACGGGACAAGATGCAACATTGTATTGGCAAGGGTAGGCTAGATTCGACGTGCTGCTGTAAGTATGTCTATATGTCTGTCTATCTATCTATCCGCTATCTACCCAATCTACCTTAGGTACCCTTCATGCAGATAGGTACCTACCTACCTACGCAATGCAACAGGTGTTAAAAGGAGGCGGCAGCGTGATCAACGAAAAACTAAAGTTATGTAGTATCCGGCTTTTAGAATCCTAGAACGCCTCGTCCCCACGATTCCAGGCCGACCGATCCTTATCTACCTATCTATCTAACTATGCGGACAATGATTGTTCGGTGGAGATATGAAGATATCTAAGTATTTTTATATCGTACACCCGCTACCGCGCGTCGACATGCCGTTGTCTGACAAGAGATAGGTATGGTATGTAAGTGCAAGTGTGTAAAAAGTGTACGTGCGGGTGGGTGTGCTACCTCCTTGCGAATTCTGCAGCAATTATTGGTAAGCCGTATAAATATGATATACTAGTATGGAGCTTCGTAGGGACCATGTTCGAGTGCACCACCATCACCATCACCACCACCCGCCTATGAAGAAAAGGGTTTACCTAAAATAAAATAAAAGGCTGTTTGATAGGTCCGTGAACGCATGACGAAACAGTATTATATACAGGATTTCTCTATGTTTGGTGCGTGCTTTATTCCCCTCGGACAGGGAAGTAGAAGAAAGCTATTATATATTTTACTTAACCTTTAGGTAACTTATTTTAATCTTTTGGCACCACGGCATTCGGTAGCGGGATGACGCTATGTAAAGACGGGGCCACCGGGAAAGGGGGCGTCGCTAACGTATAATACATTGGCTGTATTTATTACATACCTTAACATACCTAGTAGGTCCAAAGGAATGATAGATACTCCTACTTTCGTACCTCGTTAGATCGTGGGGTATTCGTGGGAGGGATTTTGATTCTGTTAATAATGGCTTCCTTATCTCTGGTTCGCCTATCATACCGACAAATTCATGGACACCAGAGATAAGCCAACCATAGGTCGCCTCCCATCTTAAATAAATACTCAGCGGCCGGATCTGCTCAGGTTTGAGAATATCTTCTCTATTTTTCTGCTCGCCGACAATCCTTGGTAGCTCTTGTCACCTTCTTATTCGAAAGACATAGAGCTGGGGCCCAATATATCGTCAGTTAGTACTACTGGTGTATAACCCTGTTTAAGTCCATTATAATACTATGTATAATGACTTGCAGGAGGGAAAATTCTTTTACCAATTTTCATCAATCTTCCCGATAGCAAATTAGACAAGTGTCTTTTTTGGTAGCCATTGCCAATTTCTTTCACTTTACCATACTCAGTTGACGAGGTATAGTATCTTAGAATATCATGAGGCCTAAGTGACGTTGTGCCTCGAGTGAGGTGCTGGTCACACCTTGGCTTCTTTACGCCCAGCTTGAGAGAGTCGAAGTCTATATTAAATGGACTTGCACTCTATATTGGCCCGACACCTACCAGCCACGCACAGGCGCCAACCAGCCAACAAAAGGACCTCACCATTAAGACGGCCTGAGACGAAGTCCTAATGCTGCATCAAGATAAAAAGACGTTGGGTTAACTAAGGAAAAAGAGAGTTGGAGAGAAGCGACGCGACTCTATTAGGAAGAGTTTGGGATATTCATAAGACACGGCACCCGAGATGGAGAGGGTATCTGGGCGAAAGGTCCGTGGCTTCAGAATGGTCACAGACTTCGTTGACCTCGAATGGGAGAATAATCCGCAGCGTCACTTGAGCTTGCTTAACTGGAGTGCGTGAGCGGTCACGCCTGACGACCTTCTAGACGATCGAAGAACGAACCCCGGCATTTGTCAGTGCAGCAATGCTCGTATAGGGTGCGCCTTTCATCACAGTCAGCAAAGGATGCGTAGTCGGGGATGTGGGGTGTAAGTGTGCGAGCGTGAGCGTGAGCGTGGATTTGGGTCACCGCATTTTCGTGCCAGGCTCTCGCCTTCGGGAAATCGTGATTTCGTTTCTGGGGCATCACGCGACACGCCACTTGCAGGGCCATCTCTGGAACCACTTGGTCGATGTGTGTCTTGAGCAACACGCCCTTTCATGCGGAGACCTGACCGAGAATCTCGAAAAATTGCTTTTGCCGAGATATTTCGACTGGGTTATGAGAAGTCTGGGCCGTTGGATGGAGGAATAACATCGTGATGTCCACTCCAAGAACAACTGACCGAACCCACCAGCCACCTAATCGTCTTTGACCGAACCAACATCCCCGACCGAGGACCTAATTGTCCTAGGCAATAATGTTGTGAACCCACCAGATGAATGTCTATCAGGATCCGGCATTGTTATTATTATTACAACGCAACGAAACAGGACGATCGAAGCAAAGCACAGCCCAATAAACCCACTCAGCCTCTTCGTGAGAGTTGGTCCCTTGGCTTAGCTAAACCAAACAAGAATTGAGCCTACGACGAACCCCCACGACAACTCAAACGGACCCACGAGATTGCCTCTGGAGTCTAGGCCAGGGGGGAGCTTGGAAGAAAGATGACGATGAGGTTAGCTTGGGTGTTGGACAAGACCATGACCATGACCGTGGTCTGGATACGGTATCGGATATTTTGTTTGGCCAATGATATCATCTAATCTGATCCAGTACGCCGAAGTTATTGACCGACAGCCGGTCGGCACGAGCGGCACAAGGTCGAGTTAGGCCTAGCATTTTGAGCAGTTTAAGCGTTGTTGCAGCGTTGTTGTGTTGAGCGTAGCGGAATCGACCGCTCTGACCCCTCTCATCATCCAACTTGGGTAATCACCTTACAAACTGTGCATACGGGTCTAACTTCCTGCCTTGGCAGTCCCAAGAGTTCAAGTGGAGATCACATCCATGGATACAGCATACAGCACACATACCCGGGCAGTGTACAGCAACCCCTCCTTCCCCCTCCGAGTCGCATAGGTATTGAATGTACATACATTTAGGATCCACATTATTCAAAAGTACTCACTACCTATGTACCTACATACTACGGAAGGAAACCCAAAAACGAATAAAAAATAAAAAATAAAAAAGAGATTAAAGAAAAAAAACCATTTGCACCGTCTGAAACGGAATGATACATTTTAACAATTCAGCTACATGTTAATGGGAGCCTGGAAGAAAAGAGACCTACCGTCTCCCTGTCCTATAAATCATATCCTCCGATCACGGATAACCCCCTCGCCTCAGCGTCTATCCGCCATTACCCAGCTGCGCGTTCAGACGTTTTCGACAAGACGTTCAAAATTGTATCTTCCGTACCTTATGGACTTTTACTTACCGCCGAGAAATCGATCACCGATCTTTAGTTTTCCCCGTCTACCCAAGTCCACGCTCTTTCCTAGGCCGAGAAATTGGAGAGGGGGATGGATGCCTAGAACTAATATACCAGGATCTGCTGTGAAACTTGGAAAAGCTCACATGTAACGCATGTTTGGTCCATGTCGTTTCGTCAATCCAACGTCAACGTCACCCCCAAGACTTCCGAGGAAATGTTAATTTGTTCATATCGTTTGAGGAGTGTAGATGTCCGTTTTCTATTTCTGCAGGACGCATGTAGGCTCGTACCTACGCCCTTAGACCCTCAAGGGGCCATCCAAATTTTACTGACCAACTCGGCTATTCCGCTCGAATTGGTGTTCCCATTGGCCTCTAGGTATGTACAGGATCGATAGAGGTTTTTGGAATACCCAATACGTGTAGCTTTCTTTGGTCACGGCTCGACAACAAAGTCCGCAACGCTTGGATAGTGCATATTCCCAAATCATGAGTATACACAGACGGCTTAAATATTGTGTGGTGTGTTTGGAAGTAGAATTTATTCCGAAATCGAGGAAGAATCGCATCGCCTGTCTAAAGGTAATCGAATCGTGTCTCGCTAGGCTGAAGTGCTGTTTTATAAATCCGTGAACCAGAATATCATGACTTTTGAACTCCTATGAACGCCTGCCATCATCATGGATATCGGGATCCCCGTGATCCTTCTTTTTTTTGGAGCGTAAATCGTTTGAACCATCGTACCAAACCAAAACTTTTCCCTTCACCCCTTCAATGTTGCAAATGTCGTAACAAATTATTGTCACCGGGCTTGAGAAGCCTAAATCGCTAGTTGCCATGAGGTATTATGCTGGTAACCGTGTAGAACGCTACAAATTATTTCCCAGTAAGTATAACGTCGAACTCATCTATCGGATTCGACGCTTGTAATTGACTGGCGGGAAGCTACATACCAATCGATCCTAGCAGTTGCCAGGCGTTGTTCGTGATTTCGAACCGCATTTATATATCGCCCCGATTAATAGGGGGTGGTGTTTCGGTGGTATGGCCCTCGTTTAGTTCCCACCCTCTTCGGCATTGCGCGCAAAGCCCCAACCCCATTGCTTCAATTTTGATGCTACCTCATATTACTCGTGTCGAAGGAGAATTGCGTTGGAAAAGCCATGGAGGCGCTTAGGCCAAAAGGGTCCCAATCTAATGCTGGATCTAGCAGCTGGGTCATGCTTGGATAGCCTTGGCCTTGAGTCTGACTTTGCACTTGACTACCTTGTCCGCCGGATGCAATCGGGGGTTGTCCAGGCGGTCCCGTCGTTGTCGGTTGCACGGGAATGCCGTGTTGTTGAGGAATTTGGAATGTCGAAGGGTAAGGGCCCGGCCCTGGCGTATCTGGTTCGGGCTCGTCCATCATATCGGTCGGGGCATCGTACTCTTGTTCTGTACTCACGGGTTAGGCATAGGACGACAGAGTTCTATTCGATGAAAAAAATGGGCCAACTTGCCGAGCTGCTGGAAATGATTTTGGAACGACGACGTCGGGTAGAACGCCGTTGGTCGCGCACCAGCAGCATGCTGCTGCAACATCTGCTGGCGCGCGGCGACTGACATTCCAGGCATCGGTGCCAATTGCGGTTTCATGGGCGGGGGGATCGTCGTTCGCATGCTCGTAGGATCTGAAGACGCAGGTGAAGCTGTTGCTTGATTACCAAAAGATGGTGTGGGGTTAGTAGGAGAAGCGGCGTGGGAAGGGGGAGTCGGCCGCGACTTAGGCGATGCCATAGATTGTTGTACCCCTGTGGGTTGGGGTAGAGAGGGTACGCCAGGCTCGAGTTTCGGGGCAATACTGGAAGCAGACCTGCGCGAGTGGTGATGTCTGTTCAGGATTGCCCGCGGCAGAGGTGGTGGTTGCACCATATTCTGGGGCATATGAGTTGGACCAAGGTTTGGACTACCAGTCTTGGCGTGAAGCTCAGCTTGGACATCAATACCTGAATAGCATAAGTTAATGCGACTTTAAGAGATCAAGAACAGGATGATTATTATTTACCTTTTTCCAACAAGATTCGTTCGAGAAGTGAGTTTTTGTACCGGAGCATCAAGCATTCGTCTGCGGCACTACGGTGAGCAGCTTGCAGGCTAGCCAAGTTGGACTCGTGAGCCTTGATAGTTTCTTCCAGCTGTTTGATATATTCTGTTCTGCGCTCTCTAAACGCGGCTTGCGCCTGTCGGTTTCTCTGCTTGCGCTCTTCCGAGGTAGCATATATCTTTACTTACTGTCAGCCCACATATATCGTTCTAACTCCCCACTCCCCACTAAGCCCACCAGAACGAAGCAAAGTGAGCAAGGAAATGAATAGGATGACGGTATAGACTTACGGGTTTGCGACCTCCTTTGCGCTTCGCTGGTTGGTTTTCTGGTGGAATCGACGGACCCGCCTCATTCTCAGGACTTGAGCCAATAGACTCTTCCGAATCGTCTTTTGAATGTTCTTTCTTGTCGATAGACATCTTGTCTGACATGTCAATATCGAGTACAGGAGACGATTGCCGCCGCGCGGCAAACGCCTCTCAAAATACGTTGTAATAAATAAATAAATTAGGTTATGAGCGGTTGTTGCCTATCGTTTTTAGTAGGCTTGCCCAGTATAAGTCGTCTGTGGCGTAAGTAGGGGTGGGATAGTCTAGTACTTGTGGCCTCCTGATATTGCCGACCTTGGAATTAAAATAAAAAAAAAGTAAATCAATGTCGCTCGTTCGGCAATGAAGCGCGCGCATGCAGCGCTAATCAGTACATAATCTGGGGAAACGGGATCCGACAGATGGGGACAAGAATCTCTTTGTCAAGATCGAAAAATAAGGATGATCCAGGCGGCGCCAGGGGAAGCAGTCAAGTAGAGTAACAATGGAGATACACAAGAGACAACTCGTAGTATAGAGGGGTGACAAGTTGTGGTGAAGTAAAGGTAAGGAGAAAATATTGCTTTGGTTTTATGTAATTGAAATCGGTAGACAACTCGGGGTTGGCTAGCTTCGGTGGCTTGCCGATTTTTAGATGGGACTCTCAGCTAGATGGCAAAAGAGGCACCAAAAGCTTGGAGGGTGTGGGAAGACTTTTTTTTTCTTGCTCCTTTTTTCACCTTCTGTATGCCAATTGGCGGTGCGGAACTCTAGTCTTACTAGCAAGTGGCTAGTCGTCTGGTGACCGATAGAGGGACCTACTAATGTTACTAGGTCCAATTGTTGTTCACTTTCTTAAGTTGTGTTTGCCGTGCATCCCATGTCAATATTTTTTTGAGCTTCGATGTACAAAAGACAACCAACTCGAAAGGCCCTTGTTGAAAATCACAATAAGAAATCCAGATTTAGTTTAGGCCAGTGCTGGATCAAGATGCTGAGGTGGCCCTGGAAGTATTCACTCTAAGCGAATTATAGAAGGGGGAAGCTTGTGTGGCCCTGTGTATACGTATACCCAGGTAGTAGTGGTCCTGACTAGTATAACACCAATGCCACCCCAAGGTCCGCAAAGTAGGTATCATGCAGTAGATGCTGCGGGACACAGCACAAGAGTTGAAAATAGTGTGTATCTCGGTGAATCCACTGTATTGAGGGTCCGAATAGGAAAGAAAAAAAAAAAAAAAAGAACGGATGCACAACTTGGTAAACCGCGTTGACTAAGCGGCAATAAAATAGGTGATATAATAGATAATAGAGTGTATAATAAGTTAGGTAAGACTTCTTTCAAGTGTTATTGATTTGTTAAACGATAGTAACAACGAACTTATAGTTAAAGTAGAGTGTCGTTGAGGTGAAGTTAAGTGAATAATAAGTCTATGTAACTTGATGTAGGCAACGAAGGAAGCGTTGTAGCGAACGAAGCTAGTTTTTCATTTTCAAATGAACAAAACCGGGGACCTGCCCCGACTTACAGCGTTTGTAGGGGTGCCTTCCAGTTTTACGGAGGTACAAAGCTACATGTAAGGATGTGCCTGTAAGGCATTAGGAGCTAAGTGAGCTGGAGCTAGGTAGTAGGTGGGATGGTACCTTAGGTAGGCGCGGTAGTTAAGTACAGGGTACTTCATACCAAGTAACGGACCAAGTTCCAGTACTTTCGGTCAAGTCTCGTCAGATTTAATGATTTTATACCGGTTGCAGTGTGCACAGTTTTGAACGGGAAGATAATTCTAAAAAAGAAGTACCTCCTCGGAATCTCATCGACGTCTAAATCTAACCGGACCGCAAGTTAATATCCGACTTGTTTGATTGGTTTTGCCTGTACATGGCTTCCCAACCTGCTGCTTTATTTGTTCGATCTGTTCAGTCTTCGTATTCACTTTATGGCCATCTATAATAATTGTTGGCCCCCATGTTCCGGGAAGCAACTTCAATTTGGCAGCTCGGCACATGGAATTGGCTAAGAAATTCGCATGCTCTCCCTGAACAGACCTTTAATCATATTGAGTTCTTCTACTCTATCTCGGTTATCTTGATTACCTTTGACATAAATTGCACGGAAATTTTAGAATAGTTAGGTAGGTTTCAGCCGCTTCTTTTTACAATCCTTGAGTGCTAGCAGAGATCAAGCGCCTAAACGTCATACCTCCTACATGAGACGTTGTAGCATTAGGTAGATCAGATCTATGAGCTTAGAGGACTGAAAGTACACTTTATATGCATCATATAGCAATGTGATCTATTATATCAGTCGAGAGCCAGATTTTGTGGCAAATCAAGCTCAACCAATTATGCTTTACCCATGAAATCTCATAGCCAAAACGGTCACCGAATCAAGGTAGTAATTACCTCTTAAGAGGACGTGGTATACCTATAGAACTTCGTAGCTACGTATTTCTTCATAGTTGCGTGAGACATCTGTAAATCTGGGGAAGAGAGCCAATCAGGTTGTATATGACAAGAAAGGATCTTAGTCTTACATACGTGTTTTATTGCCAGCTCTTTAGCGTCTTGGAGGTTATAGAAGCTGACAGCTTAGCAGATATATTATGTGAAGACCACCAATACTAACAAATAGGGAATCCCCAGAAAACCAGATGAAAGAAGTTGTAGGTGTTGCTATCGGTGACCCCGGTGGAGGCGGCCGAGAGCGGCGGCAAATCAGCCCTATGAATTTTTTTTGTCCTCTTTTTTTTTTACTCCGACTTCAAAAGCTATTCTCTGATGGCTCCGCATAGATCAATTTTCCTAGTCACATGAGACCCAAGTTGGTTGACCTGTCTACTCTTTCAGTCCTCTTACTAATCCGTCAGCTTTCTGAGCCATCTGACATCAAAGCAGCAAAGGGGCTGGGAATGTGATACCTTAGTAGCAGGTATATCTAAATATTAGACTTGAGGAGAGGAGGATATTGGCTTTGGGCCTTCTAGTCTTTTGTGAGTAGGTAATTGTTCATGGCAAAACTTGAATCAAGTAATTGTTCCTGCTTCTGCATGCACAACTACAAGTATGACAATGGAACTATCATGCCTCTGTCCTGCATAATGTCACGACTTTCCTAGAAAGAAGCACATGGCATTACGTAGACTGTGTGGTCTACCTATATCATCCGGACGGGACATGGGAATTTTATTCTTGGTTGTGTTAGTCTGTTTGCCTATACACTACATGCTATATGAACTTGGCAGTGTAGTACTGCATATACAAGGCAGGCCGGCAGATACTTTTGGATTCTAACCCTAAGTACCTAAGGTTGGTCAACCATGCCAACCACAAAGCCGATCATTAACTTATTCTCTGTCGAACAAGAAAGTGATTGAAAAATGTGGGGGAATGAAGATCGATGAATTGACCGCTACATCTCCGAGGAGAGTATGGAATCCTCGTATGTATTATGGTAGGTACTATGTAGTAAAAACTAGATGAAAGACGGTTGGCCTAGGTAAGTCCAGGCGAGGTTCCGACCAATCAGGATGCCGTATAAGGCGGCCGGTTCCGCATTAGGAATTTTTCTCAGACGACGAGATCAAGGGTGTAATGCAACACAACAGCATTGCAGCTTATGGTACCTTATACATACGTTAGAATCTCAGCTGATAGGTATTGTTTAAAATATAGGTAGAATTAACAACCTATTAACTACTAAATTTATAACATTGAAACATTTAAATTTAAATCGTTTTAAGGAGGTACTTATCCCCTCTCCCCTCCGTCTCTCCAAGCGCAACCCAGTAAAGCACAACGCCTGCAAAGGGCCTTATGCATTTTGCTATGCAGTCTTTATTGCTAGTATGTGTAACCCCAAATATCTTCCCATTGGATACCCGGAGGAATGGGTCAGCCAGCCATCACAATTTTGAGGCGTCGGCTGACACCTTCTAGAAAGCTTCTAGCGGTCTTCCAGATCATCGCTTCTGTCTGCCAAGCCGCAAATTCTCAGTATCACACGCCGTGTGGCGGTTAGTTTTCGAGTCCGCCTTTTTGATACTGGAGCGCCGATTTCGCTGCTCTCTATCCACAGCCCTACGGAGTCTCCCATACTGAGACATATGTTGTATTACTTTGTTGAATAAATACCTAGATAGGTAGGTATTTTGAGTATTACTGTTGTACATGTCTTTGCCTCATTGACGTCGCCCAAAGAAGGTATCGGTGTGTACTGCTTATGTATTATACGTAGGCCCCTACCATTGTATACTCTGAGACAGCCTCACTTTGTAGGCGAATTTGGACCGGAGAACAGCGCCTCGTCGTTTCGGAGATCTTCGAATTCGACACGAATTGGTATCGCAGTAAATCGCGCACTTATCACAATCTATAATCCCCCTAGTTAGATAAATAACAATACTAATATCGGTATGGTACTCTAGTCCAGACCGAGTAAACTGCCCAGGAAATGTCAAAGGCATGTGAAAGCTGGAATTGCTAGCTTCAACCTCTGGTCTAATGAACGGTTATCAGATCATCATCCATCAACTGCTGAGCGCGAACCCCCACGCCTAGACAGCTGGGGTTTGGCACGGGTGAGCTAGCCCTTGCGCCTGCAAATATCTAATTGGAAGAGACGCTAAAAGGTCTGTCGATCTGCATGTTCTCAATACATACCGTCGTCCTACTATCATCTATGCCTGTTAGTTCGCTCGTGGTACCCCGTCTCTTTCGTGGGGGGATACCAAACAACCATGGTAGCGTCGTCGTCATGTATGTATACACTGCTGCAGTATTTCGTGCATAATACATTTCTTATAGGATCAAACCGGGCTAATCGACCTATGTCCTAATATAAGGAAGTGGGATAGAAACTCAAGATAGCTAGCTCCATTATGTGATAATGCCTTTGCTCTTGGGAAGCCAAGCATCGTTGAAGCAATTTCCTAAGCTCTATATAGCTCCCTATTATCTTGTATCAAAGTCGTTATCGTTTTATCAACTTACGACCCTACATCAAGTCTTTACAAGTTTGAATAACAAATATGGTTGTAGGTAACTAATGTAATACCACACAAGTTATTATCTTACTTCGTGCAGATCCTTACGCTGTGCTTAAAATCGTACATTTTTGCATTTTATATTTAGGTAGGAAGATAGCTACCTAAGGTAAACAGGGAGCAGTCCAAAAGCTAGGGAACCACATAATTCGTTTTGTCAAAGCTCCTTATCATCATCTGCATTACCTCAAACTTGATATAACAACGCCTAGCCTTGTAAGGCTATATATCAGCCTCTGTGACAAAAAATTCGCATCTGTCGTTCCTGCTCCGGGGCAATCACGATGCATATCCGGTAGCATCCTTCACCACACCGAAGGCGCCACCCCCCTTCCCAAACATCTCTCTTACGTCAGTAACGATCTCGTCCGGTCTCTCCCACGCGGCGAAGTGGCCACCGCTGTCGTACTCCCTTTCGAAAACTACATTACCCAACGTACGCACCCACGTGCTGGGCTGCACCTGTATGTCCATGGGGAAGTGGCTGAAACCAAGTTTCACACCCGGAGACCACGCCTTCAAACCCTCATGGTCCAGCTTATTCTTCCTGCCGTCGATATTCTGCGCAGTCTCGTAATAGATACTGACGCTGGCGGCGGGTCCCGCCGTGCTGAACCAGTAGATGCTGATCCACGTACAGACTTCCTCGTCTGTCCAGGGGTACGAATCCGACCAGTCGTGAAGCTTTTCGTAGATCCAGGCTAGTAAAGCCACCGGGCTATCAGCCAGCGCGTAGCCTAGGGTCTGTGGTTTAGTACACTGCTCCAAGTTGTATCCTCGGCCTTGCTCGTCGAACCATTTGGTACGACCTACGCCGCGCTGCTCTCTTGAGCTGTAGGGTAATATGGCATGTTGGAGAGCTAGAATAGGGTTCTTGAAGTAACTCGGAGGGTTCGCCGAGTTAGAATTCAGGTGTGTCGCTTTGCAGTATTGCGGATATAGATGTGCGAGAGCTCTGCTAATGTGACACCCCCAGTCGCCTATAGGTAGACTATGTCAGTTAAATCACAGGTATGCCACAGTTTATGAGAAGAAATATCTATCTCACCCCCCTGTGTGACGTATTCTTTATATCCCAACTTGTGCATGAGTTTATTCATAGTTTCAGCATATTGCTCTGCAGCGAAGCCTCGCTTCTTCGAACCTTGAGAGAATCCAAAATTTGGCAACGACGGCGCGACGACGTCAAATGCCGGATATTTGACTCCGTCGCCGCCTTCAGTCAGGGGCTTCAATATTTTGAAAACCTCTTGAAAGTGGCCTGGCCAGCCGTGAATGAACAACAAGGGAATTGCACCTTTGACCTTGCTGCGGACATGAATGAAGTGGATTGCCAGAGGCTCGAACCCATCACATTGGATGTCGGTAACAAAATGCGGTACACTGTTAAGCTCATTTTCTGCCTTTCTCCAGTCATAAGACTCCTGCCAGTATTTTACTAGCCTCTTGACATCAGCGAGGGGTGATCCCACTGCATTAATGAGGATCAGTCAAAGGCGTTTATATAATTTGTCCAAAATTTATTGACTATGAGAAAGGGAAGGGGGAAATGATATAAAGTTTATCGATCGACGGCTCGAAAACATAAGCACTTACTATCCCAACCAGCTCCATCAAGCTCATCTGGAAACTTTGCCAGCGACAATCGCGTCTTTAATTCGTTCAAACGCTCGTCGTCGATTGAGATGGTATAAGGCTTGATGTCTGCCATGGTGGAAAGTAGTCAGTCGCTAACGAGTTACTCCTATTAAGAATTGACTGTAATGAGTTTGATTTGATAACACCAGTGAATAGCCGGAATCTTGTTTTACAGAAAACCGTTGGACACCAAATGGATATATAGCATAGAGAGTAAAATGGTGCTTGGTTTAATGATTCCTCTCTATGTCTCACATTGAAGCTTTATATCTTCAGACGATGCAACGCGTATTACAAATGCTATAAGTTGCAATCCTGGGTCTGGAGGTATTCCTTGGAATATAATAGGCAGGGCGTATGGATGACGTTGTGAAGGGCACAAGACAAGCATGATTGCAACTCTAGGTACTCAGTCAATGAGTAATAAGGTATATATTTTCTCCGTTACATACATGATGCATGGCACATGATTTTCGATATTCGATAGGGGATTGTCATCCAATCATTTACCAACCTAGGTTAGCATCCCTGAGCTGCTGCCTAAGGCTGCCTGGCTGAGTTTTAAATTCATAATTGTGTTATCTGTACACAGGTTGAAGCGGCCTCATGAATTCGGTATAGGCAGACTGTTCATCTGCAGCACACGGTGTCATAGAGCTATTAACCCCGTTAAATGTCAATGTGCGTAATGTGTAATGTGTTTGCAGGTAAACAATAATCCTAAAGACGCGCACGAGTCCAAAATCGGCCATAGCGCCCCGCTTAAGTGCATAGCCCTAGACTCAACTTGGTCAGTGCCCACTAACTGCAAACCAATTTGTTGACTTTCCCCCCAAGTAAACAAATTAAACAAATTCTGATGTCAGTTTCCCTCTTCTCTCCCCACAACTCTTTTCCAATAACTCCCCTAATTAAACATAAACACCATTGCATATTGGTTGCATGCCCCCAGCTCGCTTGAGCAAGTCCAACTTGTAATTTCAAACTTACCTAACATATCATCCAATTTGTTGTTTTGAAGTTGCTACCTATCAACCATGGCGCGTCGCTCAGCTCGCATCGCGAGCGCTTCTAAGGTATGTAAACAAATCACCATGTTGCTCTCCTCACCGCCACCGCCACCACCACGGCTTCGCGCTGCACTATGCTGCATCGTGCCGCATCGCGCCAGAGGCATTCTGTTTGTATTGCGAGGCTAACACTCGATTTAACAATAGAGGACCAACGCTTCGTCGGCACCTCAACTAGGTGCTCTTTCCGAGAAAGATGAGCAAGATGAGCGCATGCCTACAGCCACTGAGCGCACTCCCACATCCGCAAAGCCAGCTACTCGTCGCCTCGACACTATCGCATCTTCTCCCATGCATCAACCCGCTACCCCCGCTTTAGCCACACCTGTTAAGCTGCCGATGTCAGAAATGCATCCCAGCAAAGTTCACCCCACTACCGCCGCACCTTCATCGGGCCTTAAGCTTGGCTTCGTCGATATCGACTATACTAAGAAACCCAACGAAGCATCCGGACTAATTCAATCTACTCCATCCAAAACCCCCGCGCCCTCTTCCGACTTCACCTTCCGATACGCCAGAATCAACCGCAATGGTGACGAAGGGCTAACCCCCAGAGCTAAGAAAATGATGGAAGGTATCCGCGAGGAGGCTGCAAAGATCAAGGTCGAACTTGCTGCCAAGCACGAGCAAGAGAAAGAGGAAGAGGCTGCCAACGAAGGCCGTAAGATTCGTCAGGCCAAAGGAAAGGCTGGCCGCTTCAGTGCTGCACATATGGCCGAGTTCAAAAAGATGGATTCTATCGAAAACCATCCGTCGGCATTCCGTGCCGTCCAAGGCCGCTCTACTCCTTTGAAGGGTGGCCTCAAACGTAGCCAATCGAAAGCAAACCTCGACGACGTCGATTCTGCACGATCCAAGAAATCTTCTACCCGCCCAGTGCCGGCCGCCCCTGAAAAGGAACAGGAGCAGTCTGAGTCGCCTGTCAAGCGTACAAAGCAGCGAGCTGACGACGACGTGTCTGGTCTCCGTCCCGTTTCGCGGGATGGCAGTTTCCTTCCTCGACCTAAAAGCAGTGGCAATGACTCAACTCGAAGCGGTATTCCTCGTTCGTACGCGCTTGCAAATCTCATGACACCGACTAAATCTTCGCTTGCCCGTGCAACTAGCATCAAAGCTCCTAGCGTCGCGTTGACGAAATCTGTCAGCAAACCAGATCTTGGTACACTGGGTAGATCGTCTAGCAACAAAGGCATTAGTACTTTGAAGAAGTCCATGTCAAATAACGCGATCGTGGACAACAAACCCACTCATGTCCAGACGCCAGGTCGATTTGATAGAGTCAAGTCGATCCTAAAGAGACATGTTACCGGGACCAAATCTAAGTCCAGCATCCCTCAGCTTGTTGCGTCACCCTCAAAGACATCTCTTCCGGAACGTGTTGATGAGGAACTACCTCAGGCGCCGCTTACCACCCCCGGACGAAAGCTAGAGCGACGTGTGAATTTCACCCCAGAGGCCAAACGGGCTACTACCATGCTCCTGGATTCTCCTTCGCCTGTTAAGTCGAGCATTCCGCGCTCAAAGGCTCTGTCCCACCTTCGATTCGGTAGTTCCACTGCTGAAAAACTGACCAGCACTAAGGTTTCCGACGGTGAGGTGACATATCCTGATCTCTCCGCTTATTGTCGAGATGTCGATGAAGTGGCCGAAACGTCTGCCCCGAGCCAACCCCTGCAGTCAGTTCCCGGTACGTTCACTTTCCGCAGCGACCATACCATCAGCTTTGGCGGCGTCTCCCCCCAAGGATTCGGCGGTGCTGCTGGCCAAGCCAGTCTTCGTCACGTTCGCAACTCTGTCCTACCCGCCACCCGCATGCCTGGTAGCTTCCCAGGTCAAACCGAGACGTCCCCTAACAAGGAAAACGCAGATCCGGCAGTAGGCTCCGGAATTCCTCATGGAATGTCAAACAAGAAGAGACATCGAGCTACGTGGGACGAAGAGGAAGAAGAGGAAGAGGGCAGCAAGCGCGGCGCGAAGAAATTGCGAAAAGATGCTCAAGCACCTGAGGGATATGCCCTCGTCGCGCCTCGACTAGCAAGCGAGTCCCCAACGAAGAAGCTGGGCGGAACCGCTTACACCCCTAGCCCGCAGAAAAAGAAGAAGGGCGGCCTCAGTCTCAGCCGACTGAATATGCTTGCCCGACCTAAGGTCCGCAAGTAATCGATTTCATTTGAGGTATTCGCCGAGCCTTTGGCACAGTAACATTACGGAACGAATCACGATGTCATTCAGCACTAAGAAGCTCATGCTATTGCAATCATTGTTCAGGGTATCTGTCTAGGGTGTCTGGATTTGAGATTGCTGACAGAAGCACGGTGGCGTAATAGTTTTCATCTCTTGGAGTCCGAGATGCGTTTGTACATTACCCCTAGCATTATCGCTCCTACACCGGGAGATCTGCTAGTTTGTTGTAGTTTTTATTCTTTTTCTTTTTTTTCTCGGGGGAGATTCATGAACGGCTTTGTAAGACCACGAAGAGAAATCGGACACTTGACGATGGATAAGGTGGCTTACTATCTACAGGTACCTTAGGTACTTCTGGTGTTATGGGCGTTCGTTGGCTGGCAACGTCGACTTTCCAAAATCGCAGGGCTCGATAGGCTACTAGAGTTTAATGATGATTACGATATTTGGCAGTGAATCGGTTGGTTTGGTTGTGAGAGTGAGAATACCTAGGTATGTGATTGTTTCTCGTTTAGTGAGCTGTGCTTTCCTTTCCCTGTGGTGTAAAAGCACTGGGTTCTTAATATTGAGTTTGAATGAGAATCACCTTCTCCTTCCCTTAATTTTGTTGTCGTGAGGCTTTGGTAACGGGTCCTTACTCCCCACTCCCCCCTTTTTTTCTTCTTTTTTATATGTATGCTGTTCTTATCATGAACTCGCGCCTAAGCATAATACATATACCTAAGACTTCTTGACGATTATAAACAAACAGTATTATAATATTATAAACGGCAGGTAAGTTGTCGAGATACCTTAGGTACCCTTTTGTATTAACCACGATCCGATCCTAATATTCCTCCTAGTCCCCTATCTAATAATACATAGGTACTATTCCCGAGACGAATGAATAAATAAATAAATACCTACCTAATCTATCTATCTTCATCATCCCTCCAGGCTAGGATCGGTATTACACGATTCTTTCTTTCTTTCTTTCCTTCCCTTTATATATACATTTATACATATACATAGATTTATATATTTCCCAAGCCGATTCTACCTAACCTACCGCGACGACGATGTTCACATGCACGTTCTGCTGGCGCCCATCTCCGGGCCCGTCTCGCGCGCTGGGGCGCTCGGCGCGGCTGACGTGCGAGCCGTGCTATCGCGGGCTCACCGACCTCGCGGTGTGCTAGGTGTGCGGCGAGACGGTGGTGCGCGGGGAGGAGGGCGTGAGCCTGGGGTGGTGCTTCTGGCACCGCGCGTGCTACGGGTGTCTGTTCTGCGGGAGCAGGTTGGTCGTTCACGGGCCCACGGTTGCGCAGCTGTTCGACGACGACGACGACGGGAAGAGGGCTGCTGGCGAGGGTTATGGTGGCGGTGGCGGGGGAGGAGAGGGCTTGGGGAGGGAGATCTTGGAGGTGCCAACTTGTGCGCACTGCGCGGTCGAGTGTCAGGGTCAGGGGACTGTGGTGCGGAATGCGCTGCGCAGAGTGGATGAGAGTGATGGGGGTTTGGCTAGCGCGAGGTGGACGAGGATAGGAGGGCAGATGGTGGGTAGACGCGCCGTGGGTGAGATCAAGAGGGTGCCGGTGGCAACTTCTAAACCTGGTCAGGTAAGAGCTGACTATTTGGCGCCGGTGCTGCCAGGACAAAAGGAAGAGGCTCACATATACAGAGTCCTCTATCTCTAGGTCGGTCACGATGGTCTATCCAGGGCGGGACACGCACTTCGCACGATCCTCGTGCTTCTTCTTCTCACTTACCAGTCGATGGTACTTTAAGCGGCCCGGGCAACCCGGGGGATGATAATGCGGACTACACCGTCCCTCTGGACCCTGTTATCTACGTTTCCATTTTCGACCCCGTCAACGATCCTGCTTTCAAGCCCAGTCCTACAAAACCGATTCCTAAGTGGATGCGGTGGCTTCCGAGCCGTCGAGAACAACGGTCAGAAACTCGGCCGCACTCCATTCTCGATGAATACTTCCCTCCTAGCCCCATAGAGCCAGATACTGCTTCGGCGTCCAAACTACCTACTATTTGTCCAACGAGCCCCTTGCCGAACCCCATGTATTCAGCAGCGACTCCACGTCCCCTCAACCACTATCATGCACCCCAAAGCTCGGAACCTAGTAAATTAACTAATTCGACTGTCACAGCCCTAAAGGGTCCTTCCTTTGTCTTAGATGAACCGTTAAAGCGACCTTCCTCGCGGGTCACCTATCATCCGACATCAACTAACCCCCGACCCGTAACGTCGGAGTATATCCCACGATCCCACGCGGCAGAGACAGAGGCAGAAGCATTATTATCGCCTCGCAGCCGCACGCCAGTTACCCCGCGGCCTCTCACAAGGCACCGACCTCCATCGCCGCTGACCGAGCAGGTGGCAGCACATCTCAGACGTTTCGCCCGTCGGACGCCTCCCGCGCAGTCGAGGGAGTTTCTCAATACGTACCATTACCACCAGCACAACGACCAGCAGCCGACGGGGGCTAGGAAGACCTCGACGACTACGACTACTACCACCACCCCAAGCATCGCGTTGCCGGGGCGCAGGCGAGATAAGGGTGTGGCGGACGGGAGGCAGGTATGGAGTATACTCGGACGGGACCGCACGCCATCGCCTGGCGCGGGCGGTGGCGCTGGCGCTAGGCAAGTAGTTACGGATGGTGGGGAGGTGGTGGACGTGCGGAGCTTGAGGAAGAGGTCGAGCTTGCAGAGCGAGATCAAGAGGTTCTTGAGCGGGAGGGGGGTTGGGAGGGAGTGAGGATACATTCATACATACATACATACCTACCTAGGTTACCTACCTAATGGGAACTATAGATTGTTATCGTTAATGAGTTGTTCGATGAGGGGATTTTATTTATTCTAAGTGACTACTACTATGTAGTGATGTTCCTTGAAGCGCTAAGTCCTGGACCCTAGTTTGGGTCTTGAGTGTGTAGGTAAGTTGATGTTGTATCGAAAAACGTTTCCTAGTAGTGGGCTTCGCTCGGCAAAACTCAGTATTATCCGCTGCTTATGTAACCAGCCTACAAGTCTTTAAGAGATACGTACCTGTACATAGTACATAGTAGCTTTTTGTCGCTCCCCTCCAAAGAAATTCCCCAAGCTCCAACTGCGTCAGCACCAATTCCATCTCCACCGTCAGTCACAATCCTTGAAAGTTGACAGCACTTGCAACTACCAATATCATAGTTGCGAGCTTTATTGTCCCCTACCAAGCAGCACTTTTAGGAATAATAATAATAATAATAATAATAAAATACACGCATACACAATGGCGCCAATGACGCGCGTAGACCATGATGCTCTCGAGCGTAAGCTATCCCCCCCTCCCATCTTATTCTCCATATCGTCATATACAAACCTACCTTCTCCTTTCCTCCCTCCACTCACCACCACCACCGCCAGTGCCTGCGATACTGACTAACCAACCAACCAACTAACTAACTAACGCTCCCCAGAACAACTCAAAGACACCATCCAAACCCTCACCAACGTCCTGGTGCAAGTAACCAACTACGACGCGACCACCGCGCCCTCGGCCTCAGGCAACAACACCCCTTCCCACGCGCACACCACCACCTCCTCCTCCGCCCTCTCCTCCTCCTCCTCCTCCTCTCACCCCGGTGGCCGCCCCTCCCGCGACGTCGTAGCAAGCGAGCTGCGCGCGCTCTCGGCGAACCTGCAGGCCATCCACGCGCGCGCGACGGACGCGACGCTCCCGCCCCTGCCGAGGGTGCCCCCCGAGCTGGTCGAGTACGTCGAGAACGGCCGCAACCCGGACATCTACACGCGCGAGTTCGTCGAGGCCGTGCGCCGCGGCAACCAGCTCATGCGCGGCAAGCAGCGCGCCTTCGCCGCCTTCCGCGACGTCCTCGCCGCCGAGATGCGCCGCGCCATGCCCGAGCTCAGGGACGACGTCGCCATGGTGCTGGCGAATCTGCCGAGGCCGCAGTAGGGGTGAGGCGTGGGATTGTTACGGGGAGCTGATGTGCTTGGGTAGGATAGGGCCGACGACGGCTCGGGATCGGATCGGGAGAATCCATGACGGTACTAGACGTGACGCTCGAAACATAGAGGTCCCCTCTCCCCGTTGGAGGGCGGGGCGTGGAGATCAGGTTAGGTACTTATTGCATGCACGCACGCACGCATGCATGGGCCGCGGCGGTGGTGGCGTCTAGGTTGTATTTCATTGCAAAGACATTTATTTAGTTGGCACTACGACGCACGGCGGCGTTAGGAGGCCCGCGGAGTTTGACTATTATTATACCCATGGGGAGAAACAGGAATGAATATATTGACTGAATCGATTAACCTAGAGAGAGCTTGGTGTTTTGCCAGGGCTACTATCAAATCAACTAGGAGAGAGAGAGAGAGAGCCATTTGTACTTTGCCACGAACTCGTCATGTTTTAATTTAACCCGAGCCTAGAAACTTGAAATCGTTGGATTTTCATTGATCGCGTCGAGGCGCATGCCATGTCGTAAACTAGGAGACCACATACGTATACCATATATTGTATTGCAGTTCCCTCCTTTTTTTTTTTTTCCCCATGAACCTTGACGAAACCTTGGTTTTAACCCGACCGAGAAACACCGCCGTAAATACCGCCGCCGAAGCCTCGTAGCCTTTCATCAAGAGAATGGTTTGGTTGGTTGGTTGGTAGGAGAGGAGGCCCAATCTTCCTCGCGCCCATTTTCACTACTTACCTACCTACCTACCTACCCAAGGTACCTAGGTTAGGTTTAGGTTTATGTTCACGTTTAGTTCTTAAGGACCCTGACGAGCTCCGCGACGACGGCGTCGCCCGTCTCCTTGGTGCCGGCCTCGCCGCCGAGGTCCTTGGTCCGGACGCCGGCGTCGATCACGTTCTTTACCGCCAGCTCGATCGCGTCGGCCTCCTTGGGCAGCTGCAGCGAGTACCGGAACATCATGGCGACCGACAGGATCGTGCCGATCGGGTTGACGATGCCCTTGCCCGAGATGTCGGGGGCCGAGCCTAGATAGATTCATCGTTGTGGTTAGCCAGCTCTTGTAACCAACAAACTTCTACAGGTGCTATCTATCATCATGACAAAAAAAAAGTTTGCACCTACCGTGGATAGGCTCGTAAATGCCGTTGCACCTAGACTTCCCGTCGGGGATCCCGCTCAGGCTGGCGCTGGGGCTCAGGCCGATGCTCCCGGGGATGACGCTGGCCTCGTCGCTGATGATGTCGCCGAACAGGTTGCTGGTGACGACGACGCCGTTGAGCCCGCGCGGGTGCTTGACCATGATCATGGCCGCGCTGTCGATGAGCTGGTGCTGGACCTTAAGCTGCGGGAACTCGCGGGCCATGGTCTCCGTCACCACCTTGCGCCACAGCCGGCTCGACGCCAGCACGTTGGCCTTGTCGAGGCTCCACACGGGCGCGGGCGGGTCGCTCGCCAGCGCGATGTACGCGGCGAGGCGGGTGATCCGCTCGACCTCCTGGCGGGAGTACAGCTCGGTATCCCAAGCGACCTCCGCGCCGTTGCCGTCGTCAGCCTCCTTCCGCTCGCCGAAGTAGATGCCGCCCGTGAGCTCCCGGACGACGGTGAAGTTGGTGCCGCGGCACACCTCGGCCTTGAGGGGCGAGTACTCGACGAGCGACTCGGACGGGAAGAAGCACGGGCGCAGGTTGCCGTACGTGCCCATCTCCTTGCGCAGCTTCAGGATGCCCTGCTCGGGCCGCACCGCGCCCGTGCCCCATTCCGGGCCGCCGATGGCGCCGAGGAGCACCGCGTCCGCCGACTTGGCGGCCGCGAGGGCCTCGTCTGTGAGGGCTGTGCCGTGGGCGTCGATCGAGCACTGTTGTTTTTAACCAATCGTACACTTTATTAGCGGCCTGTTATTCTCCCTTCTCCCTTCGTTTTGGGATATGTGAGGGGTTCAAGGGAGTCGAGGGGGGAGGGAAAGAGAGGGAGAACAGGGAAGGGAAAAAGGGGGGCCAGGGGTAAGAGGCAATTATTGGAGATATCGGAGAACGTACGCCACCTAATAAGTGTTCTTGGAGGTTGAACTTGCCGACAGAGGGTCTGGCAGACTCGACGGCTTTGATAACCTAATAGTATATTGTTATATTGTTAGCGCAACTCTTTTGATCATAATCGAAGCTATTATCAAATAGGCGAATTGCGAAATTCTTCTTTCTGTCCCATTCGTATTTGTCTATCCCTTGCTAAACTCACCTTCACAGCCTCGGCAACGACCTCGGGGCCGCTGTGATCACCGCCGAAAACAACGATATTGTGTGTGGCCATATTTAGAAAGCCGATTGGGTTCGTAAAGAGTCAAAAGAGGAATTGGGTCAGTGAATAAGTAAGTGAACAAGTAAGTGAACGAGTGTTAGGTCCGAGATAATTCAAAGGACGACCAGGCTGTGGTTTATGTAGGTAGTTTTTATGTATGCATTTACGAATCTAGGCGTCTAGGGATTTAGGGAAGTCACTTTGGTATTTGTTCCCTGCCGTAGGCCCCGTAGCAAACAAAAAAAAAGCTAACGGCAGATGCCCCGCGTTAATTGCTTGGGTCTCCGAACCCACCCCGCGGTTGCCGAGATCGGCGTAAGATATTGAATAGCTCTTGCCCTTTGTCTCCCGGAATCTTTTCATAGGTACCTACCTACATAGTACGATCAATTGGAAGCTTCACTATAATCGAACCCGTTTACCAACTTGATACCCAATACTAAGGGTTTCATTGCCTTATGCATTATGCCTTATGCACATATGTAAGTGGCTACCTAATGCATGCAGCTTTTATTATGTCTTGCTTGGTATCCCCCCACTCAATATAGGAGGTATATATAAATACACCGTAGTATTCGTGGACAACGTATAAAAATCGTCTATTTCCCATTTGTTAGGCATTCATATAATTATATTGCCCCTACCCACGAACTCGCATAGTTCAATTATCCCTTGGTGTTCGTATGCATTAGGTAGGTACCTAGGTATGTAAATGATAGATCGTAAAGCCATTAACACATCAGATCGATACCCCCTTGCCACCTGGCCTTCACAAAGCATCGCTTCTTATTGCTACTCATCATCTACATAGGATAGATAGGATAGATCAGGGTATCGCGTCAACGTAAAAGGTCCCCTAGCTCAGATATTGTAGCACCATTCTATATCCCGTCTATACCCAATAAGCGCCAATTACACATATCCCCATTATAGAATAACGTATCAAGTAATGCGTCAAGCAATGCGCCTCGCATTGGACACCACGTGCTGTCATCTGAATGATTTGAACGACTTGTGCGCTAATGGAGACGCAGCAGGCACTCGAGGGTTTGTGGCCCCTAAATTTCTGCGTATTTCCCGACCTCGCATTCCGTGGGCGTTCGGCGTATTCGCGCAGAACGCACATATATACACGCTAGGATGGGTCTGACGAGTGATGTTGATGCATTTGCCGTGAAGCCACATCTCACATGATTCACTACAATAGAATTAGTCATGGCAACGAACTACATCGCAGATCGACTGCGTAGAGGGAAAAGAATATAAGGAGAAGGTATGGGTACCATTGAACCATATAGCTATTGCCATTGATGTGGTTACTAGCTGTGTTGCAAACACATCGAATTCGATGCCCTCGGTCGACGGACTGGGTACGAAGTTGACTAGCCTTTATAGGAGAAGGAGTTAATCTTGGCGCTGGTCGGGGTATAAAATTCTCATTTATGTTGGACGCCCTCTTCTGGCGATCCTCGATAACTTTACGTAACTCGCTCGTAGCGTCGCCGTAATGATTACCGCCGGGTACATTCATCACCGTCTCAGCCTCGCTCTCGGCATCATCGACGGCATCAGGTTCGTTATAATATATTCCGAGACTACTCGTACTCTGATCGCTAACACTCCGCCGAGAGGAATGATAGGGGAGGGGCGCCGGTTGTCGTGATTCCGGAAGAGCAAACGAGGTATTCCGGCTAGGAATAATTATGGGTTCATCATCCGTTGAGGAATCATCGTCTTCGGAAGACGCCCAGCTTCTCCCTTGGCTACGTTTGCCCTTCCGACTGCGCGCCGCCTTCGGAATTGTGTCCTCATCGTTTATGATTACCGTTGTTGTTTCAGCGCGAGCCCGGCCCCTTGAATCGATTGTGAATTTGACCGAAGTTTGCGTCCTTGGGGCTGGTGATTCGGGAATAGAGCTTAAACTCGATAGTCGTTGTTGATGATTCTTCAATGGTGATATTCTTCCACTCCCACTTGCCCTAGGCCCCGGAGGTGCCGGTCTACCGACGCTCTGTGGTACGGGCCGTGTAGCTGGTGCGAAATTAGGTAGACTGGTTGCCTTGCTAATAGGTTTTCGACTTATTTTCTCGCTGAGACTACGCGACAATCCGGGGCGATCGGCTGATGATTTGACCGGTGAGCTGGCGGATGCTCGATTTATCTTCTTGGCGGCGTTTATCTCTTTGTTGCTAGTTGAACGACGAACCCCACCACGCTTCGGTGCCTTCGCAGCCAATATGATAGGTTCCGGTTGAGAAAAGGGCTGCATCAAGGCAGGCTGTGATAGGGGGTTGAAGGAAGCAGGCTCCATACTTGAAGATGGTGGCCTGGTAAATAGGAGGCCGGGATCCACGGAACCACTCTGGTTCATCATAGCAAAAGATTCGTCTGTCGATGTAGCAAAGGACTGACCGAACATTGACGTATCGGCGACACTTGTGTCTAAAGGCGGCTGTGGAGGTTTTGGCGCAAGTGCTCGTTCCTTTTTCGCGGGTGGGTTACTTTCTTGGCCGTGGGATGGAACAATGCCTGTTTCTTGGAACATCTCGTTCGACTTGCCCCAGTCTAAAGAGTTCATAGGCCGGTGACCGGAAGCTGGGAACATCTCCCCGCTAGCAACGGAGAAGTCGATATCCATTCCACCCATATCGGTATCCCAGAACATGCGCGAATCTCCATAACCAGAGGCCGCAGCCGGGGCTGACATTGGATAGCTAAAAAGGTCCGTGGGGGTTGAGATAAAGTTGGGCATTTGCTGCGACATGCCAGCTACGAACTCGTGTTCAAATCCGTCATTTTGCATATTGCTCGTCCGTAGCTTAGGGGCAAGCCGCTGTCTTCCTTTGTGAGTAGACGGCGGCGGTGTAGCGGTTTGCCCCTGTGTCTCTTGTGCTCCGCCCCGGTAGCCCTTTTTAGATAGATGTTGCGAACGAGACTGGAAGCCGGCCTCGGTTGGGCTAAAGCCGGCAGCTAAGGAGTTCGGAGATGACGACAACCGTTTAGACGGGTCAACAGGCGGTAGAGGTAGATTTGGATTCGGCGAAAAGTGGGGAGCATGGGTTGCAATTTCGGCAACAATACTATCAGCAGATAGAAGTCTCTTATGGTTTGAAGCTTGGTATGGCGTGGGAACAGAGTAGTCGGCAAAGGAGATGTGGGAAGGTTTTAGGTTACCCGGAGTGGAATTGAAGACGGAATACTCTTCAGCGAACTGAGGAGTCCACCCAGACGAATCGTCGAAAGAAGCTCGGTTATTCTTGGGGGTTTCGAACACAGAACTTGGAAACCCAGTGGAGGTCGGGGTTTGCTTTGGGGTGGGAGGCTGAGCGTTTGGATCACCAAAGCTGCAAACCAAATATTAGTACTGAGACAAAGTGGGCAGGGAGAATGAAGGTGTCTTGCCTGGAAGTTGGTCTATCTCCACTCATAGCAAAGGTATATTCGTTGGTTTAAAGGAAGTAAGTTCTCCTTAGATAATTGTAATTGTTGAAGTTTTTATGTCATTGCACATTATCATATATACAATTCGTCGACCGTTCAGATGTTGGAAGCGCAGAAGTTGTTGGAGCGTAGAAGCGTAGATAACCTCTAGATATGTAGGTAGATATGTTCAATGCCGTTTGCTAGATTTAAAGCACAGCCAGCTTAGATAGATTGTACAGAATAGGAACTTTTATTGTCAACGAATATCCAAAACTCGGACTCGGATCATAGCACACACAATTAAAAGGAAAGGCGGTTAAGCAAGAATCGTGTATCATTAATTGGTGGTCTAAAAATTAAAAAAAAAGAAGAAGAGAAAATCAATGGCGGTTGTCGTGGTGAAGAAGCGTTGGTGGGTAAAAGTGAAAAAAAGGTGGTGCTACTATTAGGTAGAAGCGGGTTGTCTCTAAGTCTAAGTTTAGGATAGGACGGTTTGATGGGTTAGATGGGTTTAGATGGATTTGCGGTTAGGCTGTCGGGTAAATTTTTAGGTAGGCCAAGGTCTGTGCAACTTCTATGTAAGCCTGGCGGTATACTATGTAATACTTTTTTTTTTATACACTATGCACTATCAAATTAGTCAACTGAGTCAGTGGAACAAACGAGGGGTAGAAGTGCAAAAGATGCAAAAGATGTCATGTAAGTTATCTGGCAGTCGGAATTCTTGAATTATTAGTGGATGATGCCTAGCGAAACTTGCCTACCTCTACCTAGGTAGGTACATAGTATTATACATAGTACCACTGCCCAGGCGGTTTTCTCAAAACCCGAGATCAAGCGCGCACTGTTGAGCAAATATGACATGTTATGTCATATGTATTAGTATGCAACAGTTGAGATATGTAAGATCAATTGGCCCTAAGCTTTTCGGCGAAGAGACCAGCTAAGGTGGATAAGCGGCGCGTAAACTCCTCCTCGAAAAGCAATATTATGTAGTACGAAACCTCTAAGTGCCTCTAGGTTGATATTGAGATAATTACCTTCCTAAGATTCTATTATGACACAATATATAGGGGCCAGGTTTATCCCCGCAGCTACTACGAGATAATTACTTGTTAAAACATACGTTAGGTACTTATATAAGTACCTAGGTACATAGTAACTGAGTATTTTATATCTCTTAACTATAGCTACCTACCTAATATAGGCTTAATGATGCTATGTTAGGTTCAACTGACTAATGAACCATCTTTAATTCCGAATATTACGTAGATACCTATGTACCAAAGGAAACAGATAGGTATAGAATGATTATAAAACTACCTAATGCCCCCTTTTTTCCTTTTCCACCGTCGTTCCGGTAGATATAGGTAACTTTTGACCGTAACTATCCAAGGCACTCGGACCTGCAGAAATACACTACACGTGCTCCATCCCCACTAAAGCGGACGAATTGGCGGTGCTTACTGCCTAGTTGCGGTACCGAGCCGGAGCGAATCTCCCCAATATTCCCCAGCAACTACCGGTGAAGTAATGAGTTGTCAATTGGCCCTTATGCAGGAAGCAAATTAGATGGCTGGGTTGCTTACGGAGTAGCTAGTAAAATATCTCAGGCATAAGGGAAAGAAGAAATAAGTAATATACAACTTCGAATTATATTAGTTAGTTAACTAAATACCGAATTACCTATAGAAAAGCAATGAATTATTCTCATCATTTTCCATTTTCTATACTCAAAATTATTACCTTTACTTTTATACAAAAAAGTACCTAAGGTACCTTAGTATCAGCAGATTGGTACCTCCGGGCGTCCGCACCGTCAGACCCAATCGCTATGGATCGCGCTAGGCTGCTAATGCGTAAAACGTCCAGTCTATGGAAAAGTGCTGGAATAATACCATTGGTTACACTCACGATGGGGGACCCAGCGATTTCGAGCTAGGGACCTGCATTAGATGGAACGAAAATGAGTCAACAGAAGGACTTATCCCCACGCAGCAATATATTATGTACATATCTTTCCTAACTTGCATTACTCGAACAGGCAGCTATGCTATTAGTCGTGAGAATCCCCTAGCTTGGCCGTGCGAGAGAGGGGGAAAAAAAGTAAAATAAAAAGAAAAGGCAGTGACAGTTGAGTGCGGCAAAAACAGATAGCTACCTACCTAATGCAAATGTGTGGTGGTCTATCAATCAGACCATAAGTGAGACTCTAAGTCTATTGTGGTAATTGTCAGCCATTGATAGGTTTTGACTACCGAGGCTATACAATACTTACATACCTTACCTAGTATGTATTTTCATCAGCTACCCGATGATGGCTTGTGGCTGCAGCAGACGAACTAATTGCTTGGTCCCTGTTGGCGCCACCGCCTCGCCAGGCGCCGCAAGTTTACCATTGAAGTCTCAATCTCAATCTCAATCTTGGTCTTGGTCTTGGTCTTGGTCTCATACGGTGTCGCACTCGAGTCTGCTATATTTACAAGAAAGTAAAACGACTCTGTAAATAGTTCAAAGAGAATAGACGCCCTGTAATGTGTCCCAGGTTAGTCGAACTCGACTCACTTACATCGTAACACTCCGATCTCGAACGCTATTGATAAGAAGAAGATTGGCGGAGGAAGCGCGCGTATCTCCTTCGCCTTTTTTTCCAACGACAGCCCGAGGAATTTAAAAATAAAAATACCACAAAATAAATCCCGATCGATAATGCTACCCGACCTCGATTGCGTACAACGTACAACGTGTTTTCCTAATATGGAAGACGGCCGGTGACGTCGGATCTGCAAATGTACCCTTGCATAGCCTTATGAGCTCGACGAATTATTCAATATCGTAGCAGACCCTTGTCAGGCATTATTCGCTTGGCTTGTTATTGGTTCGCTCTCGTTCGACAAAAAAGCATCAAACTCCGCAGAAAAGTCCTTGTGTCCTTTTTTACACGGTCCCTTCGATTTTTGAAACCTGGGAAGAACTGGTTCAAATATATATATGTCGGCATTGGTTCGAATCAACACATTTTGCTTCATCTGTCGGTGCTACGCTTCCTCGACCATATTAAGAAAATAAAGGCACGCAAATAGGAGGTACATATCCCCAAGATTTTATCCCCAAATTCATCCCCAAGTCTATCTTTAGTTCCCTACGTGCATATAGGATACAACATCGCATATGATTGGCCACGTCATTTTATGCTAGTATTTCCCAAAACGTACCAATTAAACCTCCACATTTTCTCGGTCATACTAGCAATACTCCTTACCCCTGAACTTGGCAGACCTAGCGGCTGCCTGGTTGAATTAAAAACTATCTCTTGGGATTTTAACATCGTGTAAGCGGCTGAATAACGTACGTACATACGAGATAAATATCATTTATGTTATTACATAGCAATTAGAATAATTTGGGCCAAGAGACTTGAATCATATAACAAGAGTAAACTCCTTTAGTCTATTGCACCTCTTGATGACATTGATTCAACGTCTAACTTGAGACGCGATCTAAGATCAATAGGATACTACCAAACAGCCCAAGATAATGCCAACTTAACATTCCAACACGACTTAGGAAATAGTGCAGTCTTTTCTATTCTTAGATATATAGATGCATATAGATAAGGTCTATAAGGCTATATAACTACCTGCCTATCGTAGGTAGGTAAGGACCAACTAGTCAATATTATAAAAAGAGGGGCGGCAAGCTGTTGGTCGAAATGATATGCGTCCGGATCCTTCCTCATATGTTGGCTGAAATCCCTATGACTTAGAAGGTATAATCCGCCGGTTGTGATGTGTCCGCATGTGAACGCTGTAACCCTAATGCGTCAGGATACCGAGGTAGGGCCCGTCAAAGTGACGTTACTGCGAATCAATCCATCAGCTTTTTTTTTCAGCTGGCCAGAGTCGTCCTAAATACAGGTAGGCAGCGGCATCGAGACCTTCCTGCTTTCTGAAAAACTGCCGGTGGCTGCGCTTTTAGTCTTTCGCCTACCCGACTGGCTACCTAGGTAGGTAGGTAACCAGGTATGCTATCAGCTTCAACTGATGCACGCGCAATATCTTCGCTGGCTTTGTCATTCGCAAGTAATTGCCTTACATGATCCTGCGCGTGGGTTGATGGAACGGAGTGTAGGCTTAGAATCCCAAAGTTGTCTAGCTGCTTACTTTCAGAAGCTACCCGGGACTCGGTCAAGGGGGATTGGGGCTATAAGTGCAAGAACGCAGCTTTGTAAAGACAACCGAGGCTCTCGTGCAGACGTAGGAAGTTCATAGCGGGAAAACCTGTTTCTGAATACATATGTCAGAGTTGCCATTGCTACCATCCTAGAGGTTACCCAGCATATCACACATAGTAAAATATTTTACTTACATACTTGAAGCTGAAGGGCGACGGGGCGAGTGATAGAGAGGCGCTACCGAGACACCGAGACGGTAATTCTACCGAGACCTAAATGCGGTTGTACTCTCTCCTGATACTATGTTCTTATATGGAAACGTCAGCTTCATCATTGTCAACCAGAGCCTACCTAGTTCCTTAATCTCAAGAAAATGGTCTTTCTAGTACAACCATATTCACCGACTCATCCTCCAAACTTGCCATCAAAGTATCTCCCCTTGGACACGTCGAATCTTAATATAACCTCGGCGGCGAAGAGCGGCTCGCGGGGGGCTGGGCTCGGTAACACGAAGCTATTCAGGGGCACGAGCGTCTAAAGGGGAGCCTCATAGCCTCATGTAAAAACGGCTCAGACAAGGAAGACAAAGAGACTTATAATAGAAAAAGTTGTACAGAAGTAGGTAGATGGAGATGATGGAGTTTATGCTATGGTCTCGCTCTCGTAACCTTGTGATCCAAACGCGAGGCTTTATGGATTAGGGGTCGTAGCGAAGGGAGGATCCAAAGGTAAGCCTTGAACTTGAAATAGATTGATAGTATCACATCGCCATGCATCGAAGAATGAGTAGACGAAAAGTGAGCCTACGACATACATACCTAGTAAAAGATACTTGACTGGATATCCAAGACGATGGTTATAAATATATCATATCAACGGAATTTTCTCTAACCGATCCGTCTCCCTCCGTTAAACACCCCTGGATGTTTGCTTAAAAACACAAGGCTTACCCAGATTAGCTCTGCTCTGCACGAGCCCTATATGTCGGGTCGGGATTCCTCGGCAGGGCCCTTTTGCCAAGTAAGGGTGTCCTGTCCTGTCCGTCTATTATCAATCAGGCAGGCAGCCCTATTTCCAAGCGGTAAAGTGACGATATGTACCTAAGGTAGGTGTGTAGCTTATTCAAACTCCCAGAATCCTGCGGACGAAATTTTGCGCACCGGAGGAGCTTATGCCGAAAGCAAGGCAAGGCAAGGCAAAAAAGACAAACCCCAACTCCAACTCCCGCTTCCCGCAACCTTTCGATTCGATCCCTAAACGCCACCATCTCACATGGTCCCGCCTGAAGGATCGCAAACCCACCGCCAATCTTGGAGAGAGAAAGGTATATCCAGCGCCGTGGTGCGGACGTGAGTGGCTGGCTGGCTGGTATGGTTGGCTTTTGTGCTGCCTAACGTCAAACTAGGAAATAAGCTCTCCAAATACAGACGTACGTCATGAAGTAGGTAAGGCATGTATGCTTCGTTTGCCAGAATGTCTGAAACATATCCGCGATGATGTTTGTTCCCGCTCGCATGAAGGACTGGCACAAGTGAGGCTTCAACTTACGAATGCTGACCGTCTGGCCTCGCCTTCTTCCGTGCGTGAAGAGGAGTTGCTTGTTTTATGTAAACATCTGGTTGAAAATTTGAATGATATCTCCCGAGATTTGATCTGGGTACAACAGCGCTTTTTCGGGCGCCTCTTAGATCATCATGTACGTTCTCTGTGAGCTATCGTGTAATCCTACTTCTCAGATATGAAGTCCTAGCAAACCTTAGCTGCTGCAGTCAGATAGCTCGGTATAATTGCCCGATGAAACGATATGAGAATTAAAAGAAACGAGAAAAAAACTTTGATGCCTCTTTCCGGAGGGGAGGCGTAGGATCTGACCCCCTTTCCCCTGAGCTGCTGCGGGAATATAGGTATTGTACATGAGCAACCCGCGCGCGGTACGATGGTATATCCGTCATATAGAACACCCATCTTCGTAGTCGTAGATAAGGTATGTACCTGATATTTGGAATTTTCTAACCGCCCCCAAATACACCAGAAGTAGGTAAGATATCAGGAAGGATCGTGGAGAGTGAGATATTGTCCGTCCTTGCAGCTACGATCACGCAGCCAAAGAAAGCCACACGGGATCCTCGGGCGCTGGTTCTTCCTTCTCCAACCCGCGCGCGGGATAGCTACCTACCTACCTGCCTAGGGTAGCTGAAGATGGTGGTGTGGTAGGTAAGCAGGCTTTTTTTTTCCTGCTCACCTTCTTCTCCCCTCACCCTAGCGCCCGCGGGTATCGTGAGTAAGCTAAGCTAAATCCTACGACTTCGGGAAGCCCACCCACCTACGGCGTTATAGACGTTAGGTATATAATATGTGGGCGTTTTATAGGTTTGCCTTACGTTGTTTTAGGTACGTATGTACAACACAATAGCTAACGTAGACTAAACCACGGTACCTTGGACCCGACGCCAGGGCACCCACACGCTCGCGCAATAACGGGGGAGCAAGGATCGAACTAGCAGACCAGTACCGTGACTGAGAGAAGGAAAGGGGGGCGTGGATGTATACACATACATACACTATATGCCTACCTGATATATAAGCCTTTTCTATAGATACCCAGCCTGACATACAGAGAGATCATGGCCCCACGCTATCCTCTAGAAGCCAGGGGTCGACCCGCTATGACCTCCTAGCAAGCAAGCTAAGCAGACGACTCCTCGACAAGCCGTACCAACGGGAAAATTCCCCGAGCCTATTCATAGCACATGAGAAACGACTAGTCAGTGGGACACTGCACCCAAGATTTGCGTGATAGGGATCCGCAGCTATATGTAGATGTAGATGTAGATGTAAAATGTATATGCAAGACAGATACATCCGTTCGTCCATACCCACGTAGATCCATACGTCTATCTATCTAACCCAGACTTCCGTCCAACCATCCACATATAAACAAAACAAACAAGCCTACCCCCAAGCCGCACAATGCCTACCTACCTACCTAGGTAGCTATCTAGAAAACAATCAATAATACCTGTGATAATAACAAGATAAAAGCAGATCATAAGTCCGGCCTCTGTGCTACAGGGGTAAAGTCAGCCAGGTACCCCATCACCCTATCTATCCTATCCTGTCCACCCTTAGGTTAGGTTAGGTTAGGTTATGTAGGGGCCTGTACGTACCGCGTACATCATCCACATTGCGAGTTTTATGCGTTTCGTTTTCCGTTCCAGCCCCGGCGGCACTAACTAAAGTCCAACCTACCTACCTACCTAGCCACCGATCCACCCGGCTCTGCGGCTCGGGGGGGCGTACGCATAGTAAAGGCCCGAGGACCCAAGCTCGGCGTGTGTCTAGTAAAAAACGAAGAGAAGAGGAAAAGGAAAGGAAGAAGAAGACTAAGGAGAAGGAGGAGGAGCAGTAGGAACAGGAGCCGGGGAAAAAAAATAATTAGGGCCTCCAATGAGGCGAGGACCGAAGAAACATCCCCTGGTCCTAGGTTAGTTAGTTCACTTCACCAAGGACCTGGAAGTTCTTCTTTCCTCCCTCATCCCCATCCCTCGCCCCTCTAACCCCTCTATTTCTCTTTCCTTACCCCATCCCGTCTGTTTTGATGCCGTCTAGTCTGATAAATCGTGCCTCCCGCGTGGAGGCTGTGTCGTTTGAACTAACCTACCTCATACCTGGTACTCGTTCTCCAGCTTAGTTGGTTAGTTGCTTGCTTATTTGCTTCCTAACGTAAGGTATCTTGTAGTATCTATCTGAAAGGTTCGTCTCGGCTCGGGAAGGAGCCGTTTCATTGAGCTTATTTCTTCGACCCGAGCCCATCATTTCACATCTCACATCTTACCTATCTCAGCTGACGTTGTTTCCGTCTCGTACACTCGGGAATACACTTAGACGCACACAAAACATCAAACACATGCAAGTTCAGCTAGGGGAAAAAATAATAAAAAATAGGCCATCTTTTGTGAAGACAAAGAAATCGTTCATCATCTAGCTAAGTTATGCACGCGCGTATATCGCGTGCTTGGGAGACCATCCCGTGGTATCATCCGGTTTTCTTTCCTAAACTCTTCTACCGCTGCCCAGCAGGGCTGTTGTTCACAAAACTCTCAAACCCAGAATCAACAACATCAACAACAGTAAAACATGCTTGAAAACCAACCAAAAAATGGAAACTTCCCATCTCTTCCCCCCCCGTAAAAACTATTTCCACCCTCCAATATCCGTCGAGGGTATCACACACACACACACACACAACCTTATTTAGCTATCTACATTAATCGGTTAAAAGAGAGTAGTTTTTTTTATAAAAAAATGGTAGAACTCATATGAACAGCGAAAAGGGGAAGTAAGAGAGAAAAAACTCAACCATATGATCAGTGATATGATCTGCGACTGTATGTATGTAGTAGACGCGTATATGTGTGTTTGAGTTAGGAAAAAAATAGCGCACAACGAAGCAAAAGAAACCAATCTTTTTGTTCTGTCGTAACCGCCACCATGATGTTACTCCCCCGTTCCAGTCTATCCCAAAAGCCGTCGTTAAAAAATAAAGTAAAGTAAAAAAACACCACTAAACGAGCAGTGCTCGATTTCGTCATAAACACACATCTGTGTGTTGGATAAGTGATTTTGTTCATGTTCGGGTATAGTTATCAATAAGGTCGGGTAGTTAATGAAATTGACTCGTAATTGTCAAAAATAAAAATGAGAGGATAAGAAATGGCATCAATTTGCGCCACCTGGGCAGCGGGAATGTCCGTTGTCCGTCTATAATAAGATCGCCCTCTATATTGAGAGCGGGGAGTTCAAGGAAAATGAGTGTTTTTTTTAAGTCTGGTTGTTCGAAAAGGGTTGAATCGTTCGATTTGATCATTAAATCATGTTGTGGTATCCATCTACTCCAGAGAAGGTTCTTTGTTGATGTTGTCGTTGTTGTCGTTCTGGCTGAATAGCCTGTTCGTGAGAAATAGGCGTAGACATCGGCATGGAAGTTGGTGTTGCGTTCAACGAAACTGCTGTAGTATCGGTATGAGGCGTCATAGGCGGTTGCATATCAAGCTTTGGCTTTGCAACAGCTCTAGAGTTGCTACTCTCACGTCGCCTCTTAGGCGCATCCTTGACTTTAGGGTGCGTGTGGCACTGCCGTCTATTAGTATAATTATCCAACGTCATCTTTATTTAAGAATCTTACCTTATACGCGTGCCTGAACCAGGTTGTGCCCTTTTTCTTGCTGCTCACTAAGGCGATCCAGTCGTTGCAGCTTCCGCATAGGCCTTCCCAAACATCTGGATTGCCATCCATCCGTCGAGTTTCCTTGGGTTCTTGGAACGGATTACCAGTGGCTGCGCTGATACCGTGGGTAAAACTCTTGTCGTACCAGAATGCGGAATTCTTCAATACCAGCCATCGACCGGGCTTGCAAATACCGCACCATCCTTCCCGCTTATTGCCGTGACCACGAACCCATCTGGGTGTATACAAATCACCTTCAAATCGTAATTCTTGCTCGTGAGGCACAAGGTCCGGGTCTGAAGGGTTCATGTCTTCGGGCGGAGGCGGAATTTGCTCTTCCTGGAGCGAGGCATATAGATCCGGTGGGTCAGATAAATCCGTGTAATGACCGTGCAACGAATGAGGGTCCGCATTGCTTTGGAGCATCCTGAAGAGGCCGTGTGATAATAGTGGTGGCGGGGTCTCAAAATGATGAGCTTCCGGGTGAAACGCCTGCGATGGTAATTGGGACGGTAGCTGAGTCGGAAGAAGCATACTATTCCGGAAAGCTGGCGGATGGGACACAAGGAACGGGTGCTGCTGCACAGCTTGGAGGTTGCCGAAGTTCAGTGGAAGGGGGTGATTAGGCATCGTAGGCGATGAATGTCTCGACGACATTCTCGGTCCAAAAACATCATGCGTATGATGATAAACGAAAGGAGATGGTCGGCGACTCGCGGTTCCGTACGATCCAGTAGACCACCTCTTGTTTCGTGCGCTGCTGTCTGCATTATAAGGAGCAGACCTCATTCCAGGTCGAGGAGAAGGTGAGGCTCCCCGGCCACGGCTTTGAGTACGGACGAGATCAGAACGACTCTGCGGTGTCATGCGAGGAGAAGCTACGGGCGACAATTGAGTAGAGGACATGAGCGAGTTTCGGTTAGAAGTTGGCGGGTAATCCGATGTGAAAGACGGAGCTTCAGACAAGGCAGCGGAAAAATCATCGTATGAAGGCATATCGGAGAGGCCGCCTGTTGTCGACACGGTGAACGACGAACCCGACATGCGACGCTGATTCAAACCTGACTCGAAGCCCATCGACTCATTCTCGATTTGAGATCCGGCATATCTGAGATCTAGGATTGGAATCGCCTCATCCGCGGTATAAGCTTGCCCAATGTTCATGTCCACATCGAAGTTAGGCATATCAATATGATGATGATCTTCACATAGTTTGGATCCCCATGGACCTACGCTAATGGTCAGTAATGACCCTAAATTGACTCGGGTTAAACTCACTGCTATCCATCGTCGTCACAGGATAGAAATCTTGATGCATCGAAACAGGTCGTGACATCGTATCACTTGGCGTGTGGATCATTAAGCCGGATGGTGTTTCCCATGAAGCTATGGTTCCGAATTCCTCTCCGGCGCAAAACGAGAAACCCTCGTGAATAGTAGCGGGTCTTGGTCGCGCTTCTTGCGATGTTGGCGTCGTCCACACTCCGGCCGATGCCATTTGACTCTCTACCTTGGTAGACATATCGTTCCTATTCATCGTGACCAGTGGAGGTGGGCGTGGTGGCGGGGCCTCTCTGATGAACTCGTCGTTAGAGCCGAGTGTGTAAGTAGGGGCTTGGATGTGTTGGCTCCTATGGTTGTGTGAGTCTCTATTAGATATGTTCCGACTCAAAGTAATACATACAATTGGCCTTGTGTTGAGTCCATGATTCTGACGTCAAAGTGTGAAAAGCTTAATCTATGATGGCTTGTATACTAAGAAGGCCATATTCTCGAGGTTAGTCGATGAACGGCATGCCCATATATTGGGATAAGCTATGTCCATATTGTAGTCCGCCGGCATGTTCGACAGCGGCATGTAATAGCTAGGAAACTTATTCAGCAACTTACACAGTTATAGTGATATGTACTATAGTAATCCTCGACGACTAGTTTATCTCCGGAAGCGGTAAGGTCAGAAGGAATGAGGAGTACCTTGATCCGTGAAACAGCGAAGGAAGCGAGTGTGTAAGTTGACGGGTAGCGGTTTAGGCTGGGTGTTGTTGATGTATATTCGTAAAGAATGGAATTGAGTTCTCTAGAGACCGAATAACTCGATTGGCTGAGTGGTACTTGCTCACATAGATTGGTTTGTCTAAGTGGGAAAGAGAGCCAGCTCCCAGTGTTATAGACTAGAGTGGCAATAATAGAGTGTGTTATGAGCTTGGAAAAAAAGGAGCGACTGATAGTGGAATACCTTGGTCAACGGTGTGTAAGGAAGAGAGCGGCGAGGCGAGAAGAGGAGTAAAGTGGCAGGTTAATGGAGGGGCGGTGCAGCACACAGAGAGATATAAGGATGCTCCCGGACGCAACAGGCCCTACATAGTAGTACACTGACAGTTCGATTATAATTCAACACGGCCAGTCGGAACATCGGTAGGAGCTAAGCCGGGTCTTCTTGATACATGGAAACCTGGACACGTCTGTGAACTCGAGAACAGGAGAGACTGGCGTGCTAAGTCCCTCTTGGCTTGCTCGAAAGAGACAGGCAAGACAGGTACGACAGGGCAGGCAAGGACCGCCGGGCGGGTTCTGCAAGGGTTTACAGCGCAAGGGTTCAGTGGGTTACATCTGTTCGTCAATGATGTGTTGCGAGGAATAGTCGAGTCTCTCAAGCAGGTCAAGCAGGGTAGAGTGGTGAGAGTATGGGGGAGCAACGGAGAGTTGGATGGGTCTCGGGTACCTAGCATGTAAGAAGATGTAGCCAGAAACCGATTAGACTAAGTGAAGGACCAGGGCTGCCCCCCGGTCGTAAATAACCATGGCACGTCCCAACTCTTTTGGGATAGCTAAGCAGGGGTTGTGATATAACAGGACGGACGTAATCTTGATATTGAATAGAAAATGGGAAATTTCATCAGGCTAAGGGGAAAAGAAGTACATTTTCGGGGAAATAAAGAAAATAAATAAGAAAACAAATAAGAGAAAAAAAAGGTTAGAGCCTACCTAGATACAGTTCGCTATTTTTAGCCTGAACCCTTCAGCCTCATAGTTGGTTAACTTGGTCTGGTCTCATGTTATGTTTGGCCATGTGGTTATGTGGTTAGAAGGAAAATATACCTACATTAGGCTCCGACATCTAGGGTAGGATAAAATAAAAAGGCTGAGCTGATGAGAACTAGATGAGACGACTCGCGGACTACGAGAGCCGCGAAAAGCTAGCCTTGGAGGGTCGTATACCATCTATCTTGTATGTAGGCTCAGAAGGAACTGGTAAGATTCTAGTTACCGTAGAGTCGTATGACACAACCATGACACCTTCGTCGGCCGGATAGGTCGATCTGGAGAAGCCAGGTTCCTGAAAAATACTATGTACAATACCTTAAGTATGGCTAACCAGGGGTGTAGGTTTTTGGAAACGCCTTCTGGGGTCTCTTTGTGGAACAACGAGGACTCGTCGTGCTATCACACGAATAGGGCTTGCTGCTAAACACATCCTATGCATGCGGTAATCGCAAACAGCTTAGTTTAGGTAGTTGACAAGGGAATTCTTAACAACACGGCAGTGTACGCTGTGTGGCTATTTGGGCTGGTTTGCCCGTAGCGCCCAGAGATATCTAGGAATCTCGAACGAAGTTTCGAGACGGCCCACGAAAGACGTTTCGTTGGCCAGTACGCGCAAGATAGGCGAACTGATTGACAGGATTCTGAATATGCGAGATTGACTAAAGCGCCAGGAGGCGCCAGGAGACGGGCATATGTGCAATCAAAACCTAACAACCACCGACTTCTCAAGCTAGAGACGACGGGATCTTGTAAGTTTAACCGAGTTAGGGTGCGTTACCTTGGTGATCGGATGCCGAAGCACCAGAATGTTGGTTCGATAGAGGCGATAGAGACGCGCAGACGAGCTCATCTGAAGATTGGGATAGCCAAGAACTGCAGGGGAAAAGATAGACTGACGAAGCCACGATTTGGATGATTCGGGAATAGTGACATTAGCCAATGGCGACAAAGAGATGGCGAATGAATGGGGAGGCGGAGCGACCGAGATGGAGGGGGAGAGGGGAGAGGGGAGATGATGCGTAGTGGGCACTGGGCTGCGCGACACCACATAGCATGAGCTCAGACCTCTTCTACCTCTAGTACGGCATGTACGGTATGTATGGTATGTATGGTATGTATGGCATCGTGAAATGGGTGTGGCCGGGGGGGCACATTCAGATAAAACTCTAACGCGATCGAAGGAGGGTACCTAGTTCGAGCGAAGTGGTACAATACTGCAAATACAGTCGAAAAGGGACGGATTCGCAACCTCTGGAGCAACGCAACGTCTGGTTTGCTCGAACACGCGCAGAAAAAAAATCATTGCTGCTTGCACGATTGTGTTGGCTCAGAGACTGAAAGGGCTAAAGGGCTAAAGGGCCTAGGGGACAACCGGAGGCTCTAGACTCAGACGATGCCGACCAAGATTAGGAGTGTGTCGTCTCCGTTCGTCAGCGGAGCGCGTTTGATGTTGAATTTTAGTTGCGCTGGGCAGATTTGTGATTGGACGAGCGGAGAATAATATGCAGGAAGGAGGTGCATGGACAGGGGTTATTATCCCTGACGCGTCTCAGGATCTGTAACAGAACGGCTGACCCTGGCTGACCCTGGCTTTTAACCCTTACTGGCTTAACCCTGACTAACGTTGGCTTGCCCTGGGCCGCCCCCACTTGCCTTTGAGTCCCCGAATGTCAAAAAGGTAAAGGATCCAGACTCCACCTTTTTTTTCAACTGTAACCTGGTGTCTGCTTCTGCGTCTGCGCCCGCGCCCGCACTCTGCATTCTTGAGGTATATGGAAGCACAATGTGGATGGTGAGGAAGCGACGGCACATATAGGTGCACCACCCGTAGAATAAACGTGCCGTCTACTAGGTATGTAAAGAAAGCTCTACATGCTACCTATGATATGCAGAAGCGGCTGATGGAGAACATGTATGTACTGTGTATAACTATGTATATATACCTTGGTTAACTATCGAGTTATGATGGAAATGCATTTTTAGAAACAATTTACTGGGGCGTCTGGGGTGCGTTCAGAATTATGTACCTTCGTATTGTACATAAATACCTATTACCTAGTGTAATAAGGTAAGGTACATTAGGTAGTAGGTAAGGCAACTTTTAGGCAAGGTTCTCTCAGGTTACAAGACATCATGTACATGTGTCCGGTACCTAATATAGAACATGGTAGGTATGAAGTTACCTAGGTAGGTAGGTACCCGTGGAACTAGATACACTACTATTGCCTGGACTAGGTTGTATATGGAGTGTACGCCGGTAGAATGTCCAAGCGTTGGGATTTCGGCCGCGCTGGGGGCTTTCCTGAACATACCTAAGGTACCTAATCCTTTCTCTTTGATCCTTCACCGTTACCCTCGGCCCCTCCATGTTTCGACGGACCTTCGAGAAGCAAGGTTCTACCGATACGCTATTACCTAGGTATGTATTTGTATGGTGTAATAAGTTGGTACGGTAGGTCTCTCCGAGACCCTTCATCTCGTAGCTCTTGTAGTAACGGTTTTTGTATGACGGAGCTTGATAACCCCGCAGTCCCAAATTCTTTTTTTAACAGGTTTGACAGAACGTCTAATGTCGGTTTGGGTTATGTACTAGTATGTGCGTCGATAAGCCTTACCGTTATTAATATAAATGTCAGAGATGAAAATCTACGCCTAAGCTAAAGAAGTGGCTTCCCGCATCCCACAAGGATTAACCTCACGGTTAGGCCGATAATCGAGTACATAGGTAATATGCTACGTAGGTACTTTGTATGGCTATTCTTGTAGAGCCATACTTAGATTAACTATCGGAATTATAGCTCGCGGAATTACGGACTTTTAGTGCCCATCCAAACAAGTTTTGCTTTTTACGATACAACCAACTATAAGGCTGCCTCGGAAACATTCCGTTCTCGAACCGGCAGTAATAGTAAATCGTCATTATCATATTACATATTATTGCGCGGGGAGGGGGAAGGATGGGTGATCTTCGGACCCCCAGATCAGGTACCAAATAAAGGCTTTTCGAGAATTCTTCCATATCGATGGTTATACCAAGTAATATCCCAAGAAATAATGGTAGGAACAATATTCTTGTCAGCCTGTGGGAACATTCCATGCACTTCCTCCTGCATCTGCTAGCCACCCGCGTCTTGCAGCCGTGCAGACGTTATCTCGGTTGAGGCCGGGGTTTTTAGCATAAGACGAGAAACACTCACGAAGTACCGGATAGCCCTAAGTAAGATGCGAAATGTACCTGCATTGCATATACATTAGGTGCTGGACCTAAGTATGGTTTACATATGCCAGTATGTGCCCGCTCTGTCGTAAGCAGGCTGACAAGTCCTTCGGGTGAGAACGAGATGAGATCAGGCACACTTATGCGTAGTAGGTACGGATTATAAGATGTGCATTTAATAATAATAATAAATATTAGCACGGCAGTAGTGTCGATTTGTGCCTTATACTTATCTGCCTAAGTGCCTCATTTGTATAACATAATACTGAATAATACTTCGGTTTACTGAGGTAGCATATCTTTAGGTATGGATGTGCCTGTCCTATCTATCAGACAAGTCGGCTAACAAAATGTGGCTAACGCGGGTACCTACGGTACGGCACGACCTACTTCCCTTTTCTAACTCGGGCTACCTACCTAGGTACTACCTAGGTAGGTACATAGGCACGTTAGGTATCGCGAGTATTTTACATTTTGCGCTTAAAACATATGGATAAGAAATACATTCTCACTTCAATGCAAACATCACCCAATTTTTTATTTTTATTTTACTTCGTAACTACCTTTTTTATCTCTCCAGTGGAGTTCATCGCACGTACCTAACCTAACGTATCATTCGACGCTATTCAATGTGGGAATTACACCGAGAGTCTGACCTCGGCCGCCGCATCTGGTGAGCGTCATTTTAATTAGGTTCTGCCAGATCGTGTCGTGTAAAGCGGGCAAGGGGTGGGCTCTTGGTCTTTCCATACCTACCTCTACATAGTACGTATGTTCCATATGTTCTACGAATCGTTCTATGGGGCCGCTACTATACCCCACTCCGGGGCTAGCTTACCGGGATGCGCCCGGTCTTTTTCACCCCGTCGCATAACGTTATTCACTCCATTGGGAAATTATTCAATGCTCGCTTTTACCCGTTAAACCAACCCTGCGTCCTTAAATTTAGCAACTGCTAAGGTATTTTACGTTCTGTATTAGTATATCACTTCTCCTGTCATGAAGATCGCGGGCTAAACGATGACGATGACAATGACAAGATCGCTTCCCCAGATATGTACATAGCGCGTAGACCCTCATTGGAAGATCATATCATGCATCGGACCTAGCAATCGAAACGGACGTTTAAAGAGCGCTCGGCCTATCCGAGCGTAGGTTGCATACGAGCTATAGCTATAGCTTGCATTAACGATACCTCCTAAATTTTTACACAGGTCGAATATTCGCTTTTGTAACCCTACTTCAATTAGTTGATGCTTATCCATATTGAAGTCTCTTTCAAAGACTACCTTTAATAAAATTGAAACATATAAAAAGGGGGTAGTTAGGTTACTAGTTCTTCCAGTTACATCAAGACTCATCGGACGACATATGTCATTTGTGTCATAGTATGTATATTCCCTTTTTGCAAGTTTCCTAAATATCAATGATGGAATTCTCGTCCTAGTAGAACATGATTTATAGCAGACTGCCTATATTTGAGAATGATAATGAACGTTCATTTTTTCGGTCTTTATGGAGACGTCGGCCTCTATTCCTTGCTGATCTTTTTCCAAACTTCATTTTCTGCTGCCGCGATCTTCTCTCCCGTCTGGTGAGCCCATTTCTTTGCTGCCTCCCAAACTCCACCTTCTGGGCTTTCTGTCTGAGTTTCTGCTTCACTCCGCTGGATAGCTGACCTCTGATAATCATCAAGCCCAGAAGCGTTGGAGTTCTGGTGATATCCCGGGGGGTGCTCTAGGCTATGATGAACTGGTGGATCACTTAAAGCTGTGGAACCCTGGTCGCCGTATACCGAAGTAGGTACCGGAACCGTGAATGTCCCCCGCTCTTGAGATGGGTAGGGTGCGGTAGGTGGTGGGATTGACATCTGTTGCGGATACGGTATGCTTACAAGCCTCTCACCTGCTTTAGGCGGTGGTGGTATATTTGCTCTGGGGACACCGGTTGGGATAGGGACGGCCCCAGGCTGCGGTGCTGGGGGAATATTGCTATTAACCGCGGCCGTCGCAGTTGGAAGTGAAGGTGCGGCACCAGGCTGTGCGGGTGGATAAGCCTGGCTGGACGAAGTAGGCGATGAGCTAGTTGGGGTTGGCCTCGAAGTAGTTGATGGTGGAGCAGTCTGTGGCGTCACTCCCGAAGCCTTTGTGGCAGTAATAGGACTGTCTGTATAGACTGGGATAGGGGCCATGATGAATGTGTACACCTATATTAGAAAATTGAAATATGCAGTGGTTTAAAGAATGAAAAGGAGGAACTACAATTTGTATGGTACGTTGTTAAAGTTATCGACTAATTTGGTTGGTTGTCAGAAAGATAGGTATGTGTACCAGGTAAGGTAGTGACTGGAGCGATTGATGTAGTTGAGTATCTAAGCTGAGTAAATCTGGCAGGACCAGTTTGCACCAGGTATGTAGAAACGACTAATAAAAGGAAAGTAGGGATAGATCATAGCAACCTAGCTATGTGAGTTGAAAAGCGACGTCATAGGCGTTGTGTTGTCAGGTGACTCAGCTTTCGACTTTAGCCTCTTTGTACTGGAAGAAAAGGAAATAAATAAATAAATAAATAAATAAATTAGGTAAGAAAAGCCGTTTGTTCATTATGGACAGTGTCAACAGTAATACACTAAGCCTCGTGGGTTTTTACTTTTCGAATATCCCTGTTTGTCCTTTCAAGAGAAGGTTTTAATATACACCAACAAGCTGACGCCTTATTTCCTAGAACTAATAGGCACCTACACACCTAAGGCAGACAAGTAATGAAGACTCAAGAGAATTAAAACTAAAAGAATGAGGACAATAACTCACATTAACTAGGTATGTTAAAGTAAGCAATCATTTTGTCAAACTACCAGAGGGCACGAATTGGGAAAATACTAAACAAAACATAATATTCCAGTCTAGAGATCTGAGTGGGAATTGACATATACTGGATAGGTATATGACATTGTAAGTATTGAAGTTATCGAGAGACTTTTCAATCTTATCTATGATAGGATAATCTAGCTACCGAGTTCCGCCATTCGACATAGGCACTAGGCCTAATATAGTTTAGCCCTGCTTCCGGTTCCAGAATAAATACTAGGTAAGTGCAGGTAACCTACCTAACCTAACCTAGTTACCCGCTAGAATGTTAGCTGAGTACTGGTATCACCTGAAGCAGCCGCGACTTTGATTGATTTGATAATGGCCCAAGCCGCAGGGAGAAGAGGGCAAGCTCGAAGACAAATTCACTGTAGACGTAAAATAAAATTCCACCGCGCGCCCAATATTTGTAACAATTTTTCCCATTATGTATCTGTAATCCATCCATCCATCCTCCCCCCCTTTCTTCCACTATCAACGCATCGACACATCGACGCATCAATGCTAGAACAACAAATATTCTTGTAGATGCAGCCATCATCACCACGTCCGCCATTCATCTAACCCGTAATTATGGTTGGCAAAGTCAGTGAGAAGGTCCTCCTCCGGGAAGGTCAGTTACTTGTCAATTACCTGTTATCAGCCTATTGAACCTGCGCGCATATGTGAGGCTGACGTGATGGATACAAAGGACTTGAACGAACCGACAATGGCATGAAGCAGACGAGCTGGCCCGATGTCACGCCAATCAACCAAAAGAACTATTACACGTACGCGACACCTTCGATACATTTGTTTACTATGTTTGGTGGAGTCTCGAGGCTGATTGATATCTTCTACTACTTCCCAGTGATTACATGAAACGCGATGACCAAGTTCTAGCCCTTCGATTACAGGCCGAGGCGAATAGAGATAGACTCGTCCAGAGCGCTAAAGACCGCGATCGTGCCCTTGCGCGCAACGGACATGCCGAAGTACCACTACCAGTCTCCGACATCCAACCAGATGATGCTGCTCCCTCCGTTAGCGAAGGCTTGGACCCTTCCAAGGTGATTGTTATACATCCGGGAAGTCAGAACCTTCGAATAGGGTTTGCTAGCGATGCCTTGCCTAAGACTATACCTATGGCGATTGCCACCAGATTTCCCCAGACCGAATCCGAGATGTACGAGGCTCTTCCCCGCCGGCAGTTCGAAGCTAAAACTCTAGACCAACAATACGGCGAGGAATGGTCTAAGAAGTACCAGAAGATGTCCAATGATCTCAAGGTGGATATGCGATCCAGGAAGCTTAGAGTGCTACCAAATTCGAAAGAGTTGGTTGTAAATCATAACAGACGAGTTGAACCAAAAGAGATATCGTTACATAACGACGCTCTTCAAATCGAATGGACCGACGTCAACGCTCTTGAAGATCCCAACTCGTTAGCTTCGTGTTTTATAGGCCAAGCAGCTCAGCGTATTCCCGACGACTCGAACCCCAAATTCAAATTGTGGTGGCCGATGCAGCATGGCTGGCTGAACGAGGACGACTACACGACTGCCGAGCACCTATACGACGATTTCGAGACTCTCTTAGACAAGGCTATCAGACAGGAGCTTGGGCTAACTAGGAATAGCGCATGGAAGAATTATAGCTGTGTCTTTGTGATTCCCGATCTGTACGACAAGAAGTATGTCGAACAAATTCTCAAGTCATGCATGACGTGGTTCGAATTTAGTCGGATATGCTTCGTTCAGGAGAGCATGGCCGCGACATTCGGTGCTGGATACACACAAGCATGTGTAGTTGATGTCGGGGCTCAGAAGACCTCGATCGCCTGCGTTGAAGACGGGCTTTGTGTCGAGGACTCTCGCGTTAATCTCAAGTACGGCGGCTATGATGTGACGGAAACGTTCATGAAGATGATGCTTTACGATAATTTTCCTTACCAGGATATTAATCTCAGGAGACGATACGATTTCCTCCTAGCCGAGGAACTAAAAATCAAATATTGTACGATGAACCAGAACGATATTTCAGTACAACTCTATAATTTCTTCCTGCGCACTCCTAATCGGCCGACGCGCGAGTACAGCTTCAAGACGTACGATGAGGTGCTTCTTGCCCCGATGGGTTTCTATGAGCCGTCTATCTTTGATAATTCGGCCAAAATACGCAGTCGGCGCAAGCTGGTCGACCGCTCTTATAATGCGTACGACGTTGACGTACCCGACGACCCCGTCTCCGCAGCGCAGACCGCGATTCTTGCTCTTATCAAACCTTCTGTGGTCTCTAATGCCAACGGTTTCCAGCCCTCATCTCTCGACCCTAACGTCGCCACACCCATGAAGGAGAAATCCCAACCTTTTAACTTCCTCAGGGGCGAACTTAACAACGGAACGCCAGCCGGTTCAACTGCGGCCTCTCCGGCCCCCGAAGGGGCCGCAACCCCCATCCCACCGACCTTCCACTTCGGCGCAAACGGCACAGTAACAGGGACTGGTAGCCCGGCACCAAATGGGACATTTACCGCGCGAAACGGGGCGTCCCCGGCACCGCCAGCAGGCATGTTTGTGGACTCGGCGGCACGCAGCGCGAAAGCGCTAGCCGCGGAGCGAGACTCGGTGCTACCCGTGGTACCGCTCGACATCGCGATCCTGACGAGCATCCAGAACGCGGCCAAGGGTGACGACAAGAAGCTGCGCGACTACATCGGCAGCATCATGGTGGTGGGAGGGGGGTCTAAGACCCCGATGTTCACGCAGGTGCTGCACGATAAGCTCAAGGCCCGCCGTCCCGAGCTCGCCGACCGCGTGCTTATCACGCACTCGGCCCGCGACATGGACGAGCAGGTCGTCGTCTGGAAGGGCGCCAGCGTCTTCGCCAAGCTCCCCGCCAACGACTCCTGGATCACACCGTTCGAGTTCGAGCGGCTGGGCGCCAGGGTACTGCATCATAAGGTCCTTTGGGCTTGGTAGTTGCTGCTGGTTTGGGGTTGGCTTCGGGTTTCGCGATGCGTGTGAGCAAGAAAGAGGAGGAGGAGAAGGAGGAGAAGCAAGAGGCTGGATTTGATTGGATTGAAGCCCCTAATAAGTGCCTATCTAACCTAACCTACTTCAGGTCGGTACTTAATGTAGAGAAGACGAGTGCTGGAGGGATAAACGTAAACATTCTTACCTACCTCTAGGTAGGAGGTACCTATACATAACGTAATACGCGCAGTCGTGTCTTGCGTCGAAAGGCGATACTTTCGACGGAGGGGGATGGGGAAAATAGTAATTGTTTATTTGACCATACTTTGTCTCTCTGTCTCTCTCTTTCTCTCTTTCTCTCCTAAGTTGGGAATCGAGAGACTAGAGCTAGGAGTCGGTAGGAGAATTTTTTTGTATGGCGTTGGCGGTGGCTTTAATCCTCCTCTCCTCTTTTTCTTTTAGATAGGAAAAAAAAAGAGAGAGGGAGGGAGGGAGGATTAAGTGAAGATTTGTTTGAGAATTACATTAGGCACCTACATACCGATGAGAAATGCTACCTGTTGGTGGCTACTTGAAAAAGGGGAAAATAAAAAACAAAAAAAAGTTCCTGACTACCTCTTATATGCTTACCTCATGTCTGTCGTCTAAGGTGCTAGGAGTTTAGCCTACGATGAAAGGGAACGGGAAAGGGAAATGGGACGACAAGCTGGTATGTTTACTTACAACTCGATAGAAGGTACCTACTAGGTAGGGCCTTAAGTAACAGGTACGAAGTGAGAATATGTGAGAAGTCTGTAATTCGCCTAGAATGAGTAAGTATAATTTTCGGAGTAAAAAAAGCAAGTTGTATTAATTAGACCCTAAACGCTCGTCTGCATATCATTAAGAGATGGCAGTCAATAGACGAAAATTGCCTGGTACCCAGTTATGCCAATCCAGCAACCTCTTCCGTATTATCAAAAATGAAAGTACACCAATGTCACGCAGCACAGCTTTTCTTTGTTTTCTTGCGGGAGCCAATAACAGCTAGAAAGATGTCATCAAGGACACGTTAAATTACTGTCGTCAAATGCCAGCGATCCTGCTCGTGAACATGTATCTATCTGGCCCTCCCCCCTGACATTAAAAACATGGCGTGGACGTTGAATGTTACATCACCTCACCTACATTGCCCCCTTATCGTTATTGCCCTTCTCTGCTCAACCCGAAAAGAGAAAAAAAAAAAAAAGAAAGAAAGAAAGAAAGAAAAAAACACATATACAGAATATGTAGTTTCTGTGTTTTCCTTGGGTATCTCATTCTTTGCGCAACGAGGGGAGTCCGCCTAAACGCCGAAAGCCCATGGATTGGCGGCCCAAAAGTAAAAATCGGAAACGAGGAGATACTGAAACTGAAAGTCGGCCAGGGTATTATTATCTTGAAGTTGCAAAGGTTCACTTAAAAGGAGTTTTGGGCGAAGGCTGGACAGCAGATGAAGAGCCCGCAGGTGGCTGTACCAATGGAGACGGCATGCGTCCATGTCTAGACACTGCATCAATAGCCCAGTTAGGTAGACGAGGATTGGCAGAGGAAGACTGCTTCGCCTTTCTATTCTCGATAACAGTTTCCAACGCCGCCTGATCATCTAGTCGAAGAGGTTTACGTCGGCCAGAACCTGCCTCCTTGGAAGTAGCTGACATCTGGCGAAGAGCATATTGGAGATGCTATCATTGGAAATACATGTTAGTTGAATGTTATCATGCGGGGGTTAATGGGTCGTCCCTACTTCAGGATCTGCCTCTGATTGGCCACCTGCGACGGCTGTCTGTCTCTTCCATTCTGCCTCGGTCAATTCGTCCCAACTTCGACGTTTTGCGGCAATATCATGTGGCTCCATATTGGCTAGCTCAGTAGTCGACACAATGCTTACGCAGATCGCTTCGACAAATCGCGAGGAGGAAGCTGCTGTCATTATTGCCCATGCTACCTGGCCATGCTGCCCGCGAGGGTACTGTTCCCAAAGTGCTTCTACAATAGCAAGCGCAGCACATTGTTTCTGTTCCTGGTTAAACGGGGCACTGCTCAGTGTGAAAAGTCGCATCAGCTCTCCCCTAAAAGCTGGCTCGCTATCCCAATTGGCGAAGTGATCAGCCGTGACATGACCCGAAGTTTGTGGCGGCTGCCGAATGTGCGTAGTAGCCCCTTGAATTGGCTGTAGAAGGGCTTGCTGATATGAGACAGCATTATCTTGTGGTGGGTTTGCGGCCTGTGGGGTGTTAGATTTCTCATTGGGCGGTACGTCCGAGACTTGACCATTTTGAGCCTCGTTGTATAGTTTAGGAGGTGGTAGTCCAGCGCCGCTAGTTTCGTTCAGGCGTCCGCCCAGGTTCACGGGAACAGGATACGAAGTCGGATTGGTTACGCCTGACCTACGAGCTTCATTTTGGGCAATTAATCGAGCAGCATCCGCGCGGTCTTCATCTGTCAAGACAGCATCTTCGAGTTCTTCCTCCTCAAAAGTGTCCATCATCGTGATGGCTCTAATGCCGGGCCTGTGAGCTTCAATGACTTTGTCCAAGACACTGTCTTTGCCAATATGTATGTCAATGTTTTGCTGCTCGGGTTCCGTTGGCATCTCGAATGCATGGCCAAAACCCTGGGCTTTGGGGATGGGGTTCTTCTTGTCGACAACTCGAGAAGCTAGTTGTATCTTCCATATTGCCATGTTCATTGCCTTCTCCTCGGACGTACCCCCAGTAATCAAGCGGTACACAAAGACTGGCTTCTGCTGACCAATACGATATGCACGCCCGACCGCCTGCTGTTCATTCTGAGGGTTGAATTTGACATCAAAGATAATAACTCGATTCGCCCTCGTCATGTTGAGGCCAACACCGCCAGCTTTGGTAGAGATAAGGAACACGTCGATTTGGCCCTTATTGAATTCCTTTACGACAGATTGCCGTTCGTCTGTCTTGGTTGACCCGTCAATCCGCTTAAAGGAAAATTTCTTCATATTGAGAACAGCCTCAATGTAATTAAGCGTAGGAATGGACTGGCTAAAGATGAGAACACCGTCATTGATGCGCTTGCACTCGTCGAGAATGGAAAGTAGTATTAGGATTTTCCAAGACAGCGCATATGCAGCTAGGTCCTTTGTCTTGTTCAAAAGCTGAATCTCGCTGCTGATAAGCTTGTCGGGCAGAGTCTCCATCTTCGTAGTCGACTTTTTAGAAACCGGGTCCCGATTCTGCAACTTCTTCATAAAGATCGATGGGTGGGCACAGAGGATACTCAACGTATCTATAGAAGCTAAGGAACTCGTTCCCGGGTGGTCCAATTGGTAGAGGATGAAAGTTTCATACGCCTCTCGCTGCACACTGGTAAGAGGCACAGTTAAAAGGAATTCCATCTTCGTAGGTATGTCGTGCTTCAGCGCTGCGATTGTTATTCGCTGAACTTTTGGCGCGACTTCTTGCTTAAGTACCCTTAGCATCTTCAAGGCCATTCTGCGCTGGCCCGTCGTACTATCTGCCTTTAGCCCCTCCCCGATGGGGTTCGCATAGATCTTTTTGAATTCGCCAATGTCAGATAAGTAGTTCGGGGCGATCCAATTAACCATGGAATGGTATTCTTCGACCCTGTTAGCCAGAGGAGAACCGGTCAATGCAATCCGGCTCAAGGTTTTGAAATTTGCAGCAGCAATGTTGGTTTGCGCCTTCGGGTTCTTCATTATATGCGCTTCGTCGGCTACGACGAGGCGGGGCCCGTCGCATAACACTTCTTTGAAATCTGGGCTCTTGATATAATCTTTGAAGAGGTTGTATCCAATAATGAGGATGCCACCTCGTTCATCCCACAAATCAATATTCGCATCGCGTTGGGAAGGAATTGTTGACTGATCAACTTTGAAAAACTCCCCAAGCCCGTGCCCTTCGGGTGCCCAATTGAGCAATTCGTCCATCCAGTTATCGACGAGCGAAGGGGGGCAGAGAACGAGTGTCTTCGACTTCCTAAGGCCCTTAGGTATCTGAGAGGAGATGGTATTATCTTCAGATGCTGCCGCTTGTGCGATCGCCACTAAGAGGGTGACAATTTGCATCGTCTTTCCGAGACCCATGGTATGAGCAAGTAGGCAACCTTGCTTTGCTCCAGAGGCAACAATCTGATTCCACATGAATCTGACCCCGCGTACTTGATGCTCCTTAATCCGCCGTGCAATCTCAGGATGGATGTAAATAAATCCTTGATCGTCTTCCTTGCTCTCGTTGATTATCATCTTTGTCTGATCAAGGTCCACCACACCCTGAGCGTCAAGATCCATTAATTTGGCGCGGAGCACTTTTTGCCGACGTTCTTGTTCCGCCGCCCGTGCTCTGTCGTTCTCCCTCAAGCTTTCTGCCTCTTGGTTTCGAACTACTTTCTTACGTCTTTTCTGCTTCAAAGCGGGTTCTTCATCTGTTAGCTCCATATCAATCTTCTTCCAATCGAAGCGATCAGACAAGCGGCGGAGGAAGTCCGCATAAGTGCCGAGCTTATCCGCCTGGGTCCCTGCGTCTTGTACTTTCTTCATTACATCATCATGGCTCAGCTTCTTATACCGGACTATGGAGTAAGGGACGCCATCTCGGAATATTTCAAACAAACGGAGCATTGTGAATGCGGCAAATACGTTTTTCTTTTCAGGGGTATCGTAAGGGGACTTCGGGAGTCCTCGCTCTTTCAGCTCACGAGATAAGAAATTCAACCAGGCTTTGCCTGATTGCTTCCCCATAGTTGCCGAAAAGATGAACGATAGATAGCCTTCATGTTGCCTGGCTAACTCTCGAGCCACCATTTCTTCAGCAGGTTCGAGGTCTTCGATGCTCATGTCGAGTGGCGATTTCTCGACAGGTTGACGCAGTTTTCCTGGCTTAACAAGTTTTATGCTGGGAGAGCCTTTGGAAGCCGAACTAGGTTTGTCGGGAGTCGTGAGATCTATTACATGATGCTCTCGAAATTTAGCTGGCGTTTTAGGGTCAATGTTTGCCTCCAGTTGGGTAAGATCGATCGTTTCCGTTGGTTCAGTGTCCATAGGCATCTCGTCTTGACTACTCTCACGACGATGACTTCGTCGTCGTTGTACCGGGGAGGGGCTGTCTTTAGCAATTGACATGGGCGAATCACTACGAGATGCACCATGTGGCAAAGGATCATCGATAACGAATTCGTCTTCAAGCTCATTCTCGGATTCGCTCGTCAGTATTTCTTCATCCTCAGAACCAGTAGAAACTAGCTTTGGCTGTCGACGGGGTTTAACGGCAGTCTGAGGCGGAGCTGAGAGCTTTTCAGGTTCGGCCGGGGCAGTGATGACTTTGAGTACCCAGGAATAATATTCCCTATCTTCTACACTCTGCTGAAAAATCAAGGTGTTCATTTTCAACTCAGCTTTTTTATGCCAATGCTGACGGGTCATCTCTTTACAATATTTGGCTATACGGGATTCGCATGCCTCGAGATTATTGCGGTTGTTGTCTATCGACGTCTTTAGGCCAGCCCGTCGAGCGTTCCACCAAATTTGATTAGATTTGTATAAGAGCTTAGAAGCCTTGCGCTCTCTCCAGTCGGATGCGAATTTCTCAATAGCATCGTCGATGACGGCTTGGACTTCGCTGCTAGATAGACCATGTCGGTCTGCCTGGTTGAGCCGTTCGGTCTCTATTTCGGCCCAGGTGTCCGAGTCGTATTCCTCATCTGAGTCTCCATATAAAGGTAAGACTTCATCGTGATCTGGATTGTTAGCACCAGGTACCATATCCAGCTTGGTAGCGTAGGGAAGCCGAGGCTTTCTATTCCGCAGCATTCGACGCTTGAGAAGCTGGTTGATCTGTAGCTGGCGGCCACGCGGCAGTCTCCTGTCTCGAACGAATGTGAGCTGCTGCTCTTGTTGCAAGGCTTCCTCCGAGAAAGGTTGGGCAACGTCGAGCATTTCAACGATATCTACTCTGGTGACCGCATCCTTTCCAAGGTAAGCACAAATGGAATCAGCCATATCATCATGATCTGGAAGATCAAAATTTGTTGACCTGGATGCTATAATCACGTCCGCTTCTGTGGGAATATTGCGTGTAACATTAACATCGATCTCGTTTGAAACGAGCACAGGTGCTAATCTTCGTTTCTTAATAGGTGTATCCGGTAAGGTGGTACCCGTTGAGTGGGATTCCTGGGTGGAGAAAGTAGGCTTCATTGGTGCCACTTCTCGGTTGTCATCCTCTCTTGCTTGGTCTTCGTCATCTCGAGCTTCAACTTCCGAGTGGCATCGTTTCTGATACAGTCTATACTGCTTACTACGAGTTCGGAACGACTCGACGATGTGATAGAATATCGACTTATGTTTCGTGATCTCGATGCATAGGTCACGGCAAAGGCCGGAACGATGATATGTGAGAAGTGTATGGCCATCAATTTCATGCTTCCTTAACAAGGGTTCAAGCTTCTCCGGGGGCAAGAACTTCACGGGAGCAGAAGTTGGCGGCTTCCAAGATCGATCGGTCGAGCAAAGCTCCCGAACCACCTTGTCAACATCCCAGTCCCACGGATCGTCGTCCATTGTCACTCAGATCATATCACTAGGTGGGATCAACGAAGGAGATGAATAGAACTCTGAGGGTCGAAGGTATATCAGCATCGCACATAGTTGATCACTACGTGACAATATGAAAGGATAGATAATGAGATGGTAAAGGAGAGAAACCAAGGGTTGGTAGGTAGGGGTTTGGTAGTGAACTCCAGCCTTAGAAAAGTCCCAAAGGGTTTCAAAAAGGAAGCACAGAATAGCAGCGATATGGAAGGAACTCTCAAGGCCAGAATCCAAAAAGAGCAAAGGATGTGACTTCTTCTTCTCGTGGGTGAACCCATACATATGGTAGTCTATAGAGAAACCGGAAGGTATGAAGCTATTAGGGACACTGAATGAAAGATGGTAGTAACTTACAGTGAGCAGGCCTTGGATCTAAAGGATAGATCAACGAACGTGAACTTGTAGAGATAGAGATGTTGAAAGCTTGTAAAAAGGAAACACAACACGCCCAAGGCGTTCGAAAGAAGGCTAGATAAATTGAGGCATGAGTAAGGAGAAAAATGAGAAAGATGCACGAGAGGCAGGCAACGAGAGGCAGGCAACGGGCAGTCAAGAAGGTGAAGGGGGGGTGAAGGGGGGGTAGGGGTCATGTCGAGTATGTAGCTGCATGCAGCATACAAAACCTATGTGATGATATGAAGTAGAAAAAAAAAAAAAAAAAGAGGGAGAGAAAACACACGAAGATAAGAAAGAAATAAAAATAAAAGTCTTACAATATGTTTTCAGACGTGAAAATACACCACCTTGCAGCAGACTCTCTACTGCACGTGTAAGGTGTATAAGTGATCTGTGTGTTAGGAGATGTGAAATTTAGATCCCAGTCAAGAACGAAAAGAATGAGTTGGAAGGTAGGTAGGTGAATAATTAACAGACAATCATTAGCGGCATTTAGATACCTACCTACCTAACCAAGGTAACAGCTTGGGAAGGCTTGAATGAAGGTAGGTAGAACCTAAGGACTGGATAGGGTGTATGCAGGAAGTAGCAAGTAGCAGGTACGAGTTATGGCCATCATTCTTGCCTTTTTTTTTCACCCCCGGTTTCCTAAAATAAAGATTCAGATGTTTCACCGGTTAGGAGATCGTACAACAAGAACCTAAGCAGTTAGTTACTTGCGTCTTAAAGATGTCTTAGGGCATTATGGTTATGATATATATATAGGAAGGTAAAGGACATATATAAATAAAAAGGACAAGTACATACCTAATTTGTAACATACCTGGGTATGTACGAGACGACGATAACGGCAAAGGTCTTTACATGAGAGGGTATTTATATGCTTGCCATAGGTAGATCCAACAGGTAAGAAGTGTCCCGCATTTCGACATTTTGGAATACCTGCACGACGCGAAGGAAGGCCCACTAAAAGACCATTGTCACGTGATTGTACAAAATGATAGTTTCCTTAATTGATTTATTTGATTAATAAGATAAAATAAATATTTGTTTAGCAAAGAACTAGCATACGTAATTAATATATTTAATTTATTACATTTAAATATGCAAGCACTTGCTTTAGGTACACATTATGTAAGTACATACCCTGAGGTATCATGTACATGTAACGTAAGTACATATCAGTAGTAGTCAAAGGTATTCACTGAATTTTTAAGTAGTTTGCTTTGGAAATATACCTGGTTAGGTAGTTTCGAATAATTCTGAGGCCGGCAAGCATCTACTCCAAGCTCCGCAGTCACGTCATCTACCTAGACCCTTCGGACTAAAATCGATTTTAAATACCTCTTCGAGCGGGGTGTATTCTTTAGCGAGGATTGACTCGATTCGAATATATGCAATGTGTGCACGTGGGATATGTGTGGGATATGTACAATCCCCGGAATGCGCCGCGCATATATCGAGTAGATCCACGATAGAAGCTAGTTGTACTAGTAGCTGTTACAACTCCTATTTCTAAGCAATGATTGATTACATATTACATATATATGCTCTTGACCAAGTCTGATTACACCCTGCCCTAAAATAGGTTTCTGCGGTTTGCAGCCGCTTTTAAATATACTTAACTACCTAGGAGTAAGTTCGTCTCGGGAATGTAAAAATAGACGCTAATAACCAGATATAGTAAGATCCTATAACAAAGCATTGTGCTAGCAGACACTTCCGCAACATCAATCTAAAGTCGCCAACTATCACGCAATTTAGGCATGTCCAACTATCCACCTGAGATCACGCCTAGTGAAGGCGAAAGGTTGACCGAAGTCGTCAAGGACTGGGCGCTAGCCCATGGCCTGACCGTTCGACCACCTCCGGCTGTAGTCGCTGCCGAAGCTGATCCCGCAGGGATACTCGCCACCGCGGTTCCCGTTACTCTTTTCCCGAGCCCCTTTCCTAAGGTGTGCTTCGACCAGGGAGTTGCGGTTCAGAAGGCTTATAATGAGCTGTACGCATCCATTAGCCAGGATGAGGAGTTTCTGGCTCAGGTTGTAAAAGAGTACGTATAAAAGGACTTGAGTGCATATATCCGCCTGCTTTGAGATCATGGCCTAATCAAGTGTAGGATCGGAGATAGCGATGACTTTATAACGGAATTATGGAAAGTTCACTTAAGAGTCAAGGAGGAGGGTTACGTACAGGTAAGTCAATCAGATGAAAAGTACTTCCTATATTAATGTCTAAACATGGCTCACTCCGTATTACAGCATAAAAGTCTCGGTCTCTTCAGATCGGACTACATGGTCCACCAAGATGCTACTGGGTCTACTCCGCAGATCAAGCAGGTAGAGTTTAACACCATCGCATCCTCGTTCGGAGGCCTATCGTCGCAAACCTCATTACTCCATAAGTTAGAACCCGCTTTCATCCCGAAATACACAGTACTAAGAACTTTCTAGATACCTATCCTCTACGGAGTATCCATTGCTAGAAAACGCGATAGGAAGAGGGACTGTGCAATTACCAGAAAATGGTAGCGCTGCGGGCTTAGCTAGTGGCATAAAACAGGCCTTTATCGAATACGGACCTTCGTCTACTGGCCATCGGAAGTGCGTCATCTTCCTCGTCCAAGGGGGCGAGAGGAACATCTTCGACCAGCGTCATCTCGAATACGAACTCCAGAAATCGGAAGAGCCGCTAATTCCCGTTTTCCGTCTACCATTTTCGGAAATTCTACAGCACACGACTATTGCTGAGGGTGCAGGCCGTCAGTTGTTGTATCGACCACCGCAGCTACCTTCCCAAACGTTTGAAGTTGCTGTCATATACATGCGCTCGGGATATGGACCATCAGACTATCCGGATCAATCTGCCTGGGAAGCTCGTTACCATCTGGAGAGATCGGCTGCGATCAAATGTCCCACGGTATTGACCCAAGTTGCCGGGACGAAGAAGGTGCAGCAGGTCCTAGCCACACCCGAGACGCCATCAAACCCCTCCATTCTACCACGCTACATATCCAAGGACTCCGCGTCTATCTCCGAGCTCGCAAACACCTTTACCAACATCTACCCTCTAGACGAAACAGAAGCCGGACTCAAAGCCCGGAAGATCGCCGCCGATCCCGAGCTGTGCAAAGGCTACGTCCTCAAGCCCCAGAGGGAAGGCGGCGGCAACAACACCTACCGCTCCGCGATCCCGCCGTTCCTGAAGTCCGTTCCGGAGACGCACTGGCCGTCGTATATTCTCATGGAGCTGATCACCCCGCCTCCCGTCAGGAACACGATCTTGCGCAACGGCAAGCTGGAACAGGGCGGGGTTATTTGCGAGCTCGGCATATATGGAACCTGCATCTGGGATCAGCAGTCCAAGGCCATACTCCATAACGAGAGGGCCGGATATCTTCTGCGCACGAAGGGAGACCAGAGCGAGGAAGGCGGCGTGGCTGCTGGGTTTGGTTGCATGGACAGTTGCAGCTTGGTCTGATGTGGACGTGGGATTAGGGTTGGTTCCAGTTATACATAGCATTTGTTTCACATCATCTAAGACATTAGACATTAGAAGTGGTCAATGAATACAGTTTTAGATCAGCTCAGTTCGCTGGGTAGCATCCGAGTCAGCACTTTATTAGAAGTGCTGTGCTGTTACTGTTATCTCAAGCAACAAAAGTCGAAAGAAAAAATGTGGCGGTCATCGATAGACATTCATGAATCATTTAGGCACCGCTATCCCAATTCATTTCTCCAGGAGCCAAAAGCAGTATACTACAGGGGGCATATTGTATATGGTCATGCCAGACAATGTACGGGTGAAAGGGACATCATTAACACACATTTGGTATCAAGTCCTGACGTAGCAATATCGTACAGTAACGTTCCCCAAGCGTAGTCCCATCATTAGAGGTAGGCATCAAACAGTTCTCTTGCGCGCGCGCCCGTAGTGGAGAGCTCTCTAGCCCAAGATCATACCACATGTTGGTGCGATCAGCGTGATTTTAGGCCTTCCCAAGTCTTTTTTCGATTCTGAATTTTTATTTTATTTTCATACATGATTGATTGATATATATAAGGCAGGTTAACCTGCGGTAGGAGTTGGTTTGCGGAGAACCTCGAGGTTTCCTGTTTAAGTTTTCTCTTTAGCATTTAAGGCCAAAAACGAGATAGGGGGGGGAGAGGGGGAGAGGGGAGGGGGAAGGCGTTAATTAAATTATATCATACTTTGGTAAATTCTCAAGGAATTTCGCGACTTGCCCTCGGCGTCAGTGTAGGTGTTCATGACGGCATCACCCTCGACGTAGACGGTAGATCTGTCGCATCTTATGTCAGCTCTCCCTTGTCTCGTCTCCACTCCACAATAAAAGAAAGAAAAGGAAAAAAAATTGCGGCACAAGTAGATATATAATTCCCATTTGAGGCTGACATGCGTAACCACTAAACCAACCACATCCCAATCCAAGCAATTTCTTCTATAGTCTCTCCCCCCCGGCCGTAGAATATATATAAAAAAAAACACATACCCTTTAGGCAGGTTGGCCAGGAATTCCCGACGGGGACCTTCATCGACAAAAGCGGAGACCCTGAACCAGCTGGTCTGGCGGTTTTCCTTGGGGCCGTAGTTGCTTGCGACAGAGTACTCAACGACGTCGCGGCCGGTGCTAGTAGCCTTGATCTCGGGGGACGCAGCGAGGTTGCCGACGATAGTGATCTTGGCGATATCGCGGCGGGCGGAAGCGCTGAAGGCGCGGGCGAGGCCTGGGGCGGCAGCTGTGGCTCGGCGAGCGAGGAAAGACATGTTGTTTGTTTTTATATGGGGGGGGAGGGGGGGGGGGGTCAAATTGAGTTGTACGAAGAACCGTTCTGTGTTTTTTTGAGGTAAATGTTCGTTTGCGGTAGGAGCCGGGTTTAGTTGAACTGCAGGAACGGATTGAGAAAGATTTGGAGTTGCGCGTTGCCGAATATCGTTAAGTTCGCGATTGCTGGATTTACTTACCTATGTACCTGACGCGCCGGAAATTAGATAGCCCTAATCGCTAATTCTAATTGGTTGGAACGTCGTGGGGTTACGGGTATGGCAGGACTTGATTATTGAATTTATCGGATATTATACCAGGCTGTTTGATAACTTATAATTGCATTTATAAACAACCATCCATTATGCCTCTCATAGGGATATTGGTAATGAATAAAAGAACAGACTAAAGTAATAAGGATCCGCATATATTTACCTAGTATCTTAGGTATTTACTAATACAGAAATACAGAATCCGAGTTGACAATCCGTCTACTACTTATATTACAGTAGTAATTAGAGTAGTGCTAGAAAACAGCACCAAGGTAAAACATGATTATCTAACTTCCCATGTGTATGCTATGTATTTCATATCCGGTTAGGTATCCAGGAGAGTATGTATTTACATAACTGTAATTCAGTGTAGGTAGATACGGTCAACAAGAATCTAATAATCATTGACACCAGACTACCACTACAGGGGATAACAAGCTGAGGTTGTAATAACTCACCAAAGTTCAGTAATATCATAATTCCATATAAGATATCCATGTAGCCACCGGACATCATACCTAGTCTGGATCTTGCCACGGGATAATAAAGACAATCCTACCCCTTCGGCTCTAATTTCACGATAAAAACGGTTACTTCTTCACGGCTTATATCACATAAGCTCCAGTGTTTGTGAAGAATTGGACAAGACAATACCATACATCAAAGACGAATCTAGGGCTAGCCTTGATCGAATACTTGTGACCCTGTAGGACATGTAAAGAAAGCACGAAATTCATTGTGAGTAGGTGTTCTCTTGGACGTTAAGAATACACAAGATCTTGCTACGAGGTGTCTTGTTACATAAAGCAGAGGAAAATTAACTGATGACAGGTTGATGCTCTATGCCTTTAGCAGCTCATAGAAACAATCTTTCGATGTTCAAGTTTCTTGCCATCAGCACTAGCGAACATGGCTAAACTCCATAACTCTCACCCCCTACTAGATACTGAAAACGTAAATACACCTAGGACAATGGTGAGTTAAGCTGAAAGGTACTTATGGTCCAGCCAAACTGTATTCTTATCCTATTCTTCCTTTCCTACAGCATGTGTTATTTACATGATATTTGTTGGCTTTAGACCATTGTTATATGATGTATTAACATCTCGATTTTGCTGTCACGGTCCCAGGACGCTTGAAGTAGATGTCTATCAAAGGCAAATCACCTGTCGACGAGCTGCCTTTTCACAGACAAGTTGTATTACATATGAAGCCTCCTCTATGCTTTGTAGTTTACCATAGATATGCCTAGGTAGTTGACACCATCGTGAACTTAGTTAAGCCTAATAAAGGGGGCGGGTCACTACTCAGTCGTCACACACACAGAATCCTATCTTCCATCATCTCAACAATTCCTCTATGGCTCTAATTTGTAGTACCTGTCTCTAGGAAGGACTGTCATAAACAAGACAGGAATATCCACGATACACTCCGCGTCTGGAATACTAATGGTTGACCCGCCTTGTGCTCCAGACCCACGCCCCTTTCCCTACCACCCCTCTATTAGTATTCACTACCTATCCCTCATGCACCCGCCTTGAGTGGTTGTCTGCGAGATAACAACCTCTTTCCCCGTAAGTTCTACCAGCCCAAGGCAGCACAGTTGGAGCAGAAGTATCCGCTCTTACATGCGGTCCAAGTGTCTGCTTGCGCAACAGTAACCAGAGTGAATAGTTTCTGTGACCAAATTTCTCAAGCAGGAGCTGCGAATTCCCTTTACTCTGCTTTTCTTTTCCCTTCTCTCAAACATACTATTATTACATCATCAGCCTCTTCTTGTCATCCAATTCCTCCCTTCTCATCCAGGCTCAGGGTCTTGGTCAAGGGTTTCGAAACTCCTGGTAAGTCTCCTAATATCAAAACATTGATGAAGCGTGACATGTACAACACTGCAAAGAACATAAGATGAAGAAGAACTTACCAATTTTATTTAGCATTACCAGCTAGAATTAGGCCTTCTAACTTCTCTTCAGCCTATTTGGCACCACAAAACAGGTGGCAGTAAGCTACTTCTCTACGGCGTGATGTCTATCATGATCAGACTAGCATTTGCGATCGCCTTTCTGGCTTTCGCGACCGCAGCCGCTTCTGATCAGAATGGCTCATCAGCCGTGGATTGGAAGCATACGCCTGATGTCAAACTTCAAGTCAATCTCGTATTTCGCGTACTCTTTGCCATCCTCGGTACTGGGCTCTGTTGGCCTCCGCTTCGAGCCATGTGGCGCCATCGTGACATCCCGGGCGTTACACTCATCGTAGTCGTCGGCATCATGAATCTGTTCACCGTTCTGAATTCGATGATTTGGAGCCATGATAACTGGGACGACTGGTGGGACGGCCAGGGCTTCTGTGATATACAGATATATCTAGCGATGCCGTTGAGGACCATCTACGCGGCTACGATATTCGACACCGTGTACGAGTTGTCGCGCAAGTTCGACCTCAGAAGAGCAGTGGTACTCAGTCCTCAGGAACGGAGAAATCGAGTGTGGAAACAAGTTGCCATCATCTTTGTAGCCCCTGCCGTCCAGCTGGTCATGACGTACTTCATCACATCACAGCGGTACGAAATCGGCACTCTTGTCGGCTGTACTGCTGTGTACGACGATAGCTGGCCCACGATTCTACTGGTCGATGTGCCCATTCCGGTCTACGTGGTATTAGCTATCCCGTATACTTGTGAGTACATAACCTATAAGACAACCAAGAGTCCACCCCTTAAGTCACAGAGAAGCAAATGACTAACAAAGTATGCGTATAGTCTACGCTTACTTGCGCTTCAGACGGTACTCTAAAAGAAGCAGATTGGCAATCGAGTCTAACAGCGCTTCGGCATCTCGTCACATTCGACTACGTCGTCGCTTATACAATGTCACGGCATTGATCATGCTCATTTATGGCCCGATCTCTCTCTTTCTCCTCGGCGAAAACATTCGCATGGCAGTGAATTATCCGCCTACCCCGTATGATTTCGAGCGAATACACAGCAACACCCAGCAGTATCCGTGGAACTCCGTCATCTTCACGCCGTCTTGGGGTATCAACTGGCTGGAGATGAACCAGGCGTGGTTTTCCATCCTGACGACCGTGGCCATCGTCGCTTTCTTTGGCACCAGCGAGGAGTGTTCCCCCGTGTACTGTAGATACATGACATGGCTGGGTTTGGGGCGCTGCTTCCCGAGTCTTCGACTGCAAGCGGCTTCTGCTCCTCCCGAGCCCGGAGAAGATGAGCATCCTGACGACTTACTTCGTCACGGAATTGAGCTTGTGGAAATGGGAGCCGGAAACGGGGTAGTAGTAGCCGAGTAAGTATTTCCTTGTCTCTTCTAGTGACACAGGGCTTCATAGAGTGAGATGCTAACCGACTCCTGATCCTACAGGCGAAATATGCCCCCTTACTCCCATGAAGAACCCGGCTCGGAGCCTGGCTCAGAGAACGGCTCAGACAACGACACAGACGAGATCCTATCTTCGCGCCCGATGACACCGCAGCGAACCTTACCACCGCCGTCGATATCTACGTCTCCAACGGTATCCCTCTCCCAATTCCCGATGCCCCCGCTGCGCCGCCCCTTACCCATGCCCGTGGCCCACGTCCTCGACAACAGCATCAGACGAAACATAAACCTGCCCGGAAGTCCCCTCGAGCGCCTCCCCATCCAAGCTGTGATCCCCGACCGCCGCTCATCCCTTTTTCAGACCCCCCCTCCCCCTCCCCGCGTCCCCGCCAACGGCCCCCGTCGACGCCGCTCCTCGAACGCCGGACGACCCTCGCGTACCCGCTCCAACCGCTCGGACTCCCAGCCGATCCTCGCCACGACCAGCGCCTCCACCCCGGCCGTAGAAGAAGGAGGCGCCACCACCATGGACTCCCCGCGCAGCTCGCACGAAGCCGTCCAGCCGCGCGATCTGCTGGACAACGAGTCGAGCTGGAGCGGCTCTCACGCCCATCACCCTGGTGGCCCCGCTCGTCCCGCCCGTCCTCTGACCGCCGACACCGTGGTATGGCCGTTCTTCCCGCGCAGCAACTCGGCGTCGTCCTTCGTCCTGCCCCGCGAAACGACTGCCAGCGCCGCTGCTGCTGCTGCTGCTCGCCGCGTCTCCGTCGCCGCTAACGAGAGCCCCGCGCGCTCGACCAACGGCCACTACGTGCGCGTGCAGATCACGGGGGCCTTCGAGCCGACGCTCCCGCTCCCGCGGCCGCCACCTCCCGCCGCCACAGCAACGGGACGAGTCGGACGAGGGAGGCGGATCCCGAGGGAGGTGATGAATCGCGTTGGACGACGGGCTTCGGGGAACGGTGGTGATAATAGCAACAACAATAACAACAACAGCAGTAGCAGCAGCAACAACAACAACTGAAGTAAGTAGCTGCCAAGGAGCCTACAGACGTGCGCCCCGCGAAAAAGGGAGAAAAGAAAAAGGAGAAAGAAAGATAACTTGAAAGAAAATAAAAACTAATAAGAGCTTATGAACCAACCGGGCTCAGTGAGCATTGCTCTCCTGGAAACGGATAGCAACGAAGTTCCATCTGTTCAGGAGACGAGGGTGTTGTGTCTGTTAATAGGAGGTCATGAGCTAGGGCTAAAACGTGCGTTGCACTGCTGGAACCGGAGACCACCTGCCTAGGTACCTAATCATCTACGAAGGACAGAAGAAGAGAGAAACGAAAAAGAAAAGTTAAAAATATCAACAAGGAAGAAGAATCGAAGGGCGGAGTAGGTGGTGTGCGAAAGGGATCCGTCTTAATGTAATGTAATGTAATGCGTTCGCCACGCGCGGGCGAGTGCGATCGATCATACGAGAACGAGGTCGAGGGGAGTGTGAAGGGGAGAGATTGCGTTGTGTTTAACACCTACGTGGCTGTCGTCTGTTTTGATCGAGCAGCAAACCTTGCCCTCGTTCCATCCAGACGTTACCTCCAGCTCGTCGTCGAAGTCCAACCGGAAGAAGAGCCAGAGCCAATACTTGCGCTTTGCTGCTTGCATCCGTCTCGCATTAGATAATACATACCACTAGGTTAATGCTCTGATGCTAGTTAATTCCTGTCTGCTAGAAGCTCGCGTTGCCAGTAATATTAGGAGGTAGGTATAGCAGCTATTCAGGCACTTTAATACTAAGCTACCTTAGGTACCTTTAGCAATTGCTCGATCTGATTTCATAGGAAAAAACGAATCCCTACGTTAGGTAGTTTAATCAAAGTCCAAGTCCAAATTCAAGTGAAGTAAAGTCAAGTCAAGTCTAGGGGTGGGTATAATTATTATTGACAGTTGATGACCGGAACTATCTCAATGCGTAAATCATCCATTCAGGGCCCTCGCGGGCGGAATGTTCCCAATTCTTTGGTCTCTCTCAAGAAGAAATGTATAACTGACGTCTGACCTGCCATTACTTTCGGGTCATCTTGGGACTTGTTCTATCTCGACTACTCATCGACGTTAAAAAAAGCGTGTGGTAAAACAATGTCGGTTATGCCCTTAACAACGCCACGCCATGCTATGATATTAAGCTAGCGAATCCAACACTCGGAGAAAAGAAAAGAAAAGAAGAGAGAGACCTGGCTCCCGTAATAGATACATGATTAGAGTAAATGGCGAAAGTGCAGAAGGTATGCTGTGGGTATCTTCGTAATTCGTACAGCCCCCGATGGGTCGAGTCCGATTAAATAAGGTATGAAGTGAAAAATGAATTTGTACAGGGGATTAGTGTAATGAAGAATGGAAGGCTGTGATTATGCTTTGATGGGCGACTGGACTAATATGGCTGGCTTAGGTTCGGCCGGTAAATTTGGACCGGATCTTGACCCTGATCTCTCGCTTGAAGCGGGTGCTATCTCTGGATCAGGAATTTGAAAGTCGAGCTATTGAAGGGGTTAGAAATCTCTCAGAATGATTGGGAAAAGGACCCAACTTACATTCATATATCCTGTGCGTCTTAACGAGATGATTTTGGGAGGAATAGTATTTTCATCAGAGCCTACTGTTTTCTCCATCTCCTTATTCCACTGCTCAATCCAATCCTCTAAGTGACGTAACCTCATCTTAGTATACGTGAATCCTAGGTCGTCCCATAACCATCCCGTAAGTAAACCCAATACGCCATCGAGGATGTTTCTCCAGTTATAGGGGCTGAATATAGGTACGAGCTCCCCATTAAGCTTTTCGATAACTTGACGGAACTGCTGCTCTGATACACCTGCCGGCTCTAAAATCTCTGGATAAAGGTTTGAAAAGGTAGGCGCCAAATCTCCTTCTACTAGCCAATCTCTCCGAATACGTATAATCCGCGTACTCGAGTATTCCGGAGAATTTATGGGTACATGGGGATTTAAATGTGGATAACACGGGTGCTGCGGCCCCCATTCTTCGCCTAGATCTGGTTGATCAGGATCACCCATAATGGAAGAATCGCTGGAAGATATAGCCGAGCCAATGCCGGGCGGCAGTGATATGTTTGATCCATTATGTCGGTGGCCTAACACAGATGGTCCTCTTTCTAAGTCTTCGGAGAATGACCTCTTAGGATCATCATTTCCTATTGGGGACATGACGGCTTTCCCCTTTCCCTTGTCAAGCTTCTGAGGGGAGCTTTCAGATGTATCAGGTCGAACAAGTCCAAAGCTTATAGCTCTTGCACGCTTCGTAACACTCTGGCTATGCTTCCTCAACCCAGTGAATTTAAGTCGTTCGGCCTTGGGTTTGGGTTCTGATGGCCCAGCTTCAGTCTCCTGTGGATCCTGTGGAGGACTAGAAATGCGCTTGCCGTCGTAAGAAGCTCGGATCGAAAGAGGAAGGCTTATCCTCTTATCGGAACTAACCCTACCCTCTAGACGCGGGCTGGTCCGTGCCGATTTATCGTGAAGTGGAAGGAGTGGATAGTCGCCTGCTCCAAAGCCAATAGGTTCGGATAGGTCTGATGAAACTTGAATGGTAGGATGGTTGACGGGTACGGCAGGAGGCGGTGGTGTGGATGGACGGCGTTTGCGAGGTTGATGAGGGCGTCGTGGTGTTTGAGATGAAGAAGGAATTCTTGGAGTTGAATTGGTAGGATTCCAAAGACGACCAGGTCCGAATCGAGTTGGTAAACGATAAAAGGAAGTAGAATCAGTAGCGGCAGCACGATTGCGAAAAGGCGATCGGGGGATGCGATCGAATTGTGCGGGGGTCCCTGCAGCCAGCAAATTCCTTCGAGTATTAGTTGGTTGTCGCCGATGGGCAGTGACTACGGCAGGATCTGGGGCCGTCACAATGGGATATTCAGGCTGCTGAGATGGCGAATCAACAGAGACATTTGTCTGCTGTGCACCTAGGGCGGCCGGTAACGGGTTTGCAGAACGATTGTCTGCGTATGAAGCCGTTGGAGATGAGAAGAAGGAGAAATGACCGCCTCGACGGCCAGACTAGAAACTCGAGACACTCGAGAAATTCGATGTCGCGGAATAAAAACCGATTGACCTGATAAACTTTTCTCCCTTTTTCCCTCCTCTTTAACCTTAACTTTATTATACGGAGCCTCCAACGGTGAATTCGACGTATGCGTGTGCGTGTGCGATAGAGATGAATGTAATGAACGTGGCGGATTTAGTGGGCGTCGTGGGCGTCGTGGTCGGGTATGACAAAGATGGATGCAGATGCGGATGCAGACGCGATCGAATGGAATTGAAGCGAGTGAGGATTCTGCAGGTGACGGGGAGACAAACCAAACGGCCGTTGCGAGTGGCTGGTCCGGACACGGGTGTGGATACCACTGTGGGTGCTGTGGATGCTGCTGATAATGCTGTTTGTAGCACCGTTGCTGGCTAACTTTGTGGTGATAATTCGGGGCTTCCAGCGCTAACATGGAACACTGCAATGGCATGCTCATGCTGGCCCTTAAAGATCCAGAACGAAGAAAGGACCGCCAACTGACCGACGGCCCTTTGTCAGGTGACGTAACACTAAGTTGTCGGAATATCGGAATATCGGAATATCGGGATGTTGTATTATTGCATGGACTTGGACCTTGGACCTTAAATTCCAAAGACATATGGGCTTGTGGTTAGGTACGTATTCAGTGTACTTCACTTCACCTTTTTACTTTGCTCTTCTAAGTTCTCCCCTTTCTCTTTTGCATCTAAAAACCATCAAGTGATAAGACTGAATGCTGTTAACGCCAGATAGCATTCTCTGTTCCTTTTCGCTCGTTTTATATCGATATCAGACTTTCTGTCTTATTCCTTTTGGGGGCCGCTTTTGTGGTTGCGTACTCTCGTTCTTTTAATATCTTAGAAAGGGTGTCATCTTTCCTCATTGCTGTTAATTTTGGCTATCATCACACTATAGTTGCTGTTCGATTTTGCCTTAAGGAACGAACGTTGTTAGAAGTCAGCCTTGGGCGTGCGTATAAAGAGTCTGATATATATTGGCTGCTTGGGAAACAGAATATCAATGAATGCAAATCTTAGGTAAATTATCAACAGCAAAGGGAGGGTTTTAGGCAAACTTTACAAATATAAACCGTAAACCGTACTATGGTACCTACCTCTAATGTTATATGCGAGGAAGAGACCGTGCTTCTTTTCCTTATCCGCCTTTCCATAGTGTCCTTCTGTAGCCCTGGATACCAGCCCGGGCCAGCAAGCCAGCGCTACTAAGAAAAGAACAAGGCTTTAAATTGCTTTATTTTGCGGAGCTTTTTTTTCTTTTTTTTTTTTTTTTTTTTTTTTTTTTTTTTTTTCCCTCTCTCCTCTTCTTTCACTAGGTACCTAACCTATTTACCGCCTATCAAATCGCCGTCCAGCTAAAATGGGCCAGGCTTACAAGCTACACTCCCTTTCAGGGGCATCCTCGTAACTCATCGTTCCACCCAGTTCTGGCGCAGTGTCACGGATTCTGCTGAGCCTGGTCTGGTCCTGACTCCTGGGGGGCTGCTTGCGACCCGAGCAAGTGGGATAGTTAGATGGATCGAAAATTTTATCTCCAGCCTTTCTAGCCTAGCCTATCCAATCTTATCTTTTAAAAGACACTAGATTCCAGCTCTCACATCAGCAGCTCTAAAAACAACATCCGCAGTAGGAGTATAGTACGACATGGCGACTGTGTCTGTAGCTACCTGAAAGGTTCGTAAGGGACAGGCAAGGACTTTATCGGCGTAACTCGTATTGCATTCTCCTGCAAGGTACACCGGCATTGCCGCATCACGGTTACATCTACTGTATTGGACATATGGTCATTGCTCAACTGCAGCCCTGGATAGACGCTTGGCATCATGTCGAAATAGTATTTACACAAGAGCATTAACACAAGAGCATTAATGCAATCCTAATCAAGTGTAAAAACGGTATGCCTTTTATTAAATCCGAGAGGAGTTTTTAATATAGGTAATAGAAAGAAAAGGGCTAATTATAGGTAATTTAACCCCATACGTAATCGCTTGAAGTTATTCTAGCGCGCCCCTGCATTAGGTGCAACATTCTGGACGCATTCTAGATTCCTCAGGTTAGGTAGTCTAGCTCTTAACTTATAGGTACCGATTGGAATAGAAAAGAGCCGTGGTTCTTCCTGCCAGGTACCACCTCCAGGGCTTGTCTTGACGATATTCTTCCACCGATATGCTCTATGATGATAGCACACAACATGCCATCATTCCCGCACTAGCCCTATTCAATCATTATATGCCTAAACAGCATACCAAAGAATCCTCTTTTACTTAAAGTCTTATTCTAACTTTTTAATCCAGTAGTGTATTAGGTATAGTACTTGTTAAAGCTGCGCATAGAGAGTTGCATAAGAAAACCAGATATTATGGAAGAAAAAAAAAGACACAGTACCTGTATAAATTACATTAGGTACCTTAGGTACCTACATAGTGACAGGTAACGTGTGCAGTTTACCTAGCAATAGGTACGCTAGGCATAATATACTTGGTGACGTAACATTTAGCTGCTGAACCAATAGGACAGCTCCACTAGATCTGAGCCCGTGCGGCATGAGCGCCCTATTTCCCCCCAAAAGCGTAAGGAGTGACCTCATCTGCCAAGCAGGGAGTCTTGGAGTCTTCTCACATCAGATTATCCCTGCCATCGCATATCCCCAGACCCCACGAGCAGAGCATATACTACTCTTTCCATCTACATCGTGGTTCTTTCCATCATTGACGTATTACTCGCGCAGCCCCTACGGGCTTGAGATATCAATTTACCCGAAACCCGACAGCCATCAAAGGTATAATCCAGGGTTTTACGATCTCATGTAGCTTCATAGCCCTTAGAAACTCATCATGGCTGATGAGAGCTGCACTTCCCCCTCGACATCAGCAGCCAACGCAACTGGTCGAGCAACATCGCTTACCGGTAATGAACCCCCAAGTTTCAGCCTGCGCCGAGCTGCAACAGTTGGTCAATCCGCTCCCATGCGGCGTCGCTCCACTGTGAATACGGGCTCGCCCTCTGCCGCCGAGAATGGCTTTGCAGATGTTCGAAGACGGAGCTCCACATACTCGGACTTCAGTTTGAACGATGCTAGAAGGGATCTGGAGACAAGCGCAGATGAAATCCTCAATCCGAGCAAGTCTGGCTCGAAGCAAGGGGAAACATCCCCATATGTCTATGTTCCACTTACATTGGCCTTGCTCCCCGCCATAGCCGGTATATTCTTCGAAAATGGGAGCGCTTTCTTCACCGATCTGATACTACTCAGCTTGGCTGCTGTATTTCTTCATTGGTCCGTCACGCAACCGTGGGATTGGTATCGCTCCGCGCAGGAAATACGCATCGTGAGAGATGAGATTATGACGGAGGCTGTCTTCGAGTCTGACAGCGACGTCGAACCACCCACAACTCTCGAAAATGTCCCCGAAGAAGCAAGCAAAAAGGATGAGTCTGGGGAAGCAACCGAAGGCGCATCCGAAAGACGAAGTCGTCAGTGGAAAGAGCGCCAACATGCAGCGCTCAGAGAACTCTATTTTCATGAGATGGCTGCTCTAGCATGGTGTTTTATATTTCCTTTACTCGGCGCATATCTTTTACACACTATTCGCGGGCAGTTGACGAGACGCTCCGAAGGTCTAGTATCCGACTACAACCTCACCATTTTCCTTTGTGCCGCTGAGATCCGCCCCGTTTCACATCTAATAAGGATGCTCCAACACCGAACATTACGGATCCAGCAAATCGTCGCGAAGAACCCCCATGAAAAAAGATCGGTTACAACGGAGGAGTTCAAAGCACTTTCTGCCAGGCTAGATGAGTTGGAAGCACAAGGAGTCACTAGTGATACTAATTCGAACACTACCGTACGACCTGATGTGCCACAGTCAAAAGCGATTCAGACGGCAGTGGCTCAAGAGGTTCGCAGTAGCATTCAACCAGAGCTGGATGCTTTAAATCGCGCTATGCGCCGATATGAGAAGAAGCTCACACTCCTCGCATGCCAAACCGACAACCGTATCGAGTACGTCGACTACAGGCTCAATGACGCCATCGCGCTTGCTGCCGTCGCAGCCAAGAACAGTAACGCTCAATGGAACCTGGGCGTGTGGTTCATGGACAAGACTATCGCGCTCATTACGCTTCCGTTTCATGCGTTAGTAGCAGTATCTACCTTTCCCTTCCGGACGATATCCGCTATGCTTAGTCGGAAGAGTAGATCTTCGTCCGAGAAGGCCCAGAGAACTATACGCAACGGGAAAGCGGTCGCTCAAGGCAGAGTCGGTTCTGATCGCATGCCTGCGCGCGTGTCTAGGAGATAGGGTTCGTGTATTATGAGGCTTATGAATGTACGATGGCGGTTAGGTTATAGGGATATAGGTTAGGCAAGGTTAGGCAAGGTGGTCTGTACTAGGTAATAATTAGGTACGGATGGCTCGGCACGGGGAAGGAGGACGACGGGAAAAGGGTAAAGAGGGAAGGGGGATGGGCTTATCAAACGGAGTTTGGACACGGCTCGCTCATAATACTCTCAACGAGGTTTTAACGGCGGTAGGAATTAGGCATTGGTAGATTCATTCATAGGGCCATTCTCCTTTTAAGACCAATTCTTTTCAAGTTACAATTATATCAATACCCACCTGGGCAGGTGTATTCATTTTCATGCAATCGTAAATTTGTAAAGCAATCGGGTCCCTATGCGGGCTCTATGTAGGTAGTTTGCCCCATCTGTGCGTCCCGACTCCCGACACCTACCTACATAGTATACAAATAGTATACCTACAAACTTTCTTTCGTCCTCTCTTCCTCTCTTACATGGCTGAAATATTGAAAAGACACGTCAGATAGGTACTCCAACCAACGAACGCACGTCATGCTGCGGGGACATCTTGTCCTAATAGAAAAAGGCTGGTATGCTCCTCCATGCACATCACAATATTTCCCCGTCTTTCAGATAATATTAGATGCGGCCAAGCCCTTTCTTTTCTCGGTTTTAGGACTTGAGCTGACTACCTAGGTACTATGCAAACTACCAGCTTTCAGCTAGCTACCTAACCTAACCTAGCATAGTATGCACAAAGTAGAGGGATCTTATAATAGGTGAACGCATGCAGTAGCGTAGGGTTAGGCATTTGAGGTATGGTATGTGGTGGGTGTTGTTTTCGGGGGGTCCCACTGGTGCCTGGCAGAATCCGCTCGATGGATGGTACTGTATGGTATGGTATGGTGCGGTAACTGTATGGACCCATGGGTTCGGCAGACCGGGTCAAAGTCCAAGTCTAAATAAGATTCCATCAACTTTACCAACATCGTCCTGGTCCCGGGAACTATCTTTAATACTTAATATCTTAATAAAGACCACAATCCATATTCCGTACCTATTTATGCCAATATGAATTTAATATACTTCCTAATATATTATCTGTCAAAATATATATCTAGTCACATTTTCACATCTACCTTAAGCCACGCAGATTGGTATGAGATCAAATGCGCTCTGCGCGAGATCTCACCCCAACCCATCTGCCCATCCAACATTTTCGACCCTGCAAGGATGGCAGAACGGAGAACGGGTAAGCAAATGCGAATATAGTAATTATTGTGCTCTGACTCGCACGTGCGAACCTGCGTCGCGCGAAATGTATGTATGTACCTAGTGTAATTCAAAGCTTGCTGCCGGACGTTGATATTTATTATCGATGCGCGTATCCGGCGTCGTACCGGGACGCACTACTTTTGTAAGCAAACCTCGTAAGGCCCAAAAGGTAGGTAAGAGGCAGAACCTTGGAAGTAAAATAGTTAATCTCGTGATTGGGCAGTGGAACACTGAACACACGTTCCATCGACGTACAAACGTTGCGAGATCCCGCCCGTTACCACCCTCCTCTACGCTGCGGGACGAGGCATCTCGCTACTGCAATGCTAAATGGTAGCTCGCGACCGATGCCAATTGGTGGTGGCGGTACCCTAGAGCGTAATTAAACTCGCTTCTTCTTTTACTCTGCACCGCGTCATTTCAATATTGCGCCCATTTTTAGGCGCGCTACTACTTATTGCCTAAACGTATAGTTTACGTCCTTTGCAACTTGAAAAAGTCTTCAGTCATCGGTACAGGTATCGTCTTCGTTCATAAGATACCGCTGATTCTTCAACCTGGACAATTGGGTCAGTAGAGTCGGTGAGCTGATCATCGTCAACTGCGTCAGACTAGTAGCTGATGTACTTATCCCGAAATGCGCGTGCGGCGGCCGTGTTCAGGTGCGACCTACGCTGCTGGTTTAGGAGGTATGCTGTGCTGGTTCCTATTGAGAATGTGCTGAACCAAACTGTACAGTAGGTACAATAGTACTTATCCTTGCTGCGTGCAGCGTCGTACGTGGCGTTGGCTAGATGCGGGATCAACAGCCAATGCCAGATGAGCGATCGTGAGCAAGACGTTCAGGACGTCCCAGCTGCCTAGGTGGAATCGATGACGGACCTCCTTTCTAAATTTCAAATCCAGGAACAACTTGCTTTTAACCCCCCGCCATCTCTTAAGGGGAGAAAAGGATCTGATACCTCGCTAAACTTGGTGGCTTCAAATTTTGATAAATTTGATTCGAACTATTGAATCGCACGTGTCGCGCCTCTCGTCGCTGAGACGTACCTACCTTGGGTACTCATTGACACCCGGGATCGAAAAGAGCCGCTCGGCCTGCTCCATCGTCATGACTGCGGCCGTGGGTAAGAATAACGGACGAAAAGATGAGCAGTATACCTAATGAGGATTCTCTCGTGCTACGTAAACCATACATCATCGAAGCAAATTATTGCTGATCTCGCGTTGAAAGATGGGGCTTTTATTCCGAACTTCGAATTTTGAAGGACAGCAGAAAGACAAAAGAACGAAAAGAGTATTAATCAAACGTTCATCGAAGTTGGAAGCAGCCTGGGTGGATACCAGTGGATACCTCCTAGGAAAAGATGCAACTAAGGTTTACCAGTAGACTGCAATAGCCAGGGGGGGCCTTTTGCAGGGCTGGCAGGGGTTACGCTGCTGAGTCACACATCACATTGTCCAATCGGCGATCAAGCCAAACCGTTTGTTACCCGATTTGGAATAAGCACCCGTCCCGTTCCTGCTTGACTGGGTCAGGTCTCTTTGGTTGAAGTTGGATTGGAAGGCAGTTGCAGGTTAATTCTCTTCCGGAATCCGAGCAAGTGGAAGTACCTTAAGCAAGGCAAGTAGCGAGAAAATGTATTGTACATAGGAGCAAGGGGAAAACAAAAAAAAAAGTACTTCAACTCACTTTGCTTCATGTCCATTCGCGTCCAACTCGTCTGTGCTAATCTCCCGCGGTCAACGTCCCAAACGCACCCATTGGATGGTCATGCCATCGTCATACGCGCATCAATCACACGGCATACGCATACGCCCTAGTAGTCCAGCCCTTTCCCATGAGTTTTCATGGAAAATATATGCAAGATATACTGCCAAGTAAGTGGTGGCCTGCTAGGCGCAGAAAGCAATTTCGTAGACATGCATACCGACATGCCCTCCAGCTACCGTGGGCTGGCTGAGATGCCACTAGACAATGTAAGTACAGTGAGGTATTGAATAATAGCCTGGTCGGTGGGTTGGGTAGATTTTCGAGCAACTGGGCTGGTGACCCTATTACCAAAAAAAAAAATCTTTTCTTTTTTCTTTTCTCTTCTTGTTCCCGTCCATCGGGTCGTTAGATCCCAATAGTCTCTTACCGTTCATGCTGGATGCCGTTGCATGAACGAAAAAAAGAGGCTGAGAGGTTTACTATTGATACGTTGTGGTTTAATGGCGTCTTCCTTGATAAGTTTGATCTACTGGTACGTGCCCTCCCCTTCTACCCAGGACGCATGCGGGACGACCCTGAAGTTTCAGTTGCTTCTGAGCTCACTCCATTCCAGAACTTCGGCCCAACTTGATACCCACCGTTCGTTCGCAGCTTCGCGAGCTTGTATAACGAGTCGAAAAGCTCCGAGTCCTCGCATTGCTTGTCGTCGTTGATGTCATTCATCTATTGCAAAACCTTTCTCTCTTAACTACCTTTCTTATCGACACTTTCTCCTAAGTATAGCCCACTACTAGGCATGCCTCTTAGATGGTAGTCTCGAACAAGAAAAGTGCTTCCAAGAGCGCTGTATTATTGGCATATTAGTTCAACGTCGATATATCTTGTAAATCTTTCAAGATGCTTCCGAAGTGGTCGAGCTTTTATGCTTTGATCTATTTATTCGTCTGCTTCAATGTGGTGGCAGCAGGGCGATTAGGACCATATCCGAGACAAGAAACCTCTCCCTCGACGACAGAGGCCACAAAGACGACACAAGATGGAGATAGAGAAACCACGACAACTTCTCCAGATAACTCAGAAACTCATTCTAGTTCTTCAGCAAAGCCTACGTCCGTCGAGGTTACTACTAGCGTAACCAGCACCCCAGCAGCAACGGCGATTCCCTCCGCCCTCAATGGGAATAATCCGAGTAATGATAGCTTTTCTGAACAACGTAAGTAAACCACCATCTCTTTTCCATTAGAGTATCCAATGTGAGTGTCTAACCGAATAACCGTAGCGGCTGTTATTGAGGGTGAATTGCCCTTACAGCCTCGACTAACGCCAGGATGGGGCGTTTCAGGTGCAATTATGCTCATTACCGGAATTGTGTATGCTTTGGTAGGCATCAAGAATACACGGCTACATACCTTCTTCTCTTCGGCATATCTTGCTAGTCTCAGCATAACGGTCCTGATCGTTTACGTTATGAACCTTCCCGTATCGGATGCCGTTCAAGGGGCATATGTTGTGGGTGCCATATGTGCCGGTCTGATCGTGGGTGGAGCTGCAACTATCTTCAAAGAGCTTACTGAGGGCCTTGGATGCCTCCTTGGTGGTTTCTGTTTTTCTATGTGGCTTCTCACTTTGCATGAAGGTGGTTTACTTCCCTCTACTGCCGGGAAAGCGATCTTCATCGCGGCTTTCACTGTTGCGGGGTTTGCCTTCTACTTCAGCCACTACACGAGGCCGTACGCTATGATTGGCTTGATGTCTTTTTCGGGTGCAACAATTACAGTTTTGGGCATTGATTGCTTTAGTAGAGCAGGGTTAAAAGAATTCTGGGCTTATATTTGGAACCTGAACGACGACCTATTCCCACTCGAAACCACGACGTATCCGTTAACGAAAGGTATAAAGGTGGAGGTTGCTATCATTATTGTATTGACCGTTCTCGGCTTGATCTCTCAGTTCAAGCTATGGCGCGTGATTCAAGATCATCGTGCGAGACGACTCGCAGCCGAAGCGGAATTTCAGAGGATGCGAGACGAAGAGGAGGCCAATGTCGGAAGACGGGTTGAAGAAGACAACAAGCGTGAAAGGAGGCAATGGGAGACGGCATACGGAGATTTGTCAACGCCGCCGAGCCCTACTGTTTCGCGCGACTCAGGTGTTGGTGAGATCGAGAATGAGAAGAAGGGCCAGGTAAGCCGGACGACTGTTCAGCCCGTTTCGTCAAGTGAGACAGAGAATGAGAATGCAATCGAGATGGCAGATCTCCCATCCGAAAACAACACATCTTCCGAGGCTGAGAAGCAGCTAGACGAGGGTCTCGTCATTGCGGGGCACGATGAAGATAATCGGGTAACTGTTAGGGTTTCGAGGGACTACCACAATAACGATGAGTCAATGCCCTTGCCGGAACCGGATGAAAAAGCCTGGATGGCCGGTGTTGAAAGTGAATCGCAACCTGTGTCTCCAACGTCACGCAATTCGCGAAGGATATCAAAACTAGCCGGTCCCGAGATAATACCTTTACCATTTAAAGTCCCGGAACCACAGGAAGAGGAGGAGATCGATGATGGTGATCGGTCGTCATTCGCAACATTTGCTGATGAAGACGACCGGTCCATTACGTTGAGTAAAAGAGCCTCAAGGGCGTCTCTGTCACATAGACTGTCTGTTGGTTCAGGTAACTTGCTACGAAGTTTATCTCAACGCTCGAAACGGTCTGAGGCATCCAAACGACAGACTGGGGAATTCGAGTTGCCGCAGCATTCTCCTGGATGGGGAGGAAGCAAAGAGGGGTTAGTATCCAAGGATCAGAAACCTCCTAGAGATACTGGCTCTATCGCTGCTACCGTTGACGGCATGAGTGATAGCAGCGAAAAAGACACAATATTAGCTAAAGCCGAAGAACCTACGCGAACAGGGGAAATCAAAGCAGAACTAGCAGATAGACAGTCGAAGGGCGAGTCCACTCCTGACAACCAGCTTGTCGCACAACCCAAGCCAAACGACTCAGGCGCCCATTTTGAAGTTCGGCCTTACTCGGTAGTAGAGACAGTTGCAACTGACATATTAAACCCGTCATTACTAGGAGAGCCTCCGGAAGATGGATCAAAAACAAGGAGCGGAGCAAATGCTGCAGGAAAGGTGGATGGGGTAGATGAGACTAACAAACTTGCTAACGTAGCGGAATCGAAAACTCCCTCTGACACGTCTAAGGTTGCCAAATCCGCATCCCCATCCGCTGTGTCCTCCGCGAGCCTTACCAAAGAGCATCTTCCTTCCAGCTTGTCACGTGTTGCTCTGTCGTATCGTACAAACGAGTGGGCAAAACATCTGACGCTAGCAGAAACACCCGAGCCTGATACATTATACCTGAATGAGTATCCTGAGGCCGAAGAGGAGGTTCCTGCCCCTGTTAATGTTGATGAACTGCAGCAAACAGCCGAGGGTGGTATTCCACCTGCCCCCATAGTGAGGTCTCCTTCTTCAGTATCCAATGTCGGATCAAACGCACAGCTCAACCGTTCTTCTTCAGGATTGACTGTCACAGACGGATCAAATGTCATAAAAGCGACCCAGCTGAATGTCCACACTGGGCAAAATCTACGGATGAAGGGTCGCCGACAGTCGGGAGATATTATTATTCAACCAATTCTAGAAGAGAATGGCGAAGAACACCTCAGTATTAAAGCTGGTGCTATACAGGAGGAAAGAGATGGTTCTGTTTTGAAATCAGGCCCTCCTTCGCCTTTGGAACTTGAACCGCAAATTACGAGTCGGCTTTCTGTCCCGGGTGTTGTGTCATACTCTAGTCCCCAGACGCTAATTGGCAAGAGGGATATGTTTTTACGTAGCAAGTCTCAATCAACACTGCTGCTTTCACAAGCAATCCCCGAGACTACACAATACTCATTTAACCCGACCAGCCAAATGGAACAACCATATAATTCGCTAGCCCCTTCGCCATTTGTCGGTCAGGATGCTGATGATCTCCCTCTGAGCAAAAGAAAGGAGCTTATTCGGCAGAGCAGTTTGCTTCCCGCTAAATCGGCTGCTGTCATCCCCAGGCCAAATAGCACGATGAGAATGGCTTATACACCTGGTCTTGGTCAAGGACCCAGCTCACCAGTCGCGGCTGAGAGCGCACAGTTCGACTCCCACCAACCTCAAAGGCATTCCACAGCTCCATCCCAAGCACACCGCGAAGCCCTACTAGCCAGTTTTCGGCAGTCCGTTGCTGTAGATCTACGAGCCGGTACTCCTATCTCGCCCGCCGCTAATAACAGCGGGGAGGCTCCTATGATTCGTTCTTCTTCGGCAACTTTGCTCGGACCTATAGGGTTACGAAATGGGAGCAATGACGTCCAGCAAACGATTGATCAACAGAGAAGTGTACTTCTCTCCCAGCGGGAACAAGAGGCACAGAGGAAAGAACAGGAGCGCCGAGAGAAAGAGCGTAACGAGCGCGCATTTGAAGAAATGATGCGCCGTGGTGACCTCATGGATGCTCATCGGGAAGCTATGAGGAAGATGCAACGCAGCATCAAGGACCAATGACACAAGAATATGTAGGGGCTATAAGGGTATATATATATATATGAGCAAACGGATATACGGATTTCATAAGTTCCAAAACATCGTCTTGGGGTCAGGTTGGTAACGGCAGGAATTTGATACCCTTTCTTTCCCTCATTTTTTTTCCACATGTTTCTTATACCGAAAAGTAGCGATGGGCCACGGCTTATACAACGATGTGTTTTGTCGGTACTGTACCAATGCGCACGCAGACGAGCTAATCCGATCCTTGCTGGTTTGGCGCCTATTTTCTAATATGTAATATCTGGGATGGAATTAGAAAAAGGGTATCTATCATCAAGGGGAGAAGCTGTTGGCCAGGTAGGTAACTAGAGGCGAGGGGGATGCATATAATGGGAACACAACATAAGCATATAGATCTACATGTGTAAGCTTCAGGTATATTTGATATTATTATCATCTGCCAGTCGGCTGAGTTTCTATATTTATGTATGTACGTGAATGTGACATAAACAAGTTGTGCTATTTTTTTTTCTTTTGGTTAGTCTTAACAATGCATTACGACTTATATCTCCCCGGTTGTCCGAGCTTAGATCGAGGCAAATGGAAAGACGTATCACATTTTGCTTTTAAAGTATTCATTTCAAACTGTGACCGAGTTTGCAATGGCTTGATTTTTCGAAATCGGACTTCAGTACCTAATAATGCCGATATCCCATGGACTTTTATGCACCGTGCATATAGGTATGTACTACGTAAGCACACTGGTATTAAGAAAAAAAAACGCCAAACGTAAAAGGCTGATGATTCGAGGTAGATACGTAGGTAGGTAGGTAGGCTTCAGTTGGTTGAATTATGTATACCTAGCCCTTTAATTTTATCTTAGGTAGGTACGTAAGAGGTATGTACGTACCTACTCATGGACTAGGTAAGAACCTTCAATGTAGGAGTATGGCATTAGGTACCCGCTTTGACGTTAATGGAAGCAATGAAGGCGCAATACCTGCCTCAACTGTGCTGCCTAATACCTGCTGCTATACGTGAAATAGGTACATGTAGCGTATACAGTCACCGTTGTTACCAAATATTAATGCATTGAATGATGACTGCGGGTACTTTAAACTTCCGCCTGACGCACTCATACCAATTTCTTTTTTACTTCAACATACCACCCCAACAATCATCTTCTCCGGTAAACAATAATATATAAAGACCTAGAGAACAGCTCAATTTTCTCCCAAATCACCAAACCCCCCCATACTTCGGTCTCATTGACACATACGGATATATTTTATATTCAAACTCTTGGTTACGAGGTTACGAATTTGGTAAGTGAATAAGGGTTCTTTGTACGGTGCGGTGCACAAATTGTACGCGATTCAGGAGGGTTGCAAGACGTTGTTTCCGTGACTTTGCAATTAACTTGTATTGTTTCCTGGACAAGGTCTTGCTTACCTAAAGGTATTTATGTTGTTCTTGCCCCTCCACCTGCAGCATCTAAAAATCCAGACTTGAACTGAACAGACCCACCTCCACCTCCACATCCAACATCCACATTCAACCCGGAAACCAACATACATGCATCCATCTTCTTTAACTTCTACTTCTCGATTTCTCTTTTTGTCCACATCAACTTGTGAACACGCTCATCGGATATACCCATAGACCCTACGCATTTACAGCCTTTATTCGGGTTTCGCGACCAAAGTTTTGCAATCTCGTACTTATTCGGACCACAGAACAGTTATCCATCTCAATCAGTCATCATGGTTGAATCCGAAGCCCCCCCTGCTGCCAACTACATCCGACTTCAGTCGAATGACAACGTTAAGATCGATGTTGGTAAGTTGATCTTGGACCCCATACTATCATCCTACCATGGCATATTAACTAACACGCATCGCAGAGAAGGCCGTTGCCGAGCGATCGCTCCTGATCAAGAACATGCTTGAGGATCTTGGTCCCAATGCTGAGGGCCAGACCATTCCTATCCCCAACGTAAGCAATACCTATCCAGCCACAATAGTGCTATCGCCCCTAGGTGCATTGTAATATCGGTTCTAATTTATATGTTTTAGGTGACGGAGCCTGTTCTTCGCAAGGTCATCGAGTGGTGTGAGCACCACCGCCACGACCCTCCTGCTACAAACGAGGACGAGTCGGACAACCGAAAGAAGACCACCGACATTGATGAGTGGGACCAGAAATTTATGCAAGTCGACCAGGAGATGCTCTTCGAGATCATCCTTGTACGTATAACCTGATATATATTCACGCTCCTTACTGTGCAGTCACTAATATATTTTTCTCTACAGGCCTCCAACTATCTGGACATCAAGGCGCTATTGGATGTCGGATGCAAGACCGTTGCCAACATGATCAAGGGCAAGTCCCCCGAAGAAATCCGCAAGACCTTCAACATCACGAACGACTTCACACCCGAGGAGGAGGAGCAGATTCGTCGTGAGAACGAGTGGGCTGAAGATCGATAAATTCTCAATACCCGCCTATCTGGTTGTTTCGTCGTCTTTTGAGTCTTCATGTCTATTAGGTCTCATCAGGTGATTTGGCCAATTTAATAATAAACAAAAGACACCAACCGGATAATGGGGTTCCTTGTTTGCAGCTCGTGGCAAAAAAACCATAGACATGGATAGCTAGCCAGTTGTGTGTGGCATTGACAGGGAGACGAGTGTATTTGGACTTTTCAGATGAACCACCTCCACCTTCGCTCTCTTAGCCAGTATAGATACTGGATCGTATCAGCAATACTCCATGGTTAGAGAGCACGCATATTTGTTTTTAGGAGTTCTGAATTAGCATAATGACATTTGTGGATTACTGAAGCCTTTCATAGTGTTGTGATTCGTGATACAATAATGATGCATACATTGAATTCCCTCGAGTATTCGTGTGACGAAAAAAAGGGTTATACACCACTTCAAACACAATGCAGACGAGACTTGGTCGGGTTACCACCGTTGCAGTTCGTACACGGTTCACATATATGTAGATGTACTTGATAATGCACTTGATGATGCACTCGATATAATACGGTTTCTGCCTTGGTAACAGTGCCAGAGTACTGGTGCTGCTGTAACGACAATGCTTAGACGCCATACAGGCTCCCTAAAATACCTACTGACCTGCATTACCTATCCGACGCCGACTACATTGGCGAACCGAGTAACGAACTAACCAAGCAACCCTCTTTTCATACCACCGTCAACTACAGGTTACAGGTTATAACAACAACAGTATCATCGCCGACCCAACCAGAGCAAACCAAACCAACTTTTCAAAATACATTACATACCTGTCATCCCCATCCCATCATCATAAAGGGGACGAAAAAAAAAGAAGGAAAAAGAAAAGAAAAGAAAACAACCCATGGACCGCTACGTCCTCCCCGCCGCTTTCATCACCATCCTAGCGGGCTTCGCCGCCCTGGGCGCCAGCTGGTGGTGGCACGCGCCCGAGGTCGGGGAGCTGGGGGAGTATTTCCTCAACGCGGCGATCGGCGGGCTTATAGGGTATATCGTGCGTCGGTAGGGCCGCCACGTGCACGCCGGGCATGCGCGTCTGCGTCCCCGCCACCGTCGGCCCCGGCGAGGAGGACGGCGGTTGGGACGGAGGGATTATGGGGTGTTGGGAAGGGGTGCGGAAGGTGGTGGGGGGTTGTGATGTAGGGTAGGGGGGAGAGGAAGAGGGGAGGACTTTTTTTCTTTTTCTTTTCGGAATAGGAACACACACACACACACATATATATATATATATATGGCCGTGGAAAGAAAGGTCGGAGCACCAGACAATACACCGGCTTCGACGTCCTCGCATCGTGGCCTTACTTCCCCTCCCCTCCCCGAAGACAAGGCCAGTCCGGTGTCTCCGTTTTTCGATTCTATATATACCTACCTACCTAGGTAATAAGCCTGGCTCGGATTTGGCTTACAGAGGACGACGGCCTACTGCAGCTCCGGATGATAGTAATCACGACAAACTCACGTCTTCCGGAACCAGGGTCTTTCTGGGTGAATGGATACGCCGGTATAGGTAAGCCCGTCTTTTACTAACTGGCACGGCACTCCTGTGAATCTTTACGGTTAGCTGATGACTAGTAGGCTACGATAACTGGCACGTCCAGCTCCTCAGATGGCCTGGGTAGAGAGTATGGCATATTGGAGCGTCTTTGGTTGAATGACGTAGGAAGAAAGTGATGAAGGTAGATTGAATGAAATGCATGAAAAAAAGGGTGTATGTTGGACCTGTAATCAAGAACAGAGCCCAAGCGGGCATGGATTGACCTGCTTGGCTTAGCTAGAAACCCCATGTTCCGTTTATAGAAGCCTAATGTAATGTTGAGTTGATGAAGCAAGAGATTAGGTGTCAATCACATGAAAGTATAGAGACCCGTTCAAGGCATTTCCATCAGGAGGCATCGTAATTACTTTGTTCGCAAACGCGTTATTTCATTCCCTATGACCAGTACCATGAAAATCTGGAATTTGATGAGCCCTGAAGAAAACCGAGAATCGCCCGCACCTATCATGCTTTTCTTATTTTTCTCTTCGCTCCCCATTTCGACGCGGGATACAAATTATTTGTTTTTGCCCTGGGAAGGCGAAAAAAAGAAATCCCACCAAAACCGAGGCAGTCTATATTTTTATACCTCGGCCGCGAGACCTGCTCCCTGAAGACTGCCTAACCGCTCAATTCCGCCATGATAACATGTCGCATTCGGTAGGTAGATTCCTCCCAAAGAAACAGAAACAGATGTAGCCCGGTGTACGTGGGGGTCTGGAAAGGCATCTAGATGCCGAGACGGGTCTTGCGCCAGTGCCTTCTCTTGGCGTTGTATCTGCGGGATTGTTAGCCTCTTCTATATATATCTTTTTCTATCTTCCTTGACTCATCCGCCTCGGGGATCAAGATGTCGTTGGCAAGATTTGCGTCAGGTGGGAGGTTCGTACCGGATGGTGTTACCGTTGCGGAGGCGAATCCATTGGGGAATAGGTCTGTTCTGCCTCAGCGCCTTGGCGAGCTTCTGCTTCGTTCGGAAAGTCTTGTGGCTCTGTGATTGCGAGATATTCATTAGCGATGTGCGATTCTTTTTTTTTTTAAAAAAAAAAAAAGTTGACACTGTCCCCCCCAGCTAAGTATTTCCAACAGCCATTGCATTCGCCTCCCAAGATCGAGACGTGATAGCGGAAATATGGATGACACGTGAAATACTTTGGCAGGATGGACATGTTATCATTGATAGAACCAGGAAATACATACCGGCATTTTGACTGCTTGTGCTGATCAAGAATGTCGAGATTGTTTCGTGATTGTCTTGGTTGAAGGAGGGTGTGGAGTTGTAGTCAAATCGCAAAGCGGGCTAGAATTTTTGGGTGATGCGAGGGTTTTGCAGCCCCAATAACGATTTGTGTGCGGAAAAGTAAGTTACTTCGTACTGATAACAGGTCATGTGACAAATGGATCCGACTTTTGATTTCGATAAGATAACCTCGGAAGCTAAGGTTTAATTGTATGACTAATGATTCTCTACCTAAGTACTTAGGTCTGGGAGTTCTTCACTGCCAGCTGCTTCTGTCCCTTGGCATGGAAGGAAAAGAACATTGTTTTTGGCGGCCTCCCCTAAACCTTGCTAACTTTTAACCTTTTGCGAAGAAGGGACCCTTGCTATTTTAAATAAAGCCAATCTGAGATTAATCTGAGGTTTGGCCCTGCGCAAGATTTCAAAGCGAACCTGAAAGCTTTCGACACGCCCCAGAAAAAAAAAAAAACCAAGCTCCCTATTTTCTGTAGTTATTCTGACAAATAACTTACAAGTGTCTTTTTTTTCTTTTTCTTTTCTTAATTACTAAACTAACGCGTTTATGAAATACTCTTCTTTCTCCCTGACGAAAATTGAATGCAGATCTAGACCTTTCCCGCGATTATTTTCCCGCCTTACGGATTACACGTTATTTTAAATCCCCGATCATTACATATCTACTTACGAACTACCTAGTTTTTGGACGGCCCGTTAGAAGACGAAGAAACAGTACCAGTACCCGGCCGTAACCGTTACGATCGCGTGGACCATAGGTTGTTTTTATCCCCTCCCCGGAAAAAAAAGGAAGAGCGCGGTTTTATTTATTCATATTTATTTATAAGCTTTTTTTCCCCTCGCGTGGGATAAAATACATACTACATACTACGTAAACATACGTACACAAGATGGGTCAGAGTGTATCGTGGCTGTCCAGTTTGCTCTGGGCGAAGAAGGAGATAAGAATCCTTATCCTAGGTCTTGTACGAGCTTGACAACAAAAGCACTCCCCCCTCCACCCCCTGTTCCCCCCTTTGTTCGAAGCTCGATTCGAAAGCTTCTCTATTATACCTATCCGGAGAGAGCAGCACCGGCTAATCCACCACATTCGCGCACAGGATAACGCGGGAAAGACGACGTTATTATACAGATTGAAGGTTCGTCTAACTATTCCGAACGATTCTACCCATTTCCTCCCTGTTCCCCTTACTCGCGCGTCTCGTACCTTCACGCGAACTTGCCCTGTGGAATGTGGGATGAAGGATGGGGATGGGGGATGAGGGATGATAGGATGATTAATAATAAAGTACCAACGACGACGGCGACGAACAACGACTAACCCCTTATATAATAAATAGATAGGCGAAGTGGTAACGACGATCCCGACGATCGGGTTCAACGTGGAATCGGTAACGTACAAGAACCTGAACTTCAACGTGTGGGACCTGGGCGGGCAGACGTCGATCCGGCCGTACTGGCGGTGCTACTACGCGAACACGGCGGCGGTGATCTTCGTCGTCGACAGCACGGACATCGAGCGCCTACAGACCGCCGCCGAGGAGCTCGCCGCCATGCTCAACGAGGACGAACTCCGGGACGCCGCCCTCCTCGTCTTCGCCAACAAGCAGGACCAGCCCGGCGCCAAGGGTGCGGGGGAGATCTCCGAGGCCCTCCGCCTCGGCGAGCTGCGGGATCGCAACTGGAGCATCGTTGCGTGCTCGGCCGTCGATGGGAGCGGTGTCAATGAAGGCATGGATTGGCTGGTGGTAAGTGATGTTCTGATTCCTACCTGGGGTGATGGCCAACACTACGGCCTCGCTATTCCCCTCTATCCGGGTGAATTTCAGCAAGTAACAGAACCTAACACGTTACATAGCAAACCGTGTCACAGGACTAAACGGTTCTCCGTTATCACAAGATATTCCCCTGTACAACATCATCCGTATCAAACTCATAGGCATCACCAACTGGAAGGGGGTCGGGGTCCCCTTCTTCTCAGCATCTCGAAACAAAAAAACACACATACACACATTATATTGATGCCGCATCCTTAACGGTCTTGGGTAGACGGCCTCTTCGCGCGCGTTAGTCTAATAGGGCCCCAACAAAGGTGCTACGGCCGCTATAATTGGGGAGCATAAGGCGTTTTCTTTTTCTACAGGATTTTTTTTTTTTTTTCATTTTTTGACGAATGGAAGAAAGGGGAAGAGACCAAGAGAAGAGAAGAGGATGAGAAGAGGAAGTGGTAGCGGGAAAGAGACATGAAGGATGAATATCAAGTTCGATGAAGTATCTCGAGACACGTATGCATCGATCCAGGCACGTATTATTGATAACGGGGGGGAGGGTGGCTCTGGTCCTGGCCTGGTCTGGGAAGTATACCGGGCTATATATATACGTAGGTATATATGCGATGAAGCTCCCCCAAGCTCCTTTTTAATTATTGTCTCTCTCTCTGCTGCGGAAGATAGAAGAACAGACACACAGACCAGACGGACAGAGAGAAACAAGGACAGGTGGGGGGGATCTCTTGATCCGACAACCCGGATCGACATAATATAATACTAAGGTTGGGGAGGAGGTGGTCGGCTCTCTATCCAGTCTTTACGTTACGTTAGATATTATTCTTAATAACTATAGATGCGCGTAGTAGCAGTAGCACGAAGGAAATGAATGACCCAAGTCGTTTTTTATGTTGCTGCTATCAACTATCAACCATGAATTATCAACTATCATCTATCAGCTATCATCGTCATGTCGGATCGTGTTTCTACTAGGTATGCCCTCAAGTGCCGCGCACGGAGACACACGGTGGAGTGAGTAGATCTCGGAATTTTTGGTAGGTACCTAGGTTAGGTATTCTTAGTCATCTACTCCAGCGTGTGTGTCTTCGTTGGCACCTGAGGGAGGACCTGTGATAGTAGGTAGTTCGTGGCTCGATTTTCAGGGGATAAATCACTAGGTACTTGTGTTCTCAGGGGTATATATATACCTTATATATATAGGAGGTATATCTACTGTGTATGTCTCCCTTCTGTCGAATGGGAGTTCCAGCTCGGCCGTGTCGTCCGCCATCTGGGTCACGTGCATATATCTAAGTATTTAAAGTAAGTAACCCTCTTTTTTTGGAGGAAGTATGGACTATAGACTTTTTCAATGGGAGTAATACGATAGTTTAGGTATGTTTAATTTCAATTACTGACAGTCATTCACAGCGTGGACTGGTGTGGAACATTATGTACGTATATGGATAACTTATACATAAGTTATGTGACCATGTAAATCATATATGTAGGAGATATGTGACTTATGTACGGGTTGCATAGATGCTACCGGGAGTAGCTAGCCGTAACGACGCTTTTAGTGTAGGTAGGTATCTACGTCAGTACCTTAGGTAGGTATATATTTGGGAGGTATATATACCTGGTATTTTGTATTTTACCTCCAAAAGCCAAAAGGAGCTGTCCAGCTGCCGCACTTTCTCGGCCCCACTTTAGGATACTTGGCTGACCACGCCGCCACGAGACCACGCGGGGTTCCGATCTTACTATGGGGCTAACCTAGCCTATGTTAGTACGCAGGCCTACATATTAATAGCGCGAGATGAGATTCCAAGATCAGCTCTCAAAGGATTTATATATAAAGTCGGATATTAAATCCTTGTGTAATCGGAGTTAAGGATTTTTTTTTCCTAGTGTCATGCCTCATTTTTTGTGGTGTAACTTGAAAGCCCGGGATAGCCGGGGACTAGTAAGTAATACTTATACGGTACGAAATGAGAGACCTCGTTTGATAGGTATGGAAAAAAGAAGGCTTTGTATTTCTGGAAAAGCACCATTGGCATTATTGCGTTAGACAGGAATGGAAGGTATATGCCGTATGATGTCATGCATTATGTTATGATCCAGGTGAAGGAGAATTGCGGTGTTAGAAAGATGAGCGCGTTTGAGTTGCTGCCCGCAACATTGTCGATGTGCTCCTGAAGTGTAAAGCTTTCCTGAAGGGCAAAAAAAAAAAATGACGGCTGTAGTAAGCGAGATACCTACCTAAGATACCTAGGGAGTTGTACGAACTGCTAAAGACGAGCTCGAGTTGGATTGCCGAATATAACCATGCGGCACCTACTTCGTTAGTGCGTGGATGCGATGGAGGGCGGTGGAGGAGCAGAGGGGTTTGCTGGGAATAGGCTCAATGGTTCGACCAAAGGCGAATACCGATCGATAGCTCAACTGTCATCTGCCGGTAAAATGCACCAGGGCGATTCCGAATACGCTTAGGATCCTACATCGAGTCGTTTTTCCAGTGGGAATCTGGTATAAGCCCGGGGAACCCAGATACGCATGTACCTAATGTAAGGTAAGTATATAATTACCACCAGGGTTCCGTTCTTTGATCCTTAAGGGAAAGTGGATTGGTAAGGAAACTGGGGGGGTTTTGCTTTCGTTGAATCAGAAGACTGTGGTTAGTAATAGGTAAAAGACCATCTGACATGCAAATTTCCAAGGTCTTTGTGCTGTTCCGCAGGGCGAGATAGTGGCGCTTTAAGTTTCTCCGTTCTGGAAGCTTGGGGGCGCGACCGCAGGCAGTCATTCTGATACGCGTCGCGTACCTTGGGCGATAGTACCGACTTATGTAAAGTCAAGCTGTGTGAAAGTCTGGAGAGATTAAGAGAAGCCGTGAAAACTGCGAAGGCCGAAGAAGACCGGATTGCTCGTCAAGAAGTCTTACATAAGTACGCCCACGATTTACTTGCCGAATTGAAACTTGATAAAAGAAATTGCATCATTGGAGAAGATATACGATAAAACGACGAGGATGATTTTGAAGTTCTGTACTATGTATGTAACCACCTGCATGTTTAAGTCAAATAAGTTAGCTAGTACTAAGTATCTGTAAAAGCCATCGGAGAGATGCCGGTAAATCGCGGGGCAACTTAAAAAGATCAACTAAAAAGCTCGCAATTAGAAACTATTTGATTGGCTAATACCGTCCCAGTCAGCCCAATAAACCCCGTCTTAGCAGCTTTTACCCCACTTTCCATAGTTCGGGTAGTTTGCGTAAGTTGCGTTTACCAGATACAGACCTTGAACCCACTTCTAGACCCATTTCCCCCCCATCTCCCGTCCACTTGGGGTTACTTTTTTTTGTTCGACCTCTCATCTTTTCTCCACCCCCATCAGATCCTGGGCGAGTCTACCTCATCAAATCCCATATTCAACCCGTACATAACCTAACCTAACTAGAGCAAAGCACGACAGTCATGCATGGCGTACAGAGCCCGGGTAGCTCGTATGTAAGTGGTCAGATCAAGACTTGGAGTAGCGCGTTGCTACGAAGAATGTACTATGTAAGCGTGTGGATATGCGAGTGAATATGCGAGGAGACGAGTAGAGAGAGGAGAGAGAAAGATGAGGAGGAGGGGGGTTTCATGAATGCAGTTGAAACCCTTTTTTCTAATCATTCATGTACCTTCCGATGTCTCTTCTTAACAAAGCCAGGTAGTACAAGCAATATTAAGTAGGTTTGGTATTTATATCTGTTCGTTCCCCCTTTTCTCAAGCTTGATTTACTTGTCTTCCGTTCTCTCCGGTTTGCACAAGCTTAGCTATCCATCTGTACCCCTTGCCTGGGCTTCTTTCGTCTACCTAGTAACACCAATCTTACTCCTTGAAATCGTAAACATGGTCGCCAACGAGAAGCCCGCTTCTACCTTTAGGTACAGCGAGAAGCCGGTGTATACCACCTCCAATGGCTTTCCTGTCGAGCATCCGTCTAAGTGGCAGCGAGTCGGCACTCATGGCCCTCTCCTGCTCCAAGACTTCCACTTGATTGACCTCCTCGCCCACTTTGACCGCGAGCGTATCCCCGAGCGTGTCGTTCATGCCAAGGGCGCTGGTGCCTACGGTGAATTCGAGGTTACCGACGACATCAGCGATATCAGCTCTATTGATATGCTGACTGGTGTTGGAAAAAAGACGCCGGCCGTCGTTAGATTCTCTACCGTCGGTGGTGAAAAGGGGTCAGCCGACAGCGCTAGAGATCCCCGAGGTATGGCGCTTGTTGGCATAGAATACCTGTTAATACTCGATTGTTAACCGGGACTATAGGATTCGCTATCAAGTTCTACACGCAGGAGGGTAACTGGGATTGGGTATACAACAACACACCCATTTTCTTCCTCCGAGATCCCACCAACTTCCCTCTCTTCATCCACACTCAGAAGCGCAACCCTCAGACCAACCTGAAGGATGCTACCATGTTCTGGGACTACTTGGTAAGTGTATATTCAATTGGTTCGCAGCCTCCGTTCTCTCTCTCCTTGAGCCACAAGCTGGCTTCCGAGGCTGTGGAATCTCTCTCTCTCTATAGATATATCTTATAAGAAAAACAAGTGCTAATGTCATATATCTTAGTCCACACATCAAGAGGCCATCCACCAAGTTATGCACCTCTTCTCCGACCGTGGAACCCCTTATTCATACCGGTTTATGAACGGTTACTCTGGCCACACCCACAAATGGACTAAGCCCGACGGCTCCTTTGTCTACGTCCAGGTACACCTAAAGACAGACCAAGGAAGCAAGACCCTTACCAACGCAGAGGCTGGCAAGCTGGCTTCTGACAATCCCGACTTCGCCACCCAGGATCTATTCGAGGCTATCCAAAAGGGCGAGTACCCAAGCTGGACCGTCTACGTACAAGTCTTGACCCCAGAACAAGCCGAGAAGTTCAAGTGGAACATCTTTGACTTGACCAAGGTCTGGCCACAGGCTGAGGTACCTCTCCGACGGTTCGGCAAGTTAACTCTCAACAAGAACGTAGAGAACTACTTCGCCGAGATTGAGCAGGTTGCTTTCTCCCCGTCGCATCTCGTCCCTGGTGTCGAGCCATCGGCAGACCCCGTGCTTCAATCCCGTCTATTCTCCTACCCCGATACCCACCGGCACAGACTTGGCGTCAACTACCAACAAATTCCCGTAAACGCACCACTTCACGCTTTCAACCCCTTCCAGCGTGACGGTGCCATGTCCGTGAACGGCAACTACGGCGCCAACCCCAACTACCCCAGCAGCTACCGCGCCTTAACATTCCAGTCCGTCAAGCCTACGAACCCCCACGAGAAGTGGGCCGGAGCCGCCGTCAGCGACCTCTTCGACGAGATCCAGCCCCACGACTACGAGCAGGCCCACGGCCTCTGGAAGGTCCTCGGCCGGACCCCGGGCCAGCAGGAGAACTTCGTCAACAACGTCGCCGTCCACCTCAAGGACGCCCACAAGGACACCCGGCAGCGCACCTACGACATGTTCACCAAGGTCAACCCCGAGCTCGGCTCTGCCATTAAATCTGCGACCGAGAAGAATGTTAAGCTATGAATGGGAATGTGAGTGTGGGACGAGGAGAGGGTATGGTGATGATGATGATGAAGATCTAGGTAATGTGGTAAAGAATGATGAAATGTTCTACTACATGAGAAACGTAAAAAATAAAAAAGACAAAGACAGAGACAGAGACTTCCCCTCCACCTAGTGCTGCCTACAGATATTCAGCCACGGTAATTTAAAAGGTTGACTTACTTATTGGGTACTTATTATGTGATTTCTTTTCGTAGAGTGGTGATACGTTGGCTGTATTGTATGTGATGATGATGTCTACGTTCGACGACTACTGAGGTACATACCTAAACAGCAACACCTACTGCTATAGTTAGTAAGGATCTCCATACATGGTGTTTATACCTAGGTATCTTGTGCTAGTTACATGAAATAAATATCCTTAGTAGCCATATCCGAAACCATCAAAGCTGTTAACGGGGATTAAGAGGAGTCCTTGGAGGATGGTTAATTAGTACTGGCCTTTGGAGAAAGGTGATCGATCGCCTCCTCGTTTCTTTACGGTTTCGATAACTATTAAAATAGGTAGTAAACTCAGGACCAACATACCACCATCATCAGCATCAACATCAGCATCAGTATCACGAACTTGGTTAGTTAGCTACCAAGAGCATTTTTTTTTGTTTATTATTTTTTTTTATAAAAAAAAGCAAAACGCATGAACCAGTCTTTGATTACCGTCTTAATGTAAATTTAATTCATCTCGACATCTCCAATTCGTGATATCTTTCATATCATATAAGAAAAAAAAAGAAAAGGATGGCCATGCATGCCCCAATCCCAACGCTATTCGAAGCCATCAGACTTTAAATAAAAGAAGAAAAGACTAGATAAGGCACCTGTGTTTTATCCAGACCCTCGTTTACCGAGAGTCGAGTTGTGCAAAAAGGACAGAACCGGCTAACTCCAAGGCCGAATCCGAATCGTATTAGCTATCCACTGGCCCATTTTAAGATAGCTTTAAAAAAGAAGAATCCAGACTAGGTACGGTTCATACGCGACTGCCGCGCCTCATCTCTCTGTATAAATGCCTCCGCTTCGAAGCGGCCGACCCCTAATCGTGCCGCTGCTGCTGCATCTGATTGGCGAGGTTCATGTGCATCAGGGCGTCGTGCTGCCACTCATCCTCCTGCCCCGCGCTGCTTTGCCTGCGATCCCACATGTCCATGCCCACGCCTCCGTTCGAACCGTCGCGGCTGTCAAGACCCGGCAGACGGATCTGCGGGGGTAGCTGCTGCTGGTGGTGGTACTGCTGCCTCGACGAGCTGAAGCGGTCCATATCGGCAATTCTCTCGTTGCTAGCGGAGAGGTCTATGGGTTGGGGTAAGGCCGACATTTTGTTCATCTGGTGGTCCAGCTCTTCCTGTTCCAATATCTGCGGGGCGTGTTCCATATTTCTCAGCGACGAGTTGGCGCCGGGAGCGTTGTTGCTCCGAATGCTACCCACACTGACGCGGTGGTTCTCTCCCGTTCCGTCGCCGCCCTCCACGCTAATGGAGTCCGGGTCGCGGATTGCGAATTGCGCGACCGTGCGCATCTTCCGAGTGACCCAGCTGGCCAAGATCTTTCCACGCTGCTTCTCGCCGAGTCGGCTACGGGGGAAATCGCCTTTGTTAACGAAGGCAACTATATCAACTACGATCTGGTGATCGTTCAGAATAGCATTTACGATGACGGGGACAATAGACGCGAGATAAGCCTTGCGTGATACTTCCACAAGGACGACTACGAGACCACCTGCTTGGAAGACAGCGCTGGATATCGATGTTAGCTCTGGGCGAACACTTTGGCACAGTTGAACTTACCAGCCACCGGGAACAATGTTTCGATGAGATTTCTCGACCGAGGCCTCTATATCCATAGGGAAATGGCTCAAACCGTTAATCTCGAAGGTCTCGCCGATGTTACCTAGTACGAAAAGAACTTGCATATCCACTTGAGCTCCACCCGGTCCAATAGGCCGACTGACGTTATGAAGAAAGCCAAGATCTCCAGTCCGGACATAACTGATGTTGGGATCGCCGTCGATCGTACGTCCATCGAAGCGCTCGGCGTCAAAGGGGTCTCTGGACCCATAAAACGCCTTGACGCACGCTTCTGAATCGACCCAGATCTCTCCATACTCCCCATCCGTACAGAGGAGCCGGCTCTCTGGATTGACGATAGCTATTTGGGTTGAAACAGGTACCATACCGGAATCTTGGACTAATAGGGCCTTGGGATCTGATTCGGGATCTACAGGGACGATTAAGCCTCTGCGAAGTGCTCGCTGGTCAAGCCAAAGCTCGATAGGCTCGATGCACATATACGACCGCGACGCAATCATCGGATTGAGCACGTGCGAATATACCGTGTTTATAGACGTCCTATCGAGGCCAGTCGCCGCAAAATGGAGTCTGACCTTTTGGAATATATCAACGCGGGGCCTTCCTTCAGCCGTGATCATCATGTTCTTCAGTTCGTGCATGGCGAACCCCTTGCCGGGCATTGTATTCATGGCGTGGTCGAGCATCTGAGGCGTTGCGTACGTGTCTTTTATCTTATAACGGCTCAGCGTCAAAAAGAGTGAGATGGGATTTTGCGCAAACTCGACAGGAGAAAGCAGGTAAGTGGGCGTGCCTATATAGATACCCATTAAACATGAATGGATAAATCCTAAGCCTGTGGTGCTTCTGACGCAGCCGAGTACCGGTCTGGAACTCGTCATCTGGCAAGTTTCCTTTTGAACCTTGCACATCCCTAAAATAGTGTCATGGCCAAGCTGCACCGAAATTCTCCGCTGATCTGGCGTCCAGTATGCCCATATTATAACCGGATATCCAGGTTGAATCCAGGCGGGATCGACGGTGATACCAAGGTCACGCAGCCCGCTGTTCTGTTTTGGCGGCTTTGAGGTATTAAACACGTTCGGAACGTTGATTTTGAGGAACTGGGCGGACTGTTTGATGTGCTGGGAGACACCCTTCGATTTGAGGAGGTGATCTACCTCATTATTAACAAGAACAGCTTTAACGTTATAGTCATTAATGAGATGAAGGAAAGCCGGCACGTCTTCGTTCAATCGACGTTCGTCCATCGGCGCAGTTGGTATGATGACAGCACCGAGGTTAATGCAAGCATGGACGGCGAAGACGTAATCTTCAGAATGCGTATACATGAGCATGACATGGTCGCGGGGCCGTATATTTACCTTGTTACGGAGATACAGCGCCACAGCAGCAATCTTAGTATCAAACTTCCTCCAAGTGATGCCTTTTCCTTCCTTTCCCCTCCCGTCAATGGTGCAATAGGAGAGCTCTTCTGGCTGCCGCGCTACTCGCCATTGGATGAGATCTGTGATGCTTAGGAAGTTGTTCAACGGCGTAGACGTGCGATCATCAATGACAACTTCGCGTCTGTCGATTCCCGAATACTGCTTATCAGCAGGTCCAAGGAAATCTCCTCGAGCGTCTGATGCTGTGGGTGACCAAATACCACCCATTGGGTCGACTCCAATGGGCAGGTTTAGCACAGCATGTTCGACACCAAATTTGACATGAACACATGGTAAATTGCCTAGGTCGAATTCCCTCCGGCAAAGCATGTTTCCTATCTCTCGCCTGCCGTTCTTGGTTACCCGAGGTAAGGAGTTCGGTGCCGTGATCATAACGCAATAAACCCTTAAGTGGTGTTCCTGCATAAGAACTTCCATGCATCTTTCTGAGAGCGTGTCTAGCAACGCGGTGTCTAGCTGCCTAGGCGGACCACCGGACGTTGCTGGAGCTGTTGAAGCTGCCGACGACTCCAATACCACTATTGGTAGATGCTCGTCGTTGACAAAGACGTCAAACGCAGAACAATCAAATACTTGCTTATTCAAATTTCGAAGGATGCTGACAATTATGTGTTGTACGAAGAAATACCGATGCTCAGCAACTTCGTGGCCATGCTCAACCCATTCGACTTTCTGTCGAATGCGGTCTTCGTATAATCCGAGCACGAAGATCTTCCCTTCAATTACAGTCCCAAGCAGACCAGTCCTCAGAAACTCCGGTTCTACTGCTGTAGGCGTTGGATCTCCTGGCTCGAATTTATAGGGTCTAGCATGAAAGATCTGTTCTGTATGCTTGGGCAACGCCCAAAACCCACCTGAAAGAGAAGGAGAATCCACCCAGATCTCTCCAATGGAATGCGGAGAAGTTAGAAGCCCCGTTTCGGGGTCAACAACAGCGAGAGTGGCGTCGGGAATGGGGTATCCGAAAGCACCTACCCGAACGGTGCCTGGCTCAGAATTCGCCTTTTTTCGAGCATCTTCTCCTATAGCTACGACAACGACTTCGTTCGTCTTGAGAGCTTCCCTGTCCAGCAGAACTTCGCCGAGGTCATTCTTAGCGTCGTGTTCTTTTGTAGTCGTTGTGCCGCCTCCAAGGAGACTTCCAAAGCCGTTTGATGGTGCCGGTTTTTCTTTTTCCTTCTCCTTCTCCTTATCTTTCTCTTCCTCCTTATCGGTTTCCGAGCCGGATTCCGCGTCAATATCTAATTTTAACGGGCATCCCATACGTTCTTCACCACCTAACCAATCCCGGACGCTAATAACCATGCCTCCATGTTCGGGCAAACATAACATTGGGGCGACTACCTCCCTAGCTCTAGGATTTCGTAAAGGTCGAAGCCATCGATCTGCTAATACTTCGTGGAACTCGCTATCCACCGTCAGGGTGTCGATTAGACAAAGCTTGACATGTTGAAAGTTCGGCTCCATGCCTTTCTTGAAATTTCGCGTTGTCATAGGGTCTTGCTGATAGTTGAAAGCAGCAGTTCTCAGGCCGGGATAATCCGCAACCATAAGCGTAGCCTTGTATTTAGTGATGAGATGAGCATAGAGACCAGGAGAATTTACCGCTTTGTTCTCAACCCACACAGTCGTATGACCGCTGTATATGTTAAGAAGAACGCCTAGAATCATGCCAATACCTTGGCGAGGGTCGAGGTAGGATAAAAGAATCTCGCTGCTGGCGCCACCCCCTATGAGACGCCCGTTCTTGTCCCTAAGGGTGCGATTGAAAGTGTCGCTAGACCCACTGGGAACGGTCTGAATTATAGCACTGAGACAGGCCATTTGGTGCATTATAGTACGGTGGCTAAGTACCACACCTCGAAGATCTCCTGTTGGAGCTCTTGAGAATTCGATGTATGCTAGATCAGGGACGGATAAAGGAGGTACGTCATCTTTCTTCTTTGGATGATAACTTCCAAATTCATTGGTCTTCCACCATTCAACCCCTTTGGGCCAGTTCAGTTTCTGCGTGGTGATGTCTCGCTGAAAAGACTTCAAGTTGTTGTCGGTAGTTAAGGCTAGATGTGCCTGCGTGGAAGTTAATATGAGATTTAATTTTGGGTAATCCTGTAAGTCGTTAATAGGGACTGCGACAACGCCCGCGATAAAACAGCCCAGCAGGGCGATCGCAAAGTCAATGACCTCCGAGTCCCTATAAATAAGCGCAACACGATCCCCACGGTATAGGGAACTCTTGTCACGAATAACTTGGGCTACTTTCTCTGCTCGGGAAGCAAGCTTATCCCAGGTGATAGACGCTATCTCCTTCCCCTTACTATCAAGCACCCAATATGCTGGGAGCTTTCCAGTAGTGCGCCCCCTGTGTCTTAGCACAGCAGCAATGTTGTCAAAATTCGACATGGCCGTATTTTCATCGTGTGGGTCAACGATAGCAAATGGCAATTCTCGTGGTTCGAGGGGCATCTGATACTCTAGAGCTTCAGGGGGAGGCAAATCGTTTGCAGTGAGCATCGGCGGAGCCATAGCGGCGGTAGGTGAGAAGGCGTCACTAGATGAATATCTGTGAACACCACCGCCATATTCGCCGCCACCACCACCGCCGGCGCCGGGACCTTGGTCGTATGACTGTTGACCAGCAAAATCGGAAAAATACACCTGGGAGTCTACCATCGTGCCGGTCCGACTGTCATACGGGTTTTGCGGCTGTGGTTGTCCATATCCTCCTTGGTGCTCCGGCTTGAAAGCATAGTCCCCCGAAACCATCGTTCCTGACCGCGTAGGTGAGTCGGATACCATTGTCTGGGAATAGCTAGGAGTAGGAATAAGGAATAGCGAATCACGTTGATTCATGCTTGGACGCGAATCGGCCAGGGGCCCGCCTGGCCGTAATAACCCAGCCGGATGCTCGGCGCCATAGGGGAAACCCGAGCTGGGTATTCCAGATGATTGGGGTCGCCAATCGATGGGAGATTTGATAGTCGAGGGGGAATACGCGTCACTGAGGTCGGGGCTAGCGGTATTTAAAGCGGCATATGCTGCATCTCTATGCCCTTCGCTCGTATTAGGGGTATCATCGTCTACAGTATGTATTCGTAAGCCTCGAGTGGCTTCAGTTAATGCGCCGGGGCCGAGATATTGCGAAAGTAGCTGGGTTCGCCGCTTTTGAAAGCTGCAGGCGAAACGAGACGTGTTAGCATGACCAAGACCAAGCATAGAAGTTGGATGCGACGACACGTTAAGAGGAAGGTCTAACGATATGCACCATAATATTGAAGACAAGACCTTACCCCTTCTCCGTAATATCGCCTTCCTATACCAGAACTCGTCGTTAGTTTGCGTTCAATGGCTTTACTTAGGTATATGTTGTGCCTCGTACCCCGCCGCTGCTGGCGGTAAGGGTATCGCGAGCCGAACAAGGGGAGAAATAAATGAAAGCCAACTCACCTGAAGCTCTTTCTCCAATTCGTCCAACTTCTCCTGCAGGTCTGGATTCAATTGCGCCATGTCGGTTGCTCGTCCACTAGTACAAGAAGAAAGAAGAGCGCAGAAAGGTTGACGACCGTCTCTTCAGCCGGATCACCCGATTCAAAAAAGCGATTCAAGAAAAAGCGAGGCCCGTGACGTCAAATCGTTTCGGGAGGGTGATAATAGGTGATTTCTCTTCCTCTTCTAACCTATCACAACAAGATATAACTAGGTACCAACTAATAATACCTTAGCTAGATATAAAATAAGGGTATCATGGTAATAATAAAAAAACAGCCGTGGACTACAAGTTGGGCAGATATGTATTCGAAGAAAAGGATCATTTAAAAAAGGTTTAATGGGAACATGAGAATAATTCAACTCTGAGAAACAGAAACGTTCAGAACCCTGATAGGTATTCTGGCTGTGCCTAATCTACCTAAAATTTAAAAACCTTTAGGTAGGTGCGGGTACCTTAGGTAGTGTAGGTAGGTACCTGTTTTTACGAGTGATCTTCAAGTTTGCGCTGGTAATTGATTGTAATTGGTCGCAATTAGTCGCAATAAGGTTGCGAAGAGCACGTATACTAGGGCAATACGAAGTTTGATGTCCCAACCCACCGCTGCTACCAGTAGCGGCAGTGCCTAAAAGAAACGAAAATGGGAAGTAGTGGGACGGCCCTAGCAGCGCTTATTGATCAATTATAGCGCTTGCGGGCTACTTGCTTTGATGTACCTACGTTATTAGGTAGGCTATCTAGGTACCTAGTGCCCGTGTCACGAGACGCTCCGGCCCGTCTGTCTCCGCGAGCGGAATACGGTGAAACCCGGCAGCCGCGAGTTAGGCGTTTCAATTACAAAAGTTATTTTTTTTTTCTCTCTCGCTCTTTATTAGAAAAACTTTCTACTTTTTCTACCACTTCTCTTCTAGGTGTATCAGGACTCGCAACCAGGTTCAATGGATATTTTCCAGTCACAACCAAGAAAATAGCAAGCATGGATATTTTACTTCTCAATTCCCTTATTATGGGAAAGCTGGTCGTAATCATGTCCAGTGATTAGCCTCAAGCCCTGAACCGCTTTCTTGTTTCAACTTGAGAGTTCCTTTGGAAAAGAAACATGATATCATTCGCCACTGGATCAACCTCTGGAGGAGACTTGAACGGCTACAGTTACTAACAGCTCTTTTAAAACATGATCAGCATTCCGCTTACCTTTGTTTGAGGTCGAATATTTTACCCCCTCAAGAATCCAGCCGTTGCTCAGGTCGTAGGCCCAGCCATCAGCTGGTCTGTTGGTCTGTATAGCTGCCATAATGTTATAATGTTGTCAAGTAAGTCTACATTTACATTCGAATATTTTTACACCATCTTCCTGATGAAATCAACGCATTCACAGACCTGTTCTGAAATTTGCTTGTTGAGAAAATGCATTGAGCTCTACTGAATACCTATTGAAAATCTTCTTGACGTAACGCTCACACTTTCTCGTATGTAACCTTCGCTGACCAATAATATAGGTATATGCTATGATCATTAAATCATGCATCTATTTGGGGTCCCCTTGATGTAGATTCCCTTTAGACTCCTGGTTCTCCTTGTGTGTATACACATTGCTTCTTTATGATGGACAATGCGGTTGTTATAGGCGAGTCTTTCAAGAGGGATTACTTGTCTATTGTGCTTGAACAACGCCAGGATCAAACAATTTTATGCCATTGCGACGATTTTCAAAAGGATTTGTTTCGTGACTAGTATATAATTACGTAGTTTTTATCGGCTTGAGTTCTTGGGCTTTTTAGCAAATCTCAGTTGATTTTGGTTCGAGAATCCACGCTTAATCGACTTCGTTCCGTTGCTTTCTTGTCCTGGCGGTTGAGCAGGGCTGACTACCTCGTCCATAAGCTACGTTGAACTCGGGCCTTGCACTATTAGGTGATAGACCACTTACCTTGTCGGTGATGGATTACGACCAGAATCAGTACCCCAACGGGGAGCTTACCGCTACGTACGATGGTGACTCGGCAAGTATTTTTCAATCTATGAATTTTGACGATCCCGTATTTACTACAGATTTATTTGAGACACAAGATTTCGTTGAACAACCTCCTTTCCCAGCTGCTGGTCCATCTACCAATGTGCCAAAAGCTCACGTTTCCCAGGTTCAAAACTATGAACCGACTCTTACCATGCCAGAACCAATTCACCCGGCTCCTCAAGACTACATAAACCCGAACTTTCTAAGCAATTCCGGTAATATGACAGTTTCTACCTTCCAGCAGGAACAGACTGGTACGTATAATCCTATAAACGGGAGTCGCCCGGTTACCAACACCCATGACTTCACAGCCACCTCGCCAGGATATCCTGTGAATTATGCACAATATCAACCTCCTCAGTTTTCACCAGCCCCTCATCCTTATCAACAATACCACCCTCATCAATCTCTCCCACCTCTCCAACCCCTTCAACCTCTCCAGCCTCTTCAAACTCCTCGGCAAATCCAACATCCGCAGCAATTTGGTTCGTATCCAAATCCCCGGCGAGCCAGTGAGGTGACCATATTGAGCGCGGAGGACGATCATGACGAAAGCCTAACAAAAGACGGAAAACGGGACATATTTTCGCTCAGAAGAAGCAGAATACCATCGCCGGTTCTCATTCACCATGAGCCCCCTTTGAGGCGCCCTGCCAGTGGGCCTAATGGAGTATCGCTAAGAAGCGGCCAGATACCTCGAGTCACAAGGAAGAAAGACCCGAAACCGAACCCTCGGGAATGGTACGGGTCTCCACCATCTCCCCCACAGAGTTGGGGTCCTAAGGATAAAAATGGCCGTCATCTTTTCAAGTATACGGAATGCGGAGAGCTTGAGAGGGGTAAAATGTATACGGAACGCGAAATACGCAGGTATCTCTTCGGTCCCAAAAGGGACGACACGTTTCCGCCACCGACACGGTTGACTGGGGTACCAGAGGTGCAGGACAAGATCCGCCATGGTCTTACATTATGGATTGGCTGGGTCGCGCCTCAGTCCAACGATAGATACCCCTTAGCAACCCAATCCCAGAAGTGTCGATTTGCCGACTGTGAGGACTCGCAGAATACCATCAGGACAGGATTCCCGCGTATTATCCTTGATGAGCGGATGAACGACGACGGTGAAGTGATTGATCCGTACCACAATGCTGGTTACATGCATCTATATTGCTTCGAGAAGCATTTTGATCTCATCGACGCCCTCATTCACCTTGACGTCCGCCCAGATGAGAGGAATTTCAAGCACGAGGATAACCTCTTTAAGTTGACAAGACAATACTCTGAAATGCGGACCGTAGTCGATCTATGGTGGCACGACGAATACCCAAAGTTCGTCGAGGCCAGATCAAGGGGGAAAAGACGGGATCATAGCAGTTATAAGACTTCCCTAAGCGCCCGGCTGGTTGCTTACGCACTCGAAAACAGCAGCGATGCTCGTCTGAAGCTGCGCGAAGAGAGAGGCGGTGCCAACATGTCGAAACACAAAGGGGACCTCGCCAAGCAAAAGTTTTTGAGGCAATGCAGAAATTTTGGATTACTGGATGAGAACGATGATCCGATTCCCGGTGCTCATGAACAGCTACCTGAGCTTATGTCCAAAAAGCGCCAAGCAAAGAAATTGGCTCGAACCGCTGGGCGTAGAGACGTTTCGCCGCCATTAGAGTCTCCATTTACACCAGTGTCAATGGAGTTTCCAAGCGCCCCGGAAGCTCCACAACAAAGTACTCCTGATATAAACCCAGACGACGACCAAAAAACCGCGCTGCCTTCTAGACAGCCCTCGCCTGTAGAACACTGCTTCCCAATACACCAGGGTCCGCCATATTCTTATGAACCCCCAACAACAGCAAACCACAATCAGTCAACACCGCCTTCTCCCACCAACCAGCAACCGAGTTCTAGCCCTATAGAAAGTACAGCGCATAAGCGAGACAGGGACGAAGTATTGATAGAAGATCAAAACTTGGGCATTCCTTGCGAGCCTGATCAGGGAAATCCAAAAAAGTTGCGGATAAGCCCTCCATTGTCACCCGCAATGCCTGAGACCGTGTATACCCAGACACCACGTTACACGGATCAACAGGACGGCACCGACAGCATACCTGGTGGTGGTTTACCGGAGGGAACGGAGGCAGGGTATTTGCCAACCCCCTCTCCCTCTCCCTTCTCGCATGAGTCTGTAGGTGTGAACATGGGATTTGATGTTAATGTTGATAGCACAACGTCTGTGGACGCCAGTTTCACAAAGAGTGTGGAGCACACCTATAACGAGGACAGAGAGGAAGCTCAGGTGACCTCGGTCGAGTTCTTGATCAATAGAGAAAGTAACGAGGGCGATGATCTTTTCGGTGGCCCTGCTGACGCGGCCGGACTCGCCGATCCAGTGACCCTTTGAGACAGTTTACCATTGGACACAGCTGTCCCGGAAGCAGAGACGGACCCGACGAATGGGCTGTCCATGTTGGTAAACGTCTTCGACTTGCGGTAAGTCTGAATGTAGGGGCATTTTAAGCATTCAGCGATACAGCGCTGGGATTTGACCTTCGGAGACGAATTGGGATGGGCGATTTGTAAGAAGGTTATCGTCCTACTTTTGCCACGTCTCGGGACGAGGTGAGTGTACCTATATAGTGCATGCAGTGGCAGTATAATTACGCTTCCAAGACCGGACATTGGAGCATAAATCAATATAGGTAAAATCAATAAAAAAATAAAGGGTTACTAAAATTACACATCTCAGCAACCGATTCTCTTCTACTTTCGATAAGCGACACTGTTTACTTGCCACGGTAACTTTCCCAGCTGTCGTATAATACCCTCCCTATATATAGCGCGTAAGTACTTACGCATACTCTATATACTTCGATGGATATCAAATGGGCTAGGAGATTAAGTAGATGTTCCATCTACTTCTATGTATATAATGTAAATGTATAATATCAGGACTTAACGATGAGAGATTTATAGCGAACAATCGTGGATTATTTAGACGTCCAGACAGCTGTTTCCGAACGACAATGTTGATTCTTCACATATCCGTATTAATCTCATGACTTGTGTAGACTGCTATTGACCAATGAGTAGACATTACATACATAGTGCATGTATGAATTGAATACCTAGCTACCAACTTGAATAATGGCTGGCTTAAACGGGTAATATAGACCTGGGCTATAGTCTATAGTGTATAAGTGATGCCAGCTGTAGGCCCCCCGGGCCCCGTCTTACTGCACGAACAAACGCAACTTTACTCTAATCCAGTTAGTTATTATTAGTAAGAGCCACAATAGTTAGATAACACCCGCTGTTCGCATAGTAAACGAGCATAGGTACATAATAAGTTATCGTATCGTCTCTTGGTATTAATGTAGTTTCTACCAGGCACATTTTAAACATCAGTTAAGACAGACAAGACGTAGTACCGAAACCGAAACCGAAGGGTAGGGTAGGATAGGATCGGAGAAGGAAGACCTTAATTTTAACTGGAACTTGTAACACGAAAATGATAAGAAAGAGCGAGATAGAGTCGAGACCGGAGTGACCGAAGAGGAACACATACATATCCAGGGTGGTACAGCTCCGTTGTTTTGATCAGCTCCCAAGCAAGCAACTACCTAAGCAAATCCCAGCAGGTCCTACCTAAAGGTTAGGTAAGTTTAAACGCTGTACAATATAATGTGTACAATATAATATGTACAATACATCAGGTATGTACGTGCCTTTTGCGTGTTGCCTGCCCATGCCGGAACTCGATTTGCGCTCTTGCAAGTGGAGTTTCCGATTAGCTGTGCCGCCCTTTCTTGTCCACTGCTGTGCGCTAGAACTGAATTAGATAGGGGGATGGATGGAGGCAAGGGCCATGTTAAAAAAAAAAAGTTGGGACCTGGTTTGTGTTGCACGCACACATCACTTTAATACATCACCTTCTATGCTTTTTGAGAAGATCCCAGATCCCCCAGGTTTACCAGGTTTACCAGAATTTACTACCTAGGTACGTACCTATGTAAATTGTCTACATGGGGAATATATTTTAACCCGGATCCGTCCGGCATTTTCTTCGCCTTTACTTTTATTTTTCTTCGTTTACTTATTTATTTTTATTTACTTGATATTATTATTTTTCATTGTTACGGAAAGACCGTTAAATAGATACGACAAGGGTTCGAAAAAGGAAATAAATAAATAAGAGCTTGGGGCGAGAGAGAAACAGACAGCGCGGCGCTGGAATTCAGGGTCACGTGCCTAGACACGGGAAAGTTTACCTAGCAAAAAGGTTAGGTAGGTTTAGGTAGGTACTGGTGCTGGTCTTGGTGCTGGTACTGGTACTGTAACCTAACCTTGATAACCTTGATAACCTGGGAAAGGACCGATGCCGTAGCGCGCTTCCCTTGGGGACGAATATAACGGCTTGAACGCTATGTGCATTCGCCCAAGCCACCTTCCTCCAAAACCCTCTTCCAACATATACCTACCTAGGTATTCAAGAGAAAACTAATCATTAGAAGAAACGCAAGTCTTCGCCCGGCAAGCGCAAACAACTTTTTACCTTCGCCCCATCAAGTGTCACATAAGATAAAAACGAGACAAGACAAAACGAGACAAAAAAGGGTGCCACTACGGCCACTGTCGCAATTGTTACCAATTGTCGCAAAAAGGAGGATGGCTAGACAGGACAGGATGAGAAATGCAAGTCAGCCTGCCTTGCAGGTCATTGTGCTGGTAAGTAAAAGCCGTTTCATCCCAATCATAGTTTCATCAGATGCAACCGGTTTGGAACGACGACCTTTGATTCGCCAGCAGTAGCAGCAATAGCTGCTTACAGCGTTGGCCCTCGACCACTTCGGGGGACCTGACTTGGGGGACATACATTGGGGTGCGCGCATGTGAAAAAATATCCGACCTCAGCCCGAGGGTGTTTTCGAAAATCGAATAAGGGTACTGGCTGGCTGCACTTGCGAATGGTTGGGTAAACCGATCATCGAGGAATCCCATTGGTTTGACTACCTAATAAAACTCGTTCCCGACCTGACGAAAACAAAGATGATTCCCGAGTCGATTTTTGGGAAGCGAAGGATCTATTCATTTTGTTGGATCGCAAGTCATTTGAACAAATATGACTTTTCGCGCCACCCTAGTTTCCGAGGACTTCTCTCTCTCTCTCTGTGGAAGAAGACGAAGCTTACTATAAACCGTATCCTTCTGCCAGACTCGACGGCCGGTCAAAAAAGAAAAAGAAAACAATTATGAAAAAGAGCAAACATCCAAGATAACGAACTAAAACCCAGCTATCGGATATAAGAAAAGCAAAGGTCACGTGTATTGGCTCATTGATTGTTTTTTTTATCAATTCCATCAATCTCCCAGTCTTCCTGAGAACAGGTGACGTCACCGAAACCATCTCTGTCTGTGCTGTACCTTGGACGGTACCTAGCAAGCCCACGGATTACGCCGGTACTTACCCAGGTACCTGCGCTCGAACTGCATGAGCGCACAGGCACCAATAGAACTTCAAAATGTCGTTGCATTTTCGGCATTTTGCTTCTCACACCGAGATTCCCGATTCGGATTACTAATGTGCAATTTTTTGAATTTTGAATTTTACATTGGTTAAGATACTAATATTGATTCTTCATTCTAGGGCGCGAGTGGTGGGCCGCTGGAAGACAATGTCACAGCTTTCCTCATACGGTCCGTTAAAACTAACTGGAGTCGGGGTTCATTACTTGCTCTCGATGGCGGCGTTCACATGTCTGCCATTACTAAAATCCTCGAGGAGACGCAGCCACCAGGTCTAGGTTCTGATATTGCGTTACCACATGTCTTAACGACGGGGCCCTTTGCGGGCATGGAAATCCACTACACCTCTGCATCAGCCAATGCACTTGAAGTATCAAGGAATCTCGTCGACTCGTACCTAGTAACTCACCCACATCTCGACCACATTAGCGGGTTCGTTCTCAATACTGCAGCTCCCCCGGGAACAAAGCCGAAAAGAATCGCTGGTTTACCCTCTACCATCTCAGCGTTTAAGACGCATATTTTCAACAATGTTATCTGGCCAAATTTATCAGACGAGAACAATGGTGCCGGTCTCGTGACTTATTTGCGCCTGGTAGAAGGGGGCAGTCCAGCTCTTGGGGAAGGAGCTGATAGAGGTTACCTAGAAGTCAGCGACGGCATCACGGTCAAAGTCTTTAGCGTCAGTCATGGACATTGCATTGAAAAGCATGCTCATAGGGGCTCGTCGTCTTCCTCACGCTTTGGAAGTATAGATGGTACATCCCTGCTGTCGCAAAGAGGTGGAAGTATCAATGGGGCTTTGGGGCCGCCTCCTGTCTTGAGGAATGGTAGTAGGGTCCAAACCATGGGGGACAACGACCGAGAATCAGTATGCGTCTATGACTCGAGTGCGTATTTCATAAAGGACGCATTCAGTGGTCGTGAAGTCCTGATGTTTGGCGACATGGAGCCCGATAGCATCTCATTGTCGCCAAGGAACATCGGAGTCTGGCTTGAAGCGGCTCCAAAAATCGCGACTGGCCACCTGGCTGCGATCTTTATCGAATGCTCGTACGACGACAGCCGGATGGACGACATGCTCTACGGTCATTTATCACCACGCTACGTCATTCAAGAGATGCAGACGCTCGCGGCAGAAGTCGAGAGAATTCGCCAAATCCCAACTAAGCTCGAATCGATTAAGAAACGCAAGAGAGAAACGGAGGACTCAGGCAGAAGAACTAACAGAACTATCGCCAGGGCTACTGACGGTCCACTTGTGGTCGACGACCGGCCCGTGTCGCCGAAATCAATGCGCCCACCAAAGAAGAGGTCCGACTCTAGCGAAAACACCATTTCTTCGCATATCACAACTTCTGCATCAGATATGAGTTTCAAGGATGCTAGTATACTACGGACCCCGAAGATGCCTAACGCTCTCCGAGGGCTAAAGGTAGTTATCATTCACACGAAGGAAAGTTTTAATGACGAAAAACCGGCTGGAGACACAATTTTAAAAGAGTTACTCGCACATGAGGAGAAAGCTAAGCTAGGCTGCGAATTTATCATATCGAGGAGGGGACAAAGCCTTATGTTCTGATCCAGGTTGGTTACACGTATGGCTGGGAAGTATTGGCGGATATAGCACTCAGGTGTGCTAGCATCCGGTGCTCGCCGGATTAGGTTATATGGTTTCTTTTCTTTTCTTTTCTTTTCTTTTCTTTTTTTTTCTTGTGAAACGAGTGAGCTGATTTCACTCAACATCTGGGTTAGAAGGGTTAGAAGGATGGTACTGGCGTTTCAGGGGTAAGCCGTCTTCGGAATCAAGACAGGCTTTGCGGTTACGGTAGGCGTCAGGGGGTAAAGATACCTGGATGAGGAGTTTAAAGTGTACCAGTTATTATGAAGAGGATACGCATCGCATGAATTCAACGAGACAGACGACGGACGAGATTTTTGTTTTATAATGTATTTATCACACTATTTTCGTTTGTTATAACATGGCACCTTTTTTCTCGGTCCCGATTCAACTTCGGGAACACTTATATTGCCCTCCGCGTAACGTTCCATCATCCCGGTCCTACGTCGAGTTCCCCGATTTAGAAACTATCGAAACTATTACATCACCATTAGACCACCCAACTTTGCAATGGCAATGGAATACTGAATACTAGTTTCTCGAAACTATAGGAGGTACCTAACTCACTCACTTCAAAAAGGTCCTAGATACGAAATGGTACACATTCGTAATCAGGATCCATAAAGGGCATCTTAAGAGAATTCTATAAGCGCTAAAAGTGGAAAGTCACCTCCGTTATTCCGCGCCGTCTGTCCTCCGGGTACTCGGGTAATTCCGCTAACCTTTTCGGCGACTTCGTCACCCCGCGTGTAACCGCACCTTGTTGCGGTATTATATGGACATATACTTATTATTACTCGGTACCCGCTGGGTCGGTTCGCATTAAGCCCCGCTTAGTTGGTCCCTCTGAGTCCTTTAAATTATCGAGCGCTAGGTGCTTACTTATATAGATTAGGTATTTTTAGGACCCCTGTTTTGGCGATCTATAGGATAAATCTCATATATTAGGTACTATCCCCATCCCCATCCCCAATGCCGCCTTCTTACCACCGGAACTCATTCTGGACAACAACAATAAGAAGGGCAAAAACACCCCTCTTTGTGCCACCACCTAGAATAACTACTACTGCTACTACGCCCCTTTCACTAAATACGGTGCGCTGCTACTCCGCCAACATGTCCACCTCGACCCAGCAGGAAGCCGCCATCAAGCGGAACCCGCACCCGGACTTCAAGAAGGTGGAGGCGTCGCGGCCGGACTGGGACAGCAGTTCGCAGTTCCGGTACACGAAGACGGCCGACCCGAACTGGTCCTTCGGCTCGGGCGCCAACGGCCAGCGGGCCCCGGACGCGGACGAGAAGAAGCACGTGTGCATCGACCCGCACGAGGCCGGGCGGCCGCCCGTAGCCAACTACAAGCTGCTGATCAGCGGGGTGGTGCCGCGGCCGATCGGGTTCGTGTCTTCGCAGGCGGCGGACGGCAGCGCGCGCAACCTGGCGCCGTTCTCGTACTTCAACCTGGTGAACCACGACCCGCCGCTGTTCGTGCTGGGGGTGGCGGCCTCGCTCGCGGCGCCGAAAGACACGCTGCGCAACCTGCGGGAGACGGGGGAGTGCGTGGTGAGCGTGATCGGGGAGGACTTTTTGGAGGCGGCGAACGCGGCGAGCGTGGACGCGCCGTACGGCGCGAGCGAGTGGGACGTGAGCGGGCTGACGCCGGTGTTCGACACGGCGGACGTGCGGGCGCCGCGCGTCGGGGAGGCCGTGTTCAGCGTCGAGTGCAGGCTCGAGAGCATCCGGGAGTTCGAGAGCCGGGCGAGCCCGGGGAGGACGTCCGGGTGCCTGGTGGTGCTGGAGGGCACGAGGTTCTGGGTGCGCGAGGACGCGCTCAACGAGGAGCGCAACCTGATTGATCCCGCGGTGCTGAGGCCCGTGAGCAGGCTGGGCGGGATCACGTATGCGAGGGTTACGGAGGCGGTGGAGATACAGAGGCCGAGCTTTAAGGGGGATGTTGGTGGGGAGGAGGGGTTGGAGAAGTTGAAGGGGAAGGGGGGAGGGGAGGATAGGATTTGAACCCGTGTGTCGTATCTAGAGAGTAGTACTTAGGTAGGTAGACAAGACTTCCTGAGAATTTTTTGGAGTGGTTTTACTTCAGTCGTTTAAGCCTGGGTAGTAGTAGTAGTAGAGTTAAATCGCCAGAAAGCGCAATACATAGAACAGGGCGAGGGAGAGCTGTAGAGCGGGCGATAGTTGATGAATCTGAAATTATTGTCATATGTCATCTAACTTAACATAGGGGGTTACAATAGAGAGTTTTCTAGTATGTAGTTGAATACGTTGGTCCTAAACCCCCGGGTAGATACTCAGAGAACGTTTCGTATAATTGCTTCATGGAGGCGCCAAGCCAAAAATTGAATATCGTATCGATCTCGCTTTCTTATTAGTTATTCCTGATTTCCCCCCTAAGCTCATGTATCTTGGACCCGGTAGTAGTAAACTTGAAGCCAACGTTAGAAACCCCAACTCATATCTCCATCGGACCAGTTATCGGTGCGCCACGGTACCATTAGCCGACCTATGTATAAGCTTACCCTAGCTTCTTCATCTTCACCCCAGTTCATGCGGGGAAGAGTCGACCGAGATCTCCGGGAATCTATATCAAACCCCACAGATCATCCACCTATCGCCGTTAAGATATCTCCATTCCAGCATCTCGGTTCGGCGTCTTGGCTTTGCGATGTTTCCAGCCCAAATAGCTATATAAAATCCTCCAACTTTGATATTAAACATTTCTATAGGAATATGTAAATAAATATATACCACTTCTAAGTCTATTCCCATTTGCTATGCACTTGACAGGCCCTTGTAACTCAAGCTGTTGGAGGAACTTGAAAAGAAAACTGTCTTCAGCCAGTTGATCTTGTAGTATATCAAAGATGCAGTTCGGCTTAAGTAACTCGCTTACAGTTACGCTCGCTCTCCTCCTATCCCCAGCCCTAGCAATGAGGAACTCCAAGATCCCACCTCGTCCCAATGTCGTACCGGGCCCCTACGTCGCCAGTAGAGCCATGCCCCTCTCGCCTCCGCGCGACCCAGGGCGACACTGCTACGTAAAGCAAGGCCGCGCCACGAGCCGCGACGACGCGCCGCACATAGTCGAAGCGCTGCGCGCGTGCAACGGCGGCGGCACCGTCGTGTTCGACAAGTCGTACGTGATCGGCTCGCCGCTGGATCTCACCTTCCTCAAGCACGTCGACATCGTGGTGACGGGGTCCATCGCCTTCGACGACGCCGACGTGTACTACTGGCAGGACCGCAGCTTCAAGTACGCGTTCCAGAATCAGAGCGTGTTCTGGAAGCTCGGCGGCAAGGACGTGAATATCTACGGCGATTTGAGCCTCGGCGAGGGGAGCAGCGTTATTGATGGGAGGGGCCAGGCGTATTGGGAGGAGCTGCAGACGAACAATGCTGTGAGTTTGAGTATTTTTTTTTCTTTTTTTTTTCGTAGTGATTAGAGTCAAACTAACGGTTGCCGATGCTGACGCTGGAGTTTGCAGCTGTATAGGCCGACGCTCTTTGCTTTTGACGGCATGAAAGGGGCTACCATGTCGAATCTTCGGATGCGCAATCCGCCCAACGTAATTTATAACTATAACAATTATCAAGGTGCTATATTGGTAGCTCTTTGCTAACATGTCTGTAGTGGTTTAACATCATCGCAAATAGTTCCGACATTATCATTAGCAATATGGACCTTCGTGCAGAGGTAAACCCCCTTATACAAAAGACTAAAGATACCTAGGTTAGGTACCTAGAGGTATTGACAACCATATAGTCACTCAACGACGTGAAAATAGCCAATTCGGACGGCTGGGATACCTACCGTTCAGACAACGTAGTAATCCAGGACTCATTTATTCGCAACACGGACGGTACGTCAAGACCAGCACCCAGCTACCTACGTCAAATAGTTACCTACTCCTAGGTACCTGTCTAGTTACTGACCGAAAAGACTGCGTATCCTTCAAGCCCAACAGCACCAACGTCGTGGTCCAGAACCTCGAGTGCGTCGGCTCGCACGGGATCAGCATCGGGTCGATCGGGCAGTACGTGGGGCAGACGGACGTGGTCGAGAACCTGCACGTGTACAACGTCTCGATGGCGAACGCCAGCGACTTCGCGCGCATCAAGGTCTGGCCCGGCGCCCAGACCAACTTCCAGACGCACCTCGTCGGCGGCGGCGGCTCCGGCTACGTCCGGAACGTCACGTACGACCTGCTTCGCAGCGTGAATAACGACAGGGCTATCACGATCACGCAGTGCTACGGGCAGAGCAACAAGACGTTGTGTAATGAATTCCCGGTAAGACGGTTTGACGGAGTTGCTTGCTTCCTTGGGAATATGTTCTATAGTGCTGATATATATCGTTGGATATTTTTTTTATATACGTGTATAGGCCAACCTAACGATCGAAGACGTTACTATAAAAAACGTGTACGGAACAACCTCTGCGAAGTTAGACCCGCAGGCGGGCTCGCTCGTATGCAGCGCGCCGGACGTAAGTTTTCTACCTAACCTCGTGCCTAAAGCATCGAGTTATTTCGAAATTGAGTACATTAGGTACCTCCTATCTAAGCCCTGCTAACACGAATCCCGGACATAGCGATGCAGCAATATCGAAGTCGAAAACATCACAGTCACCGTTCCGAGCGGGAAACCTCCTGTCTACGAGTGCAGGAATATGGACAACGACTTGTTACAGCTGACTTGCGTCGCAGAGTCGGAGGAGGACCGAGATACCTCGCAAGGCTAGGGCCTCTTGTTATTGAAGCAAACCGCTGTATTGTTTGGGGGGAGTGGATAGGTGTAAATACTTGTCGATATTGAAGATTGAACTTGAATAAATTGCAATAGTACCCAGGTAGATATATATTATACCCCTTACTGTTGATGGTTGAGTAGTATGGTCGTATACAACCTGGGTAACCTTGGTGTCCTTTGCATGTTCTTGCTTGTCTACAACTGGCTCTTATTGGCAGTAGTACGCTATAATAAAAGAGCTGTCTATCTTACTTAAACACACCATAGTAATTACTGCAGGTATATAACAAGATCAAGCCCAAAAGGTGACGCCAGCCGTACCAATACGACTCTGGACGTCAAGCGCCGAGCGAAGCGAAAACCACACCACTGCCGATCCGATCAGGGCCCTCGGCATAACAACCGGATTAAGCCATATACACCCTTAAAAACCTTGTCGAACTAGCATCAACACGAGACGTGAATCTCGTTCGTTGTATCGACGCTTCTCGGCCTCCTTGTATTCTGGCCTTGGAGCACCTTGCAACTTTGACTTGAACGCTGGACATATGTAGGTATGTACCCAAGGTAACCTAGCCTATGAGATACTGAATATTTCAATCGAAGGGGTGCTATCCGGATAAATATCGACCGCGGTGTCTATACTGCTACCCATTACGGGATGGGGGACTTATATTGCTACTCAGATAATTAATATTTCCACCATTAACATTACCGCTTTAGTCTAATTCCACAGGGCATGTCGTTCGACCTAGACAAGACCAAAATGGGTATAACATATAGGTACAATACCTACCTATATTCATATATATTGTATTTATACCTACCTCCTATATATATATAATCCACATCTCCCCTCACCATAAGAACCAAGCTTCCAAGCTTCCTTCTTCACACGCAGTAAAGAAACCACCCAGCCCCCAGCATAGTTTATTTTCCACGATGCACTTCCCCAGCACCAGCACCCTCCTCCCCCTCCTACTTCTCGCCGCGTCCAGCGCCTCCGCGGTCCGCACCATAATCCCCAAAACCAGCTTCAACTCGCAAGCCGACTTCGACGCGGCCTGGGCGTACAACTACCCGTGGGGCACGGACCACAACGGCGGCGCGCGGATGGCCCAGTCGCAAGCATCCCTGTCGGGAGACGGGGTGCTCACGCTCACCGCGCGAAAAGTCTCGGGCCAGAAGGACGCGACGCACGGCGGGCGCGCGATCAAGATCCACTACCTGTCGGGGGCGGTGCGCGCGCGGGCGCACTTCGCGGTGGCGCGGGGCGGGGGGTACGACTTCTTGGGCGAGTTCCGGGCGCCGACGGCGCGGGGCGCGTGGCCGGCGTTCTGGCTGACGGGGGTGGAGGGGTGGCCGCCGGAGATCGACGCGGCGGAGTGGAAGGGGACCGGGAAGGTATCGTTCAACACGTTCAACACGTCGAGCGAGCTCGCGTGGACGGACGTCGCGTACCCGAGCCCGGAGCGGTTCCACGCGGTCCGGTGCGAGGTGCGCGACGCGATGAACCAGCGCGACGTGCTGGTGAGGTTCTACCTGGACGGGCAGCTGGTGGCGACACAGGGCGGGGGGGATTTCCTCGGGAAGCCGATGTACTTGTGAGTGTTTGGTGTTGCGCTGGTCCCCGGGAAGGCTTGGTCTCTCTCGGTCTGCGAGGGGGCGCGAATGCTAACTGCGTGGTTGATTAGGATTATCAACTTGCAGATGGAAGGGTCCTCTGGGTCTCCGGGTCCTGCCAGCGGTAAGCACACGGGCCCGAAGCCGCGAAGTAATACACCTCCTGATGGATGCTCTCAAACTAATAGTAATAAAACCAGACACGCTATATCAAGTACGGAACCTGGAGGTATTAAGCTACAACCCATAGTCAGGGGATAAGTCAATAAGGAGGAAAGGCTGTTTGTGTAGATATATCACCTATGTAGGTAGTTATCCTAGGTACCTAGTATCAATATCTCCGTCTCAGTTCTTATGTACAAGCTTGGGATAATCCGGTATGATTAGGATGTGGTCCATAAACAAGCCCAACCAAAACGCCAAAGAATTAATCAATCGTAGAAAGCACTATTAAGCGACCTCCATCATCATCATCACGAACGCATTTTGTAGTTGGCTACCTATTGTAAAGAAAAATCCCGTATCCATCAGAAACAATGGCCATCTTACTAGGGTAAATAGGAGGTTGGGATCTCGTATTACCTATCTCCTCCATGATGGAGACCTATGAGGTATGTAAGTGAATCGCTTATTCCGCCTATACGAATAAGAGCCCGTAGTCGTGCCATCAACTACATGCCGACATATATCCATATAGATCCGCGTCTACAGGGTACACTAGTAGGAGGTACATATATATGCCGATGTCATCCATCAGCACTTAACACGGATCTGGTTAAACCTCCACTTGAAACGTCGCTTTCAGCCCAATTCATGACATGTTGCATAAGTAGGATTCAGCCCAGGATTAAGAATTAGATTCCCGCCCTGTAAGGCGCAGAATTTTACTTTAGGTCCCTTTTAGCGGACCTCTCCCCTACCCCCCGGCCACCTTACTCGAGAGCCTACCTCAATATGGCTGCCTAAATCATCCAGATATAGGTGTCTCAGACCATATATACACATATATATACCTCACATAAGGTAGTCCAGTCCGCCTCCCGCCCCCTCCCTTTCCTCTATCCTCGACTAACAAACCCTAAATAAATAAAATAGGTAGGTAGGTAGGCATCTAGATGTCTAGGAATATTCTCCGCTTTGCATCCAAAAAAAGTCCTTATCATAGGTATCATATCAACCCACCCCCATCGCTCTTCATCCCTTCTCCTCCCCTCCTCGTATATCGAACCTAACCTATACCGTATATCGAAACCGAGCGGAAAGGGGGCTTGTGCGCCAGACTGTCCGATCCTCAACCGGTATATACATACATACCTACCTTAGGTAGGTACCTAACCTAGCCTATATATAAGCCCGTCCCGTTCTCCGCATGTACTTGCTTGCATGCGCACCGAGTAAGAGAAAAAAAAAAAGAAGCAGAGGAAAAAAAACTCCGACCATGCAACTTATTTTTTATACAATCCGTACGCCGACCCGCCAGATCTTATTATGCCTTATGTAGCAGCATATCCTATCCTATCCGCCCCCCCTCGTCTCATATTAACGTCACTGTCTCCCTGTTTTCGTTATGAGGGGGCTTCTCCCGCCGCCCTACTCGCGGGTGCGCCTACTGAGTATCCGATATTCTCGCGTTCGTCGTCCACGACTCGGCCATATCTGCAACCGCGTTAGCATGTCTACCCGTTGAGTAAATAGAGAGGGCCCTATACATACTCTAGTAGCAGCCTGAAGAACCATACTTCCATGTCCTCATGTCTTAGGACCTTATTCGCCCAATCGCGCTGCTGGTTTGCGAGGCGCTCGGCCTCTTTCGTTCCCAGATCGCCGCGACCGAAGAACCGAACAGCCTCGAGCCACTCCTCGCCCTGAAGACTGAGGGGGATGTAGTGCGCCCACGGCTTCAGCCACTCGAGATGCCACTCGCGGAAGATAGCCCATTTGTACACCAAGCTCCTGCTCTTTAGGAACGCATAGAACCGTCCACTGAACGCATTCCCGTCGATGTCCAGTAGGTACTTGTATTTCCACGCGTCTTGTTGTTCCGCATGCCCCTTGATCGTGAAGAATTCCTTTTGCGCGTCGCAGTCCCCGGGGTCGCACTGCCCCACTCCCGAGAAGTACACATCGATGATGTCCTTATAATCGCCCCGCGGTACCTCCTTGACCTCCCATTTACCATGAGTCTCCTCGAGGATCTTAGCGTTATCAGCCGCGTTCATCTTCTTCACGAACCGCTGCCGGTGCTGTCGACGCCATCCGCCGTTCCTGCTGAAACCACCGGTTGTAGAGCCGCGCCAGTAGAACTTGTCCTCCTTCTCGGTCCACGGAACGTCTTTCCCTTCGTCATACGTTACCTTCTCGAACCAGTACCACGGCGACGGGTACAAGATGTCGGAGTAGGACGAGATCTTGGACTGCGAGAAAATCGGGAATAGGTCGAGCACGATGTTGTATGCGTTGGGCCGGTCGAAGAAGCCGAACGTCGAACCGAGTGACGGAGAATAGCAGATATCAGACATGGCCGTGATATTGTAGATAAAACCCAGCTCGCCCAAGCCGTACCTGGATATATCATCTTTTCTCTCTTCTTCCTCTAACCCCCTAGAAGGACTTTCTGGAGGACATGATAATCTCGAATGGGTCCACGTCGGCTGGTGAGCAAAGACGTTGAATCGCGTCAGCTTGCTCTCCTCAAACTTGCTTCCGTCATTCAGCCCCTTGCCCATCGGTGTAAACTCGTTCCTCAGGCGAGAATGGGAACGGGCGGCGGGCATATTGATCTCCTTGGCCCTCCTAACTAACCTAGCTAGGTCGTCGTGCGGTACGATAACTCTCGACTCGTCGTGCAGGTTAAAACACAGGTCCATATCGGGTAGCCACTTTATGAATTTTCCCATCATGCCCGCAGTGGCCTCACGCTGCCACTCGCTCCCACCCTGGATATGCGTAATCTTACCATTCCGGATCTGGATACCCAGCAATGCGTTGTCGAAACCTAGAGCCTCCCTGGCGCGCGCGCGTATCGTGAAGGGTTTTAACCCCCAGAAGGGCGTCAGCGACTCGTGGATCATATCGAATTCGTCGATGAGCTGGACGTTCTTGGCCTTGGCAAACTCGAACCATTTGTCGAAGTTGGGCGGGGGCGGTATCCCGTACCGCCTGCGGTACTCTGCAACGGCGTCCTTGATTGTCTTGGACTGACGTGACCTCGTCGCCTCGAGTTCCTTCTCCGCTTGGGCGACTAAATGGGATATGGGATGTTCTCCGCGGGGGGCAGGCTTCGGCTTGGGATCATAAGGGACCGGGAGCACCAAGGGCTGGGGTGCGTTGTTGGAGCCATCTTTCCAAGCGTCGTATTTATGCGATAGAGGACCGGGTTTGAGGTTTGAAAGGTTGGTGCCGGAGGGCGTCAATCGGAAAAGAGTGATGACGCAAAGACCGAGGAAGACGAGCCCGCCGGTTAAGATCAGTTGGCGCGGCCGCATTTCTCTTCAGGCCTCTAAATCCTACCCACGATCTGGAAGGGTCTATCTGAGACTTGTTTGCGCAGTAGGAAATAATGATGTAAAGAATGACATTGGTAACATGTACCTTAGGTATCGTGGGTTAAAGAGGAGAAAGAGGGACACCACATACACACAACATACAATACAATACGTATGTATATGATGAGGTAGGTAGTAGTGTTAAGTGTATCGGGTTGTGTGTAGAAGGAAATAGGTATAGAAATATGGAGATACCAATGGAGAAATGGATTCGAATTCAAATTGAGGTTCAAGAAGGCCCCCCCTTCCCATTCCTGTTTTTTTCAGTTACTGGCATCTGGAAAGTAGTGCCCCGGTATTTATTTGCTTGACCCAATGAGATGTTTCCATTTAATCAAAAGACCTGCGGGAAGACGCACTGTGACGCGTCTATGACCCGACCTAGGCCATAGTATCCTTGATATCATGTACAAATTATTTCGAGCTTTGCGGGCCGTAAGGCAGGGGTGTAATAAAGCACGTGAATACATCCGAAGATGGGCAAACATGTGTGAATAGATGAAATATGGTTACAGAAATTGCAAGATTATGTTTGACAATGGATGACAGAACTTTATAGCGAATAAACTCAATTACTCCGTCATCGTTGTACGAAAGGATCACTTTAGTGCATTCTGTAATTGAGGGTGTTCTTCGAAGTACCTAGTCATGTACCAGGTATCTAACTGTGGCACACAGTACTTACGTACAACCGTACAACCGGCTTTTTCACATGACAAGTCCGCGGCTTGGCAACAAGCAAGGGGAAAAACAACGAGTCAATAGGCTAGACGCATGCAAGAACTGGACTTTGTATAGCATTTCGTGGTATCATGGTGTGTATTTGGCTGAAAACAACATCAAGCATCATTAGCTTGGCCATTATCCATTTCCTCCCAAACGCCGAAAATGCTCTCTCAGTCAGTTCCTATCCCATTGTTCTTTTTTTAATTCCCCCTTTTTTTCGTCCGCTTTAGTAGAAGAAACCAATGATCTTGCCAGCGACGTGCTTTCTTCGGGCCTCCTCGTGGTCCATGATACCGGCGGAGGTGGTGAGGATTATGTAGCCGAACTGACGGGCGGGGAGCAGCTTGACAACCCACTTCTCGAGCTGGGTAAGGTGGACGTTGTAGCGGGGAGAGATGACACCGCACTTGTTGATGCGGCCGTTCAACTGCACAACGATCTTGCCGGATCGGTGGTCATCAACCTCCTCGAACTCGCCAATGTAGCCTAAAAAAAGAAAAAGCGTTAGCTGGATGTAGCGAAAGATTAAACGTAAGACTTCATTTTAGGATATAAGATATATCAGAGCAACGTGTGTAAGATTCATTCGCTAGATAAACCTCGATCTATCGGCAACTTAAAAGACTTCGATCGTAGGGCGTTTTGAGACCGTTATCCAGTTATCATGCCGAATGCCTTGGGGGGAAGAATACCGGAGACTAATTCATGCCAGAGTTAAAGTAAAAAAGAGAAAATATATAACGTACCGTGGCGCTGCATGACGGTCAAGAACTTGACAATGACCTTGGAGCTAGGTCGGATGAGAACCTGGCGCTTGCCGGTCTTCTCGGCGTTGTTGATGGCGTTGAGCGCATCGTTCAGAACGGAAGTCTTGACCATTTTGGCGGTGGTGCGAGATTCTCAGATCGTTCGAAAAGGATGTGAGGTATCTGTTTCGTAACGGTGTTTTGGTTAGCCTTCAAAAGCCAAGAGCATGGAGAGTGCCCTCCCCCAATGTGCCACTTTGGGGAGGGTTCTGCCCGCTCAGTACTGGAGAGGAGAAGCGTATCAGAAACCCAACTCGTCCATCGTGATGCGTGATGCGAAGGTCGGCGGCAAGGTCTCTGATTGCTCTCCCCCGGCTTCTTGAAGGGCGCATTGGGGGAAGGATTAAATGCCTTTAATTCAAGGCATGGCGAATTATTATTACTATTATAACATACCTCTGTGGAGGATCGTGAGCGAAGGGGAAATTGCTTGACGCTCAGAGTTGAGTTGCTTGTAGTGCAAAAGTTTGGTTGTAGTGAACGGAGTGGAGGTAAGAAAAAAAAATGAATTAGAGGGATGGTTGGCAGTTGGCAGCTAGGTCAATTAGATTGATTTCTTTTTTTCGCGGTATGAAAATTGTGGTGAGTGGGCTGAACTGAGAATCTCCACCCAATGGGGTGAATTTCGGTCAACTAACCCTAAGCGATACACAACTAACACAACTAACGACCCCCCGCAGTGCACCTTCCGTAACGCCCAAGCCTCAATTGAATATACTCTATTTCCATTTGGGGACTTGGAATTATTCCAGATTTTCGCACGACTCTACCCACCCACCAAACTCACCTTTTACATCTCTACACAACAAAACCACTCTTCGAGGATCGCACCGGTGTCAAACAAACAAATCAAGATGGTATGTTTCTTGTTACGTTATTTACTATTATTATTATTGTTATCATTATTATTATTGCGCCTGGGCGCGCGGGGCAAAGATATCGAAAATGCGATAACCTTTACATCTCGTGCTTTAAGCTCTTGTTGTGTCATTCTCTCGGTGTGTGCGCGCGCACGTGCAAGCTGTTTTACTAACAATTTATTTCTTCCAATATAGTCGGACGTAGAAGAGAACAACGCACCCGAAGCCCCCGAGGAGGTTGAAGTTTCCGCCGATGCCTCCAAGGGCCAGATGTCCGTTCTGGACGCCCTCAAGGGTGTCTTGAAGCTTGCCCTCATGCACGACGGTCTCGCCCGGGGTCTTCGCGAAGCATCCAAGGCTCTCGACCGACGAGAAGCTCACATGTGTGTCCTGAACGAGTCCTGCGAGGAGGAGGCCTACAAGAAGCTGGTCATCGCCCTCTGCTCCGAGCACAAGATTCCCCTGATCAAGGTTCCCGACGGAAAGCAACTGGGCGAGTGGGCTGGTCTCTGTAAGTTACACAGATCTCTAGGAGAAATATACAAGCAACACAACAACTAATCGCAATACTTTACAGGCGTCTTGGACCGAGAAGGCAACGCGCGCAAGGTAGTCAACTGCTCCTGCGTGGTTGTCAAGAACTGGGGTGAGGAGTCGACCGAACGATCCATCCTCCTCAACTACTTCCAGACCGAGCAGTAAAGGGATTCATATCAACAGGCGTTGTGCGGGGATATAGACAGTGGAACGGGATGATTTTTTTCAAGCCATCGTCATGAACCCTTAGCATGTACTTTACCGGCTTGTCCATCTGGCATAGATGCTAGATAGGTAAAAAGTAAAAAAAAGGGTGCCCATACTGCATCAGGAATCAAGGAAAAACTTGCATTACCAATCTCGGCTGCGAAGCCTCTTTTCTTATCTCATGCGCGTGATGTTTGTTGACTATTACTATAACTCTGAGCTCATCATTTGCGCTCTTCTACTACAATGAGGTGGTATCCGAATTCTGTCTTAGCCTCTCCAATGTGTAAGTTACTGCCTTTACTCTCTGGCAGCCCCCAAGCAACGTTTTCAAATTCAGGTTGCAGTGAGCCTTTCCGCTGTGTACCAAGGAGACCGCCTAGAATTTTTCCGAGTTAGCTTTTGAATTTTGGTAAAAATATCCCCCATATCAACAACGTGAAGTAAGTGGTAAGAACGACTCCTGCTTTGTAGATGAAATAAGATGAAATAACAGGTAGTTATACCTTGTTTTGCTTTATCCTCGCTATACTCCCTAGCCACTGCGATGAAATTGTTCAGCGTAGGGTCCTCCCTGATCTTAGCCAGCGCCTCTTCCTTCTTGGAGTGCTTTTCGCACTGCGAGTTGTTGTGTGTCAATTTTTCGTATACTCCAGGACGAGAAGACATAAGTATAGAACCCTCCCCCCCCCCCCCCAACTTACCAGGATATGGCGGACCACGATGGACTGAGCGCCTTTCACTTTACCGCCCTTCTTATCATCTTTGTCGCCGGTATCCTTGCTATTGGATTTAGTATCGGCCTTCTTTTTCGCGCCCATTTTGAGTAATATTGGTTGACGTCTGTTAATGATAAGTGAGCTACGAAGTTGGTATGAGAGAGCCCCACGTTTTGATCTGATCGAACTGACGAACTGACGAACTGACGTGCAGACAAGTGCGGGTAAGACGAGGGGCTAATAGAGGGTCGCTTTCAGCTGGCTGGCGGCTGTCAGCATATACCCCATTAAGCTTGCCAGGCTTGTCCCTTGTCTGCCACTTGTATTCAGTGTCTTTCTCATATCATCAACATATACGGTTACTCGGTCTTATAACATTAGGTACACAACTTAATCCGTCGTATTCAACTATGGGTACAATTTTCTAAGTAATAATAATTCTTAGTAGGTATAATACAAATAACTAGGGGAACGAATGACATCGAGAGGATGTATATATGAGGCCCCCTCTCCCACCCCTATTCCTGAGAATCAGCACCCGACCCCTACCGCGAGGCCGACGCTCTGAATAGCCGTGCCCGCCTCCAACCCTCCCTGTCTGTCTTCTCCTCTTGGCGTCTGAGCTTCCAATCCAGGTAGCTCGTCTCCCCCCGCAGGAGCTTGATCTTGTCGCCCTCGAGCTTCTCGTACAAGTTCCAGTCGTCCAGCTGCGAGGGCCGCGGTATGCTCCCGATATCCTCCAGGGACACCTTCGGGCTCGGCACCCGCTCGAGCGTCAGTTCGATGCGGTAAATGTTCATCTTGTTGTCTAACTTGCACCCGTATTGTTTGATGGTGAAGCTGTTTTTGTTTTTTTTCGGTCGGATAGATGAGTTAGGTAAGTAATCTCTTTAACGGCTGGCTAGCTAAGTAGCTACCTAAGGTTTTTACCATGGGTAACTTACAGTCCATCGTAACGAACGCCGGCCTGCGGCGCCAGAACACTCTTCAGTCTGTAACCCCGAAGGACGCGGATCTGTCGGCCGACTTGTGATATCAGGGCGATATGCATGTCTCTGGACTCGCCCTCCCGAACGTATTTGGACGTATTGTCGCGTATCCATTCTTCCTGTCCCGTAAGTAAAGGCAGTGTTGTGATACAATACCGGCCCTTCGTAGGCATTTCCAACGAGCTACCCACCATGCCATCTCTCTCGGCGCAGGTAATATTCAACCACCAGCTTTCGGCACGTCAGAAACCGGAACAGACAGCTAAGGTAACATTAGACTAAGAGGGGATGGAAATTCGAGAACTTACTGCCCAGGATCAAACTGCAGGTCCCCTTCGAGCTCGGAAATCGGATCGCCCACCTTCGTCTGCCACATGCCAAGGTTGTACGCCGCGGAGGTATTGAACGAGACGTCCTTGAGGCGGCCGCCCGCCTGGACCAGCGCCGCGCACCGGTTCTGGTCCATCATGGAGTACTGCTCGCGGAAACGGCGCCTCCAGGCGCGCCACAGGTTCTTAACGTGGGAGACGAGGACGCGGAACTGCAGCGGGAAGAAATTGTCGCTCCTAATACTACTACCACCACCACCACAACTCGTCCCCGCCGCCCCCGTCCCCGCCATCGACGGGCGCCCCCGCGCGCAGGCGGCGGCAGCCTTCGTCTTTTCCTTCTCGGCGAACTGCAGGATCTCCGCGAGCAGCTTGTCGAGCCGCGCGTACTTAATCGTCTCGATGTCGAGAGTCGGGCGCCCGCACTGCTGCTCCTCGTCCCGCAGAGCCGCCTCCAGGAACCCGCTTAGCTTCTCGATGTCGGGGCCCACGCTGCGGCGGTGCTCTAGGTTCGTCCTCACGGAGTCCGATAGCTTGAGCAGAGCCGCTCGGTCCCAGTCCAGCTCGCCGCGTCCGCCGGAGGCCAGCGTTCTCGCCGGCTGGGCTAATTTCACCATCGTCAGTCGGTGTCTTTTGATCAGCTGCATGCTGGTTTGTTGAGTTGGTAATACCTCTCCGAGGTGGCGACCTCGTGCTGAATGGCAAGCTACTGGCTCCATCTAAACTAATCAAGTGCGTAACATTCGGGCTTAGGACCTGTCGATACCCAGTGAGATAATAAACTCCACAGGTTACGTATATCGTCGTCATTCAGGGGTCATTCTACCTGATTTGTAGTATCCCGCCGACTATTAGAGAGGAGATGGCCCTGCCCATCGTCGCTAATTCCCACCGCTTTGGGTTTCAGATACAGCCTTGACGCGTCCGCTCGCGACCGAGTGCTGCAGTTATCCCGCGCGATTCGTTCAAGCGTGCTCATTATGGGATGTAATTAATTAATAGACCACTATACACCTAAATCAGGACCTGCGTCTATTCGCATTCCACTTCACGATTTTGAACCTCCAGACCCAAACTCCCGCAATGATAGAATAGCTATCTCATACACATAAACCCCGCCACGGGATGGAAAACATAAAATCTATTAGGTAGCGAAGTTTGTTTTAAAGAATTGAAATTAGGTGTACTTGACGTATATAGGTGATCGGATTAGTACCCAGGTAGGTTTACGAACAAGAAGCCAAGCTTTTTTTCTCGCCTGGCAAATGGAAGTTTGTCAGTAGAAGGTGTGACGGCAATATGTAGCTCGAGGAAAAGAAGCCTCTCTAGCAGGAGCTATGTTTTGCACTTTCCTTACCTCTGGCGGAATAGGTATAGCAGAAGGTTTAGTTTCCATCATATATGGTAACTTACTTTACTTAGGTAGGAGATACCTTATGGGTTACTATGGAGTTGGGCTTTGAAAGCATGTCGGAGTAGAATACCTATGATCTACAACATGGAAGGAATTAGGGGGTGTGAATGACCCTCTCCGTACAATATGACAGGCATATAATGCATTTGAATTTGTCAGGTAGCTATTGGGTATCTCAGCTAAACTTCGTAGAATGCCAAAATGACATGAGCCCTATGCACAATTCTCATTTACATCAAAATCCATCTCAACAACCTAGCACCTCGACCTTCTAACATAACATCACAAGACCATGTGCTTAGAACATCTTGCGTTCCCGTCGTTGAGTTAGTGTGGTGCATAAAAGTTCAGGACCTTACCGGCAAAGAAACATATTATCATGAATGTCTTTAGGTCTCCACCCTCTGCCAATGAACCTCGCTCTTTAGCCTAGAAATGACTTGGAGCGAGCCTAAGGCAGAAGGGCAAAATAGTTGGACGTCAAATGAAAAGCTATACGAGATAGACTGGCTTCGTAACAATGAAGTACCGGGATTAGGTCTTCTTACTATAGAGAGGTGGCGGTATCTTCGTAAGGTGCAGTCGATAGAGAAGCTAGAACAGCCGTGTCGTCGCTTGTGGGGATCGCCCCTTGAAGTTCTCGAAGAACCATCGTCGCATATTGACTAGTATTTAGTGCAAACCGAAGAATCACTGCGATTTTCTTTTCATCAGTAGTATTAGTAGCGTCCGATTGGCCCGGTCCGTTCGCTTTGCGTTCGGCATCGTCGGGTATATCTACGGCGGCACTCGACGTCTGTTCCTGGGGTTGAATCGCGGGCGTAGTTGTATTCTCGGAAGTCTTCATAATGTTGTTGTCAGTAAATACTCTCAACGCTGCCATAAATAGTTGCATGGCGCTCTTTACAACGGCTCGCACCTGTGATGGAAGGGTGGTGGCAGTTAATGAGCTGGAATCTCCGTCATCTTGCACTGTCGGCTGCACCCCTTCAGTTGTATTTGGCTGATCACTCCCGTCTGTGTAAATTTGCATTTTATCTTCCTGAGCGTCCAAGACATTATTCTCGCTATTTGCTTTGATATCATCCACTTGCACAGAAACCTTGACTCGCTTATTACTTCCATCGACCGAAGTTTGCACCCAGGTGTCTCTTGTCCGAGTTTCTGGCATGTCGGAAGACTCCTCAGCTTTCCGTCTCTCAGACCTGGCTCGAGCTTCTTGGAGATCTCTGTCTTGTGCGCTTTCGGCAAAGCTTTGCCATCCTGAAGACGGTCCCTGTGTCTGCCGTTGAGCGGCTGTGCGCTCCGCAGCTTCTTTAGCTTTGCGAGCTCGTATTAGATCTAAGTCAGTCGGTACTAGTTGTTCCGTATCGTCCAAGTAAGCCCGGACAGAGGCATCTGGCGTGCCGATGAACTTGCCTAACAATTTGCGGTAAGATCCAGGGAGGCTAAAATCTTTCTGTTGTCGGAGCATGTTTTGGGGGTCTAGCCCGCCATTTTCCTCCTTAGCCATGAATTCTCTGTAGAATTCTCCAATCTCATTATCCGGGTATACGACGTCCCAACCAGGAGAGGGCAATACGACGTCAAAGATGGAATACTTCCCACCGTTAGCTTCTTCCTCCGTCAGTGCATGAACCTTCAACCCGCGTGCATCTTCGGCAATAGCTCCCCCATCTATAAGGTGGATCATATCCTCTTCATCGTTTTCGTTTTGGCCATCTCCTGAAGAAGTCGAAGGTTCAGAACTGATAAGAACCAAGTCTCCTTTGACGACTTGTAAGCCAAACCGTTCCCAGCGTTTGCTTGCGGCAAAATTCCATACTAGAGACTGGTATGCATGAACATACATGGTACGCATTCCACGACTAATTGAAAGGAGGGCCCCAAGAAAATCTCTAGGCTGTTTATCGAGGTGACGCATCAATGCAGCCTCGACATGACATCTTCTGGGTAAACACTTAAGCGCATCCTGAGACTTGCCGGTTTCCGCAAATATTGAACAAGCGCGTGCTCGGTACGTATCCTCACGACGCATCGGCTCAATAGAGCTGGGGTCGGAGATTTCTAATGAAGTAGGGTCGAAAGATAGCAAAGCTCGTACAGCGCCTTCGAAATCACGGTTTAGGATCTTCATCCCGACCTCCTGAGTCCCAATTTGATGTGTGCCAAATCGTTGAGTGCCGTAATAGTTGATAAAGCCGTTCTGGGTAACCTGTTCTAAAGCCGTCTTTACCGTGGTATTCGCAACGTCGAGCTTTTGTTCGAATGTGAGGTCTTGCGTCCCGCTAAAGTAGCAGTTTTTGAGGACAATCACAAACTCATTCCCACTATGGTGTCCTAGGTGGATGGGATGCTGCTCAAACGTGAAATCTCCGAGTTTCACACCATATATCTTGTCATTGTTAAGGGAAATTAGTGACTGGGGATTTCGTCTCCGCATACTGACTCTCTGGGTAGTCACAGCGCGGCGGTCCTTAGTTCCAGCGATGCCGAAGAAGGCGGGCTTGAGATTCAGAAAACGGGCTATTTGACCAATCGCGTCCATGGTATCTCTGTTCTCCTTGTAGAGAGTGAAATGCAGGAACTTTCCGTCCTGATCCTGACCGTCATTCTGCGCGCCGTTCCTGGTTCTCCCGTTTCTCGATCTATCGTTCCTTGAACGGTTGCCTCCCTGTTGGTTACCTTTGGTGATAACTGTTGCCTTAATGGAACCATCCGAATCCGTGGCAGTATCGATTTTGCCGCCAAATATGCGACGAATTTCCTAATAAGTGTTAGCTTTCCTTGATTAAGAGTTTGTGCTAGACGGACGTACTGAATGGACTCGAGATCTCTGTGCTTTATCGGATATTGCTGCAATCGTCACAAAGTCGGAAATTTTACCCTTTGGTTTTGGGGTTTCGTTTGCCTTGTTGTATAAGTTAATCAAGCTTTCTGTAGTGTCTTTGCCGAGAAGCTCTATCAGTAATGTCTGATCGGACACCGATATAGTGATAGAGTTTTCCCCATCTTTTGGCTGTTCTGAATTGGCTGATGGTTCAGATGTCGTACTACCCATAGCAACGGCGTCGACGGTACTAGTTCTTGGTTGTGCTTCTTCAGATGGTGATGACTTGGCAACTTGAGGCTTTGCCGTTGGTTGCTGGGGAGTCTATGTTAGGGTCAGATGGGTTAGCTGCATTAGGTATATACGTGGTGTACTGTAAAATGAGAAAAACTTACAGATTTTGTTAATTCCCTTGCATTTGTCTGGAAATCATGTAGATGAACGACCTCTCCGTTTTTGCTGATCTCGTGGACTTGAAAATCCGTGAATCTGAGATACGTATCGTTAGAAATGAACCGAACAATTGGACTAGCATTATAAAAAAAAAGCCTTCGATCAATCTGTGTTCCCTTACCTTGTACGAAGTTGACCATACCATCCGTGTTCCTTCTCCGACACATAATGAAGAATGCCAAGACGCTTCTCCAAGGAGTTTCGCATTGAGGCATCGCTGCCTTGCGCCATAGCGGTATGGGTTGCCATTCTCGAAGTAAATTTTCAGCGTTTAAAGAATTAATATGCGTAAGGCCTTAATGCATAGCATAATGTATTGAGGTGACGGAAAGACAGAGAAATATGATACGTAAGTCGTGATAGGTACCTCCTAACTAATTTAGTACCTATTCAAGGTTTGAAAGGTGATATGCTTTTGGTGATAGCTTTTGGTGGTCAGGTGGGGTGAAAGTTTACAATTCAAACGTTTTGACCGGCAGAAAGTTGATAAGATAAAGGCGGTCTAAATGATAATGGAAGGCGGTGGCGACTTAGCCCCATCCTACCCTTTTTCTGCTAGGCTATGAATAAAGGATGGAAATTCTCCGACTGGCTCAAAACATTTACCTCCTGCATCCATGTTGTTCAATTACGTACCTAGCAAATTAGATACCCACATCTTATGTGCATTAGGTACACCCCAGGCATTTAGACTTGCTAGAACATACCTATTAAAGTTTACGTAAACAATTTCATTACTTTCACATCTCCTCGTCGGCTGTCATTCATTTCTCTTGATCTCTTAATCATTTATTATACCTCATTTACGTCAATATGCCGGTGAAGCGAAAAGCCTCAGGGAGTAAGTCTAATGTCTTTCGCTCGCTGCATGAATTCATGATGCTGAATTTCTCAAGCCGTTACAGGCCCTGCTAAGTCGGGAAAAGTCTCTACTACTTCGACACCCGGTCCCTCGACACCTCGATCCATCGATAGCGACGATGATTCAGATTCCCCAGACGAACCGGTCGAGAATGAGGAACAACTACAAAAGGTCGTAGATCGTTTCTCCCTTGCGACGTTTCGCAATACCACTGCACATCAAGAAGACTGGACTTCGAATCGCTTCTTCAAAGGAGGAAGGCGGGATTTCTCATATTTGCCTCTCAAGCCCGATTTCAAAAGCCGCCCAATATGGATCGATCCCCAGCGAGGGCGAATCATTCTAGAAAATTTCAGCCCCTTAGCCGATCAGGCGAAAGACTTCCTTATTACCGTTGCTGAGCCTTTATCGCGTCCAACCTTTATCCACGAATACGCTCTTACGAGCCATAGTCTCTATGCCGCCGTATCAGTTGGATTACAACCCCGAGATATTATAAATACGCTCGAACGTTTTTCAAAAACACCCGTTCCAGAATCGATAACCAGCTTCATCGGCAGTTGTGCTTCGAGCTACGGCAAAGTGAAGCTAGTCATTAAAGATACCAAATACTTCGTGGAGAGTACCGACCCGGAAGTATTGCAGAAGCTGCTCAAGGATGAGGTCATTGGACCCTGTCGTGTTAAAGGCACCGAAACTGTTACTAGCGCGCCTTCTATGGCCGGCCTGGTAATCCCAGGAACCTCTAACGCTGCGGGAGTACAACAAGCGCAGCTTAAGAAGGACGAAAAGGTACAAGCAGAGAACTCCGAAGGGACGAAACCGCAAGATCCTTATGACGCCCTGAGAGAAGACGACGATGACGACAACCAGGAGGCCGTGCACGCTTTCGAGATCTACGACACTTGCATCGAAGTCGTCCAGAAGCGTGCCTTGGAGATCCAATACCCCATGTTGGAGGAATATGATTTCCGTAATGATGATAGAAACGCGAACCTCGAGATAGATTTACGACCAGCTACGCAAATTCGAAGTTATCAGGAGAAGAGTCTGAGTAAGATGTTTGGCAACGGTCGAGCCAAGAGTGGTATCATCGTCTTGCCTTGTGGAGCGGGTAAGACGTTGGTTGGCATTACTGCTGCTTGCACAATCAAGAAGGGCTGCATCGTCCTTTGCACGAGTACGATGTCAGCCAACCAATGGCGGAACGAATTCTTGAAATGGTCTAATATCAGACCAGACGATATTGCCCTATTCACTTCAGAACATAAATCGAGGTTCCCTGGCAACACTGGTATTATCGTTACGACATACCCCATGGTGACGAATTCAGGCAAAAAGCGGGCCCATGATTCGCAAAAGATGATGGACTTCCTGACTGGTCGGGAATGGGGTCTGATGCTGCTCGACGAGGTTCACGTCGTACCCGCTAATATCTTCCGGAAGGTCTCCCATTCAATCAAGAGTCACGCAAAGCTCGGATTAACTGCTACACTACTTCGAGAGGATGATAAAATTTCGGATTTGAACTTCCTTATCGGGCCAAAGCTATACGAGGCGAACTGGATGGAGCTCTCAGAGCAAGGTCACATCGCAAAGGTCCAATGTGCCGAGGTATGGTGTCCGATGACAGCCGAATTCTTCGACGAGTTCAACAGACAGAAGAAAAATCGGAGTTTGCAACAGAACTTATACGTCATGAACCCGCGGAAGATCCAGGCTTGCCAGTTCCTCATCGATTACCACGAGAGACGAGGCGACAAAATTATTGTCTTCTCAGACAATGTTTATGCCCTCAAGCAGATTGCCTTAGCCCTCGGGAAAGCCTACATTTGTGGATCTACATCAAATAATGAGCGGACGGTAGTGCTAGAAAATTTCATGCACAATCCCCTCGTCAAAACCATCTTTCTATCCAAGATTGGCGATACCTCTCTCGACCTCCCCGAGGCTACCTGTTTAATCCAGATATCATCACACTACGGTTCCCGCCGTCAGGAGGCACAGCGATTAGGCCGTATCCTCCGAGCAAAGCGGAGGTCAGACGAAGGATTCAATGCCTTTTTCTATTCGCTGGTCTCTAGGGATACACCTGAAATGTACTACTCAACCAAGAGACAGGCTTTTCTTGTAGACCAAGGATATTCTTTCAAGGTCATTACGTCTCTGACCGGAATGGAGAAGATGGAAGGGCTTGTGTTCAAGACCCCTCAGGAGCGCCGAGAGCTCCTTGCAAAGATTGTAACGGATACGGAGAAGTCGGACGATAGAGATAGAGATGATCCTACAGATGACGTATTTTATATGAATCCACGGAACAAAAGAATCAGGCGTACTGCTGGCGCGCTTGACGATCTCAGTGGTGGAAAGGACATGGCCTACATCGAACAGAGGAAGGGTGCAAATAAGGGACTCAAGAAGAAGCCTGCCCAGAGTAACGCTTTCTTCAAGAAGATCGCGAGGGAAAAGGAAAGGCTGAAGAATTCGCGCTAGGATATTGTGATATAATAAACTGTGCATACTACCCGAGTGCGGGAATGAAAGTTTTCGAGATTGTGTGGGACATGAAAGGTATACCCCTAATGGAAGGATGGTGTTTTTTTTTTTTTTTTTTTTTTTTTTTCACCGCTGGTTGACGGATAGTACGACGAAATGCTAAGTACAGGCATAACGCCATGGCAATACGGTTCAATACAGAGATAACTGTTTACCCAGGTGTGGCTTAGCGATATCCCAGGGCAATGGACAGATGCATCCATCCCACGATCATGGCTGGCTGCAGTGCTACGTATCGAATGCAACCTTGCTCACGCATATTGCGTGGCACCGGGAGTTATTTAAAATTTGCTCAAGGAAAAACACTGCACGACATGGGCTGACTTTCACGGGATCCGATTGGGGTCGCATTACCAATGGCTGAAGAATTGAGACGAGGCTTATCGAGTTACATTGACAACAATTTTCTTTTTTTCCTTTGTAGTATCACATTGGTAGTATCGGTGTGTGCGGGTTAAGGTATTCTTGACTTTATCATCTTGGGTAGGTATGATTATGCGATGGCATCTCCGAGGCCGAATTGATATCGTGGCTTTTTTTTCTTTTCTTTCTTAAGACAACCTTAAAAATGCTTCGATATGGATGCATGTAAATACATGTATCAACACGGCTTAGAATTGTACCTCTAGTAGGTACCGGGCTTAATTAAAGTTGTATCCGCGCTCACTTTAACATCAGAACATCCGGCCATATGTCGCTATGTACCTAGGTATTCCGTACTACTATGTAGTGTATATAGACGATTCTGACATCATCACCTAAGCATTAATACCGTTACATTCATCCAAAATCGCCCAAGTAGGGTAACACAGTCACATGTTGAAATATGGCTGTCAGCCAATTATAGGGCCCCCTCCTTGTTCTTTAATGCTCTGGTACGTTGCTCATAAAATCTGTAAAACCTTCCCGACTTTTTACGAACATCTCCAAATTCCGCAGATGGAGTACCCATAGTTGTTTCCAGGATCCCACGTATGAGATTCTGCAATCGAGTGCCTTAGAGTCCCTGGCAGAAGGGATGAGGGGGTCTAGAACCTTCGGGAACTCGGTCTGCAAACAATTGGCAGCCGAGTTGATTGAGATGATTCAGATGCCGGGTGCTGACATAGTACCTACCTAACATACCTATACTATGTATAGGTATTATGTAGGAGCTACAGGTAGCAACCTTAAAACATAGTAGCAATAGGAACTTATAGAGCTGACTCTAGCCCTTTTATTATTTCGCACCACTGCCGGCCCCAACCTTACTCCTATCCCGGCCGTCTTGCACGTTTTAGTTTTTACGCTAGAAGGCTTTCCGTTAGCCAGTCAAACGATATCTCAAATCCCTGCAAGAAGTGCACATTAGATAGCACCGAGGTACGTATGTATATATATGCACGTTATGTATGTACATCATCTACTATGTAGGTAGGTATCTCGGGCCTTCAAAGACTAGGGTCTCCTGTTTTTTTTTTTTTTGTCTTGGCACTTCTTCCTAATATAACCAATTGCTAGTAGGTAATCAATGTACCTAAGCCCCTTTACATAGTACCTCACCTATATCCATTATATTCCAAATCTAAGAGGTGTGAAAAAGTAAAGCTGTAAGCAACGGGAAACGACACACTAAAATAATGCAAAGTCAGGCTGAGTACTAATAGGAAAGCGTTATCTAGATTTAAATTTGACGTTCTCAACATGACTTAGATCCACTTAGTTACATAAGGTACACTAAATACACTGGACACCCTGACACTTGAACAATTCGAGTCGTGCTTTAGCGGAAGGCGTCGCCTTATTTGTTTTCCTTGGATTACCTCACCTTCTTCAGATTCTCTCTCCATACTTTTTCTCTCCATCCCTATACTCTACCCAAATCCCAATTGGAGGTCGGTTAAGATAGATTTCTTTGATTCTCCACCATCTCTAACCTTAACAACTTCGGCAATAAATCCATCATCTAAATCCAAACAAGACAAGACAAGACTCAAGACTCCGTCTCGAACGAACCAATCCGTCTTCTCCCTTTACCTATTTGTCCATCGATCAATTGAGACTATGACAAGCAATATCAAGGATGTAAGTCGATGGAATATTCTCCTTGAGGTATTTACAAAATTTCAATTGTTATTTTCTCTAGCTCTGTATTTCCTGTATTTCCACCCTTGCATGATCATCTCATTTATTATTCTCTTTCTGTCCCTGTCTCAGCCTCCTTTGTATCTCGAAGTTTGTACGAAGCTCTTACAAGTTCCTTATGAAACTTCGGACTTGGCCTTTTACTCCCTCTCTTCAAAAACATCTCATCTCACCTTCCACCAAGTTGTTTTATCCCGATGGATGTCGTTCTCGACCACCCATTGTCTGACCCGCACAATTCCTTATCCTCGATACCTTCCGGCATTTCATCTTAGTTGACCTCGTTAACCTTGCCTTGTTATATAGTATCGGAACGAGCAATAACCATTATGTTTGGCATCCGTGATCTCATCAACGACCTCGCTGGCCAGGTCTCCCACTCGGTGGCTTTCTAAGATAGGCTTTCCCCGTTGCTCCAAGCATCGAAGAACAGAGCTTACTTTTAGGTGGATATTACTCTAGCCACCATGGGGAGAGCTCGTGAGCGTTTCTTGGACTTTGCCCAGGCGCTTCGCCCGTCCTTCTTGTCTAGAAATCCACACTTTAATTTTATCACTGCTCATTGTAAGTCATATGTCATTCATCGGATGACGTACAACTACCATAAGCTAATATTCTCTAGATTTCTGGATCATTGGATGGACCATTATAGGATCCGTCTTGATTTATGCGTCTGCTAAAGGTCAATTGGCCTATATTGACGCCCTCTTCTTTGCCAGCGGTGCAAACACCCAAGCCGGCCTGAATACTGTCGACGCCAACTTGCTTAACACCTTCCAGCAATTGGTGATTTACTTCCTCGCTATGATGTCTAATCCAATTAGCATCCACTCTTCCGTTGTCTTCCTGCGTCTCTATTGGTTTGAGAAGAGATTCCAGCATATTGCAACAGAAGCCAGGTCGCGGCGAGTTTCTATCTCCAAATCGCGATCCAAGGCGAAAGCAAACCTTGTAGACCTGGAAAGGGGCGTCAATGGCCGCAACATTACCGTGATGCACAATACCGCTAAGGCATCCCGAATCACTAACGATGGCATCTTACTAGACAATTATAGCATCGAGGGTGCTACAAGCCATGCGCCATACCCAAATGAGTTTCCCAGCAAGGATGAATCTGACCCTAAAGATAGGAGTCAATCTTTTCAGCGACTTCCTCCGCCTCAAATCAAATTTTCGGACCAGGTCAAAAGGAGTGATGCCATTGATTCGGATGACGAAGAAGCCCGGTTACCGGCTAAGCGCACCGATGCGGAGCATATTGCCATACTAGAAAGGCAACGCAATCTCGATAAGAGTGCGCGGAGAATGAGAATTCCTGGACCGCGTGATGCCGATAGAGGTGTGCTACCGGAGGAGGTGGACGAAGAGGGGCCAGAAGGTCCTGGTCTCTCAAATCGTTTGCGAAGAGAATCAAGTGTTGAAGGCCACCGCCGACCAATGTCATCACTAATGCAGCCTGCAACTCGCCCGGATCGTCAACCAACCATCACCATCGAGGTACCCATAAAGCCACATAGAGAAGAGCACGATTTTCCAGAGGAGATAGCGGAAGATGTCGAGGCGACCACTCGCACGACAGATGCCTTGAAACCCCGGAGACCTAGAAAAGAAGGGGAAAAGTTACATCATACCGACACGGCGGTATCAACTAGTCGTATCAATCCTCTGTATCGCCTCAAGTCTGTCATAACTCAGGGTAAGGAAGAGGATCCTCCCTATCTTAGTTGGCAACCAACCCTGGGCAGAAACTCTGCTTTCCTTGGGCTCTCTGAAGAGCAGAGAGAGGAGCTGGGTGGCATCGAATATCGATCTTTAAAGACCCTTGCTCTTGTTCTCACAATCTACTTCTTTGGTTATACCTTTTTTGGCATAATCACTCTAGTGCCGTGGATAGCCCACAACGATTACTACGGCGCGATCGTTGATGCCGCCGGCCAGAACAGAGTATGGTGGGGTTTCTTCACGGCAAACTCTGCGTTCATGGACCTTGGCTTGACGCTTACTCCCGACAGCATGAACTCGTTCAACACTGCCATATTCCCGCTACTCATCATGTCTTTCTTGATTATTCTCGGAAATACTGGATTTCCTATTATGCTCCGTTTTATGATTTGGTTGTCTTCTCTCATCATACCTACCGGGTCCGGTCTTTGGGAAGAGCTGAGATTTCTCTTAGACCATCCGCGACGGTGCTTCACGCTTCTATTTCCGTCGAACGCTACCTGGTGGCTCTTTTTTATTTTGGTCGCTCTTAACGGGATAGACTTGATTTTGTTTATCATCCTTGATGTAAGTATCCGACAGTGGACTGCCACCGTTGCTCAATGCTGATGTTTAGTTAGCTTCATGGCGAGGAGGTCGCCAGTCTTCCGCTCAATATCCGCTTCCTCGATGGGTGGTTTCAAGCCACGGCTACCAGAACTGCAGGATTCTCCTGTGTAAATCTGGCTACCCTTCACCCAGCCGTTCAAACGTCATACCTTATCATGATGTATATTTCCGTCTTCCCAGTTGCCATATCTATTCGTGGAACGAACGTTTACGAGGAGAAGTCCCTCGGGGTCTATAATACAGATTTAGATCACGACGACACCAAGCAGAGCAACATATCATATGTTGGAACGCATTTGCGTCGCCAACTTTCTTTCGACTTGTGGTACATATTCGTTGGCTATTTTATTCTCACTATCACCGAAGGCCCGCGGCTCATGGCTGGCGATTTCTCCATGTTTGCCGTACTCTTTGAGGTTGTGAGCGCTTATGGCACGGTTGGGCTCAGCTTGGGATATACAGGTATCAATGCTTCGTTGTGTTCTCAGTTTACCGTCCTTGGCAAACTTGTCCTTATCGCCATGCAAGTTCGTGGCCGTCATCGTGGGTTGCCCTACGGACTTGATCGGGCCGTTCTTCTACCTAGCGAGCACCTCAACCGTAAGGAGGCTGAGGAAGAGGAGTATAGGCTACAACGCCGTCATTCGGCAATGTCTATTGGACAGCATTCTCACCACAGGGCTTCAAGTCTGAATCGTGGTCGTAGCCGCAGCGTGGAAAGGAGACGCCTTCTTACGGGTCTCTTACACCCTGGTCCAACCTACCCGTTTCACCATTCACACTCAATTGGGAAATCGGATGGCCAGGCTGGGCTTGGCACGATGGAGACATTGAAGAAACATATTACGGACCCAGGGAATGGCGAAAACGGCGATACGCATGAGCCGACCCCCAGACGTAGGAAGAGAGCTGATACACAGCCGTCCCTTGGCCAGTAGCGGAGGAAAGGTACGACAGGATGGGAAAGGTCTCCAGCGCCGAAACTATTCATGGACGATGAAACACCAGTACGACCATCTTCACAGCCGATGCCGGTTCGGGATGGTGATGTTGCGCAAGTTGGAGCCTTACCGGTATACCGCAATCCTTGGTGGCAGCGAGGTACGACAGTACAGTGGTACCTTGGGAGCACCGGATGACTTGGGTACTCGCGTTATTCTCCCCGAACCGGCTGTATACGGAAACGAAGGAGGAAGTAGATTAGATGTACGATTTGCATAGATAATGTTAGAGACGGAGGCCCAGGCCGAGAATAGAGATGTTATTAAATCTTAGATGGAGGCACGATTGATTTCTTTCGGTTCGGCTGGAGTTTCCCTCGGACACGGCGTTTGGATTACATGAAGCTCCCAAGGAGGTTCATATGAGCTAGGATATCCTACGGGGAGAGCGGGGGGGGGCATGCTTTGTCTTTATTTTTTTTCCTCCCCTGCATGCTATGACGAGGAATTGGGATTCTCTTGATATACTTTAGGTACTTAAAGCCGAGCCATGTACTTAAGTGTAAAAAATCACGGCTTATATTATGATTCCTGTGGATAATAAAATATCGGGTTAATAAATGATGGTATTTACTAGGTCTTGTGAGATTACACTGGAAAGATGTGCTAGATATATTCCCCTCGCCCACGTCCACCTAGAAGGTATATGAGAGGTATATCGGCTGCCTGAATTGTTTTATACGCATCGTTAACGTAACATTCACATTGAATCGTGGTTGGTTGGTTGGTATGTAGTACTTATGTTACACGTTCACAGAATACGCATTTATATATACATACATACATGCGAATTCCCATCCCTGTACAACTCTCAAGGGGCCTGCCTCTTCACTGACTCCTAGTCTCCCTCTTTCGGGGCCAAGATTCAGCAAGAAGAAACAAGTTCTTCCAACCCATTCTCTTGTTCGACCGTCTGGCATAGCAATAGCCATACCCCTCCCCCTCCACCTCCAGCTATCTTTCCCTCTACCGCTTCGCACCCTGCGCGCCGGCGGCATTCGCCTTGGCGCGGCCCTTGGTAGTGAAGACGTTCCTGGTGCGGCGCCAGGCCTCAACGAGGTGATCGACGTTGCCCATGTCGTGCTTGGGCTTGCGCATGTAGGTGAGGCGGGCGCGGCGGGCGCGCTTGGGGCGGCGCCAGACGATCTCGATGCCGGCGACGTTGGGGGAGAAGAGCTTGAACCAGCGCTCGACGGGGACCTTGGCGACGTGGTTGCGCAGGAGGATGGCCGTGTCGACGCCCGCGCGCCGGATCGACAGGCACACGCCCGCGAACGGCTCCCCGCCCCCGCGCCGCGTCGTCACCTGTAGCACGTCCCCCGGCTTCGCCGCGTCCCGGTTCGCCTTCGAGAAGAGCGCCCGCCGCGCCCCCGTCTTGTCCAGTCGCTGCACTTGCTGCGCGTGGTACGTGTCCAGCGGCGAGGGGTAAGTCTTGTGCGCCGAGGGCACGCGCGGGTACACGGCGAAGACGGGCCGGATAGGTTTGTGGGGGTTGTTGGTTTTGCGGGTGTCTTGGGGAAGAAGTTCGATGTTAGCGATTTTGGTTTGGTTTGGTTTGGTTGATTGGAGGTAGGTAGGTAGTATGGTATGTTAAGATGGCGAAAACGTACAAAGCGAGGGCTTCACGACGGCCGGAGCAGCAGTAGCAGGAGGAGGAGGTGGTGGTGTGGAAGCAGAGGCCGTAGGAGTGGCTTCGGTAGCCATTGCGCGGAATAGCTGCGGCATCTGCTGCTGCTGCTGCTGGTTTCGCTGCTGGCGGGTTCTCCGCAGGACGGCTTTCCAGCTGCTCAGCGGCCGCCGCGCAGATTGGGTGATCATTGTGTGTCGTGTCGTGTTGAAAAACAGGGCAACTCGTTGAAATGTCGAAAGTAGGAGGATGTAGGTGACTTGAAAAGTTGTGGGTCCCTGGGAAAGATCCATTCCGACCGGGAGAGCTTATCGATAAGGAGTAAGGTTCTTGCGTTGCGGGTGCTGGCGGGCGGTGGAAATCGGGGGTTTAGGTACCTAGGTACCTCCTAACCTTAAGTATCTTAAGTATCTAGATACCTGTCTTGGCATGCGGCAGCTGCTCGGCGGCCGGCATTTTAGATAAGATAATTTTTAGTTGCGAAATCAATTAATTCAAACCCCCCCGAAGCTGAACCGAGGGGCATCTTTCAGTAATTTTTTTATAATAAAAAACGATTCTTATACTATGCGGAACCAACAATTATAACACATAAATAATAAAAGTGGAATTGAAAGCGGTATAGCGGCCAAAGGTTGGAGATATGTCGAGAAATGCGGCGCTAAGCGCTTTGTGCGCGAGCAATGCCGCCTGGGAGTCTGCTACGAGGAGGATAGCCGGGTCGACGATGCGGAGGACGTTCTCGTCTACCGCCAGAAGAGATGGTATGTCTATGTCTCTGTCTCTGTCTATACCCTTTCTCCTCCAAAGTGTTTTTGGTAACCAACCTTAACCTCCCCCCAGCGAGCATCGCGCACTTCACACCGACATCCTCCCCCGAGCTCGACAAGCTCCTCGACACCATCCGGCACAAGATCATCCTGCCGGCGTACCTGCCGACCGACCAGCGCAAGAAGATGTTCTCGCCCAAGTACGAGAAGAAGCTGCAGTCGGACCCCATCATCATCGAGATCGACGGCGAGGTCTTCAAGTTCCGGTACCAGAACCCCTTCACCGACATCCCGCAGACCCGCCGGTGCATCGTCGCCGCCATCTCCCGCTTCGAGGCCCCCGAGGACTTCGCGAACCTGCGGCCCCTGGTCGAGGGCGTCGCCTACGCCCGCCGCCACTTCGACCCCAGCTTCTACTGCAAGATCCTGCGCGTGCTCGGCGCCAAGGGCCGCGTCTTCGACGTCATCGAGCTCGCGCGCGGCGTCGCCCGCACCGGCTTCCGCCTCGACTCCAGCGAGAAGGTCAACGAGGTCATGCACTGGGTCCAGATGAAGGCCGTCGACGCCGCCTGGGACCCGGCCGAGACCGCCCAGGCCCTGCGGTGGGCTGAGATCGTGCTCGAGCTGCTGCAGGAGGAAGCCCACCAGCCGAAGCGCCACAAGAACGAGCACCCGCTCGAGGGGGAGCTGCCGCTGCACCGAGACCCCATGGTCCTCCTCGCGCCGCTGCACCTCGCCGCCGCCTTGGTATGGAAGCAAGGAGCCGAGGCCGCGGGCGAGGCCGCAGTCGAGAAGCTGGTCAAGCACGCGCGGGACATCGTCAGGCTATGGCCCGAGGGCCGGGAGCTGTCCAAAGTGCAGCCGCAGGCTCTATACGAGGAGTACGACAAGATGGGGTATCTAAACGAGCCTAACAAGTTCGTCGTGGTATCCGCGCCTCTTCTCCGGGGCCTCGAAATCGCCATCGAGGTCCTCGAGCCCCGCAACCCGGACCTCGCGGCGCAGCTCCGGTCTCGTCGGGACCTCCTGGCCAGCGAGGTGGAGCGGTCGCTCCAGGCGGGGAAAGGAACTAGGGGGAAGGCGGTCTATGAGAAACTGTATAATAACGCGGCGTGAAAAAGGGTAGAGAGAAAAAAAGATAAAAAAAAAAAGAAAAAATAACCTCCACGAAGATTTCAAAAAATGAACCCACCTATATTCGCACAGAAGTCGTGTTGGAATCAGATCAAATACCTATCTATGTATAATATCTTCCCCGCCGTAACTTGCACTTTGTACATATGTACTGTATGTACCTAATGTATATACAAACTGATCAATACCAGGTAACCAAGCAAGCAGCCCCCTTAACCTCGCTCCCCTATTCGATTGACCAAGTAACTCGCTTACTATGCATCTATGCATTCTCTAAACGCCTCTCCCAGTCTTTTTCCCCCTCCCCTCCCCTTTTCTTCCCTTTTTCGTTTCTCTCCCCCCCCCTTTTTATTTTATTTTATTTTATTTTATTTATTCTGCTTCTTGCCGCGTGCCCTTCTCCTAAGGCAGCACGATGTACTTCTCCAAATGCTTGGGTATCGCGGCGAGCAAGCCCTTGCTCTCGAGCCACTTGCGGGAGAACAAGCGGTCGGCGTAGCGGTAGGCGCCGTCGCACAGCATGGTGACGACGGTGTGGCCGGGGCCCATCAGCTCGGCGACCTCCTTGGCGGCGACGACGTTGAGCGCGCTGCTGGCGCCCAGGTACAGGCCCTCCTCGTCCAGCGCGCGGTACACCATCTCGATGCTCTTCTCGTCCGCGATGTGCAGGCTGCCGTCCAGCAGCCCCACGTCCGGCGCCAGGTTGTCCGTGATCCGCCCCTGCCCGATGCCCTCCGTGATGCTGCTGCCCGCCCGCTCCGCCAGCCGGCCCCCCGACTGCAGGTACGAGTGCAGCACGCTGCCCGGCGGGTCCGCCAGGTACGCCTTCACCCGGCCGCCCGACGCGTCCTTGAGGAAGCGCGTGGTGCCCGCGAGGGTGCCTGCCGTGCCGGTCGCGCACGTGAACGCGTCCACCTTGCCGGCGGTCTGGGCCCAGATCTCGGGGCCGGTAGTCTCGATGTGCGCGCGGCGGTTGGCCGTGTTGTCGAACTGGTTGGTCCAGACGGCGTTGTCGAGCTTCTCGGCGTGCCTGCGGGCCTGGTGGTTGTAGTTCTGGGGGTCGTCGAAGGGGACGGCGGGGACGGGGTAGACCTCCGCGCCGAGGAGCCGCAGCAAATCGATCTTGCCCTGCGACTGCGTGTTCGGCATGTAGATGACCAGCTTGTACCCGCGCGACCGGCACACGTGCGCCAGCCCGATCCCCGTGTTGCCCGCCGTGCCCTCGACCACCGTGCCCCCGGGCCGCAGCAGCCCGCGCTCCTCCGCGTCGAGCACCACGTACAGCGCCGCTCGGTCCTTCACCGACCCGCCCGGGTTCATGAATTCCGCTTTGCCGAGGACTTCGCAGCCCGTCTGTTCCGAGAGCTTGTTCATGCGGATGAGGGGCGTGTTGCCGATTGCTATAGGAGCATAGTTCCGTTAGCATGAGCTTTCTTATAACAACACCATCCTATCCTATTTTGCGGGACACTAGGGGAAAATATCACAGAGGAGAGACAAGGAAAAGCAAAGGAAGGAAAGGAGATCCGTACCGCCAGTGAATCCCTTCGCGATACCCTGAGCCTTCGAAATGGCGAGCAAGTGCTGGCTCGGAGGGTTGGCGGCAGCCGGTGCGGCAGCCGGTGCGACAGCCGCGGCTCTGCGGGCTGCCGTCGTCGCTATCGTTCGCACGCTATGTCGAAACATGATTGCCTCCCTCAATTCAAATCAGGTACTTCGAGTAAAGAGCGAGAAGACATGCAACAAACAAGCAAGCAAACAAAACGGAGGCGTGGGAAAATAAGAAGAAGGTAAATAAATAATAAAAAGAAGAAGGGAAAAATAATGAACGAGAATGGTCCGATGTCGAAAAAAAGGACCCTGCAGTCCTTAGAAATTATTTTGGAGGGGCAATTTGTTAGCCGGTTCGGTTTCCCCTAAAGCTAAGCCGGCTCTCTAATTACATCATCCCGGCTCCCGCTCTCGGGTCCATGGATTAGTCATCTAGGTACCTAGGTACCTAAACAACTCGTACGGAAAGCATCTTATATAATTCATATTATAAATTCTAACTCGGATAAGGGGAGTTATTAAATAGGTATAGACCTAAAGCTTAGAACAATTCAACTTATTCAAATGTGCTATGGAATTAACTACATACCTAAGGTAGACTTTCAAATCATACTAAAGTTCAGTTCTGAATAACCAACTATGCTATAATATTGCGTATCGAGGTATCTCGTCCTATGGTATAAGTCCATGATTATCAATCATATGAAAGGTAGGTATAAAAAATTGCAAATATGTCTGATCCCGTCCAAGATGCGGCATTATCGTCGTTATATCGTTAAGTGGCATGTCCGGTATCGCTACTCTATAATCCGTACGTACGGCGCGGGAAACAATCCTTGGGCGCCCATGTAGCTTCCGAACAGCCATTCGCCGTTCACATCTTCCACCTCTCTCACTTCCGCTCCTTTGGGAAATAGGAGCTCGTCTGTAACGCCTGCCCGCGGGTACCAAGACCACTTCGCCACCGCTCTTGAACCGGCGCCTCCGTCGGGAGGGAATAGCTCCGTGCCCAGCGCGGGTGCCGTCGCCGCCACATCTACCGCTACGAGCCTCTCGAGATTCAATCCGTTCGGTCCTTTCCAACTCCACCTCTGCATACGTGCGCCCCTCGGCTGGTGCTGCTCGTCGTCCGGGACACCAGTGCCCTCGTATGGCTCTGAGCGTAAACTCCTCCCCCCAACAATATCTTGTAGTACGCAACGTCTAAGACCAAGTAGACCCTCCATAAATCCAATGACGGCCATTCTATGACCTTCTAAACAGCGTCTCCATCCCATATGGCCGTTTTCGTCCGATATGCGCTTGTCGTGAACAAGGCCGATGTAGCAATCTTCGCATATATCGTAGTCTCCTGGTTGCCCGTCCTCTAAGTCCTTGCTGCTACACTCAAAACAGTGATACCTCTTATCGGTAGGCGGAATAGGCCCATGGCAGACTTCACATGTCGTCGTAAAAGTAAGCGACTTAAAGTTTCCAAGGCTAACAGCGTTAGGACCCGACGAAAGCGTCGCACCTCGCGGGCGTTTAGGTAGTGGTGGACTAGCCGGCGGGGTACTAGAGCCCGTTCCTGGCGCGACATACGCCAATGGAAGTAGGGGGTGAGTACAATTTTTGCCCGCATTTACGCAGTTATTGCAGAAGCCCCAATCGCCTTCGTTGCAAGATTCACACCGCCAAAAACACTCGTTAGCCCAAGCCAAACATCCTACGCAAAACATGCCACTTTCTAAACGATTAGCTGGATCATCAGTCGTAAGCGTCCTACGTCCTTCCGCACCGCCCGGTGCGTACTTAGGTTGCCTGTATCGGCACGAAGTCAACATATGCGGCGGTTCAAGTCCTCGATTACCGTCTGCTATAACTTTCTGCCAATTCTTAAAGGCTGCATATCCGAAGCCAAACCAATTTTCACACCCTTTTCCAGAACGATAGCAGCTCGAGCAGATATTCCACGCCCCGTTAGCGCATCTTGCGCAGTTGTAGTGAAGCTCATATTCGATATGAGGCCGACTGCATCGAGAACATGTGATTGCCGGTTCTTGATAGAATTGGGATCTCGTATGTTGGTGATGTGTTTGGTGAGAGGGAGACGATATGAGACCAAGGCTAGGTAATGGAGATTGCGGGGCTACACTCGAAGGCCGTCTCGCTCGTTTCGGGTGTTCCACGCTAGAATCATCAGAATGAGGTTCCGGTGAGGGTGCCAGGGGGATCTGAGCAGCAGATGTTCGCGCGCTAAAAGAGAGGTCTCGGGGTCGAGAGCCTTCTCCCGCTGGTGGCTGGGCGGCCGAATTGGTGGTCGGCATACTGGAACTCCTCGATTCGGTGATAGATGGACGTCGTGCTGATGGGTCAGTACTTTGAGGTCTCAAAGTTAAATCTGTCTGCGACCTGGCTGCTGGCCTTGTCTCTGCTGTCCTTGGCCGCACGGGATCGGTTACACTTCTAGCGTCGCTGGAAGTCCTTCGCCGCCGCCTTCTTTCCGGATCAGCGCGAACCTCTAAATGCGTTGATGTGACTGGAGGTCGACTCCGATCGTCTGCTTGGCTTTGACTAGTAGCTGATCTACTATTCGCCGATCTTGATCTTGGTCGGCTGCTAGCCCGGGATGTGTCTGTTGGAGGAGGCCGCGGGTTAGGTTGTAGAGCCTCAGGTCTCTGTGAAGTAACGGCCGGGTCGCTTCTCCGGGGCTGTTGGCCACGAATGCGATCCCTCTGTCTCCGTCTATATGCTTCGGTGATCTTTCGGCTCAGTTCGTCATTCTGGGCCAGGTCGATGTTATCTAGGTCTAACCCATCCAGCAGACCTTCTTCCTGAATTTGTCGTGCAAACTCTTCTATTTCCCTCTCTATATCGCGAAAGTCCACATCGGACGAACTGATCAGTGATCTTATCGAAGCTTGATGCTCAACCTGTCTCCTCCTAGTTCGAGACGAATCACGCGAGCGATGCTGTGATTCACTGCGATAACGGCGCCGCTCATCCGGAGGTGGATCAGGTTGTAACATACCATTCGAATCATGCCGACGCCGATGTCCGTCTCCTCGTAAGGGTCTATCATGCTCGTCTCGATATCGCATCTCACGACTGTTGTCCCATTCGGATCTACTCCTTCCATCTTCGGACCGGCTATGGCCATGATGCCGCCTCGGTCTAGAGCCCTCTCCAGGTTCGACACCAACATCTTGCAAACTCATCTGGCGCGCTTGTTCCAACATTCGCCTTTCCATCTCCTCTAGCCGCCTCTCTTCGAGCGACCTCTCGAGTATTCTAATTCGTGGTATGACATTATCTCCAGGTTTGTATTTCTTGCGCATCTCCTCTTTCTCGTCGTCGGGTTTGGCTTTGTCCGGATTTGCAGCCAGGAACATGTCGAGCAAAGTAGTGACGGTAGCATTGTGGCGGGTATCTCGAACTTGAGCACGGCAAGACGGGCAGGTGAATCTTATCGAACCAGGGGATGGGGGGTTTGGTGAATTTTCTGCTACGTTCTTTTGCCATGAAAACCAGTCTTTAAGACAAGAGCCGCAGAAAGTGTGGAGGCAATCGAGGAGGGTTAAGGGTTGGTAGAGGATATCCGTACAGATCTATGTGGTAGTAGCCCGTAGCCGTTTAGTAAATACTTCAATTCTACCATTCACTAAGGTACCTAGACCTAGGTAGGTATTCGAAATCATCTTAGATGCAAACTTACCGAACAGGTCAACTCCTTCTCCAGATCGACACCAGGCCTTGAAGAGGTCATCGCGTCTTTTGCTGACTTTATAGCTAGGGAATTATATTGAAAGTCCCAAGTTTTTTGTTTTTTTTTTTCTTTTTTTTTTCTTTTTTTATACGAGGGCGGCTAACGAGAGAGTTAATAGTAGTAGTGGTGGTGGTGGTGGGGGTGTATCTGAAATAGAACAGCTCAAATGTCTCTGTACTGCCGAATCCAAGTACTTCGTATCCAGTCCCGCGCCACCGTTAGAATCGAACTGCATGGTGCTAGTAGCTGCGCATCTGATGCATCTGACCGCAGCGCCGGTGACCTTGGAAAGAAACCGGTAGCGATAGGGAAACGTTTAGAATTATGTCAGAGTTGAAGTCGGATATTTCTCGTCCGTATGTACAATTGTCTGAGTCACTTAAGTCCACTAAAGTCGGCCGTAAAAAATGGAGTTAAACTGAAAGATTGAAAGAGTGAAAGATGTAGAGATATGTTAAATACATTACAATGTAAATCATTCGAAATACATGCATTAAAAGCCACGCTATTGGATTTAATGCAATATTTATATTTATTTGCATAATAAATTTAATTACAAAATTTTATTTATATTAGGTTTACAGTTAATTATTTTATATTTAAGTGATTTAACATAGTGATTTTACATTTAATATTTTTTTTAAAAAAAATGTAAATTTAAATTTTATAATTATTATAAACTTTTTATATTTTAATATTACGAACTAACATTTATTAAAAATAGCACTAATTAAAATAATAAAAATAAAGTTATTAACATTATAATAAAACGTTAATAAAAGTTATAATTTTAAGATAATTTAATTAATTTAATTATAATATTTTTTAAAAAAAATAAAATACAAAAAATAATTAAGTTATATAAGTTATTATATATTTAATCATTTATTTAACTTTTTTTAATTATTAATTTAAATTTTATATTTAATTTATATAAAAGAAAAAACTTTAAGCTTTTTTAATAAATATTTTAATATTTATTAACATTTAACTTATATTATTACTATTTACTTGAAAATTAAAACCTTATTATTATTACACTTTAACGGATTTAAATATAAGTTCGTTACAATATATAAATTTATTTATTTTTTAAAGTTTTTTTATTATATTTTTATTATAAATATATTATAATTAATAAAATAATATAATTACATTTAATTATAAATAATAAATTTAATAAAAATATATAATTATTTTAAAATTTTATTAATATATTTTATAATATTAATTTAAATTAATATTTATTTTTTAAATTTATTATTTTCATTTTAATTTCATTATAATTTCATTATAATTTATAAATTTTATAATTTTTATAAACATTTATTTCCAGTTTTTAAAAGCTTTATATTTAAAAACGGTTTTATATAAATAATATTAAATATTAGCACTATTATATGAATATAAATGTATTAAGTCACTTTTACTCAAAAATATAAGCTCGGGGTTGCTGGTGCCGTGTTAATGCCGGTACAATCTTTAGCTGGAAATCTCATCACATATCTTCATGATTTACAGCCCCTTCTTGCCCGGACGAATCATTATAATACCGACTATTCCATTTAATCACGTAGCTTACACAGTAATCTAGGTAATGTAGGTACTCGTGGAGTTTGAATCGGAGTAACTCAATCATCCTCCCTGTCGGTTCACGCCAACGAAGCTTACCTGCATTGCAGCTTCTATTGCGGTCGAAGACAGCCGGCCAAGAAGCACGATTACGTGAAGATCCGACGAGCAAGACCAAGTATACCGTTTCTCCGTTGACTTATACGTATACCTAGTTCCATACACCGACGAGATTTACCATGTTGAAACTTATAGGTATAATTAGCATCAGCAGAATTGGTCTGACCTAATTATTCAAATAACTGTTAAACGTAACAATTTATTATAACTCAATTTATGCACCCCGTTTCACGATCCGTTTTCGTACGCATAACTATGCACATTACCTATGTGTGTATGTGTGCATAAATACGGCCGCGCTAATGAGGCTTAGGTAGATCTAACATAAATTCCCGGTCAGCCCTATCCGACAAGCCCAAGCCCCGTACACCAGGTACCTATTAACCCCACCATCGGAGCGTGACCGGCGTAGCAGCATAGGTAGTCGAAGTGGCGTCAGTAAATGGTCTCAATTCGCATATGTCAAAACGTTGCCTATAAACTGCTAGCAACTTATGATGGGTATCCAGATTTAGGGTCTTTGAATTGCGACTAATATCAGTAGGTACCTTAGGTATGTATTCTTAATATTGGCGAGAGTAGGTAATTGGTTTGATTTTAAACGTGATATGTACAAGTGATTCGAAACCCCGGGTCTGAGCATACGGCAGCAGTTATGAGGTACCGCCAATATAATTCCACATCTCTCAAGCCTCAAACCTCAATGTGTCTTGGTGGATTAGATTCAATGCCTTAACCATTTTCCTATAAACCGCCACGTCACATTCGTACAACCATGACATCGTCCATTATTTATTCATGCTTCCACTCCGGCTTCTTCTTCTCCGCGAAAGCCTTCATGCCAATCTTCTGGTCCTGGCTGCCGAAGAGCGAGTGGAACACGCGCCTCTCGTACTCGACGCCGTCCCGCAGCGGCAGGTCCTGGCTCTTGTTCACCGCCTCCTTGGCCGCGATGACCGCGACCCTGGAGTAGCCGGCGATGGTCTCGGCCGTCTTCAGCGCGCCCTCCATCAGCGCCTCGTAGCTGGGGAAAGCCCGGGCCGCGAGCCCCCACTGCGCGGCCTCGGTCCCGGACACCGACCGCCCCGTCAGGATGATCTCCATCGCGCGCGCCTTGCCGATCGCCCGCGTCAGCCGCTGGCTCCCGCCCGCCCCCGGGATCGTCCCCAGCTTGATCTCCGGCTGCCCGAAATTCGCCGTCTCCGTGCAGTACATGATGTCGCACATCATCGCGAGCTCGCACCCACCGCCGAGGGCGTGTCCCGAAACCGCCGCGATGATGGGCTTCTTGACTTGCGTCGTGAGCTGCGACCACGACTCGATGAAGCTCTTGGTGTATGCTTCCGAGAAGGTGAGGGGCGCCATCTCCTTGATATCAGCTCCGGCGGCAAAAGCCTTCTCGGATCCCGTTAGGATGATGGCTGAGATGCCGTCCGACGAGTTGAGCTCGTCTAGGGCCTGGTTGAGCTCGTTGATGAGAGGTGTAGACAAGGCATTAAGGGCCTTGGGTCTGTTGAGGGTTACTAGTAGGGGGAGGAATTCGGGTTAATTAACAGCCTTAGAGAAAAGCAGCGTCATCTCACCTTGACCGACGCCTGGCCTAGGCTCTGATACCAATATGTACTCATAAGATCTAGTTGCGGTAGCAGAGAATTGACGGGTTGTTCTAGGGAGAGTATAGGGTTGAAGGCGGGAGGCTAGTGGCCTCAAAGTCCGTAATGTGTTCATGGTTTGGTTTGCGAAGCTAATGAATCGTAACTACTTTGATATACAAGCGTTTCAATGGAATTACAATGGAGAATTGATAATTAATTTGTAAGGAGTTAATTTGCAATATATTGAATAAGAGGTCGTTCACCTCATAAATAAATAAGATATCGCAAGAGTTTACGTATGAAGTTGTAACTAACTCAAGCTTAAACAATGATGTACATACACCTCTTCCTGTACGTATGAGCTCATTGAAGCCGAAGCTGGCCGAGGATAGAGCCGTAGCTGAATAAGCGAAACCTTGTTAGGAAATACTTACTGGAATATCCCGAGGTCTTGTATCAAGTTACATAGTAATCAAGTTATGTGCAACTAAAGGGGAAATTAAGGGCCTGTGCACCCACCACTAGAAAACGGTTCCCAATCAACAACGCCCAGCAAACTTGCCCAACAGCCAATAAAAGCAGACCCATTCAAGTTACTATTACTAGTTTCGTGGCTGTGAATCTGAATGTGGCTAATAGAAACTTAATGTTCCCTTTTAGCTGGCCAGATTATTCAAGGCTCTCTCCCCTGGCGTCGCAAGCGAAAAGTCGCGACGTGCAAACTGGTGCTGAGACAAATCGATATTTTCTTTAATCATTCCGGCGTCACCAATTTCTCTTTTCACGATCCCATCCCACCCAGCCTCATTACGAATATTTTACAAACACTGAACGAGAAATCCAATTTAATCCAAGAATTATTACTATCCCGCGAAAAAGAACACCTGCATTCATTATCCATCATGGATAGCATCGAGTCCGACCAGACCCCTTTCGCAGCTGTCACAGCCCAGACGTCTAAGATTCAGCGGGTAGGCTTTTGTTGCGCCAATGCTTTCTGTGAATAAGAGAACGTTTCTTTCTAACATTTCATAGCAATACCAAGCTTTATTGGATCGATCAACGCCGTACGTCCTGCAACGATGGATTGGCACGGGTGCATTTCTAGGCATCTTCTTTCTTCGCATCGTCTTCGCGCAAGGCTGGTACATCGGTAAGAAAGCCTTCTCTCTCCCTCTCTCTCCCTCTCTCTTTCTCTCTCTTTCTCTCTCTTTCTCTCTATGATAACGACCTAGGTACCTAAGACATGGCTAACTATTTCTAGTGGCATATGCTCTCGGAATTTACCTCCTCAATTTGTTCCTGGCTTTCCTGCAGCCCAAGTTCGACCCTTCCAACGAGCTCCTAGACAATGAGATGGAAGATGGGACAGCCGGCGGCTTACCGACGAAGCAGGACGAGGAATTCAGACCATTTATTCGACGACTACCCGAGTTTAAGTTCTGGCACGAGGCGACCCGTGCCATCTCCATCGCGTTCACCTGCAGCTGGTTCGAGATCTTCGATGTTCCTGTTTTCTGGCCTGTGCTAGTGATGTACTGGATCATCCTCTTTTTCCTGACCAGTAAGTTATGAGACTTATATCCAGATGAACTAGCATCGCTAATTTCATTTCCAGTGCGCAAGCAGATTCAGCATATGATTAAATACCGATATGTGCCTTTCTCATTCGGCAAGGCGAAGTACGGCAAGGCCAGTACTTCATAAGCATGGATTTACGACGGAATACGTGGACCATAAAAAAGGATTAATCAGGGTAACGCCGGGGGGGAAAGGCCACTACTGAAAAGGGTCTAGGCTTTAAGGTGTAGACAGTTTCGGTATATTTTTATAATGAAGTCTACCTTTAATCAAGGTGGTGTACGCTGAGGTTCGACTTGTACAAATTACGATACAGGCTTTTTGTATTACGGTATACAGGAGCTAGGGGTTCTGTACGGAGTAATGTCGCGAGCGTCCGAATTAACGCTGGTCGGCCTTGGGTGGCAGGACGAGGAACGAGGATAGCATGGAAGCGGACCTAAGGCAGGTTTGAACTCTTCCGGATTATCATCAATAGACATTGTACTACTGCATTATGTTGAACAGGGATAATAACAAGAAGTTTTAAAGTCGATTGGGGTAAGTATTGATTATACTAAACCAAAAAATATTTACTATGATACAAAGTTGCGACGCTCAGTCTCATAGCCTTGTAATAAACGTTGAAGATGGGGGATGGGTGTAGGTACCCAGGTACCTAAGACAAGGTTGTGAAGATAGCGATAAACTTTTACACTTTTACACTTTTACAGCTGACAACTTTTTCTTTGCGACCGATAATCTTGGGGGAAAGTACCCACAATCCAGCTCATCGCGACGCGCAGGCGGCAGAACAACTTATTACTTTAACTTTCGATTACTTAAACTTGCGACCACGCACCATCACCATTCATTACAGGAATATACTTCTCTCAATTGCGCACCACCGTTGGTATCTTAACAATTACCAATTACTTAATACAACACTTGCCATTAACGCCGAGCATTTTTTAAACAAAAGGAGGAGTATCATTCAAGACTTTACTTTCCATCGCCGATTCTTTATTTCTTATCCCGGTTTTACCTATCCTCTAAGCCATCTTGACGATGGCTTCCTCGTCGCGCAGCGGTGAGCACCGCTCCATTCATCAGGACTTCATCGCAAGAATCCGTTTCTCCAATGCGCTTCCACCTCCCCCCTTTCCGCCAAAGCTTCTCGATATACCCAATACCGGCCTCGCAAGCGGTCAATACACAGCCCCCGGTTTTGCCTCGAGGTTAGCGAGGGAGCAACCGCTGAACATCGAGGCTGATGCCGAACTGGGTATGCCATTGGACCTCGTGGGAATGCCAGGGATATTTGAAGGTGACGAAAGCTGTACGTAAAGCTCTGGAGCTATGATGACTATTGGACTGACTAGAGATTACAGCCATCCAAGCTCCTGCGCAACCACCGCAAATCCATCCCCGCGATCGAGCTCTTCTCAGAGCTCCCGGCAGTTTAGGTCATCCTAAACCTGCCGAAACCAACGTGTCCTTCCTACGACGTACAGAGTACATATCTTCTGTCTCAACCAAACGTCACGATAGCAGCGCTTTCCGTAGCAACAACCCAGCTCCCAAACGCCCGTTGAAGCGACCTTCTCCCGAGCCAGATGTTGACTCCCCGGCACACATCAAGAAGAAGATAGATCAGGGCTTTGCCATAGCAGCTGCGAACCTCAAGGACAAGAGCAGGGTCAAGCATCCTTCTAAGAGGAACCTCAAGCTAGTTGATGCCTACCCCTTGATTCCCGACCTTGAGGCCTTTCCAGACTCCGGTGCATATGTCACATTCAAATTTACCAACAACCCTCTCCCTGCGACTCGTGTATACGACAAGCGTCTCCTCAACGGTATCCTCAAGCCTATTAGCAAGACGGAGGCCGAGGAGGCTGCTTTTGCGATGGCCATGCAGGCCCACGAGCGGGATCCGCAGCACGTCCCGAAGCCGCAGAACCTGATGGACTACGACTTCTTCCTGAACGACAGCCTGGACGCGTCGGACCGGTTCCGGCAGAAGTTCGACATCGAGAACCCGGACCATGACGACGACGGCCTGTACACGCACAAGAGCAACGGCAAGCCCAACTTCCTGTTCCCGCGGGTGCGGACGTACGAGACGGCGCAGGAGCTCGAGCTCAACAACCAGACCAAGTACGACGAGGAGGTGGTGCTGGCGTTCAACGACGACGAGGCCCTCGACCAGAAGGCCGCCTTCTACTACCCGGTCATGCAGCGCAGCGTCATCAAGCCCCAGCGCAACAAGAACATCGCCCGCACGATAGGGCTCGTGCCGGCGGACATGATCGAGGAACGGAACGTGGACCAGCTGGACGTCGTGGTGGAGGACCCGAGCGACGACATCCGGGCGTGGATGAGCCTGTACCGGGACCACCCGTACGGCAAGGAAGAGGATGGCGAAGGCGAGGGCGAGGAAGGGGAGGGCGAGGGCGCGCAGGACGGAAACGAGGACGCGGAGCACAGGGAAGAGAACGGTCGATCTACGCAGCATGTGGAAGACGAGGACGAGGACCAGGATGCCGAGGGCGAAGAATACTAGTGGCCGGACGGTTGATTGGGAAGTTTTATACTACATGAGAGTAGGCTTTTTATCTTTTTTTTTCTTTTGGTCTTAAAGAGACATAGGAAATACCTAGGTACCTACTTTCGTCCTGATTAGAATGCGGTATAATTGCTATGGATTAGGGAGGCATTCCGGATAATTGATGAGAAGAACAGTCACATTCTATATTAGCATCGTCATCATCATCGTCGTCGCACCCTTCCTTTTTTTTAGCCTACTGTTTAGCTAGCTAGGTACAGGTAGCGAGGTATGTAGCTAATTGCCCCGAGTTTACGAAGGGTAAGGTTATTGTCACCTGTACGTACCAATGTATGTACCAATGTACTCTTCCATTTCCGACAGAACATCCCCAATACCTAGATCGCGACCTGCTTTTAGTTTAGGTAGTTAGCTAGACTGGCTCTCTTAGCGCTGATTTGTGGAGTATGCAGCCTCATTTTCCCCGGATAACCTTAAATCATCTTCTTTTATCACAGTTGCACTATGGTTCTTGCTCTTATAGTCTGTTATTGATTCTTTCCATCTTGTGAGCTTCCAGATGACGAATTCAACAACGCCTACCTACTTACGGAACCGTTTACGACCGCGTTACGATGTGGATTCGACCCTAGCTACCAGGTCCCCCTAACCTATCCTGATGGTAAGGAGCAGATTAAGCGTACTGTATACATTTACGTTGAGACCTATAACACAACATCGGAACGTCGTACCTATTGGGATACAAAAAGACAGGGAGGATCGGAAGCCATTTATCTAACCCCGAGTCCGAGTATTAAAATCATGGTTATTTTCCGCGTTGGTATGGGAGGGAGTATTTGATATATTGTAAATTGTAATTGTAGTATCGACTAATATGTGCCCAACATACCATACCCTATTTGCGACCGTTTGGCCTCGGACGGTCTGAGCTAATTAATTGAAAATGTTGACGAATACAACATCAATTCACACATTGTTACAAACCTTTCGTAAACTCAAGGCATATCTGATTCCATAGTCGATTTTTTATTTTAAGAACGTAAAACCTGGACGCTAATAGCCTAATGAGCTCCGTGCAAGTTAAGCAAGTTGTTATATCCTTATTAAATTTCATTAACAATAGTGAACGCCTTTAGGAAAAAAAGTTAAAGTTAAAAGCATAGGTGTATTAAAATGAAACTTACTTTATAATATTATTAAGTACTTAAGTAAATAAGTTATTTATTACGTATATTATTATGAAAAGATTTTAAAATAAAACTTAAATTAAGTTTAATTTATATTTAAAGAAAAAATTATTTAATATTATATATATATATTTACTTATAAAATTAAATAATTTTATATTAAAATTAATAAACTCGTTAATTAAATACTTTAACATATTAATAATTAAAAACTTTATTATTTTAATATTATTTAATATAATATTTAAAGCTTTTTATTATAAATTATTATTTTTTTTATTTTTTTAATATATATTAAGTTTATGTGTAATAAACTTACACTTAAATCCGTTAAAGTATAATAACAAAGGTTTTGATTTTTAAGTAAATAATAATAATACGGGTTAAATATTAATAAAACGTTAAAAGTATTTGTTAAAAAAGCTTAAAGTCTTTTCCTTTATATAAGTTAAATATAAAATTTAAATTAATAATTAAGGAAATGTAAATAAGTAATTAAATATATGTTAATTTTTTATAATTAAGTTATTTCCTTTATTTTACTTTTTTTAAAAGTATTGTAATATAATTAATTTAAATAATTTAGTTAATTTAGTTAAATTAATTAAATTAATTAAATTATACGAGATTATATTTATAACTAAGGTTTATTTATTACCCTAAAAAATCCCCGCTTTTGTTATTTAAATTAATACGTTTTCTAATAGATATTAATTTATAATATTATCTTTCTTCTCTTATATTTTTTACCTTTAAAAATTTTTAATTTAATAAGTTTTTTTATTTTATTCTTTATTTATTAAATTAATTTAATTTAATAATATTAGAATATGTTTTTAAATTATTTACTAAAGCTCGTTACTTAAATTAATATTAAGTTCTTAAGTTTTATACTGTTTATATTAAAACTTTCGGTTTTTTCGAAATACTTTATTTAAATTGTAATTGTTTTAAGGAAATATTGTGTTTTTTCGTAATTAGTCTTTTATTTTATAACCATTATATCTAATAAATAAATTATACTAATTATAATATAATAAAAGTAAATTTTATTAGTTATTTTACCTTTAAGCTTTTTCGTTTAAAAAAGGAGCGTAATAAGGCCGAAAATAAGTTAGTTAAATTAAATAAAGAGTTGTAAAAGTATTAAAAAAGGATGTTATCTTTTTAGAAAAAAATTAATAAATATTTAAATTTTTTACGTTATTTAAAGTATTAAAAAGATATTATTAAAAATAAAGCTTTTTATATACTTTAATATAAAAAGGAATTAAATTATTTAAAGCGTAAAGAAAAAGTTACGAATTTAAGTGCTTTTAATTAAGCTAATTAAGTTAGTCCGTTTAAGCCCTCTAATTTTTCTAAGGGCAATCCCAGTAGGGCTATTATTTTTTAAAATGGTTTTAATTTAGGAATTAATCCGTTAACGTTCGTAAGCAATTAAAATTTTTTTAATAAAATATTTTTATAAATTTTTAAGCGTTTTTAAAGTATTTAATTAATTTTTAAATATTTTCCTTTAATAAGTAATCTTTCTATTTAACTAAATATTTAATTTAATGCCTAAATCTTTTAAAGTTTAATACTTTTTTAACTTTATATTTTTAATTAATTTTAACGTTTAAAATAATTTATATTAAAGCGTTTTCAAGTGCTTTTTTTAATAAGGAAATATAAAATATTAAATATAACTTTATTTTTATTAATAATAATAATTTATAATTAATTTTTAAAATAATTTTTTCAATTTTAAAAAGTTTAAATTTTTTATAATTTAATTTATTATTTAGTTTTTTGGTTTTAATATTTCGTTATAATAAATAAACTTTATTTCCTTTTTTTGAAAATTAATCTTTTAATTTTATATTAATTATTATATTTCTTTATTCTTACTTATAAGAATTTAAGTTTATTTATTAAATATTTTTACGTGGTAATAATTTATTTCGCTATAATCTTTACCTTAAATATAAATATTTCTTTTATATTAATTAATTCTATAATAATGAAATTATAATTAATATTTATTTTAAATAAAAATATTTTTATATTTTTATTTATAAAATTATTATATATAATTTCTACTTACAATAATAATTTTACTTAATTATTTTATATTTTATTAATATATATACGAAAATACTATTTTAATATTTAATTTAAATGCTTTATTTATCCATTTAATTATAAATAATATACTATTAATAATTTTTATTTTACACCTATTTTTACTATTAACTTAATCCAAAACTTAAATATAAATAACTTATTTTTATTTAAAATAATGCATTTTAATAATCCATATTTATTAATTATATACTTAAAAAATATATAAGTTAAATCTTTAATTATATTAAATTCTTTATATAATATAAAATATCTATATTTAATTAATTTATTAATTATTATCCATATATTATTATATAATATATTAATTATAAGTTCTTTTAATAGTAATAATGTAATAATAAAATCTTATACTATGGTTTTTTAAACTTTATTCGGAATTTCTATAAATTATATAAACTTATATAGCTTATATTTAATTACCTTAGTTTTATTACATATATTATAATTATTAATTATTTCTTTAATTATTTTAAATAAGTTTAAAAAGTTATAATCTCTTATAATTTATTATATAATTTAAAAAATTTCTTAATATTTATGTAACAAATGTTCGTAATATTCTTTAATAAACTTATATTATAAAACCTTTAATATATATACCTTACTTAAATATATAATTATACCTTTTCTTATTTTAATATCTGTAAATAATTCTTTTATTAATAATATTTTTTTTAATACATGTTATTTATATATTATTTTTTTTATAAAATATAATGTTAATAAAATAAATGCTTTTTATCCGTTTAATATAAATACTGCTTTTTCTTTTATTATATCTTTTATATTAATACTATTAAATCTATTAAATGTATTTACTTATATATTTATTTTTCCTATAACATAAACTATTTTAAAATTAAAGTTATTAAGGTATTTTATTTATCTTTAAACTTTAAATCTTAATTTTTAAATAATTATTAATATTTTAAAATTATTATAATTGGATAATATTGTAATTAATTCCTTAATTCCATTAAAGTAATATTTCTACTTTTAAAATATTATTATAATAATAAGTAATTCTTTATTATAAGTTTAATATTTCATTTAAGCTTTTTTAAAGATTTTAAACAAATATACCACTAAGTGCCATATTTTATTATTTTTAAATTATTTTAAAACTGCACTGATAGCTGCGTTAAATCCGTTAATATGGATTTATTTTAATCGGTTTAGCCTTAATAATCTTATTATTAAATTATTAATAATAGCTTTTTATATTTCTTTAAAAGCTTTATTTACTTTTAGCATTTATTAAAAAGTTCTTTCCTTTTTTTATATAATAGTTATAATAAAATTTATAATTTTACTAAAGTTCTTTATTAATTATTTATTATAATTAGTAAAGCTGTGGAATTATTATATAATAATGATATTATTTAATATTAGTTAATTTTATATAATTGCAATTTTTAAATCTTATATTTTAATTTATTTAAAAATAATAATATATCCTAAATAATTAATCTTTTGCATATAAAATTTACTTTTCTTTGGGTTTATTAATAAATTGACTTTATTTAAAGCTTTTAATATTTTGTCTATATGTTTTTTATGTTAATTAAAGGTTTTAAAAAAAATTAAGATATTATTTAAATAAATAAAAACCGTTTTTCTTAAAAATTTCCGTAATATAATTTTAATTATTTTTTAAAATGTTACTAACGCATTTATAAGTCTAAATGGTATAATTAAACATTTATAATAACTAAAAGGGATTTATATTATTATTTTCCATTTATTACCTTTAATTATTTAAATTAAATAAAATACTTCTTTAAAATTTAATACTATAAACTATTTTACATTCTTTATTATTTTTATTAAACTATTAATATTAAATAAAGAATAATTATTTTATTTAATAATAAAGTTAAAGTACTAATAATTATATATATTTTAATATATTATATTTTTATTTTTATTTAATCTTAATATTCCATCTCTATTTTTCTTAAATATTAAAAAAATTAAGCTCTTTATTAATAAATCTAATTTTTATATATATCCTTTTTCAAATTTTTATTTAATAATTTTAATTAATACCTTTTATTTATTTATATTTAATAAATATACTTTATTTAATTTAAATAATTATCC